AGGGTCTGACTTAAAATCTGGTTCATGTTTTATCTTGATACGCCACTTAGAAGTGGTTACCTACTTAAAAAACTACGAAGTACGGGGAAAGCACATCCTGGATATTTCATACAAAAACGCCACGATCCGTGATTGTCACAGGTGTCCGTGTGTAGTTAGGGTTAGCGCGGGAAAAGCAGCACTTCGTTATATTGTATTGTATGGATTGAGTTGCGACGTTATCCTTTTCATACCTCGTAAATATTGTATCCTCTATCCTTCTCTGATATCGTCAGCTATTGAACATTCAGTAGAGTATGATAGCTGACGCGTGTTCGAGAGGGGGTGAAGTCTGATCGCACCGGTCGACAGGGAGAGTTCATACTGTACTTTAGTACTATTATTTATACTGTGGTATTAGTAAGGCTTGTATATTGTGGTATTTTTTTTATGGGTGAAAATGGTATGGTATCCCTGCCTGCGCTAACGGGATACGCTGGCGGAGCACCAGTGAAGGGTGATAGATGAGAATGAAAACAGGCCAGTTAGCCCATCATGATGAATTCATCAGGAATTAACCCTGATAGTTTCCAGGGGGATCCGCGAGGAGGTCGACCTGGTTGGGTATATTGCTAGCAATGGGATTCTCAGTCTTCATTACTAACAATCCCTTTCCCCCTTATATTGTGGTATTAGTAACCATAGAAATCTGTAAGTAGAATATAAATGCTGTGCACATTATGATCGTAATGTAAATCATTTACTATATTGCATAACTTTACAATTATGAATATTTACTAAATTTTACCAACATTTTCATTACTTTCTCTTTTTAATTATTATGTGTGCATTTAATTAGAATAGAAATTAGTTAACAACAATTAATTCTACAACATTCTTGTTATAAATGTAAAATGAAATTGTATTGTTTGTTTACCTTTATATATTCCCCATATAATTTAAAAGTTACCTGTACAAATAAAATAAGTAAAGTGTACCTAACCACTCGTGTTTTTTTTTTGAGTGATAATGAAATAGTAACCCCGCCCACCAGAAAAGGATGACAGGTGAGGATGAATGCAGGTCAGTTGGCCCACCATGATGAATTCGACAAGAATTAATCATGATGGTTTCCAGGGGGAACCGCGTGGAGGTCGACCTGACAAGGTGTATTGCTAGCAATAGGTTATTTAGACCTCATTACTAACAATCTCTTCCCCCCAAACCATTCGTGGTTAGGTACAGTCTAATCACTCGTACTTTGCAACTTGAACACCTAAACTTTGAGAGTAATTTAAATTTTTAACTAGTTCTTCGGTGAACCCAAATTAATCCGAGTGACAATGGCAGGGATGATACCACATTGGGCCTGCCATGTTAAATTTAAATATGCTCGGTGAAATGTGGGCATATTGTTATGCCCACCATATCTGTACTCCTTATCGGGGATTACAAGCTTATCTGAGCATTTATTTTTAATAGGGAGAGGAGGTGTGCTGTTTAAAAAAGGCTCATATGCACATTAAGACATGTCTTTGTAAAAGAGGGTTGGGTAACAGACATTTTTGGGTGGTGCACTGCTTACCTGACCTTTCTCTTAAATATGCCTATGGCCATGGTGCATCTCTTCATTAAAAATAAAGTTTTTTTTGTTATGTAGTTTGTATAAGTTATTATTGTTACGAAATATTTTAAATACCTATGTATTATAAATACTATTCAAATTAGTCACATTTTTCGAAAGATTCTAAAACGTTCCGGAGGGTGCGCACAATGGCTTCTAATTAAGTAGAATTTTATGTTAAGTCAGCTATAGAATTAACCGAAGAGGGACTGGTGTCGATTGCAAATGATTCTGTTTTTGAAAGAAATTTCCTTTGTTTATATTCATTATATATGTATACAGACATCGTATTAAGAATTAACATGAGTTTTACAAATAATTTTATTTTAAAAATAATATTGTAAGTTTGAAACGATTATAAAATAGAGTTTTTGAAATAGATAAGTAATTTATAACACACCTACTGACGAGAGAATCAACACAATGTAGTTAATGTACTAACGATAAAATTAAAGGCAACAAAAATAATGTAGTTGAAGAAAAAATACTTTAATAAATAAACCATCATCATCATAATCTTCTTACCCTTATTCTAATTATTTATTTAAAGTTAGTGTAATATGTTTTTCTCTCCCATTCTTCTCTATTCGCAATCATTTCCGCATTCACTCTTGTTCTGGCCGTATCTTTCATACAGTCATAAATAAATAATCTTAACACCTTAATAAATACATAGATAAACTTATCAAATAGGTACTCATAAAGTAAACAAATCTAGTACGGGTTTTAGAAAACTGATAGATATACATAGATACTTAAATAAAATATACATTAAACACATTTTTTTTTATTATACATACTTTCTGATGAATTTTAAAATTTTTAGGTACAATAAATTAGGTATCGATATTTTGGAAGAAAATGTAATTTGCATGGTGTTAATGGCTATAAATCGTTACATAGTCCTTAACATTATTATTTTCCAGATTACAGTCACAAAAAAGAGAAAATTTTAAAACTAATAGTTAACTAATAACCGGAATTATTGGACCTAGAAACATGAAATTTTGCAAAAGGTTTCTTTAAATAACGCAAGACAGCGTTATAATAAGGGATTTCCCAAAATTCTCACGGGATCGAAAGGTAACGTGGCGCTGATCTATTTATAATCCGCTGTTAGGATATAACTAGATGTTTATAACTAGCTGTTAGGATTTATAAATAGAAATCAAACCGTATTCACGATTTACGCATAATGTACCTATACCTCTGTCAACCTTATGAAGTTTGTTCAACTGTTTTCAGGTCGTAGCCATTTGGCACTAAAATTAAAAATGAGGGTTCGTACCGTATGTGTAATTCAGCCCAGTCAGCAAACCCGACCAGTCTAAGTCGATTGTTAAAGGGGTACGTATTATGATAAATCTTTTATGTAGGATCAAGTTCAAATATTAGGTACTCGTTGACAAATCCCACTTGATGGAGGTCTGGTATTGAATAATTTCCCATATTAACTAGCAACCTTTGTTCCTTATATAGGCACCTACTCTATAATAGGTATTTAAATATTAACAAATTGTATAATTATAGATGATGATATACGGTACCTATAAACAGATATAGTGTGCTTCTAAGAAATAATGGTACGTTAACGTAATCAGTTTTTATTGATTTATGGCATTTCCCATTATTTTTATGTCGTGCCACACAAACTATATTATCAATAGCATAAGTCGAGACAAACTCTTATTTGCCATCAAATACGACATAACAAGATATAGATAGGCCAAGACATACACTTGGCCTATCTGTATCTTGTTGTAAACGAATTACATTAAAAAGTATGTCAATATTATTAAAGTTTGTTATTATAAATATAATAACAAACTTTAATAAGAAAAAAAAATACCTTTTTATTTTTGTATGAGAGTCCGATTCTTTTCTTTTACCTATTAGAAATAAAATGTCCGGCTAACCAGAGGGAGACTTTGTACAAAAGTCGTTAGCTTGGGCACCTCTGTCCCATTTGTGTTTCTACCGTAAAGCAGTTGTTTTTGCATAGCTGTGTTTCGTTTTGAAGAGTGGAATATAGCAGTGAATTTACAGGGTACAGAGGAATAACACCTGAGTCCTCAGGAATGGCATCGCATCTGGGGTTTTATGGGCGAAACAGTATACTCTGTTATGTCCATGGTACTGCTCATGTTCATGCTCATGCTCATACCTATAGGCGACGGTTACAACTTTCCATCAAGTGGGTCGTCAGCTTGTTTGTCATTCTAAGTTGCATAAAAAAAAAGTGTAATAAATATAAAAAATTAAAAGATAGGAAACAACGAAACAGATTTTATTTCATTATTTGATAGCCTAGGTATACATATATAGGTTAACTGAATTTTATTTTTACTTTCGGAATACTTTTGGTACAAGAATCAGACTAAAGACCCATGCCCTATTATTATAATATTATTTTTTATATTCAGATTTTTTTGATAGATTTATGGTAATTCTGTGCAGTAGGTAGGTTGGTACTCTTGGCATTAAGCCAGCATTTGAAGACGTTAGATGTGCATTGATCTTTTAATATTTTATGATAAATAGACGTTTGAAACTGGCCAGATATGAACTAAGCACATCAATATCTGTGCTATCCAAACAATTTTATCCTTTAATCTTCTGAATAGAAATTGATGGACGATATCTTAATAATGTTATGAAATGTTCGTGTTATCTGTGAGATATTTTGATTGTTTTATGTCGATTGTTTTTATGTTTCTATTACTAGAGATGTCTCGGTTGATTTAAAAATTTAATTATTAATGTGGTTTAATAATTACATTATTTTATTTTTTATTTAGTAAAAGGTTTTTGTAAATCTTTAGTACGCTTACTACTTTTAGGGTTTCATTCTTTTATATGAAGTGGAACTTTTATATTACGATTTTTTATAACTACTACTTGGAATGACTAACAAGCTAACATTCCACTTGATGGAAAATGGTAACTATAATCTATGTATATTTATTCATATACCACCATTACTAATATGTTACTTGCGGGTTTGAGTTGTTATATTTCACTAATTTACAGTAACAAATGGATGTTTATTCCATTTTGGCAATAAATTTATAGTTGTGTATGAAAATTAAATTTTTGATTGTGTTATTACTCGAATTTCTTACTCTTTCTTCAATATCGATACAATAAATCGATAATTATTTTCAAATTGAGCGGTAAAATAAAAAATATATATGTTATAAGTAAGTACATATATAGCTTCCTTTTAAGAGTATGTATTTTGTCTAAGTCCTTTCTGAATGTTTTGAATTTTTGGGCTACAAAGTCTAATGGAAGGGAACGGTTATAACGAGGACAGATCTGTCTAACATATGGTAATTTCAAACAATAAATGCCATAAAAGTCGAAATCATGATTTTATTTTAATTTTTTTTATATAAATAAATAAAAATAATATACCTAATGACCTACATCGATTGTCATGTTATTATCAGCGGGTTCGTGGTGCCAGTCGAGCCTGCGTGTGCGTAATATGTCCTTGTATACAAAGGCAGACTTTCTTGGGGTACGCGTGCGTCTGGTACTGCTATAGTCCACTTCATAAAGACCGAACCGTTCGCTGAAAATAAAAACAAATTAAGTTTCTACATAATATTTTTTTCTTTTTTTATATAATAATTTACTATAACATACAAATTCTGTAGCTCTCTCTGACTCTACGATTAGTGGCACTAATGTCTTCGCAGAGTCAGACGTAAATGGATAGTGAGAGAAATCTCTAATAGAGTGTTTTCCACCTTTTCTATGAATAAATACTATAGCATTATATGCTTAAGTACTACTAAAAGGTAAAAAAAAACTATGAAACTTATGCGAAAATCGCTATTTACATAGTTTCTCTTCAGGGGTTTTATTCTCTATGTATATAGAGAATTTAGGTAAATGTCGATGTTCCGACTATTCGTTATACAAAAGAAATATATAGATACATACTCTGCCACTACAATATTTAAATATTTTATGACATATTACATCCGGCGGCTTTGTTCGTTTAAATTAAAATAAAACATATTCTATGCATTAATCTAGGATATGGTCTACCTGAATACCGTGATTGAGAACATAATTCTAAATATCATAAACCTTAATATTTATCATATTAAGATTAAAATACTTAGAAATTAGATATTAATCACAGATAATATAAAATGTTTAATCTAATATAAATTGTATTTTAGAAAAACATTGAAAATAAAGGGATTTGAATCCGAACTCTTTATGTCATGCGCGTGTTGATGAATCTACCTTTTGTGCTGTTAACCCGTTGAGCTATGTTAGCTATTAGTTTTGAGGCAGGCGTTTAATGAAATTATTCTATGATTTAGTTGTATAATCTATTTGTCTATATTTAACACAATTAGTAAACTATCTTACAATGTCTTTTAATGGAAACAACAATATATGAAATGAACAAATAACTAGAATAAAGACGATTTTATATTATGAGTATGACATATTATTACTTTTTTGTTATGTCTATTTTATTTTTAAATTACTAAATTTCATAAAAATAACATACTAAGGTTATTTACTAATTGTTGCAAGTATACAGAAAAACGGATTTTGTGTAATTATATGTGTATGTGTGTACATATATAATTTTATAAAACAAACTTACGTATATCCCACTGTCCATTCAAAGTTGTCCATTAAACTCCACGCAGTGTAACCCCTGATGTCGGAACCTTCATCAATGGCATTCAGCATGGCATCAAGGTAGCTTCTGTAGTATGTGATGCGATCGTCATCTTGCAATCCACCATGAGTTGCGAATCCGTTTTCAGTAATATAAATTGGCGGGTTGTTGTAGCTGTTTCTTATCTTAGTAAGAAGATTATAGAAACCCCATGGCGCATACTATAAACAGTTTATGAAATTAATATGTGAAATTAGATTTGTAATCAACTCTTATAGAAGACAAGTTGATTCTGAGATGTTATTTTTCTATCTATAAAGTTAAAGTTTCAATTAGATATTGAAACAGTGAAATTTTTATTCTATGAATAAAACGAATATGAATTAAATTTCCAAAATTATTATAAATTTAGTTTACAATGGTCAATAAAACAGTAATTATGCGAAAATATCAAATGAAAATATAGGATAAGAGATAAGTTTAGGAAAATAACGCTTCAGAATTGACTACAATATATATATATTTTTTCTAAATCTTAGGACGGTTGAGGATATTTAAGGTATTGTTTGAGAGGGAAGCCAATTGCACACTCGATGAATAACTAATAACAATATAAACTTATAATAATTCTATGCATCGCAGATGTAGTCGATAGTATTAATGAATGACTACAAAATTAATATAAAAAATAATAGTGAATTCTTTATAGCAGACTAATGTGGACGAAGTAAAATATATAAAGGCAGAGCCTAGAGATAGGGGTTACTGGCCCTCTGCTTATACTGCCTATCTATAATACCATGTGCGTTATACATAAAAAGCGTAAAACATATAATAAACTTATACTTAACCTGACGGAATTTATGTGTATATATTAAAGAATATTTTTGACATTATATGTAGAAATAATTTATGTAGATATGTATATTAATATAAGGATTTACCATAATTCTGTTAGAATCACCAATTTTCCACTCGTTAGGTTGATACATCAATGCACCCAGATCGTCCATATACGATGGAATAGCATACTTTCCATTAAAAGATTCATTTCTATAAACCAAATAGCTCGTATAGTGATTTAATCCGAAGAAATCAGCTGTACCGCGAACGTAATCAACTTCTTCTGGGGTAAATTCATTTAGTCTCGAACTATGGAAACCCTGCGCTGCACTCTTAGCAGCTACCTTATTTTTTAATATTGCAGGATAATCACCAGTGTCAGAATATATAGGATGTGCGTATATACCCCACTGGAATAAAAATACGCATATTACTGGTATAATACTTGATCTTACTCTATCTTACGTTAATACTTTTTTGTGTCTGCTACTTTGTAAGAATGAATTTCAAAATTAGAAAAAACAATAAGATAGACAACTTCTAGATGGCATATCAAGATAAAACATATAGCGATTTTTAAATTAGACCTTCAACAATACAGCTACGAAAATCGCATCCGATTTGGTGCAGTAGTGTTTGTGCGGTGCCGGAACAAACATATAGACAAATACAAAAAAATCTAAAAATTATTGTTTTTGTTTCTTATACTCTTAATAAGGCCATGCATATTTTTTTTTTTTTTAAATATCTCCCATGTTATAATTTTATATTTTTTTTCATTTATCATCTAGTAGCATTAGTATGCTTAGGCACTTTTTTTAGCTCAGAGTACAAAATTCTAAAATTTTTTGTTCGGCTTCTATTGGGTGCTGGAATCCATTGAAAAGTTTATATCTGCGGTTGTAGATTTGCTATTTATGGTTGCAAAATGATATGAAATTAAATGTGTTCTGCAAATGAAAATGTAATACACGAATCAGTAACGAACAGCGTATGCCTGAAAAATTTATATATTAGCCAAATGTCTACAATCATAATAATATAATAGTGTGATTAAATAAAAAAAAGTAATAAAAAAAGGAGTGTAGCCTAAAAGTTAAATTGGGTTACTACAATTATTTTATATTTTATAAGTATACAGCGTGCTCACAATTAAGAAGAATATAACATTTTATAAAAATCCATCACGCCATTTGGCCTACAAATTACATCAAATTTCCGGGTATATTGACAAACATACACGCGCCAATGTTAAGTATAGTTCGTTGGGTTAAAATATGCGCTGAATAAACCATTTATAAATATTTTATTAATGATAGAATATAGATGTAAAAAATATTTAATCGATATTAGAATATTTAAGTATACCACTTACATCGAATTGGTTTGCTTCTTCAGCGGCATCAATATGCTCCGCTGACTCGGGTTCATACCACTGAGCACTCAATGTGATGCCAATTATACCTCTCTGTGTTGGTCGAAACTTCTCATTGTACATATGATAAACTTTTGCGTGAGATAAAAGTAAGTATTTGGTGCACATGTACTCTGCCACACCCGTGATATTAAGTTTTGGAGCCATGTAATCACTTCCGTAACCGTAGTAACACTGTATGTGTGGTTCATTAAATGTTATCCATTTTTTAACCCTATCTCCGTACAGTTCAAATATGACGCGTGCGTAATCTGCATACCAATCAATTATGTTGGGATTCGTCCAGCCGCCTAACTCTTGCAGCTTCTGTGGCAAATCCCAATGGTATAACGTCACCATCGGCTCAATATTGTACTTCAGCATTTCATTTATCAAGTTATTGTAGTAAGTTACACCGGCTTCGTTTATTTTGTCAGAAAAACTGGTGGGCATAATTCTGGTCCAGGATATGGAGAATCTATAATAATCAAGTCCTAATTCTCTCATTATTTCGACATCTCTCTTGTATTGATGATAGGAGTCGTCAGCAATATCTCCTGTAGACTGATCTGTAATTTCACTAGGTTGTTTGTGAGTTTCATGGTCCCAAATATTTTCCGACTTGCCTGTAAACACGTTTTGAATAATCAAATACGAGTAAATTTCTTGATCGACAGACATTTTCAAACCTAATACTTTAAAAATTCTCATTTAAAATGTATCTCGTAAACTCAAGTATAAGTGTAATTCTTAAATGGAGAGCAACACATATTTTTTAATTGTAAGAAATCAAAACTAAGTGTAAATAATTAAATAAAATAAAAAAATTGAAAGGCATCTATAAAGTATATGTGTTCAATAAGTAAAAATTGTATTATTGAAATTAGAATAATAATATTACTAGAAAAACTCTAACCATCCTCTGCCCAGGCGCCCTCAATTTGATAAGAGGCCGTAGCTGCTCCAAATACAAAACCTTCAGGGAAGCTCCTTCTATCATATCGAGGCTTATAGATATACGTTTTGCAATCATATGAGGACAAGCAAAACGTAAATAATATACTGCAAATAAAATTAACAAATTAAAGTTATGGTTGATTTTTAATAAAAAATTAAAAATAATGTTTTTTAATGGTTAAGTTGAACTGTTCTTGGTTGAATTTTAAATTGATATTCATTAAATCAAATATAAAATTTTTAGTTTTCTATATTCAAAAAAAGAAGAAAAATGTTTCTTATGAGGTCATTTACATGTTTGTCACATATATTTATATCACAATATGATGTATACTTTAAATGTATAAATAACTTACCATATACAAAAACTGCGATACATTATTTTTATGTGTCCGTTTATAACGCGGTCAACTTTAATTGTAATACTTGAGGTTGGACTCATTTATATATAAAAGTTATCAATGTTTGGTATTTATTAGTCTCTCAAATTTATTTAATTATAACACTTAAATTTACACGTGTATTTGTTCGTCATATCAATGCAATCTTATATTTTCTCCATCCTTGGCCTGTTAACTAAATCGACATTAAGATAAGGTCGTTGACAAATTTACTTTAATTACTAGGCGTTATATCAATATTAATTCTAAAATAACAATGTCTATAACTTACAATATAATTAAATCTAATATTTCGGTTATTTAAGATTTTAATTCAAGGAGACCTACTTCATTTACAGCTGACAAAATGAGTTTGAAATGAATACGGGTTTATACCCGTATTATACCCGTGCTTATGCACTATTGATTCCAACATGTTAATCATTAAAATTAATAAATCATTAAATTTCAATAAAAATTAATTGTTAAAATTTATGAGTAATGTGCAGTGATGCTCGTGGGGCTGTACATTTCTGTAGACAAAGGTTACCACATTTCATGAAAGGGATAACACCTGAGTCCTCAGGAATGGCAACGCATGGAGGGCATCATGGACGAAACTGTATACTCTGTTATGTCCATGGTACTGCTCATGTCTATAGGCGACGGTTACCACTTTCCATCAGGTGGACCGTCAGCTTGTTTGCCATTCTAAGTTGTGTAATATATATATATATATATAATATATATATATATATATATATATATATATATATATATATATATATATATATATATATATATATATATACATATTTATATATGCATTTTTTTTTCAATTTGTTGTCTTCCGGGAAATCCATTGAAGAATTTTCTTCAATTGATTATCTTTATAATACCACTAACTAAATAATATCAAATATAACTATATATAGCAGTTATTAAAACTACACAAAATATTTCAAAAGTGAACCTATATCGATTCGATGTTCAAGTTGAAAATCGCCACCATTCGAGGATGGGATTCTTACGAATAGTTTCAACAACTGGGTTGCTACTTGCTTTGATATTATTGCGGTATTCGTTCTTGGAATCTAGTCTGGGTAACGATATGTGAGACCAACTGTCTTTGTGTGAGTTTTAAAGTTGTGCAATCGTGACCTATTAATACTTTATGCTAAGACTTTATGGTATTGAACGTTAACGTTTGGTGTTTCGGAAAGATAATCATTATAAAAACATTTATACTATTCGACAATTTTTATTTTATCATGTATAATGTCTAATGTCATGTTCGCCTTATAGCATTCTCAAAGGTGCATATGAATATTTCATAACAGTAGATATATGCCTAATAATAAAAATTGCGGAATCGTAGGAACAAATGTTTTCCTACTAATAAACTTCGATGTTGTTCTATATTTTCTTGACCTTCGAAAGGTTTCAGTTTCAATGGAATACGTATCAAAATAAAAAATACAATTAGATTTTGATTACTTTTAAGATCTTACATATATTTTTTACTAGCTGAACCGACAAACGTCGTCCTGTCTAAAATGTGGTAGTCCGTCTACGACCGCTTGTATGGGGTAAAGAAATACGGGGGTTTTACGTTTTTCATTGTAATTTTTCCAATTTTTCTCATCATAAGAATTTTCTTTGAATTTCAGCGAATATTTGAAAGAATTAGACGAATTGGTTTAACAGTTTCCGAGTTTTGCGCTTAGCAACTCATTAAACGATTCATTTTTATTTATATACAGGTACAACTTATTGTTTCAGTGTTTTTCGTCGATGGTCATGACGTTAGTGTCGGGTTCATAGTTCCAGTCGAGAGTCCGCGTACGTATAATCTCCTTGTACACGAAGGCAGACTTGCGTGGCGTACGCGTGCGCTCCGAACAATTGTAGTCAACTTCGTACAAACCAAACCGCTCCCTGTAAATTGAAAATTGGAAACAGTGTTTATTTTCTCTTCATAAGATTAAACGAAGAAATTACGGAAACATTTATTAAAAATATCAGATTTTTAAAACACTTGTCGTTGAAATTTATAAATAAGGAATAGGGAAAGAGGAGGGTGAAAGAGGGAAGTCACCCCCACCCTCTGCGAAGATACGTAGTTTTTTTATTAAATTTTATAGTCTGTAACAACGTAACGGTATTTTCGTATAGAAATCGCTTAATGTAGGTCGGTGGATGGGGAGTGGAGTGGAGGGGTTCTCACCCACAATTCTGAAATAATACAAGATAATATTGAAGTTAGAATCTAAGTTTAAAATGTATTCAGTAAAAAATACGTATCTCTTTTTCAACATAAATTATTATAGGAGAGCTCAGTGAAGATTCTTGATGCCCCTCCCCCATTGTTGTATAATTCATTCAAATTGTAGATACTTTTTTTTTATGCAACTTAGAATGGCAAACAAGCTGTCGGCCCACCTGATGGAAAGTGGTAACCGTCGCCTATAGACATGAGCAGTACCATGGACATAACAGATATCTGTTATCTAAATGTAATCCACAAATCTTCACTCTCAAAATTAATATTAATTTAGTAAATATTTAATTATAAAGAAATAAATTATAGTACTTAAATTAAAATTAATTTAATAAAACTTGAGAGACCGAAGAACCTAAGAGTCAGAATAGTTCTTTCCACTATTAATTACAGATATTTTTTTGGAATTTGGTCTTTTAAAAACAATTAACCTAAAAATGTAAAATTATTAAAAACGTTCATAAATATAATAATGTAATAATATTCATAAATATAGGGATTCGAATAGACCTTTTAAAATTACAAAATAACTACGGAATCGCATTAATGACGACCGGCATGCGCTTGGTGTGTTCTTATATTCCATATTCATTAAAATTCTCTCACAGTACAAAGATATCCAAACTTTTATGGTATTATACTGGTACTTGTTCATAATCTAATATTATAAAATTGTAACACGTAGATGATGTCTGTGCATAGCAAATATTTAAAAAAAATATAATATGAAGGGCCTTAATAAGAGCATTAGAAGCCAAAACAAAATTATTTGGAAATTTTGTCCGTCTGTCTGTATGTTTGTTTGTTTTGGCATAGGCAAAAAATACTGCACTAAATTGAATGCGGTTTTCTCAGTTGTGTCCTAGAAGCTCTAACTTAAAATCTGTAAAAAATTACAAACTATATGTTTTATTTAGATACGCCATCTAGAAGCGGTACTTTTCATTGGTTTTTCTATTTTTGAAATATGTACATATATTTTACTCACGCATACAAAGTTGCAGGAAAAAAGCTAGTACAATATATTTGTATGTCTAGATAGGTATACATAATCTCTATTACGTCAAGCCACTTTCAAGATAAGCAAATGGAACCATTAAAAAACTATAACTCCATAAATCTATAAAAATATACCTCATAAAATAGTGGATTTTATAGGTTACTCATTTTTTTAAGCTGTGGCCATGGATATTGGAATAGGCTACTATATAAAGGGAATAAAGTACTGTATATAAGAACAAGATGGGGAAAACTCGAAATAAAACTCTATAACAAGCCACCTGCAAGCGAGTTATAGATAAAATCCTCCTCTTATTAGAAGGATTTTTGTCACTATTTACTAGCTGTATTTCACAGCTTTGCTTTTTACATATTTACATGGGTAAATGGGACAAAAATATCCTACATATTGGGTTGGGTATATCCCAAATTATAAATGTTTATCTATGTACTAAATTTCATTTAAAATCGTTAAGCCTCTTAAGTGTGATTGTATAACAAATATTTTACTTTACAACATTTCAAGCACGTTAACAGATCTTACGTATATCCTCGCAGCCATTCGAAGTTGTCCATTAGGCTCCAGGCAGTATATCCTCTAATATCTGAACCCTCCTCCAAGGCATCCAGCACGGCGTCAAGGTAACCTCTGTAGTACAAAATACGATCGTCGTCTTGCAGTCCTCCATGCGACGAGTAGCCGTTCTCAGTGATGTAGATAGGAGGGTTGTTATAGTACTTTTTTATTTGTTTGAGGAGTTTAAGGAAACCCCATGGTGCGTACTATAAACCATATGGAAATTCTCATTACAAAAGTCAACACATGAACATTATTTAAATTAAAAATGATACTTATTAAAAAAATAAACGTTAATTTTAATTTCAATAATGGCATAGAATGGGCCACCCCTTTCTTTCCCATGGGTGTCGTAACAGGGGACAAAGGGAAATTAAAGGTAGAGGGATGGACAACAGCGTCCTTCTTAAAACATCATTAAAAACTTGACTGGGGTTGCTAATCGAATAATCAGAGCTGCAGATAAACTGCAAAGCAGTTTCGCGGCACTAAGAATATGTATTGTCTATGAAATTGTTTACTTAAAATAAATAAACCCGCCTGCCAATCGTGGCAACTTGGCAGAACTCCCCTTATGGTGTAGGCCTATACTCAGCAATGGTTAATTAACATCAGCATATGAATAAGTCGATGAAGGAAAAAACAAAGATGTCTAGTATTGATATGGTCGCTATAAAATGTTAGTTATCTAATTAGGTAATACTGTTAAGTTTTTAAAGGTATTGATTTTATTTTTAATATAAATCATATTAATTGTTCCTTATTCTTTACTAGTGTGCAGCATAATTATTATAATACATACGTATTCGTCGACTTACTCTGACCATGTTTGATTCTCCTATTATCCATTCATCTTTTTGATATCGAATTAATCCTGCGTCATCTTCATATGAAGGTATTGGATATTTGCCATTTACAGATTCATTTCTGTAAACCAAGTAGCTCGAGTAGTGATTCAGTCCAAAGAAATCAGCTGTACCTCGAACGTAGTCTATCTCTTGTGGGGTGAATTGTATTAGTCTTGATCTGGGATACCCCTGTTCCGCACTCCTGGCAGCTATCCTTTCTTTCACCACGGCTGGATAGTCACCGCTCTCTGAGAATATGGGATTTGCATATATACCCCACTGAAAGACAATACATTGATTTGTAAGTAATAGCACACATATACTATTGTACAGAATTCCTAATTTTTTGTAGAATTTCAAATCCTCAGGATTCAATGATTATGTATATGAAATCCGTAACATGGGAATTTTGAATGTTATGAAGAGGTTGAAATAAAATTGAACTAAATGACGTTATTATAACAGTGTTACAATTTTCTGCATGATTCTATCCCTGTCTAAAGAATCTTCTCTAAAAACTGGCAAATTTGTATATATATATATGCCAACAACAATTAAAATATACATGAAACTGGGACTTCTAAAACCAAATTTTCTCTCCAGCACCTTGAATTCGGGGCGATTAAAACTTTATCAAACTGAACCTTAAATCACTGGCATAAGGTTGAATCTGGAATGTATCACCATGTCTATAAGCATAGTTATATAATCGGCACTCAGAATTCGGGCACGGACATCGTGCCGTAATTATTTTCATTGCTAATGTATTTTGTACAGCAGGGGGAGATACAGGAAATGAATGTTTTTAAATTGCCTGGAATCTTTTGGTCTTATCGTTATATATGGTTGCTTTAAGCACTCAAAATGTTATCATTGTCTCGTTATTATAGCACTAGGTCTTTTTCATAAAAATACAAGGAGGTTATGTACTTCCTTGTATTTTTCCTCTATTTTGAGAATTCTTCAACTGGTTGTACAAACAGACAAAAGCTAAATAATGATGATCAACTTACATCGAATTGGTTTGCATCTTCAGCGGCAACCGTACGTTCATCCGAGTCTGGTTCATACCATTGAGCACTTAATGTGATACCAATGATTCCTCCACGAGTTGGTCTGAACTCCTCATTGTAAATATGGTATGCCTGCGCGTGAGCTATCAGTAAATTTTTTGAACACATATATTCAGCGATGCCTGTGAAATTTAGTCTAGGTGCCATTTTATCTGATCCATAACCAAAATAGCAAAATATAAGAGGCTCATTGAAAGTAATCCATATCTTTACTTTGTCTCCGAACAACGTAAAAACTACACGTGCGTAGTCTGCAAACCAGTCAATTATCTGAGGATTGGTCCAGCCGCCTAATTCTTGCAGCTTTTGTGGCAAATCCCAGTGGTACAATGTCACCATCGGCTCAATATTGTACTTCAGCATCTCATTTATCAAGTTATTGTAATAAGCTACACCGGCTTCGTTTATTTTATCAGAAAAACTGGTTGGCATAATTCTGGTCCAGGATATGGAGAATCTATAATAATCAAGTCCTAATTCTCTCATCATCTCGACATCTCTCTTATATTGATGGTAGGAGTCATCAGCGATATCTCCTGTGGATTGATCCAGAATAGGGCTAGGATCTTTGTGAGTTTCATGATCCCAAATGTTTTCCGATTTACCTGCAGAATTTTTTTTTTATCATATATGTAAGTTATAAAATATTTAAGTACAATTAGTTTCTTTCCCATAATTATCCCATTTGTAAATTTATTATTTTATGTATTTTATTAGTTTTATTTCAATCATAATTAAACACTTTAATATATTTGAATAAAACTTGGCATACAGATCGTAGTAGACTGTATCTTAGATTAACCACTAACACTATAATTTAAGACTAACACATACTTTTTTCCTAACTCATGCTAGCATGCCGCCGATTATATCTAGTTATAAAACAAAGGATCTTACGACTTAGCATAGTTTGATATAGGTATTATAATAAATAAAATGGATTGAATTTACTTTTTTATATTCGAGTACTTTGAATTAATGAAATATAGGTACTAACCATCCTCGTTCCAGGCACCTTCAACTTGATAAGATGCTGTAGCAACTCCAAATTTAAAACCTTCAGGGAAGCTCCTTGTGACATTTTTTGTGTTATAAACCTTGCAATCACATAATGTCATGCAAAGAATCAGTAAAATACTATAAAGAAATAACAATAGATGTCAATATTTTTTTAGTACCTAACTATTTTTAGCTGAGAAGAACCAGCTGTGTTTGATATAATTTGTAAGTGTGACATGTCTAACAAATTGTATTATTAACACTTATAAGGCTAAAGTATTTTTGTTATCAAAGTAATCGTTTAGAAAGTAATGAGATTTGCCCAATAAGTGTTTCTTAATGTCTGTTCTAATGAGTATTTCTTAACAGATAATAAATAATAGATTTAAAATATCTTGCGGTAACATATTTATAAAATTTTATTGTTCATTTCCATAAAAGACCTATTAATTATATTAAGATTGCTATTTTTAAGGAACAATTTAAGATTCTTGTGTATATACAAAGTGTTTGCGCAAGTGTATTTTGAAGCTGCAGTAAGAATAAGTTGCTTCTTTAAATTTTTCTTTTACTGATTCACAACTTCCTATAGAATAATGGTAATAAACGTGCGAATGGCACGTTTTGTGGTACAAGGTTTGAATATCGGCTGCTTTATATTATAATAATATTTAATGGGATATATAATACTATAAAAATAATAATAAATTGTCTAATCCTGCCTACAATATACACCGTATAACTTAAAAGTAAAGTTTTGTAATGTAAGGACTGTATGAGTTTTCTTTCGAGTAATTCCAAGAAGGTAGAGTCTATAAAATGACAAAGTTAGTTTTTTAATTTTACAATAGAATTGGAACTGAGATTTTTTTGAGACAGAGAACTTTACATATTTTCGATATTCTTTGGCGTTCAATATTAGATTTATTTATTAGTTATAAACTAATTCAATATATACAGAAAATCAAAATTTTGTGTTATATCATAATAATTACACGAATAACAATAGAATTTGCTTTATATAACTCGCCAATGTAAATGATCTACTCCGTTAATATTACACACCCAACGTAAGAGGCTTACTAAATTCGGCGGGTTATACAAAGCAAATCCCACTATGATAGGCTTTTTAACCCCTAAGATAGATATGACAGTGGAAATTACACGATATGGAGACAACATTTTGGTCCTCTGAACTGGCAACGTATGAGGGACATCATGCGGGTTACAGTATATTCTGTGATGCTCATGTTATTACTTTTCATCAAATGTGACATTCTTTTCAAATATGCATTGATAATTTCGAAAAAATTATAAATAAGTTTTTTTCTATTTATACAACTTAGAATGGCAAACAAGCTGCCGGCCCACCTGATGGAAAGTGGTAACCGTCGCCTATAGACATGAGCAGTACCATGGACATAACAGAGTATACTGTTTCACCCATGTTACCCCCCATGCGTTGCCATTCCTGAAGACTCAGATGTTATTCCTCTGTATCCTGTAAATTCACACCATATCCCACCCTTCATATCGAAATACAGCGATGCAAACACAACTGCTTTACGTTTGAAACACGAATAGGACAGAGGTACCCAAGCAAACGACTTTTGTACAAAGTCTGCCTCTGGTGATTTTTATGAATCTCAGAAAAAAGCATATCAAATCAATCAACTTAGTGTAATACTTATGTGACATTTCATTTGTATGAAGACAAGCATGTAACAACATAGATAAGATGTCTTCTGACAAACTTGTGTTATCTATTCAAGTGAATATATACATATAAGTTGGCGTGATTTCGGGACTTACTATTCTAACAAAAGTTCCTATGCTAGCTAGCGATCCTAGTAGGTAAAGTTTTGTTTTCACAGTAAGTAGGAACATTATTATATACAAAATTAAAGTTAGCATGTACCATTTTCACGTATACTTTATTGTCTATGTGCTATGTTCATAAATTAAAAAATAAATAAAAAAGATTCAAGAACGCTTATAATTTAAAGACCTAATAAGTATATTGGAAATATTGAAATTTCAAAACCCCGGAAAATTTAGATGCAATACGTAGTGATTACTTGCTCTGTTGATTCGGTTTGGGAGTTACGCGCATTCAGTAGTATTATTCAGTAGTAAAAGGCTTCAAATTTATAATACTCTATTTATTACATTGGTGCTTACCTTACACAAAAATAACAACACATTTTCCAAGATGTTACCCGACTAGTATTCACTGTATATTAACGGTATTAAATATAACAGTAATTTATTTATAATAATGTTATCGGCTACGTTTAATTAATGATACGTTCATTTCATAGGGTTTTCAGCACTAAATTTAATGAAGTGAAATTATGAAATATCCATTGCGTGTTATAATATAAAAAATCTTTGAAAATATCTATTTTTTATTACATCATTTTAATTTTTTATCGTACACATACATGAGTAGTAATATAATTTCCTTTATGAATTTGATTTCCTGATTTCAGTTTAATAATAATAGACATTCATATTTTTCTGTTTGTTTCCGCAAAGTATTTATTGAGTAAACCTATTTTTTTATTATTCATTATTACACATTATTTTGTAAAATTATTAACTAAGTACATATTTTGAGGACAAAATTGAAAATAATTGGGATCTAGAATATCACTATAATTATAATGCGACATATTATAAAATTATTTGCGTTTATTCATTAATAATACTTAATTTAAGCATTAATAATATCTCTGTGATGTAATAACCGATGTGTAAGTACATACTCTTAATTTGAGATTTCGTTTTACCAATAAATATATATAATTGTAAATAAAATTAACATGGGATCAACACGACCGTAAAAACTTTCGATTTAAAAAAAATAATCGTCAACATTGAAATAAAACAGGCTAACATTAGAAACATTTCTAAAAAATATGTTTACAAAAACAAACTATAAATAATAGTGGTAACGTATCAGCCGTTAACTGTCCACTGCTAAACATAGGCCTCCCCCATAACAGCGAGGGTTTTGCAAGTAGTTGCTACGCTCAGCAGGGTTGGCAACTGTGCTGTTTTAAGAGGGACGCTGCTGTCCATTCCTAGATCATTAAGTTCTTTTAGTTGCCTCTTACGACACCCACGGGAAAGGAAATGGTGGCCCAATCTGTACCGACACCAAACGGCTGTACATCTTAGGGGAAATAATAATTTCAAACAGCATAAAATAACTGTTAACAAATAATACAAAGAAGTTTGATGTCTCTTGTTTGTAGATGAGTGGCTAACCAAACCAGCTAGTATATATACCATTTCTCTGTCTTCACTTCAATATAATAGGTAGACAGAGTGCCAGACAATCAAGTGCCAACCATTACACTAATTGGTTGTAATAACCTTCATCCACAATGATAAAGCCTTGGCCTTAGCCACTACTTACCTTATTGCTTCCTCTTTTAAGAGTGTTTTCCATGGCGTTGCGTTTTGCATTGAAAATTATCTACTTATCATATACTATTGTACATTTAACTGACTCATAACCACATAATATAGCACAAATTTTACGTAGAAAGAGAATACCAATTATTATAAAGTAGAATATTTAGATTATTAAATTTAGAAAGCTTGATTACCAAATGGTAGGAAGAATTGAGCAAGTCATAGATGCTGTATATTCATGCGAGGAAGTAAACTGTTTACTAGACGCTAGTCTCTTTCATTCACTAGCTCGTACAAGTGAAATTAAGGGGAAATGGATAGCTGCTTATATGTCAGAGCCTTCATCAAAGGTCTAGTTCGAGAAATCATCCCTATTTCTTAACAGACAGTATATACCACATTCAGTAGATTAAGGATAAAAAACTATAAATTTCTTATATATTAGTATTGGAATAATTGTATTGATAGTTCAAGTTTTAAATATTATAATAGTAATTCTTCCGAAATATTACACATATTTTTTATGTGTTCTAAATTCTCTTTTTAAAGGTTATGTCTTATTTATAAATATCAAGATGTATTAAAATATATCCCTTCCTGAACAGTTTTTCAGTACCCCCAAAATTTATTAATTTATATAAAGCGATTTTTAATTATATAATTTTCACTTATAGAGAAATTTAACATCATGTAATTATTATAAATGAGAAAGTTTATGAGAACGTATAGATCTTTCTTACTTTTTCATGCTGAAATGTCTGTTAAACAGATTTATATTAAATTTTGTATATATAGTATATACTTACTTAGCGCATATGATACTTTATATGCTGATTCACGCGGGCAAAGTCGCAGGATATAGCGAGTTTCAAATAATTCTGCTATTAACATTCAGTAAATTAAAATCTGTTGTTTTAATTAGTATGCCACTATGTATATTTATTACTGTATTTCAAGATCACGCAGTTGCCAGCCCTGAACCTGCATTTAATCCAACTATTAAAAAGACAACTAATATTGTGACAGTAAATAATATAAGTACAAATATTTATTTATTTATGTACACTTTATTGCACCATTTATAGAATAGTAAACACATTTAACTGTAATAAGAAATGATACAAAAGGCGGTCTTATCGCTAAGCAATCTCTTCCAGACAACCTTTGGGTAGAAAACATTGAGAAAACAAAGAAAAATAAAGGGTAGGTGGCGCACTATTATATTAGTACTAATTATATATAAACAAATATATACAAAGATATATACATATACATGCCATTCCTGAGGTATATACATATATATACATAAATTCAAATACATACATAAACATACACAAACTTAAAAGTACACATACAACGGAGAGAACACTGGAAGATGAAGATAGAACATGGGAAAAAATAGTTACTTAATAGAGAGAGATAATGGGCTTTAACAGAGGTTTTGAAACTAGCGAGAGATTCTATAATGTAAGTGTCCTCAGACGATCTGCCTGTACAGTAAAGGATACTTAATAAAATTATATGGAGTAGTTGGAAATTTGAGACGGAGATTATTGACATATAGTTTGGCCATTGGCCTCACTAAGAAACACAAATCGGTCTTTAAGATAATCAGGAACAATGGGGTTAAAAAGAATCGCGTAAAGGAGAGATAAACCAATTTGGGATATGTAAATTACGACGAAAACGGATAGGGAGCCACTTGAGTTGAGTACGAAATTGAGAAATGTGATCATACTTGCGAAGACCAAATATGAAGCGAATACATATTTTGAAGACGCTCAAGCTTGTTTAATTGCTCTTCAGTAAGGTCTAAATAACAGGAGTCGGCATAGTCAAGAATGGGCAGGAGTAAGGAGTGTGCAAGCGCAATTTTGGTGGTAACAGGAAGGAAATTGCGTAATCTATTCAAGGCGCTAGTAGCAGCAAAAATTTTTTTGCTAACCTCTGAAATTTGCGGAGACCACGATAAAGTACTGTCAACAGATAATGCCAAGATTTTTTATTTTTTTTTGTAATCTATTAGAACTCCATCAAAAATCAGAGGCGAGAGACTCTCCAAGGAAATTTTTGAAATAAGCCTGGGGCTACCTATAATGATGGCTTGTGTCTTTAAAGGGTTTACAACAAGACCATAAGATTTACTCCAGGCTGATATATGTGTAAGATCAGTGTTAACAGTAGATATTGCTAAAGCGATATCAGCGAGAGGGGCCAGAGAATAAATTTGGAGATCATCTGCATAAAGGTGGTAGGAAGACTATCTTTTAGAAGAGATAGTGCTAATAAATAAGGCAAAAAGAAGAGGAGATAAGACGCCACCCTGCGGTACGCCAGCAGACGTATGGCACCAAGAAGACAAAACGTCATCAATACGAATGCGCTGCTGACGTCCAAACAGGTAGCTACGAAACCCGTCAATTGCCACTGGAGATATGTTGAGAGAGGCCAACAATTCTAATAAAATATCAAAATCAACAGTATTAAAGGCGTTGCTAAAATCCAATAACGTTAGGACAGTTAATTGAGAATTCTCCATGCCACAAGCGGATATCGTCTGTGATTTTAATAAGAGCAGTCGTCGTACTATGACCAGGGCGGAAACCAGATTGAAAAGGATTTAAAAGATTATTTCTAGTTAAGTAAGAGTTAAGTTTTAGTTGGACAAGGCGTTCTAGGGCTTTGGATAGAAAGGGATTCTAGTACTGGGTTGGAAGTATGGAAATCGGACGATAATCTGAGAACGAGGAAGGAATTTTTATTTTAGGTAAAGGAATGATGAATGCTGTTTTCCACACTGAAGGAAAGATACCAGAGGATAGGGAATTGTTGAAAAGTAAGGTGATGGTAGGTAAAAGGATATCAAGGATAGGTAAGATCATATTACGACTAATGCTATCGGTGCCAACGGCATTTGATGATATAGAAAGCAAACTCCTCTCAACATCACAATCGGTCAATTGATCAAAGATAAAATCTTCTTTGATTTTTTTACAATCAGGGTAGACGTGGATGAAAGATAATTCAATGTCTTAGATTTTTCATTACTATCTATGACAGAAGAAGGAAACAAATGATTATTAAGATTTTTAATATCAAGATTAACGGATATTATCGTTACGATTTTTACCAACCCCTAATGACCTGAGAAATTTCCAAACTTTTGCTGGATCACCATTCTCTACAGATTTATGGATGTGGCGTCGTTGAGTCTCCCTACACATCCTATTGCAGAGATTCCTAGCACTGATGTAATCATCACGGTATCTGTCTGGAGCCGACTTAAATTTAGCTTTAGCAATATTTTTCTTTCTGTATTATGGACTTGATTTTATCTGTAAGCCAAGTTAAAAAGGTAAATGCTTAACCCTGACTGGCCGTATCGGAGCATGTTTATCATACAGTTCTAAAATCAATTTATTAAATAATTCCACTTGCTCAATAATGTTAGCTGCTGTGCCAATACTCAACCAATCACATTCCGCAGCATCTTGTCGTAATCGGTCAATGTCAATACCACTAAAATTGCGCTGCATAACGATTTTCCGTTTAACTTTGGGAGGACGAATTTTATATGACAAATAAAATAGGTTATGGAAAAGAATGCATCTGCAGTATATTGGCCGTGTTTGGCAACATGGTCAGGTGATGAGACTAAAATCAAATCAAGCAATGGAAGGGTTACAGTTAGGAAAGAAGTGGGTGGCTTGAAGGGGTAGGATCTCTAGATTGCAAGCATTGGCTAGAGACTTAAGACGATTCGCGCGCAGGTCATTTTTGTGAAGGCATGTATTAAAGTCTCCCATAATAATCGTGTGACTATAGGAAGGGATAAGGTTCTCTAACAGGTTTTCAAGGGATTAAAAATAATCAGTAGAGGAGGATGGACTATAGAAAACCTAGCAGAACGTTGGATTGGCCCATCCGCGAGGGTTGGAGTCTCTGAGGAAAAGGTATTCAGAAATACAGGAAGAATTAGTACTTAGAGAAGAGTTGATAATAGCAGAGGGGATATCAGAACGAAGATATATAGCAACACCACCACCAACCCTACCGGTGCGATCGCAAACACAACTGCTTTAAGTTGAAACCTGGTAAGGAGTAGGAGGTAGAAGGAAGACAGGGCTTTAGCCATGTCTACGAAATAAATATAGCATGGAGGGTATTTACATTGAAAGACGATATCAAATCTGGATAATGTGCAGGAATACTTTGTGACGTTTATGTGGACGGTATTAAAGAATATATTTTAGTGGAAGAAGAGAATGTAGTCTTTAATATTTCTTCTAAAGGAATAGGCAAACTAGTAGGAAACTTTCATCGCTAGAAGAAGAAGAAACTGATTATGATAATAATTCATCAGAATCGGAATCTAAAACCATGTATGTTTGTGTACAAAATAATACTAAAATATATATATATATATATAAATCGAAAACAAAAATATCTCTATACAAACAGATAAAACTTCAATGCATCTACCTGCCAGTAGTGGACTAATTGTAAAATAGAAAAATACAAAAATAATATCATTTGAATTGAACAAAGAGAGAGTCTGCACTAAAAAAAAAAAAACAATAATAATAACAACAAAATCGTAATTTATAAAACATTTGGTTTCGTTTTTAATGAACGTTCATTAAAACTTACAAATTTAATGGGCTTAAAATGCCTAACATCCAGAGCTGTAAAATATATCATTAAAAATATCTATACCTACATATACACACACAAACAAACACACACAGTAATATAATTTCCTTTATGAATTTTATTTACATTAAGAATTATATGTGGGTATCACATATCCATGTTAAGGAACATTAATAAAAATGCCAGTCTAATTTGTTATAACTAAGTACATATGAAACAAAGTTAGTTAATGAACAACGACACTTGTTATAAAATAAAAATATCATAATATAATGACAAATGTAGTTATTTTATTTGCATACCTATTCTAAGAAAACAATAATTAATAAAGCATTTACCTAAATATATATAATTTGAAAATAAAAAAGCGAATGTTACATACCCACAAAAATTAATATTAAAAAAAAAACCATCACACTAGTTCATACAAAACAGCTCACTTCTTCACAACACGTTTAGAACGCGAAGAACCTGCACCAGCCGAATCCGACGTCTTCAAGGCGACCGAGGTGTTTGTGGATATGGAAACAACGCCCCCAGCAGAAATCGGCAAAACGTTGATAAGCTGACTAACTTCGGCAATGGAATTGACTCGATGCCTCTTACCATCAGGACCAATGATGGCCCAATCACCACGACGCCATTTCGTGTCCAGCATTTCGTGACACCAAAGTGTTTCCGTGCTTTCATAAAGATGTCGTGCCTCGTTTTAGTCAGAAATTCAGACAGTGTAATGCCACTGTTTTTAAGTGCAGTCTTCGCAGACCATACACTATTTCTCACCTCTGTACGACGAAATTTGACCAGAATAGGCCGGAGTTTCCCTTGAGATAAGCCGCCCATTCGATGAGTACGGCTTATGTTATCTGGTGAAACGGGCACCTTAAGCCTCTCAGTGAGAATGCCGGAGACCATAATCGTCAAATTCATCATCGACACGGACTCCATGTAGCAATAAAATTTTGCGACGATTTGCATCTCTAGGCGATCCTGTTGCTGTGCAATAACATGAACCTGCTGTTGAAGGCTTATTAATGATTCCGTCATAAGAGTCTTGAATTTGCAAAATCCGAAGACAGTGTGCTCAAAGTGACTGGAGCAGTGCTGGCCTTATCTAGGATAAAAAACTATAAATTTCTTATAATGCTCTGAAAAGCCGCCATCCTTGTGTCAAAGTGCGCCATCAACTGTTCCAATGACTGCTGTACAGACTCCATAATAGAATAAGAATTTAACTAATTAAATAGTGAAATGGGAAAGGAGATAACACTATAGCAGGTAGATAACTACTGTACTTAAATTGTGAACATAAAATATAATTAAATTATGCAATATTTATAAATAAAAAATTTGTAAAAAATAAAAGCAAAAATCGTGACTTGTTAGTGTTTCACAGCTACCCGCGAAAAAAAAAAAAAAAAAAAAAAAAAAAAAAAATAAAAAAAAAAAAAAAAAAACTTTAAAAACATATGGGGTTACAGACTATAATGGTATCCATGGTGTTTTTCATTTTTATAATCACTGTCTATCATGAGAGTCATTGTGATCTATTCTAAATATTAAAAAATCTGAATATTATTATCATAGATTTTATGTTTTTATTGACTAATTAGCTTTTAAAATTTCAAATATTGTCTCGTTAAAATAATATTATACTAGTTAATATAAATAAATAAAAATATACATGATTCTCAAATATATATACAAATATGTGTATTTTTGCCCTGTACAAATTAGGTGGATAATTATTTTACTTAACAAAAATTATGTTTTTTTTATGCAACTTACAATGGCAAACAAGCTGACAGCCCACCTGATGGAAAATGGTAACCGTCGCCTATTGACATGAGCAGTACCATGGGCATAACAGATATACTGTATCGCCCATGATACTCCCCATGCGTTGCCATTCCTGAGGTCTCAGGTGTTAGTCCTCTGTAGCCTGTAAATTCACTGACATATCCCACGCTTCAAACCGAAACACAGCCATGCAAACACAACTATTTCACGGTAGAAACACGAATGGGACAGAGGTGCCGAAGCAAACGACACTTGTAAAATGTCTCCCTTTAGTAATAGAGATGTGATAACGGGATGGGATAATCTAATAGTCTTATACCTCTCTACTAATGTAATGTCTCTCAGTACTATCTGGGATGGAGAAAGACATAGGATACTTAATAATTAATTATATGTAGCTATTGCTTAAGAATCAAGAAAGGATTTTAAAAATATATCTTTACGTATTAGGACAAGAGAAATACGAAATTTTTTTTTTAATATGTTCAACATGAAAACTATGAGGCAAATTGTATTATTAATCATTTTATTAACCGACTTTAAAAAGAAGGAAAGTCTCAATTAGGTTATATTTTTTATGTTTGTTACCTCCTAACTCCATCAATTTTAAACCAATTTGGGAAATTCTTTTTTATATTCAGAATGGTCTCATAGAAATTTTATCAATACTGGTTCAGTAGATTAGTTTTTAAATTAAAATTACTGAAGTGCCACAAATGAAGTCTTTTTTCTTAATTATTTTGTTTTGCAATAAAAAGTCAATTTAGATATTTTCATACACGATGTTTGTATTCATTTAACAAATAAAATACGAAATTTAATGTCCATCGTCGATGGTCATAATGGTAGTGTCAGGCTCGTAGTCCCAGCTGACGGTGCGGGTGCGTATGATTTCCTTGTATACGAACGCAGACTTGCGCGGCGTGCGCGTGCGCTGGGGACTCTCGTAGTCTACCTCGTACAGCCCGAATCGTTCACTGAAATTTTTTTTAAATATTTTATTGCAGATAAAATATTTACTAAGTTTGTATTGGTTTGACATCAAAGTTGATTGCAATGCCGTCTCTAGCCCACACATGTTACTGCTGCTAAACATTTGGATTATTTGGATTATTGACGATTATTTTGTTCTGAATGTATAACACGTTCAGATGGAAGTTAAAATTACTATGTTCCATACATTTAGATATAACAATGATAACATATGGGGTTACAGACTATAATGGTATCCATGGTGTTTTTCATTTTTATAATCACTGTCTATCATGAGAGTCATTGTGATCTATTCTAAATATTAAAAAATCTGAATATTATTATCATAGATTTTATGTTTTTATTGACTAATTAGCTTTTACCCACGTCTTCGTCTGCGTGACCGGACTATTTTTACTAACTGGGACAAAAAGTCATATGGTATGGATAAAGATATAGTAAAACTATATCTTTTTCCATACCATATTGTAAATGTATACAAAACTTCATAATAATTAATTAAGCTATTAAAATACTATAAAGTAATAAACCAATAAACTCACTTTCTCATTTATAATATTAGTATGGATAGCTATTATCAGTGATAATGTACAGTACTCATCTCAACAGTACTTATCATTTCAAAAACTACGCCATATAGACATAGATTAAGGATTGTAATCTTTTTTTTCTGTCTATGTACAAAGATAAGAATCTGTCTCTAACGCAACAACAAAAACATAGTGGAATCTACTCGTACTGAATCTTGCAAAATTGTACTTAACGAAGACGACACAATGAAGCTTAGATTACCAATAATCGATAAATTATTTCACTTATTTTGCATCAGGTAGGCCGTCAGGCTGTTTGCCATTCTAAGTAATATAAAAAATTATCATCATAACAATATATTAAAACGTTGCCATTTGGATCGCCTTATTTAATTTTTTTTAATATCATGCTGGCTATAAATCTTTGCTTCGTTTTCTTGATCAAGGATTCTAGTACTGGGTTGGAATTATATCATGCAGAAGAAAAGGAGGCGATAAACATAGAATGTTTGATTGTAATGATTCTATGTGAGAGTAATAATAGGTATAGAAATTAAAAAAGTCCTTAGATTCTTACGTGTATCCTGCCATCCATTCAAAATTATCAATTAAACTCCAGGCTGCATATGCTCTAACATCACAGCCGATCTGCACGGCATCCAGTAGAGCATTCAAATACTGCCTATAGTAATAGATTCGGTCGTCATCGACCAAACCACTAAAAGTCGAGAACCCATTCTCGGTAATGAACACAGGAGGATTATTATAATCTTCTTTGATTTTTTTCAATAGTTTAAAGAAACCCCAAGGTGCAATCTGTAAAAATATAACAATACCTACGTTAAGAGAAAATTTTTAATTTAAATTGTGGCAAACTTTAAAAGTATTAAACTAAACAAATACATTTCTCTCCTTTCTCATTCATAATAGCACGGTACACTGCAATGATATTATCATTTCATAGAGTAAATATAAATAAAAGATAGAATAGACGGAAGGATTAACATTCTTTATTGCACTCAGGAATATATTATTCCTCCAGTTATCAGAAATAATATGAACAAAGGCGAACTTGTCTCTAAAAGAAAAAGTCTCTTTCTGTCAACCCAATACGGTAACATGGGAAGTCTTGAGTGGGCATCAGTAGTGCAATGATGACATTTATTAGATAATAACTTAGGAACCATTTTATTCTTATCAAATTCTATTCAAGTTGTGAATCGATATTTTATCATGAAATCAATGTTAAAAAGTTTTGTACAACGTACCTTTAACCATTGTGATACTCCACCTTGCCAGTAGCTAGGTTGGAACGTCACCACGTTTATGTCATCATAGAATGACGGAGAATCATTTACTTCGCTTACAGATTCATTTCTGTATACTAAGTTAGTCGAGTAATGGTTTAATCCGAAGAAATCAGAGCTTCCTCTTACATATGCTACTTCTTCAGGGGTAAACTCAGGCAATCTGGATCTGAGGAATCCTTGCGCTGCACTCTTGGCGGCAATTTTTTCTTTCATCACTGGTGGAAAATCGCCAGTCTCAGAAAATATTGGATGTGCATATTGTCCCCACTATACAATAAAATAATAAAATATTTTTATAAAAATATTGAACAATGTATATAGCATCACTTATATCTACGATAGTAATAATTTGTTTTGGTAGTATTGGCCAAAGCTTAATATCACCTATTAATTTGTTGGCGGACACAAATGTAGAATATAGAATAAAATATATTTACCTCAAACTGCCTAGTATCTTCAGCAGCCTCAGCGTCCTTTTCTGTCTCAGGTTCATACCAATAAGCACTTAAAGTAATTCCAATAGTGCCTCCATACGATGATCTGAATTCTTGGTCATATATGTGATAAGCTTTTGCATGTGCTAGAAGCAAATTTTTAGCACACATGTATTCTCCTATTCCTTTAATATTCAATCCAGGAGCTTTCGTGTTGAAACCATATCCTTGGTAACAAATTTCTCGTGGTTCATTAATAGTAATCCAGTACTTGACTCTATCGCCAAAAAGCTGAAATGCGGTGCGTGCATAATCTGCAAACCAGTCGACCACGTATGGATTGGCCCATCCGCCTAACTCTTGGAGTCTCTGTGGTAAATCCCAGTGGTACAACGTAACCATAGGCTCAATATTATATTGAAGCATCTCGTTAATTAATTTATTATAGTACGCCACTCCGGCCTCATTTATTTTGTTAGGGAAACTAGTGGGTAATATACGAGACCAAGATAAAGAAAACCTATAAAAGTCCAATCCTAGCTCTCTCATAATCTCCACGTCTCTTTCTACCTGATGGTAGGAATCATCAGCGATATCTCCATTAGAACAATCCGCAATTGCACAAGGATTTGTGTGAGTGAGATGATCCCATATATTTTCAGATTTTCCTAAAATAAGAATACAATGAAATATTCGTATTTTGAAACATTAAAATGGAAAATTGAAACAATATTATAAATATTATTATTATATTTCTAATAGGTTTATTGATAATTTGTAAGTACATACCATCTTCGTCCTAGGCTCCCTCGATTTGATAGGCTGCAGTGGCAGTGCCGAATAAGAAACCTTCTGGGAATGGTCTTCCACTGCGCTCCCCAGTGATTGTATTACTCTCAGAGAGCGTAACATGTTTAGTTATTAATACTAGGAATCTAAAAAATATATCAGTGTTACTATTTCTTCACCGAATACCAATAATCAATATCAAACAAAAAGAGCACATTACTCACAGTAAATACGGGTTTCGACGCATTTTGCTAAAATATTGTTTTTAAAATGATATTTTTTCTTTTTATCTGCCTTTTATATATAATAGTGTGATCGGATATTATCGATACAACCAGAGAAATCTAACTACGATACTACTTAACCTAATCTAATCTGATTTCAGTTAAAACAGTAATGGTATATTATTATATAAATCTATGGATTTGTACAAGTGTTTTTTTCACCAACTTCATAAATGGCAACAGTTTATATCAGCAATAGAAAAATGTAATTTTTAGACTCTGATGATCTCTATAGTATTATAACCTAAAAATTATCTTTATCCTCCTATCAGTCGCTAACTATCCACTGCTGAATATAGGCCTGCTCCTTGTGGGGTTTTACCCAGTAATTGCCATGCTTGGAAGGCGATTTGCCAACTGCAGTTAAGCTTTAGTGACGTTTTAAGACGCTACTGCCTATCCTTTGACCATTAAATTCCCTTAGTCGTCTCTTACAACCCCTGTGGGAAAGGGTGGCTTATTCTGTACTTACTACTAGCTACTACTATTACTAACATACGAGTAGAATAAGGAATACTCTATTCTATACTAGAAGGCTCATTTTAAGTATCTCTTTTAATTTTCTAGCAAACAAAATAAAAATATTCTGTTACTAAACCAAATTTCAAATTAATAATTGCTATATATACTAGCAATAATAGTTGCTGAGATATTAACACTATGATAAGTGTACAGAGAGAGTCTAAATATTCAGAAGAAAGCCAATTTTTTCACTATTATGTATTTAACATATTATATTAACATAATTATAGTACTTACCATAAAAAAGATGATTTGTATACACTGAATTAGTAAAACTTGGAACTTTCTATACATAATACTATAGATTGCGGTAATTTGACTAACACCGTATGTAGGATTACCAACTGTTTTTCATGGAGGTTAATAATTCTGAAATCAATTCAAAACATAGGCTTTTTTAAATGATAAAGAAATATTATACTGTGATTAGTAATATATAAGTATTATGCATACAAAACCATAGTATAACTAATAACTTTTAAAATACTTGTAGTCTAGTATTATTTAATTTCTTAAATTTGTTTACTTTATTTCATACTGTATAATTATGTTACAGCAAATGCTGTGAATACCTTTAAAAGGCATGTGCAATCATATTGTTTTATATTTAATGTTATATGTGTTATAATGCATAATGCTGTTGGTGTTCCTTTAAATAAATAAATAAAGACATAATAGTATAGATATAACTGAATATTGTGACTTAAGATTTTCAAAGTCATTAGTTAAGATCAGCAACACGCGAGTGATATAGTAAGCCTACAGGATTTTCTTGCCACCAGATAAACGTGTGATTATCATTCGTGTTATAAAGTACAAAAATACTAGATATATAATTTAATAGACACAGTTGTCAATCCTAACCGTAAGAGGCATAGGAAGAGGGTGTTGTAAGCTGCATGTCACTTGCTTGATATCGGTGAACCGATAGTCAACATAGAAAACATATAGATAGATAGATAGATAGATAATTTATTTGCATAACTTACAGCACACAAACAAAAGACACAAAAGCAATGTGAAAAAAGACAAAAAAAATACATGTACAAAAGATTAAAAAAAAAAAAAATAAAACCAAAAACAAAATCAGAATGCATAATAAATTTTTTTTTCTTCATGCGTGTGCCACAGTAATGCAAAATGGCCACAACTCAGCTTTTTGCTTTGCCCTAAAAAGAGCAAAACACTGATATTCTGTTGTGGCCAAAAGTGAGCCGCGAAATACCACTAAAAAAAAATAATAAAAAAGAAAGAAATATAGATCAAATACATAGTGTGCGTTCGTTATACTCGCTATTTAGAAGAAGGGTAGTCAGAAGTTAATTTCTATCAGTTTCAAGCACTCAAAACAAAATGAATACCCAAATTATACAAATACAACTAGTTACATAAAAGCATATTAAAGAGGCAACAGCAGGCATGCCCATCGCCAGACAGCGATCCCTCCCAGACAACCCAAGGATGGAGAGAATTAAATTGTGTCTGTTAAAGGTGTGACAGAAAAGTAATAAGACTAAAATATGAGAGAAAAAATGGGTAAGAATCAATTTAAACACAGTATAAACAATATAAATAAAATAGACTTACATATAATCATAATAATAATTAAATCCTTATAATATACTAAAAAGATAAACGCAAATAAATAATACATATGTGTATATGAGTATGCATATATTGGTGTATTAAGTACTACAACGGAGAAGAATAAAAATGTACTGTACAAAGGGAGACAGCTTCCGCCACCGATTTTTGTTTTTCTAATAGCATTTCTTTAATATTTTTCCTAAACGTATGTAAAGATGTCATTATTCTGAGGGGCGGTGGGATATTATTCCAACATTTCGTGGCCTGATAGCGAAAGCTGCCGGTAAATGCCACAGTTTTATGACATTGAAGTGACAGTGGTGGTCGCACTGATCTAGAATGATACCTATCATAAACATATCCTTGAGTTGTGACAGCGTGTTGATAAGTACTTTTATAAAAACTGTAATTCTAGATCAAATTTAATAACGAGTCATTAAGGCCCCAAAAGATAACAAATTAAGGAACATTTATAATTTTATGAAGGAATAAATATAGGCATTTTCACAAAATAATCGACCTCAATATATTTAATATGGTATTACTCTTAAAGTAAAACCTTTAAAATGAAAAATAACCATAACAATCTCTCAAGAAGTCTCAAAGATATAGGTGTATATAATATTATATATATATATATATATATATATATATATATATATATATATATATACTTTGTATGCAACCTATAATGACATACAAGCTGACGGCCCAACTGATGGAAAGTGGTAACCGTCGCTAACAGATACGAATAAGTACGCTGTAATTTCACTGCCATATCCTACTCTTAAAATCGAAACACAGCCATGCAAACACAACTGTTTCACGATAGAATGGGGTCTTAAGTATTTCTAAAAACATATGAAAATATACGTTAAACATTTTTTACCTTTTTTAAGTCGATTAAATTATATATAAAACTTTAAAATAAAAACACGACATTTTTTTTTCAAATATATATGTATATTAATGTCCTTCGTCAATAGTCATAACATTTGTATCGGGTTCATAGTTCCAGTCCAGAGTTCGTGTACGTAGAATCTCCTTGTATACGAAGGCGGATTTGCGCGGAGTGCGCGTGCGTTCCGGACTATCGTAGTCCACTTCGTACAGCCCGAAACGTTCACTGAAAAACATATATAATTTGAGAAATATTGTTTGGTAGATATATGTAATATACATTTATATATTCTATATAATAAGGATTCCATTAATATAAGAAATTTATAATTCCTTATCTGCTAATTATTGATGATATCGATTGTAGCGTAGTCACGGGATAACTATGAAAGGGTTACAATCTGACCCTATGAAAGTTCAAACATAATCATTATGCCAGCAACATGTGATCTCAATTCAAGATAGATTATTATCTACCTTGAATATCATATAAATCTTCTGTCTTTATTCATTAAAAAATAAAATAATTTTCTAGTTCTGTAAAAGTTTTTAAAATTAATTTTATTTGTGTCATACAGACAATATATACAAAGTTAGATGAAAAATAAATAGTTAAAATAGAAGTGTATAAAAATATAATATAACATACGTGTATCCTTGCATCCATTCGAAGTTGTCCATAATACTCCAAGCAGTGTAAGCTCGAACATTACATCCTTCATCTATAGCATCTAACATTGCATCCAAGTATTGCCTGTAATACGATATACGCCTGTCATCATCCAAACCGACGCCAGTTGAAAACCTGTTCTCTGTTATATAGACAGGAGGGTTGTTGTAATCTTCTTTTATTTGTTTTAAAAGTTCATAGAAACCCCATGGCACCACCTGTGGATGGAGTTACGAAAATATTAACCTGCATTTCTTACCATCTTATACGATTTTTAAAATAATTTATTAATAAAATGTTTCACACAATGTAATGAAACTTAAAAATGTTGGAGAATATACAGTGGAAACTGATATAGGCAAGTACTTTTGAAGTCAATCGTAATTCTTAAGCCTATAGATTATAAGTTTCCTAGTTATAAAAACATTCAATTTTACTTTTTGAATTACCTTCAGCCAACTTGAAGCGGAATCTTCCCATTCACTTAGTATAAATCCGCCGATTCCCAAGTCGTCATAAAAAGATGGAGACTCCCCTGGTTGAACAGATTCATTTCTGTAAACGTAACTCGATGTATAATGATTCAATCCGAAGAAATCGGATGATCCCCGCACATAATTTACTTCATCTGGACTGAATTCAGGCAAGCGAGATCTAAAAAAGCCCTGTTCTGCACTTTTAGCTGCTATTCTCTCTTTCATAACTGGAGGGAAGTCACCAGTTTCTGAAAATATTGGATAGGCATATTGACCCCACTGAAAAAGACAAAAATAATTATTACAATAATCTTTGATTATTATCTGAATAATGTTATTTAAAATGTACTCCGCGTTACCTCAAATAAGCTGGAATCTTTAGCAGCAATGATGTCCTCCTCGCTGTCGGATGCTGGCGCTGAGTATCCAGCGCTTATTGTGATGCCGACTATTCCATCTTGTTTGGCCCTGAATTCCTGATCATAGATATGGTAGGCCCTTGCGTGTGCCACTAACAAATTTTTTGCACACATATATTCAGCTACTCCTTGTATGTTCAGTCTAGGTGCCATTGTATCCGAGCCGTAGCCATTATAACAAATTTCCCGTGGCTCGTTTATTGTTATCCAATATTTAACTCTGTCTCCGAAAAGCTCAAACGCAATACGAGCGTAGTCACCGTACCAATCCACTATCTGAGGATTTGTCCATCCTCCTAGTTCCTGAAGCTTCTGCGGCAAATCCCAATGATACAGAGTCACCATTGGCTCAATATTATATTTCAGCATCTCATTAATTAAATTATTGTAGTATGTCACGCCCGCCTCATTTATTTTGTTAGGAAAGCTAGTGGGTAAAATCCTAGTCCATGAGAGAGAAAATCTATAAAAATCTATTCCTAATTCTCTCATAATTTGTATGTCCCTTTTGTACAGATTGTAAGAATCATCAGCGATATCTCCATTTGAACAGTCTCTTATGGCGCATGGTTCCGTATGAGTTAGATGGTCCCAAATATTTTCACTTTTTCCTGCGAAAAAAAATCTTTTAACATTGTTATTTCTTCTTCTCATCGTGCCTATCCAAAAAGTAAAGGATTTGCGTTTAAAAGTAATTTATTATTTTGTATCCTATTTATTTATTGCATACGAAAATAAAAATAAAATAGTGATTCGTATTTACCGTCTGCATCCCAGGCTCCTTCAATCTGATAAGAGGCTGTAGCTGTGCCAAACAAAAATCCTGTTGGAAATCTTCTTACATCTTGTCGAGTATTATTTGTTTTGCATTCACATAATGTAATGCAAGATATTAACACAGAGCTGCAAATATTTAAATTTAGAATTGTATGTACTAGAACTGTCTACAAATATAATCTGGATAATCTACATTAAAGTAATAAAGATTGTATGTATTTTAAATAAGTACCTGCTTTGCTTAATTTGCTTTATATCCTTAATATTATTTTAGTATTTTTATATAATAGATAATTGTTACAGTGTAGTATTTAAATAAATCTAAGACTAAACTAAGAAATATAAAAACCAAATTATACACAATTGGGTATAAGACATAAAGAAAAAATAAATTAAAACTTACACTAATACCTGTTTTCTAAAGAATAACATCAACATCTCTATGTGTGGGCAATGCTGGTAGTAATGGAATTTCTTTTATTGATTATATATATGTGATGCTACAGTGCTGGATTCGGGCGTTTAAATAGGTACGCGACACTTATCAAAAGTTGCTTGTATATGTAAAACGAAATAAAAAATAACACATTGACGACCGTTATCGCTGATGGGATTCAGAGGCATTTGTCGATTTTTACTATTGATACCATAGACTGATGAACGTAACATTTTCAATAAAAGAAAAAGAAAAATATATATATATATATATATATATATATATATATATATATATATATATATATATATATATATATCGTATCGCGGCCTCATATATATTTGTTTTTTATTCTTTCTCTGAGTAATGACAGTTCTTAGGATGTTAAGAAAATAAATAGAAATACAGCTTACAACATACAACTTATTATAGTATGACAATGTTTAAAGTGTTTAGATGTTTGTTAATCAATTATGCGCAAATAGCTAATTGGATTTGAGTGAAATTTGTTAGATAGACCATATTATTACACAGAATATTTTTAATTATATCACGTGGGCAATGCCTTAAAAAATTGGTAAAGATTATATAGCTAGACAGATAACTGAAAATTAAACATAAGCTGGTAAAAATTAATAAACCAATTGTCAGAACATGACGATGTGGTTAATAAATTAATGTCACAGATCCTTGTTTTATATTGGTAATAAAAAAATCACCTTTTTAATAAAATTTTCTAAAAATATTTGTGAATCCGTTTCTGTATTTGTCTCTTCTTTGTATCTATATTTATGATCCTATTTATCTCTGTTATCAAGACAATGCTATGAAATGTGTTTAGATGTTATGAACTGTATCAGTTTATTTTATCATATGTCTATAATAATAATAATGTTTTATCACGATAGTTAAATGCAACACCCTGATGGTAAGATGATCTTCGCTATTAGGGCAATAGTGAAGGTCACCTTAATATTTTGGAGGTTGGTTGATTCAGCAGTCTTCATTTTTCAAGAGGTATTTAGTGGTAATCTTTTACGAAACGCATACATAAGTTGGATAATAGTGGCTATTTTACCAATTGGTATAATTAATGTCCTACTGTTTGATATGGATATTTCCAAGGATTTAACCTACGATTCTCATATTGAAAAGGCAGCGTATGGGGTTTTAGTTCGAGGCTTTTTCGCTTGTATTAATGTATATTGTTTTTTTTTACATTTAATCGCTTATTACAACGTCCTGGAAAGGAACAGCTATTAAATACTAACTATTCAGATGTATTGAAATAATAACTTTCGTGAGTCGTATTGTATTGTAATTATTTATATGGTCTATACTAACCTTACTTACCTTAACTTCGGGGTTGCCCGACCAGTTTCTCGGAAGTAGCCTCGCTAGGTGTAATGTAAGATACGCTATTTATAAGTATACTAGCTTTAACCGCGACTTTGCCCGTCTCATTACCGGGATATGTTTACTGACCGGGATAAAAAATAGCTTGTATACCAAATTTTATAGTGATCGGTTAAGTCGTTAAGATGTTATAAGGTAATAAACTCACTTTTACATTTATAATATTGGTAAGGATAACTGTTACATCTCTCCAATTATTTTGCGCGAATCAGGATAAAAATCATCAAATATGTAGGTATATTAATTATTTATTAAGGTATAGGTAACAGTAGCTATTTGTCGTTAGACAACATGACTGCATTTTATTGTATTTTTGTAAATTTTTCATCGAAAACAAGTATCAAATTTTTCTCATTTTAGGAACAGGTTGTTAGTAATGAGGATTAGCTGCAAGTCGGTATCTAAGCATTCTTATCTGGAAATCATCGTCGTTAATTTCTGATGAATTCGTCACGATGGCTGACTTCATCGTTATCTATAAATATACATTATAGCGCAATCTCATAATTTTTATTTAATTAATTTATTTAATTTCATTCATTACTACATTCACATGTAAGTTATTAGTATTATATTTAATTTGTATCTGTGTATTTGTTTAAAAAAAAAGAAGATAGCGGTTATAAGATAGTTTAATAATACTCGTAAGTACCTTGACTTGCAAATTCGATCATAACTGCATTTTATAGCCTTGTAAAGAATATAATGTAAAAGTCACTTTATCAATGTAAATTAACATAATTAGTATATTTGTCAAACACGATTCTTGTATGCATGATGAACATTTTTGTTATAAAACGATGATATTTTGTATTAAAGATATCATCGTCAGCATATCAGCTATTAAGCATCCATTGCTGAACGTAGACCTCCCCCATAATGGAGATTGTTGCTAGTAGTTTCCACGCTTGGCAAGCGGTTTTTTTTTTATAACATAGTAGTTTAGGATTTATCATGATATATGAGTTTGAGCAATTGCTTTGAAGTATTGTGATTAAAATTCTTAGTGCTCTTTAAATTGCTCTTCAATATTCTCAACGATACACTGTAAACGCAACTGTACCTGATCATACTGCTCATACAACGACTCAATTTTACCCGTACACAATTGTAATTCTCTAGCATCCGAAAGACTTAACGGTTCATCAGTTAGTGCATGTAAATAGTTAATATGGTAAATGCAGTTAAACGCCTTTTAAAATTACCACGTTTCTTAATTAATTCCTTTTCTTCGACCACTCTGGGATTCGCGTGTTGTCGACCTGGAATTTATTTAAATAAAAATAAATTAATAAATGTAATAAACCGGGCATACAATAAATCCTTACCTAATACATTGGTCTAATGAGCAAATAATATTCAGTCAATTAAATAGTTTTATAATACAATATGTTATATTTAGAGTATAGGTGAATGTGTGAATGTGAATGTGAAAGGGACTCCATTTTCCGCACTTAGCCTCTCATTTGGGTCATTGTGCGTATGAGTCGTGGCTAGTGCAGCCAACCTAGCTCCGTCCAGAAGCGCAGAAGCTTCCTGGGTTCTTCACAGGCCTCACGGAGCGACCTCACCGTTCCGAGGATTTCTAAACGTTGATGGGCCACAGCCTCACATTCCAGGATTACGTGAGCTGCCGTTTCTTCGGCGTTGAAACAGCCTCGACATAGAGGGCTGTCTGTGGCTCCTATTGTGTATAGATGTTTGTTTAATGGACAATGACCCGTTATTGTCCCTATCATTGTTTTGAGGTTTTTTCTGTCTAGATGTAATAAACGTTTTGATAGTCGTTGATTCAACATAGGTACAGCCAATTTTGATTGTCTGCAATCAGTAGCCTGTATCCATCTTTGGTTTTGTATGTCAGAGGATCTTTGACGAATCCACATTCGAAATTGTGAGAATGGAAGAGGAAGGAGTGGATACGGGCCAATTGTAATTCTCTAGCATCCGAAAGACTTAACGGTTCATCAGTTAGTGCATGTAAATAGTTAATATGGTAAATGCAGTTAAACGCCTTTTAAAATTACCACGTTTCTTAATTAATTCCTTTTCTTCGACCACTCTGGGATTCGCGTGTTGTCGACCTGGAATTTATTTAAATAAAAATAAATTAATAAATGTAATAAACCGGGCATACAATAAATCCTTACCTAATACATTGGTCTAATGAGCAAATAATATTCAGTCAATTAAATAGTTTTATAATACAATATGTTATATTTAGAGTATAGGTACAGATGTTAATATACTTGATACGTGACTATAATTTATCCATTTAAGTTTATTAATAGAATAATACAGACACTAAATAAATTACTAATATGCTAAATATGTATATTATAATCGTATAGAATCGTATAAAATTTTACTATAATCGAACAATAGAATCAGATACAATAGAAAAATATATCTACCTACACATCATCTACCTACATAGCACCAGAGGGAGACTTTGTACAAAAGTCGAGTGCTTGGGTACCTCTGTCCCATTTGTGTTTCAACCGTGAAGCAGCCGTGTTTGCATGGCTGTGTTTCGGTTTGAAAGATGGGATATGGCGTGAATTTACTGGGTACAGAGGAATAACACTTGAGTCCTCAGGAATGGCAACGCATGGGGGGTATCATGGGCGAAACGGTATACTCTGTTATGTCCATGGTACTACTCATGTCTATAGGCGACGGTTACCACTTTCCATCAGGTGGGCCGTATGCTTGTTTGCCATTCTAAGTTGTATAAAAAAAAACATACTAATTTTACGTGAATAACTATTACAATTTACACTATAATTATTCATTTAATAGTCCAAACAATGTAGCATTAATGCTTACTATACTTAAGTATTATTTGGATTTAATTACAGCAAAACTTAAGTAAAAATAAAAATTATTCACACTACAATAGGTAGAAACTAAAATAAAATATAAGTAAAATGAACAGTACAGATAAATAGTGTAATTATTTTTTATCAACCAAGTTAAAAATCTTTTATTTACGCTAAATATTGATAAATAGCCTGTCGAGTGCTGGGTTCTATTTAAATATTAATAAATAAAGACTTAATACCACTAAAAATTACACTCAATTCATCCACTGTAGGTAGACACTATCTCGAATTTAATAAAATTACTCTTTATTCTTCTATTTATATTCAATTATATTCCATAAAATAATAGCTAATCCTTATCAGTTTTGCATCCGGCTTCGATCTAGGACCATGTTGTATAAAAAAGAAATGTTTAGGATTTATCACGATATATTTTTGGAAATAATCAAATTAAAGACGTAGACAAATTTGTATGACTTTTATAACGGATAACCAACGATAGAATAGAGAACATAAACCGATTTATTTTTGATGCTTTCTTGACTAACAAAAAAGAATCAGGCGCTTAAACAATAGGGAGCAATCGAGCATGCGGCTCACCTGATGGTAAGTGACTACCGCCACCTATGATCACCCACAATACCAGACGCATTGCAGGTGTGTTGCTGGCCGTTTAAAAGGGAATATGCTCTTTACTTGAAGGTTATTATATCGTAGCGGTTCGACAATACTGCTGCTGGAAGCTAATTCCAAAGAGCGGTTGTTTTAACCGCAGTTTGGCTTTGGCGATGTTTTAAGGAGAACTCTGCTGCATATCCCTTAATCAATAAGTTCCGTTAGTCTCCTCATTCTATGGCGGGGTCACACGGCAAATATAGTTTTTTTTTTTTATACAACTTAGAATGGCAAACAAGCTGACGGCCCACCTGATGGAAAGTGGTAATCGCCTCGCCTATAGACATGAACAGTACCATGGACATAACAGAGTATACTGTTTTGCCCATGCGTTGCCATTCCTGAGGACTCAGCTATTATTCCTCTGTTTAATAAATATATTTATTAAATAAATAAAAAATATAGTTACACTCTAGGAACAATATATATACAAACTATAGATGTATTATGTATTTGTATATACGTATATAAAAAATATCACCGAATTTCTTTTTAAAGAAGCCTCTTATAATTTGTTCGAAAATGCATTCGAGTAAAGAAAGAATAAGTAAATTGATACGACGTAATAATGTGTCCTATATGTAGTTCCGAACTAAGTAGAGTGTGTTTATGGTCATTAGACGACTGATTAATCGGGTAAGCAGGAGGAAGGGATTGTTAGTAATGCAGAATACCAGTCAAATTACTAGCAATATATCCAGTCAGGTCGATCTTCACGTGGTCCCCCCTGGAAACCATCGTGCTGAATTCCAGATCCATTCATTACGAAGACCTAACTGACCTGCTTTTTCATTCTCACCTATTATCCTTCACTGGTTCCCCACCAGCGTATATTGTAAGCGCAAGCGAGGATACTATTCCATTATCATTCATTAAAAAAGGTGTTAGGTGTTGTGGGTGACCATGGGCGGCGGTAGTCACTTACCATCAGGTGAGCCGCATGCTAGTTTGCCCCCTGTGTTGTAAAAAAAAAAAAAAAAAACAACGAGTTAGCAGTCTAAGTAGGTTTATTTCAAGATTACCTCATATTTATGTTACAGTCCAAAGAACTCTCTTTCAACATTCGTTGTGATTCTACAAGGGTAAATTGAAATGTTCGCGGCCTCATATAGACATGATTACAATATTTATTTCTGTCTACCTTCATTATACTCAGTACCTCTTTAGTTGTCATTTAGTTTGTCATTGAATCGAAACAAACAATCACAAGAATGCAGGAGACCAGGCTCACCGCTTCCGAAGAAAGCTAACGTGATTTTGTCTGTAAGCAAGGTGGATGGTATCAGTATTCTGAGATTGATTAATGATTTCGTTTGCGGTGGTATAAAGTTGCCTACATACGAAGAAATCTATAAGTTTATATCATCTCTCGAAATAAAAGCCATGGCTGCACATCTACGCTTCACGTGGGTAATACGCAAACGTGCAAGGAATCCCAAACACGCTGCACCCCTCCCCATACGTGCGCCAATAACACCAATAGAAGCCACACTTGTACGTACCGGTTATAAATAATTAATGATCAAATACTCAACTCTCTAAAATATAAATTGACGACCTTCGTAATAGCGTTTTATCAAAATACTTCAAATTCCATTGGTTAAGGATTTAGTCCTCACACAATAGAAACGTTTGTATGCATGACTGTTTGTATTATTCTAATACTGTTTACATAAAAATGTTATATATTACTATCAGTTGACTATTACCTATTACACAAGCTCTACTAATTTAGTATCTAGACAGAAAACTATATTTACACAAAGAATATTTTTAAGTTTATGAATTTATGTAAACTACCCCATAGCATAAGATTATAAAATTAATAATTAAACGCATGAGTAGATTTAGATTAACTTTTAGCTTTCATTATTATCAATCAATAAATCGATTTCTTATTGATTTAATAATACCGTACGTCCTTTATGTAAACCAAAAAACAAAATAGTTATACGATGGTATAAACCTTGTGCTACAGACATTAGACGATATAGAATTCACGAGTACGTGTACATTACATTGCGAGTGCAATGGGATTTTTAATTATAAAAATATATTTAATTAAAAATTAAATAAGTGAAAAGGCCCAACGATATAAATGTACAACTAAAATTCAGTTTACTTACTGGAGAACTGAATCTGAAATGTTGTAAATAATAAAAAAAATATTGATCTTTCCAAAAAGTAGTGGAGTCAGAAAGAATTTAGCCCGCCAAAGCGTAACATTTCGGTGACGGATATCACACAGACGTGTGAAAAAACCGATCATCGTCCTCCATTTAAAACCTTTAGAAAGATCGTCTTACAAACTCTCTTCTTCCAATATTATAAACACTGAAGCAACAAAACCATAGCGACATTTAGCTTCATACTAGCGACATCTATCGACAAGATTGTGAATTAATTCAAATCAAAACTAAAATCGGTAGTAAATGTGAAATATATATAGTATTCAACGCAGGTATATATTACTACGCCCCAGACACATCATACAACCGAATTTAGGACCTCCTTCTTTTTGAAATCGGGTGAAAACGCCACGATCCATCAAGTCAATCACGTCAATAAGTACTTTTTTTTATGGGTGAAAATGGTATGGTAACCTCGCCTGCGCTAACGGGATACGCTGGCGGAGCACCAGTGAAGGGTTATAGATGAGAATAAAAACATGCCAGTTAGCCCATCATGATGAATTCATCAGGAATTAACCATGATAGTTTCCAGGAGGAACCGCGAGGAAGTCGACCTGGTTGGGAATATTGCTAGCAATGGGATTCTCAGTATCCATAATTAACAATCCCTTTTCAACAAGTACTGTCTGTACATGTGCCAATGTATGCGTTACAACAAGCGCTGAAAAATAGAGTTTAGGTGTTGACAGGTATTAGAGAGGGGTGAGGTCAGATCGCAGCGGATGGCAGGAAATACTATGATTGTGTGTGTGTGTGTGTGTGTGTGCCCACATTAAGTTGCCAATTTCTGTACTGAATAAAAAAAATTAAACACCTATAAGAAAGACAATAATTAAAAATAATAAATGATATAATCAATATTTTAACATAACACATTTGTTTAACGAAAATCCTAAGAAATATTAAATTTTGCACAGACATCTCTCGCAACATCTAAAAGGAAAGGCCAGGATTACCAAGAATGTTATACTCGACGGTCACAGGTTATGAAACAGTGATTGACATTCTCTAAAAAAAAAACAAAAAAGCTTACTAGAATATTATGCTATTAGACACAATAGAATCCTAAAAAACATCAAATTACGCACAGAGATTTCTATCATAGTTCACTAACGAAATGTCAGAAATTGCACAGAACATTTTATCCTATATGTTAGCTACAGACCTTTTAAACAGTGCATGACTGTAACTAAAAAATAAATAGCTTAGTCAAGTTTAAACAGGAACACAACAATAATCACAAGTGGAGATAGTTCATAGTTCTTGTAAACAACTAGTTTCATCAAACGCAAGTTTCTTAATATCCAATTTTCCAACTTTAAATACATTCATTGAGAGCACTATTTTTAAAACTTGTGTCCTCAGAATACATACGATACATATATAACACCTAGTCGCCAGGAGTGATGCCATGAGTAATAAAATTTTGTTATCAAAAAGAAATCAGGATAAGGAATTTAAGTAAGATTTATTAAAGGGAAGTTGAAATGTTACAGATTAAAATAATTCTTAAATATTGATAAAAAAGTCATATATTAAAGATAAATGTATAATTCTAAAAAATATATATAACAAGTATGTACTAGCTCCAAAATTGACAGACAGAACATAATTATTTTATATAATCATTATTACGTTAGTGAATTTATCAAAACTATTAAAATTATTGTAAAGATTGATATTTCAGTGGCCTTCATCAATGTCCATGACGTTTGTATCAGGCTCATATTCCAGATCTAGGGTGCGCGTACGCAGTATCTCCTTATACAGGAAAGCAGACTTACGCGGAGTGCGTGTCCGCTCCGGACTATTATAATCGACTTCGTATAAGCCAAACCGTTCGCTGGAACAAAGACACACTGCATGCAAAAGGACTACTTTCAATAAACATTAACTAAGTAAAAAACATTAAATGTACTTCTTAATTGTTTTAATCGTAATTAATTAATTGATGCATTTTTTAATAATCTCCGTGCTGTAGTCGTGGTCGTGATTATTTGTACGATAAGGTGGCGATCGATCATATGATCACAGCGGTCACCATAGCCTACTACTGCTCGCTTGCAATAACTATTACTCAGGCATTGTTGACCTTTGTGAAATGATCGACCTAATCGCACATCAATTATCAGTAATTTTGCTGCTCTACTTCACCCTTTATAAGAAAACGATATGCTTCTTGTCGGCAGAAATACATGAGACAGACGTATTAAAACGGAATAAAACGTATAAAAAATGTAAAGGTTTCGATGTCGATTCTTCGTTAGATCAATATAGAAAACGTATATTTCTAAATTGGTCCATTTCTGGGTGACAAAAGTTCGTTGACTGGTCTCTCGTGATAAAAGGTTATGGTATTTTTATAAATAGATATTGGAATATATTAAACCAATTTGGAACTAAACTTACGTGTATCCCAGTGACCATTCGAAGTTATCCATGATACTCCATGCCGTATAGGCTATAATGTTGGATCCGTCATCAATAGCATCCAACATAGCATTTAGGTAGTACTTATAGTAAGTGACTCGGTCATCGTCATCTAAACCACCTCGTGTTGCGAATCCATTCTCAGTTATAAACACAACGGGGTTGTCGTAGTCCTCTCTTATTTGGGTCAGCAAGTTGTAGAAGCCCCACGGCACATACTGCATATAACGTGATATTAGTATTTATACGTATATAAAGAATATGACTCGGGAGACGCTGGTATTATTTTTATAAACGATATTGAGTGAATAAAATAATAATAAATACCACTGATATATAAATTAAATATTAGACAACGCCATTTAGCAAATACTAAGCGAAGCTTGTAATACGATTTTTTTTTATATACAACTTAGAATGGCAAACAAGCTGACGGCCCACCTGATAGAAAGTGGTAACCGTCGCCTATAGACATGAGCAGTACCATGGACATAACAGAGTATACTGTTTCGCCCATGATACCCCTCCATGCGTTGCCATTCCTGAGGACTCAGGTGTTATTCCTCTGTACCCAGTAAATTCACGCCATATCCCACCCTTCAAACCGAAACACAGCTATGGGACAGAGGTACCCAAGCAATCGACTTTTGTACAAAGTCTCCCTCTGGTAAAAACTGTGTATTTATCTGGTAAAAATACTATACAAAACTGATCTTGAAATAAATACTTTTCCTTATCATAATATATAAGTTAATAATGTGAAGGTATTTACGAAAAGAAAAAAAAAATATATATATATATATAAATATATATATATATATATATATATATATATATATATATATATAGAAAAACACCCAAGAACAATACAAACAGATATACATATAAACACATTACAATATACAAATGATTATAATTTGTATTATGTGAGAATCGAATCTGCGACGATCACAAAGTAGAGCGGTTTGTTAAGCCACTAGACTACTAAGATTGTCAGGATTAAGTTACAGGAATATTTTGAAAGGTCTTTCATAATTTATCGTATTACGTGTAATAGACATCTTGACAGTTAAATCATGTCATGGTCATCAGGTTACATTACATTAATAGATTACTATAACGAATAATTATAAAAGCGCCCTATATTACTTAGGTACAAAGTTATCGATGACAACTTTATATTGTCTGGGCTATCTCGCATGCTCTCGTTACTGTTGTACTTAAATATTCAAAAAAGTATCGCGCAATTAGCAAATTTACGTACCATAGTAAAATTTGATTCGCCAATTTTCCAATCAGGAAGCTGATATATAATTACGTCCATGTCATCGAAAAATGATGGCACTTCATACATGCCCTTTACAGATTCGTTCCTGACCACATAATAAGTCGAATAATGATTCAGACCGAAGAAATCAGACGTGCCTTGAATATACTCTACTTCCTCTGGCGTAAATTCGGGCAATCTTGATCTCGTAAAGCCTTGTTCAGCACTTTTTGCTGCAATCTTCTCTTTTATAACAGGTGGATAGTCGCCAACTCTTGAAAATATTGGATGAGCATATAAAGCCCACTGAAATTTAAAAAGTTTATTGAATTTAGAATCATAGCACCATTGTTACCATGTACTTGACTCTCTCTACTTGTAAGAGATCGGATGTGTAGATATATAGATAATTTATTACGTTATAAGACTTTATAACCGTATATCAACGATACTGTATAGTTGAGATGATAAAAGATACTTATACTCGTATGGTGAATATTACAATCGTAGTACTAATATTTATTAATTTACTCATTAGTATATGTATACTTTATACTCTGTTATGTCTATGTTACTGTTTATGTCTATAGGCGACGGTTACCAATTTTCATCAGATGGGCCGTCAGCTTGTTTGCCGTTCTAAGTTGCATAAAAAGTGCACAAAGCAGATTTAATGCTAAAATCATTATCTTCCAGTCAATTTTATAGAACCTTAGAACCTTAAAATACTCGAATATGCTTCTAGTAATAATTGATAGACATACGGTATAAAGTTTACTTATATAAACAAATAAATAATAAATACACTTCCATATATATAAGCTGTATTATGTTAAACATGAAGATAGATATTATTAGATAATACTTATAATATCATTTTATTAAGGATTTGCCTGAAATTGATTAGCATCGCTGGCCGCTTCAATCTCATTTTCATTTGCAGGTTCGTACCACATTGCACTTAAAGTAATAAATATATTTCCACCATACTTTGGTCTGTACTTTTGATCGTACATGTGATAAGTTTTTGCATGAGCTAGTAATAAATGTTTGGCACACATATAATCTGCTACACCGGAGTAATTGTAACCAGGCGCCAGGCTCGCCGCCCCGTATCCTTGGTAACATATTTCACGTGGCTCATTAATTGTTATCCAATATTTTACTCTATCTCCAAAAGTCTCAAATACCACTCGTGCGAAATCCGTATACCAATCTATTATAAAAGGATTTGTCCATCCTCCCAACTCTTGAAACTTCTGTGGCAAATCCCAATGATAGAGTGTGACGACTGGCTCTATATTATATTTTAACATTTCGTTTATTAAGTTATTATAATATTCTACGCCAGCTTCGTTGATCTTATCAGGGAAACCCGTGGGTAAGATCCTCGTCCACGACAAAGAAAACCTATAGAAATCAAGTCCTAGTTCACGCATCATTTCTACGTCCCTTTTGTATAAATGATAGGAATCAGCAGCGATGTCTCCGGTGGACTGATCTTTAATAGGACTTGGATTTAAATGAGTTCTGTGGTCCCAAATGTTTTCAGTTTTACCTGTAAAATATAAAATGTGTTGATATTTTTATGCCTAACTAGCTATGTCCGCTACTTTGTCTTCATGAATTGTTTTAGTATAATTTGCATACAAACATATATAAATAATAGAATAGAAACTAAAAATCACTGTTTTAGCTTCCTAATTAGGTCTAATAAATTTTTTACTTCTATATTAGTGACAACTATTGTACTTTATAGTCAAATTAAATATTTATATAAAAAAATATCAATATGTAGAACGCATGCAGCTACATACCTTATACACATATATAGAACAGGTACATACATAGCGTCAAAATAAATGTAATTAAAATAATAATTAACAGTTATAATTTTATTAATAAGTGTTTACCATCTTCGTTCCAACCACCTTCAACTTGGTACGAAGCTGTCGCTGTACCAAATAAGAATCCATCTGGAAATGATCTCACATTTTGTTGTTTTGAGTTACTTGTTTTACTTTTAGCCAACACAATCAGACATAGCAATACAATGCTGTAAAAATATATAAAAATATTAAAATATATTAGTTTGAAAAAGTACATATGGAAATTTATTGAATAATATTAATTTTTAATTAATTTATTCCTCTAAAAGGAATATTTATTCAACCTAATCTTGTCCGATCAGTAGTGTTTTGGGGCCAAAACAAAAATTTAATTCACTGAAATTACGAGTAATAAATTTTAATAATAAATAAAAAAAAACATGCACATGAACAAGAATTTCATTGTATTAGAATTAAATAGTACATTGTTATTTTATATAATAAATTTAATAGGTTGTATTAAAAAAAAAGATGAGATGAGAATAAATGATTTAGTCAACTACGAAATTAAAATATAAAATATTATTTTACATCAAGAGAAGTTGTATCATATTTTCTCATGGATTATTTGATCATTTTATCTTTTTTATAATTATGATTATGTACTTCTTGTGAAATTGCTTTGTGCCCAATAAATATTTTCTATTCTATTCTAATAGGCGTATGTTTTATACTACAGTATAAAACAGTATATTCAGGAGAAAGTTTGATTCTCAATTCATATAATTTGAAATCCTCGCCTTCGTCTCGAGTGTCAAATCTCATACTCATTGGCATACAGTCACTTTCTATCCTCGGTAAATCAATTAGAAAACTTACCCAAAACACTGATATTTTATCATTTTTTATAATAGGTACTGTTCACACACTTGTAATGTAAATTCTGTTTCAATGTTTATATAGTGCATTAGAAAAGCACTTATGTATGTTATTACTTACTGAGATAAATATTTTGACGTTCGTCTGTTTTTATCTGGTGATTGACGCCGATAATTCGGATAGTGCATGTGATTAGTACATACGTGTTCATAGGTAAGCGTAATGGTAGTAAAATTTATGTACTCTTATAAAATTTATGTACTACGTGTATTATAAATAAACTGAAATAGAGATATCCCAATACAAGTCAATGCCAAACATTTGGACTCCTTTTTAGTGTCACAATTTATTATAAATTGTAAATTGCTTTCCCTAAGAAAAATAGTTATAGAAAAGTGGTATAATTTCTATGCATGTCATATATAAATATTTTTTTATACTACTACGGTGCCAAACGAGCATACTGCTCGTTTGATAGTAAGTGGTTAGTACAGTCTATGAACGCCTGCAACACCATTACGCGCGTGCTGTCCGCCCTGAAGCCTCTTTACCCCTTTTTTGAAGAAATAACTCATAAAATTGCAATAACATTATTTTATTGAGGGTAACAAACTTCAAGAAGTTAATATCATACGAGACCTCGGGGTTTTGATGGATAGTCAACTAAAATTTTCCGATCACATCGATAAAATTGTAAGCGAATCAAATAAATCATTGGGTTTTATTCTTAGAAGTACAAAGTGTTTTAAGCAACTATCTACTGTCATTTAACTTTATAATAGCTATGTACGAAGCAATTTGGAATATTGCAGTATGGTGTGGTCTCCTATGTACAAGATACATGAGGACAGAATAGAGAGAATACAGAGGAAATTTGTTCGTAACCTGGCTTACTCTGGCTTTATCGTTTTAAACTATCAAGAAATATTAAAACCTACAAAGACAAAATTAAACATTTTCATCTTGATGAACTATGCCTCCGCAGATCTTACCTAGACGTATCATATCTTTATATGTGAATGAATAATCACATTGATTGCCTAAACCTATTGATGAAACATGAATACAATGTACCTACTAGTGCCACGACATCCTTGCAATCTATTTAAAAATGTAGCTTGCAGAAGAAACTTGGTCCGCGAATCACCTATCGTCCGCATAACGCGTCTGTATAACGATATTGTAAAAACCAAGCCTGAACTTAATATTGACAACGATAGTCTTTCTGTGTTCATGTCTTAATTGAAAAGTTAATGTACCTCGCCATTACATTATATTTATTAATATATATTATAATTTAAAATAATTTAATCACAATCTCCATCGTTTACTTATATTGTTAATATCTTTATTCATTTAATGACATTTAGTAATTTGATTCCATTTTGATGTTTATCAAATACAAGGCATGCTGTGGTTGCTTATAAATATAAGAACAGTTAGAACCAATCTACCGGTGCATTGTGTTGAAATGCTTCGTTGTATCTTATGTTGGTGATCCTATAAATAAATTAATAAATAGATAGAAAAGAAGAGAAAGAAAAAAGAACCTCGATAGAGAGCTTTTCCCATAACCTGAGCGTTCGTGGAGGGAAGCATCTCTGAAACTGCGCTGTACCATCAGATAATACCAGGCTCTAAGGTATATAAGGTAGGTAAGGTAAATACTCTCTTAGTGGCGAGCTGTACGATGATAGAAAGTGGCCGTGGGCATCATGTGCATGACGGATTGGCAACTACAGTCAGGTTTGAGATATTTTAAGACGGATGCTCCTGCCCATCCCTCATCCTCCTTTCGGGCTTTTACGACATCTACAAAAAAATATCCGGGGCACGGATAAGGTGACTTATTCTATGCCGGGACCACATGGCCATAAGAGATAATAGTATTCTTTAGATATTATATAGTAAAACTATTAAATTTTTTTACTTCTATGACGTTTTAAAAGAGAGTGTATGGTATTAAAATAAAATATCTTAGTGCTGGTGTACCTATTTCAACTGTGATTTTCATTGTTATCTAGGTATGTTTGACACATGACAATATATGCCATTGATCATGCATCCATTTCCCGGAATTTTCATCACTTCATCAGAGCGCGTAATCGACATATATTTCGCACAATGATAACAAATGTTTTTCTGTGGCAATGTGGTATATACTTGTCATTTTCTTAATTTATTTATTTATCTGGTTAGCACACTTATTTCTTCAGATATATAATTTAATTTTATCTTTAATGTATGTACATATATAATAGGTATGTATTTATATGTGTACGTGTTTATATACACACGTATGAGTGTGTGTGTGTATGTGTATATGTGTATCTATATAGATAATGAGTAGGGATATATATTTACATTATTGCGTGGATTACATCTCTATATGCATTTAAAAACAGAATTTTCATTGTGCCTCCAATTAAACTGTTTATAATTACTCCTCTCCATCCAAAGGTTCCCTGAAAGAGATCGCTTTCAGCGATAAGGTCGCCCATTATTTTTTCACTATGATCTTTTCTTGTAATTGTTTGTATCTGTAATGAGTTTACTACTGTAATCTTTTGGAGGAAACAATAAAGAGTATTTATCTGTCTACTTAAGATATCAGTTACATCATAAGTCCACGAATTATTATCAATATTAGACGAGTGACAGTTAGATATTGTCTTTAGAGAGAGCTGATTGTTTATACCCACCACTAAGAAGAAATAATACTTTAATATCAGATAAGTACCCATTAGCCACTTATCTGTTTAGCTCGAAATTTTATCAATTTGAATACTATATAAGTATAACCTATAAACAGACGCGATAAAAATGTAAAGATATTATATATATATATATATATATATATATATATATATATATATATATATATATATATATATATATATATAATTTTTTTTTAATTTTTTATTTATTTATCTCTAATTATATATCTAGATTAACTATCTCTTCTATACTTAACATGTAAATAAATTATAGTAAAATTTAAAGATATTTGAGAACAAAAAATGCTATAGAACATCTACTTTTGGGCCGTGGAAAGTTGCAATCTCGGAAAATTCATCAAGTTGTTTTAGACTACGCATTGTGCCAAAGATTCAGACATAATGTACTAGAAACACATTACCCTATTTTCTTTGCAATTCAGATAAACAAGTATGCAAACTTTGTGCTGACACCGCCGCAAAATAAATAAATAAATGTGGCTAGTCTTAGCAAATGTATGCAATTGCATTATATTTTTGTTTTGCACTATGGCTCTTGGATAGAACCTCCATGATTTGTGTGAACGTCCAACAAGTATCGACAAATATTTTATATGTCGATACATTTTGTTATTTTTTTATATTGCATTTTAATATTATTGCTAAGTGATTGGGTTAAATTTGAGGTGGTAAATTTACATAATATACGTTAATTTCAATTAATATAATATATATTTTTCAACGGAACAAGTTCTGATAATGTATTGATATCAAGAGAGAACGGACAGCGGAAGTGCCCAATGTTACCATATATGTATATACCTAATATAAAAATTCAGACGAATACCGATTGTATACTTAACATTAAAATTGTTTAATTTAAATTTTATATATTTACTAGCTTTTACCCGCGAGTTCGTCCTCGTGACCGGAATATGTTTACTGACCGGGATAAAATAGTCTAAATTCTTCTTCATCCCATATAGTATATGTATAACAAATTCTAAAGTGATGGGGGAAAGGGATTTTTAGCAATGGCGTTTGACAACCCCATTGCTACCAATATGCCCTATTAGGTCGACCTCCACGTGGTTCCCTCTGGAAACCATCGTGAACAATTCTTATTGAATTCGTCACGATGGACCAACTGACCTGCTTCATCCTCACCTATCATCTCTCACTGGTGCCCCGCTACTGTATCCCGACAGCGTAGGCGGGGTTACCATTCCATTATCACCCATTTAAAAAAAATCTATTAAAGTGATTGGTTAAATCAATAAATACTATAAGATAACAAATAAACAAACAAACAAACTCACTTTTACATTTATAATATATGTATGGAATTACATTTACAATATTAAATAAATTATGGTATTTCACGTACTTATATTTTTATATTAATTTCAGTTCCCATGTGGGTATGGCATGACTATGAATAGGTAACATCTTTTTCTTATTGCCGCTCTTCTGTTTATTTTGGGTCCAGCAAGCTTATGATATATGACGAGGGTTTCAGTATTGTAGTCTGACCCTTGTAACCCGTCTTTATTTAAACAATCTCCAACACAATTTTCTTGACAGTACGTTCTTTCCAAATGACAGAGTAAGAAATTTATTTTTATATATACGTAGATTAGCTGTATATGATATTTTATAGATATCTAGGTATTTTAGTGTCGTGACGTTCTTATTGTCTGATTATTGAGTTTAGTGATAGTATGTATTTGTTTTTAGATAAAAAAGAAAAAAAGAATTTTTTTTTTTATTAATTTAAGGGCTTTTACCTTCTTCAGGTATATCAGTCCTATCGTACCATAGCATCGTTATGTTCCTTAGTATCTCTGTATAGTATAATTTTTATATGGCCCCGTATATTTATATGACTGTATGTTACAGTAATTAAACTAGTTTAAACATTACAATGCGAATTAATTCTGCAACCAAGAATATGGCTAAAATGCTTGGTCCTGTTTTCTAGTTGTTTTGTACTGTAGGTATTAATACTACAGGGATGACAAGAATGTCATCGATTGGTGCATACAGCCTATGAACGTTTGTCATATCGAATTTGAACCCTACTTTTTATATGATACTTAAATAAATAACTATTTTTACTTGCTTAAACTTAAACTATTTTTTTATTGACATTTGTCAATAAGTATCATATAAAAAATAGTATGTAATGATATTTGTTGCCTATATACACGAGCAGTACCACGGTACCCCTCATGCGTTGCTATTGTTGAAGACTATGGTGTTAAGCCTTCGTACCCTAAAATTTCACTACCATTTTCATAAATTAAAACGCAGCCATAAAGCATAGTTGATTCATCACAGAAATATGGGTGGGATAGAGGTAACCAAGCAGACAACTTTTGTACGAAATATCCTTCTGGTATATATTAATTCTCTGGAATAAACTTTAATATGACTTATTTGAAAAACCCCTTACTGTTTTAGTTTTAGAATTCTGTCTTACGAGTATATATATATATATATATATGTATATGTATATATATATATGTATATGTGTGTATGTGTATATGTATGTATGTGTGTATATGTGTATATATATTTATATTGTAAATTTTTAATGAAAAGTTTCGCGACTGACTCTTGGCCACAGCAGAATATCAGTGTTTTGCTCTTTTAAAGGCAAAGCAATAAACTGAGCTGTGACCATTTTGTGTTACTATGGCACACGCATGAAGGAATGTTAACAAAGGAGATTGTTAGATTATGTATTTTGTTTTTGTATTTTTGTTTTTTTTATTTTTATTCTTTTGTCTCTTTTGCTGTGTATTACGTGTATGTTTTTTTTTTTTATTGTAATTTGTGTGCTGTAAGTAATGCAAATAAATTGTCTATCTATCTATCTATCTATCTATCATATCAAAGATCCTATTCATATTATAAATGTGAAAGTTTGTAAAGTTGTTTGAAATGTTTACTACTTAATCACACATAAACGGCTCAACGAATTTGAATGAATTTTGGTACACGGGTAGGTTATATTCTAACTTAATACACAGGACCTATTGATACACACCGGTGAAGCCGTGGGATGTAGCTAGTAATATTATAAATATGAAACTTTGTCATTGTTTTGTTTGCAGAGGTCGCATAGCGCGTGGCGTGGTAGGTGAGCGATGCGGGCGCGGTTGGCGGCGCGGTGGGCGAGGGCGTGGGCGTGGGCGTGCGCGTGGACTGTGGCGTGGTGCGCGTGCGCCGCGGCCGCGCCCGCCGAGCCGCGCGCCCCGCAGCTCGCCGTGCCCGCCGCCGCACCCGCAGCCCCGTCCCCGCCCGCCTGCGACCCACTGCTGCTGAAAAACACACCGCCTATGCCCACCGTATGTTATTTTTCTCATTTTAGACCTGTAAGTTAACGTAAGTTTTATTTACGTAATTGCTATAAATTTTCATATAAAAAAAATTACGAGAATGTTTGCGTTACATTAATCACGTGAGTAAAATTTAAAAATGTGCAAGCATTTTTATTGTTATTAAAACTTAAAAGTAATAAGTACCCATCGACTGTCGACTCACTAGAGTGACTACAGCACGCTTGAATCTTTTCTCCGTGGAAGTAAAATTTCATAACGATAATAATATTATTACCTCTATAAGATGCTTTAACATATTTTTTTTATACAACTTAGAATGGCAAACAAGCTGACGGCCCACCTGATGGAAAGTGGTAACCGTCGCCTATAGATATGAGCAGTACCATGGACATAACAGAGTATACTGTTTCGTCCATGATACCCCCCATGCGTTGCCATTCCTGAGGACTCAGATGTTATTCCTCTGTACCCAGTAAATTCACGCCATATCCCACCCTTCAAATCGAAACACAGCGATGCAAACACAACTGCTTCACGATAGAAACATGAATGGGACAGAGGTAACCAAGCAATCGACTTTTGTACAAAGTCTTCCTCTGGTGAAAATATAGAGACTTTATGTCTCATATTTATCCAATGTGTAGGTATATATCGAATTTTGTTTACTGCAATCGTAATAGTCAGGCTTCTATGGCTTTAGTTAGGTACCTAAATGTATACTTATAGCATACTTTACTTATAACGGCCCATTTAACTCCCAACTGCATAAAGGAAGTATTTCAGTCCACAATTATCACGTTTGCCAGGCTTAGGTACCTATACACATTTTTATTTTATCGTGAGCCGTAAGTTATTCAATTAACGCGGAATGCAGAGAAGTAATTGACACTCGGGTGGAGTGTCAATTACTCGATAAAATTAATTTGAATATTTCCGTGGCGCCCGACGCTTAACCCCGTTAAGCGGACGTGAAATTTCTTCAGTGAGAATTGTTGTTGAAAGTGATTGTAGAAATTAATTTCGCTTAAAAACTCTTTGTAGTAGGTATATGGGAAATTGGTTGTAAAACGCAAGCTTAGCATATTGTATGTAGGTATAATATATTTTAGTATCAATTAATATATTAAAAAGCTGTTAAAATATCAGCTTTTGTTGTTTTGACATATTTTAAGTAGGTGGCAACGATACTTGTAAAGTGGCGAGTATATACCGTTTAACGTTCGTGAAGTTCAATCAATCAATGTCATGTAATGGCATTGAATTTTAATAAAATTTTATGTTTTAGTACTTATTTGTCGCAGGGACTATAAAAATGGATTAGCGCTGATTTTAAGAATTCTATTGAAATTGACCTGACTCTAATGCACGGTCAAATTCTCTAGGGCCTTAAAATGTTTAATATAGGTAGACTCATTCTGTGATGTTGACGCCCATAGGAATAGATTTTTGGAATTCCATGAAATAGGGGATAGATTTAGTATGAATATACGTATTGGATTAGATTAGACATTCAAATACAGTTTTGATATTTTAAATTATTTTAGAACATGATTTTGACTTAACGTTTGTTATTTACATTATATTTTTTACGCAGTAAATTATCTACCAGGCAAATGCTACAAATTCATTAACTTAAATTTGGGTATAATTTACCATAGAATACATTTGCATATTAAATATAATTTAAGATCGTGTTTCACAAAAAAACCGATTTCAATCGCGGTTAAACTAGTTATTTTGATATAAAAACAAAACTACTCAACCGATTTTGATAAAATTTCTATGGGACCTAACTGAAAGATTAAAAAAATTTTTTTCAAGCAAAAAGATTTGTTCAAATTTATTTATAAATGACGGTGTTACGAGGTGTAACCTTGTAACACTTAAAAAACAATAGAATCGAGAACATCTTTTTTTGAAGTCGGGTGAAAATACAATTAAATCAATTAGTTATTAATGTTTGTCTATCTAAAAATACGTTTAATTACTTACAACTAAAACTTGTATTTTACTTTTAGAATTTGCGCGAACATGAAGCAGCGGCAGTCCACACGGCGCGCGCGCTGGCGGAACTAGTAGAGCAGGGCGCGGCAGACGAGACGCGAGCCGCCGCGCTGGCTCGCGCCACGGCACGCGCGCCGCTGTCGCCGCCGCCCGCCGCGGTCGCACTCGGCGCGCCCCAACTTCACCTCGGCGTGCTTTTCATAGCGGAACCGCCCCGACTCATCGTTTTCCAACAAAACAACTCGATCACGTTACGTCAGTTCTGGAGGACGTTGGCTTCGGCCTGGAACGCAAGTGCCGTGGTGTGGTCGAACGCGTGGTTCTCCTGCGACGATTACGACTGGGGATGGTGGGGCGGCGCGGCCGCGGCTCGCGGCGCCGGACCAGCGAGAGCGGCGGCGGCGATATTTCGTCGCTGGACCGCCTTGCCTTGCGAGGACACGATGCATGAATGGCTGGGCGGGCCGCCTCTTTGTGATGCTGGTACAACTGACTGCGAGGCTTATCCAGCTCTAAGTTCTGCAGATAGAAGATTAGAGGTATAGATGGACTTCATTAATTATTTCATATTTATTATTTCAATTAATTTTACTAATATAATAAAATGGTAACTAGATGTCTGTCTGTACACGGAAGATGTATTGTCTGTCTGTGTGTTCCGGCATCACGAAAAACTACTGCACCAAATTATATAAGGTTTTTACAGTAGTGTTCGTGAAAATCTAATTTAAAAATTGACATTTTTTATCTCGATACACCACATATAAGTGGTATTACATTGATTTTCCTAGTTCTATTATCCTCGTGTACAAAATAGCGGTCAAAGGGCTAGTTAGTAGTATAATGGTTATTACTTGTGGTCAGTACCGGTGCAAGTGCCGCGTGGAGCACTGGCACGCGGGCGGCGGCGGCTGGCTGAGCGGCCGTGCGCTGGCGGCGGGCGGCGGTGCGCTAGCGTGCACGGCGTGCGGCGCTGCCAGCGACGCGGCCGCCTGCGTCGCCGACGTGTACCGCGCCGCGCTGCTCGCCGCCAACCTCGCCGGCATGCTCATATGCCTTGTTATCGGACTCATTATTTTTAGGAAGAGGAAATGTAAAGTGAGTATTATATACACTTAAATTACGTAGATAGAGTGTCTCCATATAAACACTTTGAGGAAAGCAGGTCAACTTTTTCATACAATTCTGTGTGATAAATAGTTATGAGTGATTCCTTCATAACTTCTATATTGATTTTATAATTTCTGCATCTTTTTAATGCGTAAATACTCATTTTATTTATTACATAATACCTCAAGATACATTGTATGCGTATGTATATAGAACACTGATAAAAAAGTTAGCTATTTTGACAATTAGCTGACAAAAAGTTGACCCGTTTTTGAGACTCGATAATCTATCTATATAATCGAAATATATGCCTTACAAATGTCAATATAAGTATTTTTTATACTATTGATCGTATGAACGCCTGCAATGCCAGGAATATTACGCGCACGATGTTGACTCTGAAGAAACCTCTTTATCTCTTTTGTGAACAACCCCATGCTGTTGTAATTTTGAGAAAACCTCGTTAACTTATTACCTTTTGGCGCCTTAGTGGCTAAACCAATTATTATGAATATTAGTATATACCAATACCAGTGAGTGATAACAGATGAGGATGGGGGGGAGAAAGGGATTGTTAACAATGGAGTTTCACAGCCCCATTGCTAGCAATGTGCCTTTTTAGGTCGACCTCCACGTGGTTCCCTCTGGAAACTATCGTGAACAATTATTGTTGAATTTGTCACGATGGGCTAACTGACCTGCTTCATCCTCACCTATCATCCTTCCCTAGTGCCCCGCCGGTGTTTACCGATAGCGTGGGTGGGGTTACTATTCCATTATTATCCATTAAAAAAACAGGCGAGGATGAAACTTCGTCAGTTGGCCCATCGTAACGAATTCACAGGGGATTTATCATGATGGTTTTCAAGGAACCGCATGGAAGTCGGCTTGACTTGGTGTATTGCTAACGATAAAACCACTAGTTCTCATTGCTAAAATTATTATAAAAATGTAATATACTCGTATAATAAAAAGGTCCGTGTGGCCCCCACATAGAAACAGCTTCTTCCTTTACCGTGGGCGTCGTAAGAGGCGACTAAGTGAACTTAATGGTAAAGAGATAGGTAGCAGCGTCCATCTTAAAACGTCACTAAAAGCTTAATTGCGGTTGCCAATCCTCCTGCCAAGCGTGGCAATTACTGGCAAAATCCTCTTTGTGAGGGAGATCTATGTTCAGCAGTGGATAGTTAGTTAACAGCTGATATGATGTTGATGACAATAATATAGAAATGTGAGGGGAAAGGGATTGTTAGTAATAGAGACTGAGAATCCCATTGCTAGCAATATACCCAACCAGGTCGACCTCCTCGCGGTTCCCCCTGGAATCTATCATGGTTAAATCCTGATGAATTCATCATGATGGGCTAACTGGCCTGTTTTCATTCTCATCTATCACCCTTCACTGGTGCTCCGCCAGCGTATCCCGTTAGCGTAGGCGGGGTTACCATACCATTTTCACCCATTGAAAAAAAATATAGAAATGTTAAGTTTATTTTTCTTTGTATTGCAGGCAGTGGCAATGGGAATGTGGACGGTGCTTGAAGTAGTTTTACTTGGTGCATTACTCATGTACGCTTCTGTAAGTACGAATTGTATAATTTCTAAAAATAGAAGTTACCGTTCTTCTTACTGGGCATAGGTACTGTGATATATTCTCCTCTTATGGGGCGATAATAGTATAAATTTATGTTTTCTAGAAAAAATAAAAAAATATCCAGTAATTTGAAATTATATCTATGACATTTTTAATACAAAATTGTATAAAATATATATACTTCATATACCTATATATTATTTTTTATTATTAAATTTTCATCAAAGTTTGATGAAAGTAAAGAAGTGCAAAAGTCATGACTTGGTTCCACAATGGTTACAGGCAGCGTCTCAGTATATGTCCGTAGCACAGTGGCGCTGTGTAGCTGGCGCTTGGTTACGAGAGTTGGGATTCGTAGCCTGTTACGGATCTGTTGTTCTACGGCTATGGGTCTTACTTGCCGAGTTTCGCACAAGAAAAGCGCATCGGTGGACACCTAGAGATTCAGAAGTAAGTGTAATCCAACAAAAAATATATCAGTAACTAATATAGCTATAAAGTTAAAAATTAAAAGAGACAATATTTTTACAATTTGATTGTTTGTCTAAAAGATATTTTTTTATACAACTTAGAATGGCAAACAAGCTGACGGCCCACCTGATGGAAAGTGGTAACCGTCGCCTATAGACATGAGCAGTACCATGGACATAACAGAGTATACTGTTTCGCCCATGATACCCCCCATGCGTTGCTATTCCTGAGGACTCAGATGTTATTCCTCTGTACCCAGTAAATTCACGCCATATTCCACCCTTCAAACCGAAACAGCCATGCTGTTTCACGGTTTGTCAGTCTGTTTGAGCACCTCTGCTGATAAAAAACTGTGAGTCCTACTCGTGTTTCTATTGTAAAGTAGCCATGCTTGCACGCCTATTTCGATTTGAAAGGTGTAATATAGCAATAAAACGTCAGGTAAAAAAAAAAAAACATAATTTCAAAGTGCGGAAGCATAACATCTTTACTTCTGAAGTAGGTATGGCTATGTATGAGGAGTAAAGGGGGCATCACAGTTCATGTCTATAAGTGTCAATTATCAATTTTTTTTTATACAACTTACAATGGCAAACAAGCTGACGGCCCACCTGATGGAAAGTGGTAACCGTCGCCTATAGACATGAGCAGTATCATGGACATAACAGAGTATACTGTTTCGCCCATGATACCCCCCATGCGTTGCCATTCCTGAGGACTCAGGTGTTATTCCTCTGTACCCAGTAAATTCACGCCATATCCCACCCTTCAAACCGAAACACAGCCATGCAAACACAACTGCTTCGCGGTTGAAACACGAATGGGACAGAATTTTTATATACACCACAAAGGTAGCAAACAAGCATACAGCCGGTCTGATGGTAAACGATCACTGTAGCGTATGGACCCCTGCAACACTAGGCGTGCAACGCGTTGCCGATCCTGAAGAAACCTCATATACTCTTTTTGAAGAACCCCATACTGTAGTCTCTAGCGTTCGCGGAAGAAAATTCCTTTGAAATCGCACTGTACGCGACCATTTAGGTTCAAGTGTATGAGGATGAATTTCCTGTCGATGTTGAGTGGTCCGATGATACAAGGTGGCTGTAGGCGTCATTTTATACATAACGGGGACCTGTTCTATTTTAGGTGCTGAGGGTCGTGGGCGCCATGATATCGGGCGCGGCGTGCTACTTGGCCGCGTTCACGGCTATGGCGGTATGCGACGACGACGGCGGCGAGTCGTGCGCGCGCGCCGCCTGGCACCACGTGACGGCCGCCGCCGAGCTGCTGCTGCTGGCCGCCGGTGCCAGGATCGCATATGCCGCTCGGAATGCCAACGTTCCGTTCCAAGTGAGGAATTATAAAGTAGTGACATTGCAAAATATCGATATTGAAATTATTTTATCAATTAATAATGCATAATATCCATACTAGTATTACCTATAAATGCAAAAGTTATTCTGTCTATCTATTAATTACCTTTTCGCGTCTAAACCACTAAATTTATTTTGATGTGATAAGTATATAACACGTGTTAAATATTAGAACTCGATGGAAATGGCCTTCGACTCTATTGGTTCTATACTAGATAGATTGATAGAAATAAATTGTTAATAAAATTAAGAATATTCATATCGAAGCGTACCAAAATGTGCTAATAATATAATTGTCTGTCAATTTACTATAATAATTGAATAATTTTTATTGCTCCTAATTGATTATTTAAAAGTGCTCTGTTATCGAATTGAAACCTTAATCATAAAATAATGTAAATGGTATGACCTTAAATAGTTAAAACTAATATACTCATATCCGTAATTTGACAATGTCCAAAGTTAGGGTTATTAAGTTCCAATAGATGTCTAAAATTAATAATTATATTTTATGTTCTCAAAATTAAATAAATATTTTTTTTAAATTGAATTAAAGTTTTGGTATAACAACTTGGTAGCGTTATCTTTTTTATGGGGGAGGGGGAGACCTTTTTAGTAATAGGGTCTACCAATCCTATTACTAATATACCAGGCCAAAATCTACGGCGTCTCTCCTGGAAACCATGTGGTCAATTCAGGCAAATTTGTCACGATAGGATAACCGTTATAACCTCGTCTTTTCCTATCATATGTGACTGGTACCCCGCCAGTGTATGCGTATAGCGCAGGCAGGATTGCCGTCCTGTTCTGGCGTAGTGAAGTGGTATACGACGAGCATCGTGTGTGCAGGAGCGCGGCTGGCTGGCGGCGGCGTTGTGCTGCGAGGGCGCGTGCGGCGCGGCGTGGCGGCTGGCGGCGCTGGCTGGCGCGGCGCCCGAGCGTGCGCCCCTGGCGGCCACGGCGCGTGCGCAGCTGTCGTCGGGCGCCGCGCTGGCGTGCGTGCTGGCGCCGCGCTTGTGGCACGGCTACCGCGCGCGCTCGCTCGCGCAGGAGGTACGGCCCTCTCCCCACACGATCCTACCCGACCTCTACACTTACCTCCAGTTATGTGATACGTACTACCGTAATTTGTAAGCTATTAAGCTTTACTAAACATCTGTAAAGTGACAGTTTCTAAATTTTTATAACTGTGTCAGATATTTTTTAGTTCAGTAAGAATAAATGAACTCGATATGTGGAGTTAAGGGGCAAAACAACATTTGCAATTTTTAATAAATATCCACGAAAATCGACGTTTCCATGGATCTAGAATATTCATGAAAGGAAATAAATAATTTTGAATCTCATTATTATATTGTATAACTAATAGAACTGACGGCCCTTACTTATTTTGACTCAATACTTGCAAGTAGCAGACACCGCAGTCAGAACGTACGTTTCATTCGCTCATTCATGTACTCGTGTAAAATTACTATTAATACAAACATTTTGTGACAGTCCTACGATTAAGTCTTTTTTTATTATAACACGACATGGGACCACACATAACGCAGTGTAGGACGATCATCCACTAGACGGATTAACGACCTAAAATGCATTGCAGGCAGTCAGTAGATGCAAGTGGCTCAAAGACCGTTCCTTATGGCAATCTATGGGAGAGGCTTATATCTAGTAGTGCACATCCGTGGCTGAAATTATGATGATGATAATGTGACCACAGCATCCTGAGCGAACACAGAAACAATATATTAATTACCGATAAACCACAAAATTATTATTATAGGGCTTTTTTACTGTAAATCATTCCTTAAATGCTAATTTAACATATATAATAGAATAAAGGAATAATTTTCTATCGCGCACCAATCTTCAGGTATCTCGTCGAGGACCAGCGGAGGGTTTCGGGGTGGAAGGCGAAGAAGAGCCTACATCTGAAGAGGTCAGGGCCGAGTTGAAGAGGTTGTACGTTCAACTAGAGATTCTTCGCAATAAAACGCTTAGACGCGACAATCCGCACATCAGCAAACGAAGAGGCGGTCGGAAACCGCCGCATCGACGGTTTTCCTTGCAGGTATTTTAATGTGATTGTCCACAAATAATTGTGGTGTTCTAACAAACAGGATTAGTATTCATGGCTATTTGGTTTTAGGTTTCTATATTAGGAACGTGTATATCTTTATTTTTATAAAGATACATAAGTGTTAAACTTCATTAAATTGAGCTAACATTATAGATAGTTAATTATTACTCAAAATCATCAACAACATTTGTATCTATGCTTTGTTTACCATGTTCATTAAACGAAATAATATTATTAGGTGTAAGGTTAATTATTTCTTAATTTTACTTTTGTAATTTAGCTTTAATTTATTAAAAATTAACACAAACTACAAAAATAAGAAGTGACCTATCAAAATAATTAACAATTTATTTACATGATTGAATATTAAGTACAAATATATAATAATTATATAATTATTTTATTATTTATTTGATAGGTTTGAAATTATGTTATATTAATTTGTACTCTGGCTTTATTTTTTATCTCAACTCTGTTTGTATCTGTACCTTTATTAAACTTAAGTAAATTGAGTTTGTTTGTAACTTAGTTACCTTCTTAATTCTGGTGAATATTGTTTAGTTAACCTGTCCCTTCTGTCTATCTGTGATGATTATTGTCTCTTAGCTACCAACCTTAACAAACCTTAATGTAGATTGGAACGTTACGTCTTCTCTATGAAGTATGTCGACGTTATTATCAGGTATACTTTTAACCCTTCAGTGTCGGTGTACTATCTTCATTCTCATTAATTAAATGTTTCATCTTCCATCCTACTCCAACTTTAGAAAAAGGGCAGTCGTGAAAAGGTAAGGAGGTGTATAATATATCGCATGTGCACTGAAGTGGAGCACCCGCATGACCCTTGTGGATGTACGGCCTCCCCCCCCCCCCTGTAGCGACGTGCTGTGACACAGCGGCGGCGCCGGCACCCAGCCACGCAAACCTGCACCGACCCTTATTGCGTTCACGAATCTGTCTGCTATGTCTCGGATGTCTGCTTTCTCTGTTCCTTGGAAATTTATCGGATTCCTTCAGGACTTTCAATGTAACTGACGAAAATATAAAATGTCGCAAAATTCGTAATCGAATCTATCGCTGTGCATAATTTACGTCTGGTTTCTGGCTTCTCCCCGCGCTGAGAATCTGTATGCAAAATATATCTATTCAGAATACGATTTTATATCATCTGATTCGACACTCGCTTTGATCCCTGCCTAATTTGCATACCACATCTTATAAGATAATATATGAAACTTATTGATTTTAAAGAAAATAAGTGGACATGACAAGTTTAACAAAATCCCGATTGCTAATTAACTCCTAGTAAAGTTAAATAATAATTACAAGTTTTAGATAATTTATGATTGTTATACTTACTTTAAAATAACATATGATCTATAGAATGTCCATAATTAAGAGAAATTTAACAATACCTCATTTGTTTAAATCCACCAATCTATTGAGACTCCTACTTCTGCCAATGATCCGAGGATATACTCGTTTACTTGCAAATACCCGAAAATAAAACTCTTCATTCTTTAGCAGTCGGGTAAACATGACAAAATCAAAAAGTTTCAATAATTGACTACTGAAGGCATGTAGAAATAGTCGATAACAAAATATAACTGTACAGGCTCTGCAAGCGCGACGTGGTGCAAAAGGCAAGAGCGGTGGGAGCGCTAGCGTGGTGGAGGCGAGCGAGGCGGGCGACGTGTCCCGCACGCCCGAGGACTCGGTGTGCTCGGCCGAGGGGCCCTCGCACTACACCGACGGGGACACGCAGGCGTGATCGAGGACCGCGCCTCGCCATCACTATCACGACGTTCACCTGTAGATCACGTACTGTAATATTTTACATCACACCGTAGAAGTAAAGAAACCGGGTAGAATTGACTTTCATATACTTTTCTTTGTGAAGGTATCAATGTCATCTCTTCTCTTCAGACTTCGCAGATAATTTCATAAATTCTTTCAAATTTTAACAAATAATTTCATAACACGACGTAACTCACACGACACAAATGCGATTAAACGAGACGCACAATTTTGTTGCGGTGTCTATTGCTTGCAAGCCCTGACTGATTTAGTTCTAAATAGGATGCGAGTCATCACCACAACAATGTAGTTATAATTATTGAATCCAAGAGAGTGTCAGTTCTACCTGAATATTTATTATTATATTTAGTTCTTATGATTACACTTTAGCAGTCTAGAGCAGCGATTCTTAAAACAAGTTCCATGGAAACTCGTCTCCTTATAGATCACAGAGCCATGCGAAGAGAGGCGTTATATAGAACAATCGCTTTTGTGACAAAATTAATTGTCCTAAATATTAGAACTTAAAATTGGATTTATTTCAAAGAAGGTTTAGTCCTTCATAAGTTTTTAAAAGCTTGATCTGAATGAACATATAGTTGATAGTGGGTATACTTAATAAATAGTACGGACCAACAGTACGCTTTCGTATTGATAAATTTATACGAGTATACTCATACAGTATGTATCGTATCTTATATTTCAGTAAGCAATATGAAATTTATTTCAGTATCTTTAAATTAATACACAATATATGTTTTTTTTTTTTCAAAATACAAAAAGAAAATTATAATTGAATCGGTTGCCTTAAAAGTTTAGGAACCGCTGATCTAGAGAATTTTGGAGTTTACGAAAGCCATTCTCTTGACAAACAATTATTTGCACTGTTTCTTTTTTGTCAAAATTTTATTTTAAACATAGAAAAGTCTTTTTAAATGGAGTTCTAATATTATTATTTATCAATAAGTTTAATCAATTGCTATTAAGATTCAAAATTTTTTAAGGCCAAGAGGCATTCAGAGAATTCAAAATATTTTAGAATGCTGTTTACAGATCAACGTACGACCTGATCACATTGTATAAAACATATTGTTGATAAAGTCTAAGTAAACTGTTTCTTACTTAATTTTTATGATATATATACATTTATACGTATAGAAGCAATTACGTTATTTGTTTTTTTATTACGTTTTCTAAATAGATATTTTATGTTGTATACATACAAAAATTGATGAGATTTCAGAATGTAATAATGTCACTAACAGATAGAGTTTGACCGAAAAATGATATCAATAAAGAAGAAACCTTAATACCGATATGGGAAAAAAAGAAAGTCGATTGGTAGAAAAGATCTGTTTAGTGGAAACCAATATCCATAAAGGGTTGGAATGTTACAGGAAGTAAGCTATGATAGAGAGTGACAAGATGTTAACTACAGCATTTTTCGTTTCTCTTAAAGTGGAGTTAGCCAAATAGCCCACTTGTTGTAACTCCTATTTTTTTCTCCGATTTTAAAGTTATTTTTTTTTAATTGAACAAGTAGTATTCTCATCAATAGTATTCATACTACATTTCTTTTTTTTATTTATATTGAGTTTTATTTTTTAGAAAATATCATAGTCTCATTTCTCTTGTAATCGTTAGTTCCGACCACTGAAAATAATGCCTTTATTACATTATATAAAATTGTAGACATTATTTGTTGCGATAATTCAGGCCATGAGTGGTAGTTACCCACCCGAAGGCATAGTAAAAATCACTAGGTACCTATATCGCAAATTCGAGTTGTTAATAAACATATACTTGTAAGTAGTAATTTAAGAGCGTTTATTAATAAGTTTACCTAAGTGTAGCAACGTCAAAGCTACCTATTTGTCATTTTTCAAAAATAATTGATCACTTTTCGATATTTCTGTTCAGTTATTTCGTTATATTAGCCGCTAATTGTACACTGCTGAACATAAGCGTCCTACATGAGTGCTGATTTTGCTAGTGATTGCCATGTTCGGCAGGCGGGTTAGCAACAGCAATTAGGATTTGGTGATGTTTTAAGAGGGACGCTGCTGTTCATCTCTCGATTTAAGTAACTTCCCTTAATCGCCTCTTACAACACTCATTAAAAAGGGGTTAAAGGGATTGGTTATTTAATCATAAAATAGATTGTACACAAACTTCTATTGTGAACCTTGCATCTAATATATATATATATATATATATATATATATATATATATATATATATATATGCAAAAAATCGATTCAAAATATTTTGAATCGATTTTTCGCCACCAAAATTCAAATATTCAGTGACAACTTAATAAAAATCTTATTGCATGATGAACATTCCAGTTCGTTATCAGAGCACTTTGTAATTAACCAGTCAGAAATATTGAAAATTATCCAACTGTTTTAAAAAACTGACAGCTGATTGCGACGTTGCCACACATGAGTAAGCTTCGATACGAACGCTCTTAAGAATTGTGTTAAAGTATTACTAATTTCATTTGTCGCTAGTGAAATTATTTATTACGTAGTGAATTGTTTGTATAGGAGGAGATTTAGTACAATAATTTAATTATTACGTATTCATAGGGAATAGCGGTGATATTTTATACCTGTAGGTATTAGCAAGTGGGTTCATTAATGTTGATAAATGTATCCAGGAATGGTGTTGTTGCTGTTTTATAAGCTTTTTTACCCTGAATATGTATGTCATTTATGTATTTCTGTAAATTGCTCGAACATTGGCTTGTAAAATTGTTTCATTTAAATACGTGTATAAAAATGAATTTTAATTAATAAATCATTAACTTGTTTCACATGAAGTATAGCTAAATTAGTATAAAAAATAAACATCCAGAAAAATAAAATACCTGAAATTTTGTGTAAGTATTAATTAGTCGATTTTTATTTTATTTTTAATAATAAAATTGTTACCTATAGACTATTTGTAATTTAATGGTATCTATCATTAGTCTGTTAATGTACAAGTCCATAGAGTATTTATTGTATTGTCGGATGTATGATTGTTTTCTATTCTCAATAGTAAAAGCAAGTTCTCTACTATATTTCGAATTTCTACTCTTTATTATTGACTGTACATATTCATGCTATCTTCTCAGGCCTGCTTTCCAAAAATTTAGAGCAAAATGGGTCCACTCAATACTGATTCTGTAAATCCATGATTTTTTATTACAACTAATACATTTAATACATTAAGGAGAATTTTTTGTGTCACTTTTCTGAACGTTCTTTTTCGTTTTTTTGTATGTTTTTTTTTTATTTTCTTACCTACGTAAGTTGCAGAATAAGGTATCTTAAACCTTATTCTGCAACTTTTTCGCAGTTATATAATGTGTATAAAAGTTATAAAATAGCTATAAATAATTGCAATGAGTTAATAGAACGCGACTGATAAAAAATAATAATATTATAATATACATATTTTTAAACATATTTTTAAATAACTAATGTTCTGTAACATGTAGACAAGTCATAATCGATAAAATAGCTAGCACAAAAATATTATCTAAGGTATATATTATTGCATATTATTATTAATATAGAACAGAAACAGTATTTGAAAGTAGTCAAATCAAAGTAAAGATGTTTGAGGTTCTTACTTTAAAACCAAAATATATCTACGTCCTTAAACAACTATTTATATCCATTGAAATGACTAGCAAAAAAAATGTCATAATTCATTATAGCATGTTATTATGCTTACAAGTTCTTGTTTTATCAAAAAATTAGATGTACCCGGACTTAAAATAACCTATATTATTTTATACCAAATTTCATAACGATCCATTAAGCTATTAAATTCAAACAAATTTATTTTTACATTTATAATATTGGTAATGATAATATTATATAACAACCAATTTCATCTTGCATTCATGAGATACGTGCCTAATTGCCTTCATATGCACCTAGATTGTATCTGAATACACAAACACACAAATATATATAAATAAGTCATTATTCCCATACTCATCATATTACTTAATAGCTAATGTGATACCTATTTTAATTTAGTGATTCATTAGTAACCAGAAACGTTACCAAAAAAAAAAAAACTGAAACATTAAATAAAAGAGAACAAATAACACAATGAACGAAACATGTTATTATTTTATTAACTGTTAATTGTCCACTGCTGACCATAGGTCTTCCCCAGAAGGGAGTGTTGCCAGTAGTTGCCACATGTATTAAAATGTATGAAACATAATAATACATATTATTATACTTATTTATGAAAGCTCAAAGCTAACCAGCAATACAAGTATAATTTTCATTTACTGACTAATGAAAATATGTCGGTATTTATCACAGAAAAAAAAATTTTAGGTGGCAAATTTTAGGTTTTTAAAAGGACGGCAGCACACCTGCAATGCCGTAGGTGTTGTGGGTGACCATAGGCGGCGGTAGTCACTTACCATCAGGTGAGCCGCATGCTCGTTTGCCCCCTGTGTTGTAAAAAAAAAAGAACTTGACTATATTTTTCTGTAACAATATTTTCATTTTCATAAATTTCACTAGATTTCAGCATTTGAACTTAGTAAACTGATTACAACAATTTGTAGACACGTTTCCTTTCTTCTTGTAATTTTTAACATAAAATTGCACAATTATCTTTTAATGGGGTTGCATTTCCTACTATTTACTTATTTAAGTACTTAATAAAATAACTTTAAGAATAAATATGTCATGATATCATTTCAGATAGATACCAGAATTTGTATTGTTGTTTGTTTCAAATAATATATAAAGGGTGTTAGAATAAAAGAATTGTACATAGTTTATTAGTAAATGGTTTGTATGTATGTATGTGCAGCGGGTCATTTGTTTGTTTTATATAAATACCTATTACGTTTAGCTTTATTTAATGTTCGAGTTGAATGCCAAGATATTATTATTATATTAATACATATTCTTTATTAAATAAATGACAATGTTCGTACGTTGAAGTTTTATTTATAAAGCAGTTTGTAAATGTGTCTTTATGTGTAATTAATGCACAATCAATACCGCTAGATCTAAAAAATATGAAACTGTTAAACAGTTTTTTATCATCATTTCAGCCGTTAATTGAATAATAAGCTTTTTTCCCATAAGAGAAGTTTTGCCAATAGTTGCTTAGGTCCTAAGTTCCTTCAGTCGCCTCCTACGACACCCACAGGAAAGAATAGGTGTGGTGGGGAAGTATGGAATATTAATAGAATAATAATAGCGATTGCGATTTACACGATTCTTTTAACTCGATGCTTGCTGCAGACATGGTTACCTAGCAACTGTAACTAACCGGCATTGCTTATTGAAATATACAAATTGTTGTATTTTGTTTTTATTGTGCATTTTATTATGATGAAAATGTCGCATTACGTCGTTACGTGGCAACAAAACGGGGCACTCTCGTTGGAGGTGAAGCGACTAATAATTGGCGACCAATTTGAGTTTAGAATAAATACCTACTCGTAATTGAACTTAATAAGACTGTGATATTAATTTTAGCAGTTAATTAAATTCAATTAAGAAATTAGTATCTAGTAGTATTAAAGATATTCTATGAAAATGTTGTGAAGAAATGTCTGGTGAGTATTTATTTTTATATAATAATAGATATATTTATTGTGACAAAAAAAGCAGTACCTATTCTTAAATCATTGCTATTTCATTTTCTAAAGTCTATAAACTATAGATTCCTAAAATAGTTTAGATATATCTAAGTAGAAGTATAAACATAATTCGGTTTTTTAACGAATGTTATGATTTGGTTTAAAGTCGTTCGGTAGCATTAACTCTCTCCATATGAACCTGACATAAGAAATGTGTGCCAAATTACGATGTTCTTAAATAAAATAACAGGCGGTTTGAACAAAATTTATCTACATATTTTTTATGGGATAGGATAGCAAACGAGCATGCAGCTCATTTGATAGTAAGTAAACACCGAAGCACTAGCAACCTCAGAAGAGTCGCTAATGTACTGCCAGTCTTTTAAGAAGATTTAAGCTTAATTCTTGAAAGTCCCAAGATTGAATTTGTTGATTTACAATGTTTATATAAAGCTTGGAGTGGTTAGCAAGCTGATAATCTGTTTGCCGCTGCTCATGATCTGCTGATAAGCTGTGTGATGCGTGTAATATTCGACTATATAAGTCTGGAGATTATGCCCCCGTGTTAGAACACGGACGAGTCTTATATATATATAGATATAACTTCACAGTCATATGCCATCATCATCATCATCAAACCGAAACTCAGTTATGCAAGTGTAGCTGCTTAGCAGTAGAAAAATGAGTGAAACAATGATACCTACATATCTACCCATGCAGACGACTTTTATATAAAGTCTCTATGAGTCTCTCTCTATAGTCTATAAGTAAAAAGATTTTATATTTTGTCAAAGCAGCCTTTATTAAATATACCTTAAGTTTAAAATTAATTAGCTACTATACTAAATATTCTGTTAATATTCTCGTTTTATTTATTTACTCTTTATTGTACTTAAAGAATAATACAAAGAGAGATATATACATTACACTTATGAAGTACAAAAGGCGGTCTTATCGCTAAATCAATGTCTTACAGACAACCTATTAGCTGGTTATTAATAACTACGTAAGATCACAATTAGATATTTTGCATTGGCTTAATATTTAAAGAATAACCATTTTATTCGTCACTCCAAAGAAAGCCTTGCCTTTCTAGTGCTAATTCGTTCAGTTACATTTATTTATTTATTTATAAAAGACACACCAACAATATGCTCACAATAATTAAGCAGACAATATACAATGTTATAAGTAAGTAAAAGAGAAAAACTACTATTAAAAAATGCTTAAATCTAAGTCTGAACAAAAACATCTTACTCCTCACTACCAAGCTTAAGGTCGATTAAAGGTGTATACAGCTCTCACAGATAAGCGTCAATGTACACTAAGTAACAATTATACAATTAGAAAAGACCTAACTATCAATCCATATCAGTGACTTCATCCCGAAGAATTCCAGTACATATAATATTAAATGATTTTTATATTTAGATAACTATAGAAAATAGATAGGGAATTTAATGAACTTACTACGTTTATCGTTTACGGCAATTAATTTTACTTCTTCCGAAAGTTTTCTTCATAATTATTGTATTTTGATCAAAATGATTGACTTATTTTTTATTTAATTTATTAGATACCTACTACATACGATTATTGAAATTGAATATCAAGTAAACGAGGCATAATGGACGGTACCATTGCGTGACGGTACAGTTCCTGTAGGTGTAAGGCATTCTGTGAACACTAGCGATGCACATGTACATCTAATAACTAATATATGCATCGGTATAGGGCATAAAGTACCTAAATGCGTACCTAATATAATTAACTAGCGAATCATCCCAAATTTGCACACTATTTTTGAATATCAAATACAGCCCATATTATTTGCTGATAATGTAACTATTTATGTGTGGGAATTTTTTAAAATCGTTTAAGTATTTTTATAATTTATCCATTTTAATGTAAAATAAAATATTTCCTCTTTATAACATTAAGTTTAGATAAAAATAATATTGAACGAAAATATTTATTAATTTCATAGGTGTAGGCATATACTAATGGACATAAGTATGTGTAAATAAATAAATACTTATCATTTGGTTTATAATTTAATTTAAATAACTTTATTGACCAAAATAAGGTGTAGTACAAAAGGCGAACTTAATGCTAGTAGCATTCTCTACTAGTCAAACTTTGCGATGTATTGTGAATTACAAACGCGGTACTACATTATAGGGATAGGTAAAGCAAATAACAACTAATAATGTATACCTATACAAAATAAATAATACATACATAAATATAAAGGAATATGCATACATATATATACAACTAAATAGATATATAAAATATAAATAATATATAAATAAATCAAATATAAAAGATGATGTAGTAAGTTCATAAAGTGAGTAAGTCGTTTGCTTAGGCACCTCTTTCCCATTCAAGTTTCTACCGTATAGTAGTTGTTTGCACGTCTGTGTTTTGGTTTATAGGGTGGAATATGGCAGTGAATTTACAGGGTACAGAGGAATAACATCTGACTCCTCAGGAATGGCAACGCATGGGGGTATCATGGGCGAAACAGTATACTCTGTTATGTCCATAGTACTGCTCATGCATATAGGTGATGGTTACTACTTTCCATCAGGTGGACCGTCAGTTTGTTTGCCATTCTAAGTTTCATAAAAAAAAAGGTGAGCATGAATTATTCTTTTAAACATGAATTTATTTGGAAGTTGTCGGATACCTTCAGGCAGTACATTCTAGAGTCGTGAAACCTGGATGGTGAAAGGTGGTTATATACATATACAACGTTCAAAATTAACAGAGCTTGCACTACTACTATATAGCTGATAGCAATAATTAAGTGGACATTTTTTTTGCAATATATACATATTATATTAGCTTTTATTCGCGACTTTATCCGGGTGACCGGGATATGTTTACTATCTAGATAAAAACTAGCCTTATATCTTTTTCAATCCTATATAATACACGTACACTAAATTTCATAGTGATTGGTTAAGTCGTTAAGGCGCTATAAGGTAACAAATAAACAAAGTCACTTTCACATTTATAATGTTAGTAAGAACAGGAAAGTACCCAGGGTCGGACTGGGCCGGAAGGGTCCGGGTCGCTGACCACAAGCCCGATGCCCAAGACTAGATGATGGTAGTTGCAACAGTTGGTAGTGTCACCGCAATCCTTTTTAACCAGGCCCGTGGCACGCAGGCTGGGGCCCGGCGGGCAAAAGTACCAAGTTATACGTCTCTGTATACAATTTTTATGTTTATGTTCTAGCCCCTTTCAAATCCTTGCTCTATTCTTTTTTGTTCTGGGCCTATATTTATGGTCAGAACGCATCATATGGTCTTTTAAGGAGTTCAAATTACATTTATATAGCGCATCAGAAGTGTTTCAGATAGCTTTTCTTGTAGCATACAATCTATTATGATAATAAAAAATATATGCTGCTTAGAATGTTAAAAAAGATTATTGACAAATATTTTTTTCTAAATTAAATTTGCCATATTATTTTTTTCTATAGCAAAACATACGATTAAATATAAACTGTTAACGTGCTTGCGATTGTATTGCATCTAACTCTTAAGCATTTCAATCGACCACCAAATAAGACCGTAAACCAATGGCGTGTTTTACTAAACGGTTTTCTTTACACATTCGTGCACTTATCGCTAAGGAATTGCCGGCAATCTACCGTTCAATCTATTTAAAGTATACTGTACACTTCCTAAGAACACTAGTGCAGCACAGGATGGCGGCACATACGGATCAATTGGAGCACACTAGCATTTACAATCGCGATCCTGACGGTAAATTGCTTATAAAGTAGGCTGTTGTAGTTCAACACTGAGATTTTGTTCTGATGGTGTGAATATTTTGAAATAATTGCCTGGTGATATTTAGTGAAATTACCCACGCATATACATATATGAGATCACTTTGAAAAATTGCGGGAGCTCATTATTTGTAGAGATAGGGTACGTGAACCTATGTACTAGGTAAAGCAGCGTGTATTAATTAATGAGGATTTCCTTTTAAATACAAATTTTAAAACTCTTTTCTTTTTCTTACATCAAGTCAATTTATCATAGAAATTATTTCTTGACTATGACATACTATTACTGTACTTAATAAGATCGGAAGAATCTACAGAAACTATTACTAGAGTTTATAAAGGAAGAAGTCAAAATATCCAGTCATATACCTAATTGGTAATAGAAAAATCATAGTCTAGTGCTGAAATAGTGCTTTAATAATATAAAAAGACTGTCATGAACATCATAAGTATCATCATAATAGCAAATATCAAACCAAAATACACAACTATTAAAATGGTTTAAGTCGTGCTTTTCAAATCCGAAACAAACTTAAAAGAAATTCAATTGGAGAACCAATTAGATATTCAATAAACAATAATAATAAACTTATTTTGGTCTTCTTTTTTTATCAACAGATAGCGAAGAAAGCGATGGCGAAGGAGGTCTAGGTAACTTGAATCGGCTAATAGTGCGGCCTCCTGGACAAAGTGGGAAAGCCAAACGTGGCCAGTTGTGTTTCGACGCGGCTTACGAGTGTGGCAACTTGGGCAGGGCTGATTATATCACAGATTTGGAGTACGATTTGTTCATTAGACCTGACACCTGCAGACCTAGGTGCAGATTCTGGTTCAATTTCACTATTGAAAACGTCAAGCAAGATCAAGTGGGTTTTAAAAACTAAAACATTCTACGATTTATCCGATCTCTGAAATCTCTATATGTATTTAAACGTCTTATTTTATTTCCAGAGAGTTATTTTCAACATAGTCAATTTAGGTAAAGAACATACTCTATTTAATCGTGACATGACACCTCTAGTGCGATCCACCTCACGACAAAAGTGGTAAATAATTTGAAAAATATTTAAAAAATCTCATTTGAACCTAATAATTCTACTGTAGACATTGATTTTATTAGCCTTGATTGTGAGGCCCGACGATGGATTGCCATTAGATATTTGTCTTGGCCTTATTTTTTTAAGTGACTAAACGCGTTTTCATTTAGCTTGTTAGCACTAACTAATTCAAATTAGAATTAAGTAAAAAGATATCATACTACATAGCTCTTTTATAGTTTGTGTGATTTAAATTTCACCTTTCTTCTGAAGGCAAAATTATAATAAATGTAGTTCATGGTGGCCCATAAAACAGTAATTTTGCGAAACTATCAAATTAAAATATTAGGTTAATCAGACCCTGGGTCTAAAACATTTTTCTAAACTGTCTATATTTAGGCAACGACTTCCAAGACGCTTGCTGTTTTACCATCGCTCGCTGGTGCATCGTGGACGTAAGATTCTCAGCATCGCCTTTGCATTCGATCGTGAAGAGGATATCTATCAGTTTGCATCTGCAGCGCCCTATTCTTATTCAAGACTGCAAAGACATTTAACTCTGTGGGAAAAGAAGGCGCAAACTTTTGCTACCAGGGAAAGCATTGCACAAACTACGGTAAAGATACTTCTTAACATTCGATTACCTGTTTCATTGCTGTTAATTTTGTTACTGAAATTATGATCATTATTCAGAAATATGAACTGAACCGTGAAAATTTAGGTTGTTCAATTCTGAAATTGATATGAATTCATCATGATGGACTTATTGAAAAATACTCGTTTACCATTTTCACTCATCAAAAATAAAACCGTGAAAATTTAAGTTGTTCAATTCTGAAATTGATAGAATTGAAAAATACCTTTATATAAAATAAAAAAAGTTTCCAGTGTAGACATTGCTATTCCTTGTATTTCTAATAGGAATTACAATATAGAAAAAAAAATTAAAAATGCGAAATATGTTCTAATAAATTTCTATCGACTACACCAGTCCATAGATATAAAAAAATATTAGAAAACCAATGCATATGAGTAATATTGTTAAATTTTTAAGCAAAAACGTCGTATCGATCTCATTACAATCGGGGATTTTGACTTCAAAGACAAGGAGAGAGAACCAAAACAGGAACATGCCACGAAGAATAAAGCGAGCGACAACAAAAAACGTGTCGTACTTATTTTATCTAGAACGCATGGTGGAGAGCAACCCGCTTCATTCATATGTCAAGGTATAATTTTCTCTTATTTTATTATTATTATATCAGCCATTAACTGCCCACTGTTGTACATAGACTTCCCCTTTGGGAAGTTTTATGGATAGTTGCTACGCTTGTCAGGCGGATTTGCAACTGCAGTTAATCTTTGGTGATGTTTTAAGAGGGACACTGCTGCCCATCTCTCTATCATTAAATTCCTTAATCCCCTCTAACTATGCCAACAGAAAAGGAAGGAATGGTCCATTCCAAACCGGGACTATATAACAATTTCTCTTATGTATCTATATTTAATTAATTTAAGTAACTAGTACTTAAGTTTTACTTAGTGTAATATATTTATTAAACAAAATTTATTAGCGAAAAATATTATTATTAGTAAATAAAATTAAGTTCGCTATTTGTTTTATCTATGTCCCTGTTTAAAATTGATGAAGCAAATTTATTATAGAATATATTCTATAATGTATGCCTATAGATATATTCAGTAACATAACAGCATGCCCATGATTGATTATTAATTTCTATCAAATGGATCGTCAGCTTGTTTGCAATTCTAAATCGCATTAAAACAAAATAAAAATACATTTTTTCAGGATTCCTAGACTATATGGTCAGTTCATCAGAAAAAGCATCTGCCTTGCGCAATAATATAGTATTACAGGTATCTATATTTTCGTAATATATTACAATATAATCTTAGATTATATACATAGAGAGTGACTCCATAGAAATGCTTCGAGAAAAACGGGTTAACGTTTTCATACAATTATGCGTGATAAATAGTTATGAGTGATTCCTTTTTAACTTCTATATTTATTTTGTCTTATCATTTTTTATTTTTATTAATGCGTAAACACTCATTTTATTTATTAAATAATTCGTCAAATTAAATTTTATGCGTAAATATATAGAAAACTGAAAAAAAAAAACGATTCAATTAATTTGACAAAAAGTTGACCCATTTTTAAGGCTCGATGCTCTAAATATATAATCTAAGAGATATGCATAATAATAAACATTTTATATACATTTGAGAGATCATAGCTGTAAACATTCAACTTGTTTAGACAAAATATTAGGTGATGTTTTAAATATTTTTACATAGGCGTATTTAGAAGGGGCTAGGTGGGGCGTGCCCATCTCAAAATCATCAGGTGTCCACCCCAGGATGCAAGGAAAACTTCAAGTCATGTTGAAAGTACCAGGATCCCCTTAGAAAATAATTTGTAAAAATATTTTGCCGTACAACATATTTCTACTTTGTAATTTCAAACACCAAACATAAATTTAAATACAGAACTAATGTTCTTCAGATAGTTCCGATGTTAAACCCCGACGGTGTATTCCTCGGCAACCAACGTTCGGATCTGTTCGGCGCAGATCTCAATCGGTGCTGGCATCGCCCCACGACCTTCGCGCACCCCGCCCTCATAGCTGTCAAGGAACTCGTAAGAAAACTTACATCAGAAAAGGTATGGCTGCTAAAATTTTAATCATGTTTCTATAATAATAACATGGTTAAATAATTGTTTCAACCACTAATGTCGTTATTAGAACTGCTTATTAGTTCTACTTTACCTTCCGATGTACGTAGATTTGATTATTGTACATTACAAACATTTGTATTGTAGATGTTTTCTATGTATAGTATATATGTATTAATTAATTTACCAGAGGGAGACATTGTACAAAAGTCGATTGCTTGGGTACCTCTGTCTTATTCTTGTTTCTACCGTGAAGCAATTGTGTTTGCATGGCTGTGTTTTGGTTTGAAGGGTGAATTTACAGGGTACAGAGGAATAACACCTGAGTCCTCAGGAATGGGAACGCATGGAGGTATCATGGGCGAAACAGTATTCTCTGTTATGTCCATGGTACTGCTCATGTCTATGGGCGATGGTTACCACTTTCTATCAGGTGGGCCGTCAACTTGTTTGCCATTCTAAGTCGTATAAAAAAAAATTAAAAATCTTGTCTAGCATATATGCTACGACCAGATGGCGCTGTCTAATATTATTATAGGGTATTAATATTAACAGTTAGTTATTAAAAAAAAATCAAACTGAAGCTATGCATTGAAGTAGATAGGAATATTTCCTTAAGGAATCCAACTATTGGTATGATGGAGTTTTGTGTCGTAATACAAGTTTTATAAAGTTTTACATTAATCTGTTCCAGAATGTACAAATGGATTTCATCATTGATATACACTCTGACATAAGCCACGAGGGTGTTTTTGTTCGTGGCAACTCGTATGATGATGTGTACAGGTAAGGTCCCGCATAGAGGAAAGATAGTCCTCGCTTTGCTTTTAGCGAGAGTTTTTTTTTATGATTTATGTAATTCAGTTTCTCATCTACATAAAAATATTATAAATAATTGTCAGTTTGTTTCAATATTTAAGTTAGTCTGTCTTAAAGTATTTTACCGATTTACAGGTTCTTGGTGGCCTTTTGGTATTCGTAAATACTTAACTAAATTACGTATATTGCATTAAATATATTGCTGCCATTATCCACAAGGTTTGAACGGCATGCGGTCCTGCCCAAGTTCTTGGCAACTCGGGTAGAAGCTTGGCGAGCCGAAGCATGTCTGTACAACTCGGACTCGTCAGTGACAGGGAGCGCGCGGCGGACTCTACCGACAGGCGGTGTGGACGCGTACACACTGATTGCCTCCATGGGCGGACGAAGACTGACTCCCAGGGGACCCTATTTACATTATACAGAAGATGCTTGTATCCTTTATAATTTATTTATTTATAGTACATTAAATTAAATAGTGTAAAATGTATCATCTGTAAGACCTATATTAGACCCTAATGAATTATTATTATTAGTTACCAATAACGAACGCTAGTTTGTGGCAAATTAGCGGCGAATTTTCTTCACAGATAAATATAAGTTTGTGTGAATAGTTGATTTAGTATCATTATGTAATCTAGACAATTGTGTAATTTGTATTAATATTGCTGCTATTTGTATCGTAAATGCGATTATACGCACTCCACACACGTCCGTCCATAGGATCAATATAATATATTTATCCATTTTAAATAACGTTTACAACGCAAATTTATTTTCTAATTTTGTACCTAATATAACAGATGTTAATAATGCTTTATTCGCTGATTTTTTATGCTCAATAACTGATAAAAATGTGGGCGTAAACTACCAGTGCCTAAAAACTGAACATAGGCAGTTTTAGAGATATTTTTTTTAATAAAATTTTAATTTTTTTCTTTCATAATACTATATGTTTTTTAAATTTTGAATATACTTTACATAATTTTTTTTAATGTCGCAAGTGCGTAAACCGAGAAATGGCACATTTACCCTAATAGGAAAAAGGTCAGATATGACAGAGGCCTTCGTCTACAACGAAAATGGTGTAGAAACTATTGATACCAAACCCTTACACGAGAGGAGGCAAATGTTAAAGAATATCGATTACTCAGCTCTATATACAGATGCGAAAATAGGTAGATCTCTGGCGAAGGCTCTGTGCGACTACTACCGTCACATCGGTGTGATCCCGCCGAGGGTAGGGTTGACAAAGAAAAAGGAGTCGCGCGGTCGACGACGGCGTAGACGGCCGGCAGTCGAACGGGAGAGGTCAGACTTTTACAATAAGTTGAGCTCAATGAATGTCACAATAGTACAAAGACCCGACCAGAATTCTTCTAATCAATACATTTATCTCTCTTTTTACCTACTATATTAAATTTTGTCTAATTTTGATAATGCCTTTTTTTCTGATATTGAATGGTGAACAAGTTGACGACTCGCCTGATTGAAAGTGATAACTATCGCCTATAGACATAAACAGTCTTACACATTACAGAATACACTGTGATGCCAAATATTTCCCTGTTATTTGGGCATTCCGGAGAACTACGATGTTATGTGACCGCACTCTGTAATTTCATTGGCATGTCCATTAAACAGAAACATAGCCATGCAAACACAGCATAGCTGCGTCCTCAGATGCAGTATGGTTTTTAGCGGATAATAATAGAATAAAGAATCAAAGTCACCGACATTGCCCGAAGGATAAGCAAGCTGAAGTGGTAATGGGCTGGTTACAAAGCTCGAAGAACCGACAATCGATGAGGAAGAAACGTTCACGAGTGGATACCCCGTACTGGAAAGCGCAATGTGGGATGACCTCTCACTAGATGGAGTAACGACCTTAAATGCATTGTAGGGAGTTAGTGGAGGCCTATGTTCAGCCTATGTTCAGTTCAGTGGGCAGACAGTCGCTAAGATGGTGATAAATAGAATGGTAATTCTGCTTGCACCATTGATATATAATGACGGAATACAGTGAGGAATGAAGAAGACGAAAGCAGGTCAATTGACCCATCGCAATTTTGGTTTCCAAAGGGGACCTACTGTGTAGGTTGTTGTATATGTATGTGCAGATCACCAAGCTCTTCCCCTGAACGGCGTGTGCTGGCAGCGCGCGTGGTGTCCCCGCCGCTGCCGGCTGCGTCGCCGCCGCCATTGCGGGCGTTGCCGCCGCGACCAGCGCACTCCCGTCATTCGCGGCACACCGCCGGACACACAGCCCGTCCGAGGACCGAACCAGATGTACATGCTATACTGCCACTCGTTACCGGTATACACAAATATTATATTTTTGAAGTGGATGTAGATGAATCCCAAATTATAAGAAATAACGAAAAATAGTCATAATACTTAAAATGTGCTGATAAAAATTTTTCTTAAAAACCTTAATTTGTAAAAATTGATATATATATACATTCTCTACTACTGACCTGCCGAATAAATAGTAAATTTCCGCCTTGTTTAAAAAATTCTGAGAAACCTGTTCGGTCGCTTATTACTTCATTTATTTTAGGGCCAGAATCTTATAAATAGGCATTTTTAGGGTAATGAAGCAACTATTCTTGTACATCTTGAGGTGTTAACGATGCATACATATTATATCTTGAATCTTTGTATCATATTTTTTTTCATGCAAGTTAGAATAGCAAACAAGCTGATGGTACACCTGATGGAAAGTGGTAACAGTCGCCTATAGACATGAGCAGTACCATGAACATAACAGAGTATACTGTTTCGCCTATGATACTCCCTATGCGTTACCATTCCTGAGGACTTAGATATTATTCCTCTGTACCCTGAAAATTCACTGCCATATCCCACCCTTCAGACCGAAATAAAGCCATGCAAACACAACTGCTTCACGGTAGAAACACGAATAGGACAGAGGCGTGTTTTGTATAGTCTCCCTCTGTTATATAACTTCTGAAATATATTTTTTCGATATAACTGTCTGTAGGTATATATTATTCCACGCATAACAGCTATAGTTGTGTATTACTTATAGAAATGTCGCCACCCTTATGATGTAAAGCATTTATGTATGATTAATATGTTACGATACGTACACACCAGAATAACAAATTTTCATTCCAGGTACGGCTGTCAGAACTCCTCGGCTGGCTGTGGTCGATATGAGCGCTTACATACGATCTCCGACCGGCGCCAGTAACCTATTCAACAAATCCAGGAGCAAACTAGCAAGACCACCGCGTCCATCCCACCCGAAATACACCAGTGATGAATATGAAACACACGAGTCAGATTCTTGAAAAGTTACATAAATATAAATTATAATCTAAGTATCTTAATATCTAAGCGCGCTCCATCCTAGTTCTTATCATCACTTGTAATAAAAAATATATATAGGTAGTTCAAAATGGGCGCTTTTTTAATTTACCACGATATCGTATTTCTCAATTTTACCGTTACATTACAATAGGTGAGCAAAACGTGTGCCATTATTAGGAGACTTAATTTCGTCCACGATATCGCTGTAGAAAATTAAAAGCTTCAATTTGATTTTCTACCATATCGTGTTGACTAACAATAAATAAGTACTTAGGTATTATAATACGCTATACTGTGGTAAATCATGTCTAAATTATGTTAAAATGGTCTCTTGTTGTAAAACTATTACAACAAGAGACCATTTTAACATAAATACATATTTAACATAATGATATTATTTATGACTGCTTATTGCCATAAATAAATAAAAAAAAAATAAAGGAGCAGCTATAGTCTGTTTCAAAAGATTTTAATAATAAGGTAATGACAGAATGCACCATATTTTTCTATAGTAAAAAGTATAAGTGGCCAGTACGTGCAATATTAAAAAGAGTTCTTTCTCACATATTAAATTGAATCAGCAACAAGAATTATCACGGAAACATTATCTAAATGAAACTAGCAACAAATCAAAACATTTAATGAATTTATTTTTTATTTGTATTACTACTATTGAAGTTCAAAACTATTACGGTCTTAACAATTTATCCCTTTTTTACATTTTTATTAAGATCTATTGAAATAGACTATATCGTAACAAAGTTGACGGTAAAGTTACTACTTTACCGTCAACTCCGTGCCATGTTAGATATGGTAATTGAAAAGGCGCCTAATACGTCCAACTCTTAAACTAAGTAAGTTAATACTTTCTATCTATTATATATATATATAAGTAAGTTAATCATTTCTCTTTGAATCTATATCAATTTAAACTATTCAATTCAATTCAATTCAATCATTTATTACTATTACATGCTGTAACATTGGTATATTATCTTTCCATACTTAACTTTCATATTATAGTAGGTATCTACTTAAGTCGGTCCGTAGGAAAATTGACTCTGTCTGCACTTACCTTTTGTCTTTTGCACTCTCTATTTATCTCTCAAGAACCGACTCAGTTTCAATGATTTTACAAACAAAAATAAGTTAAATGGCTTACAAGTGCCAAATTAATATAACAATGGTATAAACATTTTAGTCTCTATTGAAGTTTTTTTTTTTTTTTTATATAAAAGTTAAAACGACATTAAACCAACGGCCCACCTAATATTAAGTGGTATTAATAGTTTATAGTTATCAGTAACATTATGGATATCACAGAATACACTGTGATGCCCAATTGTACCTCATTCATTGTCATGTCCGAAGATTATGGACTAGATAATTTTGTCAAGAGAAAGTGAAAATAATATTGTTTACATATTAACCCTTAAATACCTGAAGTTTCAAATTTGTGACCGGGGCTTGTATTGTTTCATTGTTAAATAAATATAAATATTTTGGTTACCGTAATGCCTAATGTATCAAAAATGATACCAAATGTTTTTTTCAAAAAAAAAAAATATATATATATATATATATATATATATATATATATATATAAATATCGTTTTGATTTTTTTTTACTATTTTTCCCCATTAGTAAACACAGTAAAGTATACACTTATATATTTTTTAATTTGATTTAAAAAATCAGGCTTTTAAGGGTTAAATTGCTATCCCGACATTTGTGAAAGTTAATGCAATCATAAAGGGGAGCATGATCAAAATTATCGAAGTAACAGTGTAGTGGTCCCATGGGATTGCATTAGATTACTGTTTTCCATTTCATCAACCAAAAATTATTAACAGACTGTTATCAGTGATAACAGGTAATTAATTTAATATTTCAGTTTTTTTAGTAGATATGTATATTCTAGAAAGTGTTTATAACACTAAGATGCAAAATATCGAATCAATTTTTAAAACATGGTTCTTTAATCTACATAATATAATTACACTTTATAAAACTCTTTGGTACTTTAATAAACTTTGCATTTCTTTAAAGTTGCTTGTTTGAGTAATAATGATGGAATAATGGATGAAAGGTCAGTTGGCTTATCGTGACCGATTCATTAAGAATTAACCACGACGGTTTCCAGTGGGAATCTCACGTAACCCTATATTCCTAGCGACGAGGCGGCACTAGTCCTGCTTTCTGACAATCCATTTCCCCCTATAACTGTAGGTAGATGTTTGCTTAAATTCATGTATTATTATTATATTCATTTATTGTGGTAGAGCCACGCTGTAATCCTATATGGTATTGCAGCATGAATGGGCCGGCTCGACCGGGGAAGTACCACACCCTCACAGAATACCGACGCTAAGTGGTTGCACTTTTAGTGCGATCACATTCCGTATGGTGAGTGAGGGAGTCCGAGGCCCATCCCATACCCATCCCTTTCCTATTCCTAAAATCCTTTCCCCAACCCCGTCCCCCTATCTTACAACACGCAACCATGGTAGTGGAATTAAAAAAAAAAAATAACATACCCCAGGGAGGTACCAGTAACCATGTTGCTGGAGAATCCTCTCTCGAGCAACCACGCTCGGGCTGCCCTGCGTATTCTGGGGGGGGGCAAAATTCCGCTCTTTGGAACCAAGGGCAAACGGAGCAAGATTTCTACGGCATCCCCTTCGCTCAATGTGAGCTTCTGCAATATCAGGGGATTACATTCTAACTTAAACGCTGTTCACCACCACCTAGAAACGGCGCGGCCGGCATTGCTCTTTCTAACGGAGACACAGATATCCTCTCCAAACGAAACTTCATACCTGACGTACCCGGGATATAAACTTGAACATTGTTTTGTTTCGCGTGCCGGTGTATGCGCGTATGTCAGAGAGGATATCTGCTGTCGCCGCCTTGGAATTCTTGAAGGTACGGACCTGTCTATTTTATGGCTGCGCGTAGACTGCAATGACCATCCTCGCGTCTATGCATGCCTATACAGGTCCCACAGCGGTAACATCGAAACCGACCAACTCATTGAGCACGTCCAAATGACTACAGATTCCCTGCTCGAACAGATTCCTTCCGCTGAAGTCGTGATTCTTGGCGATTTTAATGCCCACCATACCGAATGGCTTGGTTCACGTACAACCGACTATGCGGGAAGATCTGTTCATGACTTTGCTTTGGCTTATGGTCTGACGCAGCTTGTTTCCTCGCCTACGCGAATACCTGATGTGTTGGACCATTCACCTTCACTGTTGGACCTTCTGCTGACCACCCATCCAGACAACTATGTGATTTCCGTCGAAGCTCCGCTTGGATCGTCGGATCACTGTCTGGTGCGGAGCGAATGAGTCCGATTCCACCACGTTCCACGGGTAGACGTCGTGTTTGGCACTACAGGTCGGCAGACTGGGATGAGATGCGGATTTTTTTCGCATCTTACCCATGGAGGCAGGTTTGCTTCGCACTGAGGGACCCCGACGCCATCGCCAATTCCATCGCCGATGTGGTGCTTCAGGGAATGGAATTATTTATTCCTAACTCTGTGGTACCTGTCGGTGGGAAATCCCAGCCCTGGTATGGAGCCTCTTGTAGAATAGCATCTCGCCTGAAACAGGAGTGCTTCCTAGCCTGGGCCAAAGGTGTGGCGTCGCGAGATCCTAACATCAGTGCCCTTAAAAAGAAGTATAACTTTGCCTCTAGGTCCTTCAAAAGAGTTTTGGCCACAGCGAAGTCAGAGCATATTGGTAGAATTGGCAAAGTTTACCTTCGGGGTCTCGAGCTTTCTGGTCTCTTGCCAAAGCTGCACAAGGGAATTTCTGTCAGTCATCTTTTCCACCATTGCGCAGGGAGGATAACTCGTTGGCTCTGAACGCCAAAGAGAAGGCCGATCTCCTTGGATCTCTCTTTGCATCAAACTCGACGTTGGATGACGGGGAGAAACCACCGCCGACCATCCCGCGTTGTAAGAGCTCTATGCCGGATGTTAAATTCACGCAAAGATCAGTGCGTAGAGCACTTCTCTCCCTTGAAATCCATAAGTGATGGGCCCGATGGCATTCCTCCAATTGTGCTTAGGACGTAAGTTGGCTCCGGTTCTTACGCGTCTTTTTCGGCTCTGTTACTCATTATAGTCCCAAAGTTTTGGAAGACTTTTTTTTTCAGATCCAGCTAACTATAGGCCCATAGCTATACCTCCTTATTCTCGAAAGTCATGGAATCAGTTGTTAACCATCAACTGCTCCGGTACCTAGAGGATCGCCAGCTGATCTCAGAAGTACGGCTTTCGACGGGGGCGCTCGGCTGGTGATCTTTTAGTTTATTTAACACACCGATGGCAATCGAGAATAAGGGAGAGGCCTTAGCTGTTAGTCTGGATATTGCGAAAGCCTTTGATCGGGTTTAATCTCAAAACTACCTTCGTTTGTTGCCTTGCAGTTAAGTTTTCTTAAGGACCGTAGCATTAAGGTCGTAGTCGATATGCTCTGACTTAAAACCTGTGAATGCTGGTGTCCCGCAAGGCTGTGTACTATCTCCGACACTGTTTCTTCTGCATATCAATGATATGTTACAGATCAGTGATATTCATTGTTATGCAGACGACAGTACAGGAGATGCATTATACACCGGTCATGCAAAGATCTCGCGGACACATACCGATGAGCTCCGGAACAGACTTGTGTCTGAAATCGAAACTTCGCTCGATAAAGTTTCGATCTGGGGTGAACGCAATCTTGTTCACTTTAACCCTAAGAAGACACAAGTCTGCGCGTTCACCGCAAAAAAGACACCGTTTGTCGTATCTCCTTACTTTCGGGGCACTTCCCTCGATAATAAGTCGAGTCTGGGGATTCTTGGGGTCGATATATCTAGCGACGTCCAGTTTTGCGGTCATCTGGAGGAAAAAGCTAAGATAGCTTCCAAAAAGTTGGGGGTGCTCAATAGGGTGAGACGGTATTTCACGCCAGAAAACCGCCTGAAACTATATAAAGCTCAAGTGAGGCCACACATGGAATACTGTTCTTACCTGGGGGCAGGAGCGCCACAGTACCAACTCCTTCCGTTAGACCGCATTCAAAGTCGGGCAGCTCGAATTGTTGACGATCGGCGTCTTACTGTCCGACTCGACCCACTGGAACTGCGTAGAGATGTTGCATCTCTGTGCATTTTCTACCGAATTTATCATGGGGAGTGCTCTGAAGAATTGTTCGGATTGATACCTGCTGCAGATTTTCACCATCGTACAACCCGCCATAAACTAAAATTTCATCCCAACCATCTGGACAAGTGGCGGTCCTCCACCGTGCGTTTTTCAAGGCACTTTCTCCCACGCACAACCACTCTTTGGAATCAACTTCCAGCAGCAGTATTTCCGAACCGATACGACAACATAACCTTCAAGAAAAGAGCATATTCCTTTTTAAAAGGCCGGCAGCACACCTGCAATGCCGTAGGTGTTGTGGGTGATCATGGGCGGCGGTAGTCACTTACCATCAGGTGAGCCGCATGCTCGTTTGCCCCCTGTGTTGTAAAAAAAAAAAAAAAAAAATGTTTAGAAAATCTTGGATTTACTAAATTCCTAAACTAGCATTCATACTAATTTGGGAAATTTCAATACAACAACCACAATTAATGAAACAAATATTTCTTTTATTTAAATGTATAATGTCCAAGCTTTTGATATTTACAATCACTAACATCTATATAATCATTCAGTCATCTGTTCTTATAACAATCTTATTGAACACTATTATCACTACAAATTTCTCAATCATAACTGCAAATGAACAAATGAAAACGAGACTGAGTATCGTTGTAGAGATTTATTCTCTGAACATGTTATATTTCATGACAAAATTTGGTTTAGATGTAAACAACTTCACCTACTCATACTAAAGGTCATAAGAGCATCACGAAAATAATAGGACTCGCGGAGGCGAATCGGAAAAGCGCGGGCGGCCCGCAGCGCGGGCGTCGAAGCGGCCGCAGCGGCATCTACCACGGCCGAGCGCGAAGCACCTCCCTAATAAATATCTTTGGCATGAACCGAACAGCTCGCCGACAATTCACACGCGATTGCACTAACAACCGATAGTAATTATTGCTTTATGCCAAACAGAGTTCGTTTCGTTATCGCACGGGTCATGTGGAGCGCGCTACTGGGTGGCATCATTGGGAAGCGTGGCACTGATGCGTCGGCGTCCAACTGTGTCGCTCCTAGACGTTGGTGTAAATGAGCGACAGTTTCACAGCGTCACTCCCAGACTCCGGCGTCAAACAGCATCAATCACTGGCGTCGGCGTTCGCCAGCGTTACTCCCAGGCATCGCCGTCCGACGACGTCGCTCCCAGGCGTCGGCGTCCTCGTCGGACGACATCACTCCCAGGCGTCGTGGTCGGCGTCATCGTCTGAGAGGGTTACCAGGTGCATGGGGTCGTCGGGCGGACGTGCGGGCTCGACTGCAGCCGCCGCGGACGCGGCTGGCGCACGTGCTGCCCGCTTCTGACGAAGTAATTCCTCGTCAGCTGCGGTGCGCGGTTTGCGGAACTCGTACACTAGCGGGAATATACGCTCCACTGCAGACTGCACGTCGTTCACGCTCCGAGCTGAAACCCATAGACATTTTCAGTGTTTTTTTTTTTTTAATATTCTGGTCAATGTTTAATAATACTGTACAGTTATATTGTCGAAGAATAGAATTTATATATAGTATACACACATTATTCAATATCCACTCAAAAGGTTTTTTAAAATGTCAAACTTAGATTTTTAGATCCCAGTTACAATGCAAAATATTAAAAAAAAAAATATTATAAGCGCCAGAATTTTTGATATACCATTTGAAACTATTTTAGAACTTTTAAACTACTATTTCTTATATTTTAAAATGCAATACTAAACTTGTTTTTTGTATTGGATGGAATCTATACATATGTTTATAGACGACGGTTACCACTTTCTATCAGATGGGCCGTCAGCTTGTTTGTCATTCCAAGTAACTAAAAAAATCATAAAAAATCTCTATCCCATTTTGTTTATAAGGCTCGTGATAAACAGACATGGCTGGTGCAATAATAATATTTATAAAACTCACAATGGCAAATTAGGCGACTGACCAACCTAATGGAAATGAATAATAGTATCAACGTACATCTTTTTGTGAGCAATTAATACATATTTTCGATTCGAGAAATAATCAGGAAAACTCTCATTTTTCCACTTTACAAAGTTAACTTTATATCTCTGTAATCTCCTAATATTACAAAATGGAAGATTGTGAACATATTATATTTGGATATTTAGATATTTGTTATGTTTAAATGGGCCATAATCCTATATTAACACAAGGTAATTTTTACCCAAACCATATAGACAAAACTGGAAAGTGGTAGTAGTATTATAATATCAAGTGACAAATCAATGTCGATTTCACTATTATTTATATATCTGAATTTAGATTTTAATTTAGATAATATTAATTGTGTAAATCGTTCCTTTTTAAAGGATTTTCCAAAAGGGGAGAATTAGTATAATTATGTGGTTATTTAAACCGAAAGACTGCTCATGTTTTGATCCCATTTTTATTTTAAGATGATTGAAGCTGTAGTTTTTATTTGCTAAAACACTACTAGCTATAAAAGAAAATATACTTCTAAACGCCAGAATACTGGGTTTTCATTTAACATATATTTAACCGGATGTGTCTACGAAAATGTATTTGTTTAACAATATAACAAGAAAACACACTAACCTGTGATTGTAACACCGCCTGTGGAGAATATTTTCAGCGTGGCTTTAGGATTATATAACTTATAAGTAACACCTGGATGCAGTTCTGGTTCATAACTGAAATGGAAAAATATATATATTAATAATTTCAACAACAGTCATATGATATATTCAACAATTGTAATAAAAACCAGTTTTTAATATCAACATGTCTCGAAGAAACTTTGCATTTTTTTAGTTACATTTAGAGTATGTAGTGTTTGTTTGCACCTATTTATAAAAAAAATATTAATTACAAATTTATATTAATTATATCTATTTTTTTTATATATATGAAATGATAAGTATAATTGCTATTTATCTATATTATCTATGAATATATTCTGGGTCATGATAAAAAAAATTACATAGATATTTGGCGTAATTCTAAAAAAACTACAAATAGGAAGGAGAATCAAGACATTTTGTGACTCTCTGTTTATTGTTAGCAGAGCAGATTTCTAGATATCATTATATAACTTTAATATATGTACAATACTCCTATAAAATTTTACATATACATTGACTTTACATAAACAAAAGCATTTAATATTTTTTTAATATTACTGCTAACTAGGGAGTTTGATTTCACCACTATAATGTTGTAAACCAAATTAAATTTCTGATCAGTCTAAGTACATGACGCTTTTAAGAGGGCAGCAGCTGGACAAAGGTTCACCATAGGAAAATGATTTTACTGCTATGAATATGGTCATTCATTCAGGACGACTAATATTCATTTTTGCCTGTTTGTTTGGGCTTTGCCTAATAAATCTATGGAACAGGAATAAACTCAAAACTCCAGTATTGGATTCCGATCAATAACATCAGTACTTAATAGCGTACATATTTATAGAGGTGTGAAAACATCAGAATAATTATGTCAATTTTTTTATACAACTTAGAATGGTAAACAAGCTGATGATTCACCTGATGGAAAATGGTAACCATTTGCCTATAGACATGAGTAGTACCATGGACATAACAGAGTATATTGTTTCACCCATGTTATCTCCCATGTGTTGCCATAATTATGTCAATTTTCGAAAATTATTTAATATTTTTATTGATTATTCTAAAAGTGCTCTGTTAGCTAAAATGTTCATTATGCAATAAAATTATTATAAAACATTCACAAAAATTTGGATTTTGATAGCAAAAAAAGTACCTGTAAACTATTTTATGAAAAGAAGCTGCTTTATTGAAAAGATGCTAAATTCTTAATGGTAAGTTTATGTGCTATTCTATGGTTATAATTTAAATGTTTTTAAACAATGTTGCATTTAAATGTAATCTAAGGATTGCAGTAAGTAAATTGTACAAATATCAAAATGTAGCTCATCATTTTTTACTTTTTATTTACATTACAAAAATGTTCTCACAAGGTAGTCTTATTATTGGCTTTGTAATCTATGAAAAACTTCAAGAACTCATATTTATTGTAACAAACTGTTGAATACATAAATAAAAAATTAAAAACAAAATGCTAAAAATATATTAAGTCAAAGTAAGAACCTACTTTTTTAAGTTAATGCTAAAGATATTATTTATATACAGTCTTTTACAAATATAAACATTTCAAGAGGTTGGATAAATAATTCTTAATAAAGTAACTGACCTACAGTCTAAATAAGTACCAAATGTTTTATTTATTAAAATTTTGCATATAAAACATTTCATATATATATAAAAAAAAATCTATTACAAAATATTCAGCAATTTCAGAATATAGGTAATAGTAATTTTATGATGCAGGAGAACAGTTATGTAAATGAATGTACTATAAAGACCATGTTGTTTCTCATTCTAATCCAATTGCAAAAATGACATTGTTTAGGTGCAAGTTGCACTTCCACGCCGAGGGTTCCGTACATAAATATATATAAACATAAAATGATGTTTCTTGCATTTCTAATATGAAATAGACACCTAATAGTTATTATTATTGATATAACAATTCAGTTTCTTAGTTTGGACCATAATGGTGGTTAAATACTTCAGTTGTTTTCAGAGTTTTTGATAATTTCACAAGAAACATGTAAGAATCATAATTTTATTTTGTAATAATCCTGTAATATTCACATACACCTTTATAAACTGTAATTATTGTAGATTTTTTGTTTCAGAATGCTTTTTTCTCACATTTACGACCATAACTAAAAAAATTGTCAGAATAAAAATAAACAAAAATCAGTTTTAAAATGTACAAAGACAGTCCTTTCATAGGATACCCCACTTGGACTAGTAGGTCATTTTGAGTATCCATTTTGAATGTTTATTGAATTATTTTCATTGCAATATATGCAGGCCAATGATATGTAAAACTATTCCAAACTTCAATGCATAAGTGGTTGCCGAGATAAGATGTAGTGAGAGACGGACTGACAGACATCCAGACAAATAGATAAACAGTTGCACCATAAGGGTTCCTTTGTATTTTATTGATACTGAACCCTAAAAATAACATATGCCACTGAATATATTTGATTATAATCTTTAAACTGATGGGAAATATCAAAGATTTAAGAACAAAGTTCATAGGGAAATATATTAATAGAAAAAACAATATATGAAGTAAGTTTCATATGTAAAAAAGCCTTCTGCATTTTTTACGCTGCCTATTCATTAAGGAATTTATGCATGAACATACATGAATAAAATAACCAATTTTACAAATTTATGCAGTTTGTCACATGTACATTGAAAAATATTAAAATTTTATACTATTAACTAGTATACCTACTGCCTAGTAGTCAAAGGTAAACAACCTTAAGTTTGAAGAAGTCAGACACTAACATTGTTTTTCTATTGTTAGATCTATATTGAATTTTAATGTTGGTAGTTTATATTCACACAACATCGAAATTCTAATTTAAAAGAGCAATATTTTCATCTTTTCTGAGCTGAAATTCTTATCAGATAAGAGTTTTGAAATAAAAAACCAATTATATGTATTAATTACTTCATCAATTATAATTACTTTTATTTATTAATAATGTTTATAATAAATAAATGTAATCTATTTTAATATTAAAATTATTCCTAAGAATATATTAGAAAGACTTCCTATTTTTCTTATAAATTATTCCCTCCATGTCGACGTTTTGTCTACAGAGGATGAATGTGTTTCATTTTGAAGAAAATGAAATAGAGAATTGTCATTTTGTTCGGCAGGCAGTAGCGGATCTATAATCAAGTGTTTCAAAAGAAATAATCGACTGTTGACATTGTACCAAGTGAACTCAATAGTTCATATTTCACAAAGTTCCGGGTTGGGACACATAAATATACTAAAACAATAAATACAAAATTATATTAGAAAGGATACTCACTCTGCTTCCTTATATTTATTGGAGAATGCTATGATCCGTATACCGAAGGGCATTCTACAAGTGCCTAATACATTGACTACTCGAAAATTCTGGAAGCGAACTTGGAAGCCAAGTTTCTGTAGAGCGCGCGCGTACCGCCGCGCGGCTACCTTCGCTTGGTCCTCACTCGTGGCACCCGTGCACGTGACGCGGCCAGACGACCAGATTGACGCGGTGGTATAGGGGCGCCGCAACTTCATCGTCACCATGCCGTTCTCGCGACGGAACTCAACGTTAACACCGTTCAATGCAATCTGTCTCAAGTTCAGATGACACTTAACACTAAAACTACACACGACATTGTTTATCACGATATCTATTTCAGGCGTCTCTTCCTCTTCCTCGGCTGCGGCGGGCGCTGCCGCGTCTGCGACATCGGTGCAAGGCGGCTGCGGTCCAGCTGTGGTACCGGCTTCGCAGTACTCATGGTCGGGCACCATATGACTAGGGACACTGTGTGTGGATATGCCATGGTTAGACACCACTCCGTGGTTGCCTTTGCTCAGCTCCTTAATACCATTCTCTTGGATGAGCGTAGCCATGACCACCACGGCGTGCTGAAATCACAAATAAAGCATAATTTAAAATTTTGTTAAAAAAAGAAAAAATCAATAGTCAATAAATATTGACTACTTTTGTTTTGTATAAAATCACAAAATTCAGTTCAGAACTGATGAAAATATTTGCAATATATAAAAAATTATTAACAATTTTTACAGTTAATTGATAATGTTCAATAATAATGTTTTAAGTAGTTGTGCTAATACAATAATATCTACATAATAAAACTATATTCCTAAGACCTGAAACCAATCTAATTCATTTAATCAATATTCTCATAAACATGTCGTTATAAAGATTAAATTTATTCATGTGTGTTGAAATACAATTATGTAAATAAAACTGAAAAATATTTGTTATCTCTATTGATATATGATTGCATGTATGAAACATAATCATTTGTGGAAGAGTGTACACTTTTTAAAGGCAATTTTAGTTGTTATCAAGCATTGAATTTATAGGTAAACAATAAGAATAAATTATGCATAAAATTATTTTTATATGTTTATAATATAAAATAATCATTCACAATTGACATTGTAGTTTCAAATCATGTATCATTATGATAGTATTGACATTTGGTAAATAAATAAAACTTGTTACTTTACTATGATATCATACTATATGTTTAGTCTAAAGGAACTGATTTAAAATCCAAGCCAGGATATTTTAGGCTATATTTTTAAATAAATTGTGTAAGCAAAGAGAATAATTGTAATTCTATTGTATTCTTTAACAAGTTCTTAGTATATCTAAATTTAGATATAGGTATATGAGAATGGATAAATCACAGAGGCTCATTTCTAAATTAATAGAGTAATACTGATTTAGTAATGAAACTTAAGTGTAAATCAGTAGATTTACACTAAAGTTTGTATATAACATTATTAATAGTAAAAGTGACAATATATTCAAACAAAACTGAGAGGGTTTTTTTAATGGATGTAAATGGAATGGTAGCCCCGCCTGCGCTAACGATATACGCTAGTGGGGCACCAGTGAAGGATGATAAATGACAATGAAAAGGCAGGTTAGTTAGCCCATCGCGATGAATACATCTTATATTCATCACCATGGCTCCCAGGGGGGACCACGTGGAAGTAGACCTAACAGGATATATTGCTAGCAATGGGGCTGGTAGTCTGCATTGCTAACAATCCCTTCCTCCCCCACTGAGGAGATTTTTTTTATGATAATGGAATGATAACCCTGCCTGCGCTGTGGTATACACTGGCGGGGCACCAATGAGGGATGATTGGTGAGGATGAAAAGGCAAGTCAGTTAGCCCATCCTGACGAATTCAATGATAAATTAGTCACGAACCATTATGACTAATTTATCATTGATTGCTAGCAATATACCTTTTCCGATCGACCTTCGAACAGTCCCCCTGGAAACCATGGTGCTAAATCCAGGTGTATCATTCAGGATAGACTAACTGACATGCCTTTTCATCCACGCCTATCATCCCTCACTGGTGCCCCCGCCAGTGTATACCATTAGCACAAGCAGGGTTACCATTCCATTATCATCAATTAAAAAAAATATGAGATATAGAGGGAAAAGGGGACTGTAAGTATCGAGGATCTAACAGCCCCATTGCTAGCAATGCACCCTATCAGGTTGACCTTCAAGCAGTTCCCGCTGGAAACCATCTTAATTAATTTTTTATGAATGTCACTACAGATCAACTGACCTGTTCCATTCTCAACTATCATTTCTCACTGATTTTTTTTTTTTATTTATTCATTCATTTATTTTGTGATACATAGGTAACAATGGATGGTAAAACAATATAAGTCCTCTATGATCAACCCCATCTATCGAGGTATACATGATTGCTCTGACATATCTGACATACAGATGCTCTGCCAATGTATACCAACAGCGCAGGTGGCTTTACAATTCCATTATCACCCAATAAAAAAAAGTGTGTGATATAAGTCTATCCAAATATCTATATGACTAAGTAACATCTTGACAAACTTTTACAGTTTTAATATTAGAATATTTAGGATTAATAGTAATAAATACCAATCATAATGCACTGTAATCAAAATACAGTAGGAAATGACTCACACTGAAATATCACTGTGATTAAAAACTTGTAACATGGAGAGAACGGTTATTGTTAAAAGCAGAAACCATAAAGAGAACTTTATTGAAAATTGTTGATTGCACAACAATGGTCAGAGCTTACTAAACAAACTCATGAAACAATGAAAACATTACATTGCATCTTATACATAATTACTGAGTAATAATGCAGTATGCTCACTGAATTTGTCAAAATTGTTAATGTTGTAATTTAAATAATTAAAAATATATATATAATAATAGATAATTAAAATGAGATGAGTATCTAAGCAATTTATGTTAAATTATATAATACCTATTGAAATATAAAAAATGAGAACATTCATCCCTTTTTTTTTTCATTATCCTGAGAAAAAGCATAATACACCAATGAACCAGAGAAAGAGAAGAAAAACTTAGAAAACTAGCTACTTAACTACTATAATACCTAGTAATTTTCTCCTGTTACTCATTAATGGGATGTTAATCAATCAATGAAAAAATTGAATATCAATGTTACCTACTAGATTCTATATGATAAAATGCTGATAAATAAAACAAAGACTAAAGAGAAGGGAAGTATAAAAGATATAATTCCCTGTCCAAAAGAAACATTTTGTGGGAATATGGAACAAAGGGAAAATAATTCCCAACACTTTTTATTGTTTAGAGGAATGTTATGAAACATTTTTAATTTCTAACCTTTAAACTTTTATAATACCTAGAATCAAATTTCATGGGGATTCAATAGAGAGGCACAATTTAGGACACTTCCCACGGCACGGTGCTCGATGATAATATGACACTAGGCACAGCTGACTGCCGGACGGGCGACCCCTCCTCCCGCACCTCTGCCGCGCCCCAATCTTCTCCAGTGCCCTCTCACACCTTGTGTCCTATGCCTAACTTGACATACACGGCCTACACTTGCACATACATATTTCCATAAAAAACTGATCAAGTGTCACGATTGTTTTCATCTGGAGAACTTAGGTCGAATATACTTAACAAATTTCTTTATGTTCAACAAGATAAGTGATTATGCTTCGTTAATATATAAAATTCCTTTACAAAGTTAATAATATAAAATGAAGTATATTAGCGTTTAGCAGTTGTTGACCCCATAACGACCTGAACCACACGTGATTATGCACAAAGGAATATCCTTCCCCAGTCATAAACCTAATAATTTACGTAATACCAACTCCCAATAAATTAAACACATTCATTGAAATAATTGATATTTTTAAAGAAACGGCTACCTTATTAAAAATAAGTTAATTAACACGAGAGTGAACTTGAACCAAAATGGGGCATACTTTGTTGGCTCTAGGTTCTAAACTGGCAGCCTAAAAATATAAAAATGAATTTGTGATATAAAATGTTAAACTCAGGTGTTAGTAAAACTTTATTTACCTGGATTATTGTCGATCGTAATTGTCACAATTATTTTTATACCAGCACCGAAGTTAAAATTTTCATGGCAAAATTTGTAGTCCAATTAGTAAATCCCTAAAAAGGGATTGAACTTTCACAATATTAGAAATCAATAGCTCACAAACTAAATTAAGAAAGGAAAAAAATACAGTCAGTATTTTGCAATTCTCTATTATATTGCAAAAATCAAAAAGTTGTGCACATCCTGCCTTGCACCGCCATGTTCCCTTCAGAGACAGACGAATGGTGAATAAGGGTGAACGAATGAATGTAACAATTATCGTAGTCTATTGTCTTTTTATCTGCTTGTCTATGATCGAAATAAATAATTATTGCCACCTACTTAAAATAATATAGGAGTTACTACAGAGTTCCATGGGAATATTTGTAAAAATAACCAAAATTAATTTCTAAAACAAGAAAATTATATAAATAATTTTTTTGAGCGAATTCATTTATAATGTTTATAAAAATGTCCAGATGTTTATAAATGTTATAGTTAAAGTAAAACGAAAATATAATAATATTACTTATAATTATAAGGTACTTGGGTATTTATCATAACAGATATAAATCACAAGTATTCGAAGATAATAGATGACAGTTGTTCTTGCGATATCATTATATCTGTTAAAAATATTATTTATAATTCACCATACTCAAGTTATTCGACCACTATCAACAATGAATATTTTCAATATTTGATAACAGCCGGTCATTTTTTTATGGGTGATAATGCAATAGTAACCCCACTCGCGCTATCGGTATACACCGGCGGGGCACCAAGGAAGGATGATAGGTGAGGATGAAGCAGGTCAGTTGGCCCATCGTGACGAATTCAACAGGAATTGTTCACGATGGTTTCAGTTAATATTCAGTTAATGTCAGCAGGTCCAAAAACTGAAAGTCTGAGTAATATTGATAAAAATATATACGTTAACGCCAAAAAATTAGGATACGAGCAAGAAGATTATGAAGATTAAAGACCTTTATTTTATTTCAATATTTATTATCTAAAAATATAATTTCATGTTATAACCTTAAATATTTTTTCTGCGTTTTCTGAACTTAAATAATAAAATTACTCATGAATTTTCTGAATATGTAAATATTTATTTAGGTAACACTAATTTTTTTTGTCATTCATTCATTAATGAATTCTTTCATATGAAGTGAGGAAAATGTTATGAAAAGCAACGAAAGAAGTATTTTATAATAGATCTGTTATTGCTAACCATTCACACGAGGGTGGCGCCCTCTAATGTCAAGATGATAAGGAGCGTTAATAAATTATGTTATTAACAAAATTACTTAGGTACTTATTTGCTAACATATAAATTTAGTTTATATATTTTACAGATGATGATATTTAATTCTGTATGGATTCTATAAGTTACCTCTGTCTTACAAATGACAATATACAGTGGATATCGAGTATAACGACGATGAAGGGACCATTCTATTTTCGGCGTTATATCCAAAGTCACTATAGCCACATGAATTTTGTATTAAAATATGTTTTAAATTCAAGGGGCTTAGATTTAACGTCGCTATAGGCTGGTCGCTATAGGCTAAATGGTCACTACAACCAAGGTCCTGTTAATAAATGAAATTTACTGTATATGTATATATTGCCTTAGAATCTCTTAGAATATATAAATCGTAGTTTTAGTATAACGTATTGCGTACTAATCAAGGGAAAAGAGAGCGCATTTCATGTAAGTCATATAAAATGACTCGGTCAGAAATATTTCACCAGTCTATATAAGAAAGACCCCCTTTTCTTGTTATGTTGGCCAGCCAGATGTTCAAAATGGAAACGAATAGGGTTATAATTATACTATACTTTGAGAATAGAAACGCAAATCATGGGAAAAAAATATATAAATTTTATGTCAAATTACATGTTTCGATGAATATTTTTTTGGCCAAAATGAAACAAAAGATTCTTAGACATATTTATTATATTATGCAATATTACCTTAAGGTCTCAATTCCGTATATTATTGATAGTAAACACAAGTTTTGTATCCTTGTACATACCTTAATATCTGGTCTACTTCTAGAGTAGATCTTATAATAGAGTCAATATTAACTATATATAGTTGTATAAGGTTTGTTTGAATCGAAGCATTTGGCGTTCCATTGTTTCTGCCTATCCTAATGAGAGACAGGCATGATAGATATGTATGTATGTATATAGTTGTAATTCCCACGTCAAAATAAAAAGAAATGTGAAATACAAAGTTAAAACTGCTCCACAAATAGTTTAGATGGTAGCTATTTGCATCACATTTAACAGTATTTTTGTTAGTTATGTTGGCAATAATGTGATTTCATCATTTAACTAAACGTTGGCATGATATTTTTTGACCAAATCCATACATACAAAACTAGTATAGAAGTTATAACTCGTGCGGTTAGAGAAACAATCTGCAAATGGCGGACGGTTTCATGCTATCTCGCTCATATGCTAGCTCTGTCTGTGAAGAACGGTGGTACTGTATACAAAAAAAATTTGTTTGGATTAGCATTCACACTGTCTCGACGCGCTCCATTTCAATTGTTAAATTCTGTTATTAATATTTTGTTGTTATTAATATTCTGTTCTGTGAAATAAAAAAATGGATGCAAGAACACCACATTTCTTTTGAAGAATACTGGACCAAGCCAGAATTATTAGAACAGTTGAAAAAACATGTACCAAAAAAACGTTACGTAGTGGATGAACTATTAAAAGAATATCAGCATGAAGTCGTAAGACTACCTCCATACAACTGTGATCTCAACCCCATTGAGCACATTTGGAATCTCATTTAACAACGCGTAGTAGACAAAAATGTTGAGCAATATGATAGTAAAATAAAAGGACTAACTATAACACCCGATGATTGGAAGAAGCAAATTAACTATATCAAAAGATTCGAGCAAAAGTACTGGCCACGCGAAATGACTAACGAACATGACATTAGAGGACTTCATAATTCAAGTAAACTGAAGCCGATGACAGTCACGACAGTCAATTTAGCTGCAGCGAAGGTGAAGAAGAATATGTCGAGAAGGGCGTAGCACCTTTACCTGATGATGACCCATGTGAAGGGACAAGTGGTTGTGGTTAGTGCAAATACAAATAAATACAAATGTTTTTATTGTGGATCATATGTCAAATTAAGGTATTACATCAGTTAAATAGTATCTCCATGTCCTGCTATATAAGCATACAATATGTATGCTTATATAGCATTTTCAGGTTTATCTTTTGTTCTCTTTTTACCAAATATATTTGCATAAGAAGAAAAGAGGCAACCATATGATTTAGATAGATAGATATTCATTATTGTTTTCTCCAAAAGATTACAATAGTAAACTTATTATAAATATAAACAATTACAAGAAATAATCACAATGAGAAAAGAATGGGTGACTTTATCGCTAAAAGCGATCTCTTCCAGGCAACATTTGGATGGAGATTTATAGTTTTTATTATATCATTCCTTCTTCTTAGGTTCGGAAGTTTGGATATTTTAAATAAGATCAATCTGATACTTTTGTTTCAATACAAAGTGTTCCAAAATTAATATGATGCTTTTTTGCCATTTGTACTTGGTATTGAAAAGCTGCCACAGATAGTTTTTATTAAAGATAGACAATATTATAAACTTCTTGTCAGTATGTTCTAAATGTATGTTTTTATAATGTGTATTGTCATTGTATTGGTATTTATCTATATAATGTCTAATGATTTTAATTTGTAAAACAGTAGACATTATATTTTGCATTATGTAGATATTTTTTAAATTTATTCAACGTTAAAAAACTTGCTTTTTAGATTTAGTTCCATTATATAATGAGTTGAACATACTTAATGACACAACTAAGAATATTTACACAATTAAGAATATTTATACCTAAGAAAAGACCTACTAAAGTTGAAAAGTTGCTTACCAGTCGCCATTGCGAACTTTTCGAACGTAGCAAACTTCACATTATTGTTTGATCATCCATCGTTCATCAATCAAGCGGCTGGTTATTTTCTAATTTTACATTATTTTTCAATATAGTGCCAATAATTGTTACATTTAAGAGTGCTAATTTGATCATTATTCAAGCCAACGTTGTAAATGTGAACCATTCTAAGTTAATGTTTGCAAACGTGCATATGCTTTGTTGTGAGAACCACCTTTATCTGCTGTCATTTTGAGTTGTAGCGACAAAATTTTGATAATGAAACATAAGTTAACGAATAACTGGTAGGCTATCCATCGGATAGTGGCATGAAATGACAAAACATTACAGTATTGTTGATGCGTCGTGATGAGAGTGGAGTTATTACTTGGTGCAGCAATTGGGAGAATGTGTGGTGGCGTTTAGCCTCTGTGGCAGGGGACGTCAGAAACCGTTGAGAATGGAGACAATAAAAGACGAGGAGCGTCTCCAGCGGCTGCGTGCCCTTGAGGAACGGCTCTGCGATCCGCGATCCACTGGCAACGTGGACTGCTTGCTCGACACGGTCACGGCGCTCGTCTCCGACTGTGTCCACCCGGCGATCCGTCGTATGAAAAATGTCGAAGCCTACACAAGTAGATGTAAGTTTAATTTCAATAAGTCCTTCAATAAGTATAATTTATTGTTGCTATATTTTTTTTTAAACAGTTGCTTAGTAAACATTGTATATATAATATTAACTATTATGAAATATTAAATACTATGGTAAAAATGATATCTGTAGCAGGAGAATTGGCATGAGATAATGATATTTTACATTTAAATATTGATAGATGTTATAAAATGGTGTTTACTTTAAAGAAGTAACTCAGGTCAGTTAACAATAAGAAAATAGTAGACAATTACTAGGCAGGAGGATATCTAATATTAACTTATATATCTTGCTCAATTTTCCAATTAGTTATGTTTTATACTATTTTTGTGGTATGGCAAATTTGGGAAACTCTGTTTTTCTTTTTTTTCTTTATTTGGCACAAGTTGGGAATAGTCTTGGCATGTATTTATCAAAATAACAGCACATAAAATAAACAAATAGTTAAATTGAGATTTTTTTATAAATAGGTTTTTGTGTAGTGGTTGTTTGTTTGTTTATATACTATTAATAAGTATACATAAAAAATTTTATCATGTTGATTATGGAAAAAACAGATTATATAGTATTTTATAACCTGTTTTAGTCAATCAAGATTTAAAAATGGAAATATATATATCTAGTATCATAATTTGGTTTTCCACAATAACAACCCTAGTAAACAAACTCAGTCTTGTTACAATTTTTACATAAACATTAATTATATTGATTTAGTAACACATCTATCTATATTTTGATTCACTATAAATCTCACTACTTTGTCAAACAATATGTTTAATTATAATTTTAAAATTTTATTCGGTAAATTGCATATTTTCCAATCCTTATTAATTTTATGTATAGATCATCTTAATGTGTATCTTATTAATATCCCTCAGGAGCAGCTTAATAAGTTGGACCTGTTACTTAACACCCTTTTACATTGCATCCTTGAACTGTATAAATATGACTACATTGCTCACAAACCTAATGGTTGAGTATTAATAAAAGAAGAGACATCTGTGTCCTAAGCATACTCTTTACTATCATTAATGAATCTTATTTTCCTTATTTGGAATAATCCTCTTTTTTTTATAATCTAACAATTCTTTTATTTTTAATTCTCACATCATTCTGGAATCATGTGTAACTTGTGTACAATATTTGCCATTAGTCTTTGTAACGGAATATCTGTATACTTACATAAAGTAAATAAGAGTAAGTTAATATTCAAAAGGAAGAATTTTATTACCAATTATTTCTTAAATTAACAAAATGCAATTTATCTTCTTACAGTTGTGTTAACTTAATCTGTATTTTAAAAATGTATCTGTATATCATATGTTTAATAAAGTCTTGTATTTATAATCATGCATGCTTCATGTACCTTGCATTTTTTTAAATTCTAAAGTTGAGTTGCAATTTAGAATTTTATTTGTGCTTTTTTGTGTCTAGTATTGTCTCAGTAACTGTATCTGTTCAATATGTGGTATTTATTTTGCTTTCAAATACTAAAGTAGCTTTTCAAATTTTGTTTATTAGAATATTGGCTGAAGATATTATTTTTACATATAAATGAAGTAGTGTAACTGTCATAAGTAAACAAATATATAATAACATGTTGACAAATATTCTGGTTGTAAATAATCTTAAAGTTACTAAAATATAACTTTATTTTGTTATAGATGAGGAATTTTCTTCAGATATTATTGATTTGCGTATGAAGGCAGCTGACTTTGATCTAATAAAAGTAATTGGCCGTGGAGCATTTGGTGAAGTACAACTAGTCAGGCATAAGTCCACACAAATGGTGTATGCCATGAAACTTCTCAGCAAGGTTGAAATGATCAAGAGGTCAGACTCTACATTCTTCTGGGAGGAACGACACATAATGGCACATGCAAATTCAGAATGGATTTTAAAATTACACTATGCTTTTCAAGATCTCAAATATCTATATATGGTAATGGATTATATGCCTGGTGGTGACCTTGTTAGCCTTATGTCTAATTATGATATACCAGAGAAATGGGCAAAGTTCTACACAATGGAAATTGTACTAGCTTTAGATGTCATACATGGTATGGGCTTTGTGCATAGAGATGTAAAACCAGATAACATGTTAATTGATAAGTATGGTCATTTAAAATTGGCTGATTTTGGCACATGCATGAGGATGGGGCCTGATGGTCTTGTACGTGCTAGTAATGCTGTCGGAACACCTGATTATATTTCACCAGAAGTTTTACAATCACAAAATGGTGAAGGAGTTTATGGACGTGAATGTGATTGGTGGGCTGTGGGAATATTTTTATATGAAATGTTAATTGGTGATCCACCGTTCTATGCAGATAGCTTAGTGGGAACATATGGAAAAATAATGGACCATAGAAATTCTTTACAATTTCCTGATGATGTTGAAATTTCAAAGGAAGCCAAATCTCTCATCAGAGGCCTCTTGACAGATAGGACAAAAAGATTGGGTAAGAATAGTGTTGATGAAATAAAACAACATCCTTTCTTTATCAATGATCAATGGAGTTTTGAAAACCTTAGGGATTCAGTTCCACCAGTGGTGCCTGAATTGTCTAGTGATGATGACACAAGAAATTTTGATGATATTGAAAAGTCAGATGCCTTAGATGAATCCTTTCCTGAGCCTAAAGCTTTTGTAGGTAATCATTTACCATTTGTTGGTTTTACATACAATGGTGATTACCAATTGTGTGGAGGCAAGTTAAAACCTGCAGATGTAGTTGATACAATTTCTAATAATCATGTCAATAATGTTGGATCTGAAGCTATATTACAACTGGAAAAGCTCTTAGAGCGAGAAAGAGAAAGTAGACGTAAATTGGAAAACCGTCAAGAAATCCTTTGTGGTCAAGTTGAAGAATTGTGTGAGAGAGAATCTAGAAGCAAAAAAATTATAGCAGATACGGACAAAGAAATAGCTTTGCTCAGGCACAATCTAAAAGAACTACAGAGAAAAGCTGAAATAGAAGCAGAATCTAAAAAGAAAGCTGAAGCAAATTACATTGAAGCTAAGCGGCGTTTGGAAGAGGAACAAAGTAAGAGATCAAAAGAATTTATTAACTTACAGAGTTACAATGACAAAATCAACGCTTTAGAGAAGCAATTAACAGAAGTAAGAGAGAAACTAAAACAAGAATCCGAAGCGGCGGCTAAATCTAGAAAACAGGCGGCAGAGCAGTCGGCCGCCCAAGCCGCCGCCGCTGCTATGAACGATGGTGCTGTTGCGAATTTGCGTGCACAACGAGACGCCTTGGAACGTGAGCGCAGTGTGTTGTCTGATGAATTAGCGGCCGTAAAGGCCGCCAAACAACGTTCTGAAGCAGCTGTGGCGGATGCTACTAGTAGATTAAATGCAGCTCACGCCGAGTTAGAAAGGACATCTAGTAAACTATCGCAAACTCTAGCTGATAATAGGCAGTTGTCTGAACGTGTTTCATCACTTGAAAAGGAATGTGCTTCTCTGGCGCATGAACTACGAGCTGCTCAACATCTTTACCAACAAGAATTACGGGCTCATCAAGACACTCAGAGATCTCAGATGCTATCTAAGCAGGAAGCCAATTTGGAAATAGTCAAAGGTAAGTTTCATATATAGTTTTGTGATCCACAATTTAGAATTCATGCTATTTTCCTTTCATATTTATATGAGCTATTTTGTAAGTGTAACCCTAAAATAATTATATATCAATACACTTCCATTTTTGCATGCCTCAGGAGCATTGGATATAATATTTAAAGGTATTGTCCAGTTTGCTAATATAATTCCTAGTATGTATATTTAATATGACACAATTATTATCCTTTTTTCTTTGTTCCTTGATGACTATTTCCAAAACCTATGAATAACATTTATTATAGTTATGTCCTGTGTAAATTACTAATAATATTTTTTGTATTTTAACAATGACAAAGTGGAGTAATGTTTATGCCGTTCAACAGCTCTTCAGAGTAAATTACATGAAGAGAAGACGGCAAGACAGCGGTCCGAGTCTGTATGTCAGGAGAAAGATCGTCAGATGTCGATGTTGAGCGTTGATTATAGGCAGATGCAGCAACGCCTGCAGAAACTCGAAGGGGAACATCGTCAGGAGAGTGAAAAGGTATGTAGTAACTTATTCTAGTACTCATAAAAAACACATAACACACCCTTTTTCTATTTTTTTTTTTTTTTTTTTTTCTTTTTTTGTGGCGTTCACCCCGATATTAGGGTATTTTGCCAAGAACAAAACGGGGAAACGATAATAGTAATAAAAATACCTAACACAAACGAATTTAGAAAGGATAAGGATTAGGTCTAGGATATTTATAGGATATGAAACATATACTTGTACATATGAGAATATACTTATAAATATATAGGAAAAGCAATTGATGCAACTATAAATGTATTCATGTAATATAACTAAATCTTAATATTGTTATCATATATATATGAAGATAGTATTTTATAGATAATAGGATCATTGGAAGAAAGTAGAGTAAGAATAGAAGTTGGGAATGGAACACGGATGGATCGGAGATGATTAAAAAGGGAGGTGTGGTCAAATTTAGAACATGAGAAGAATATGATTAGAATATAATATGTAATACAGGTTTAATACCTAGTACAGGCACCAGCTCCCACAAATAATATTGCTAAAATGTTTTGCAAGTTATAGATGTTAAGTCCTTAATTGTTTGTGGTGAGAAATATAATAATAAATAAATAAAATAAATTAGAAGAATATATATGATTCAAGTCCGCCACTTCAGCACCGCAATTACACGACGAACTTTGTACAATACCAAGCTTGTATAAATGAGAAGGTGTGCATACGTGACCTAGACGCATACGAGTTATAATAGTTGTTGCGGTCTTTCCAAGCTTTAATTTACAAAACCATGGTTTGAAAGGAATATCGGGTTGTATAAGGCGATAAAATCTTCCTTTTATTGTACTTGTTTTTTCCCAATATTCCTTCCAGGCATACCTTAAATATATTTTTGGGAGACAAGCTAGGTCACTACAGTAATTATGATACGGATACATATCACCACAAGTTACAGCCTCTCTTGCAATAAGGTCAGCTTTGTCATTGCCGCTAATACCACTGTGTCCTGGTAACCAGGCAAAAGAAACGGAATAACCTCTCAACATGCAAAGATAAAGACTTTGTCTTATGTCACAAATAATGGGATAAACTGGTTTTGATTTAAACGGATATTTGGCTAGAGCTTGCAAAGAGCTCATAGAGTCAGTGAAAACTATTGCCTTATGTAATTTCATTAAAAGTATATATTCTACAGCTTTTAAAATACCATAACATTCCCCGGTAAAAACTGAAGACTCCGGTGGAAGTTTAATTTTTTGAACGATATTAAATTGTGAATGAAACACACCCACACCTACACAACCGCTATTGTCTGGTTTTGATGCATCAGTAAAGATGTAGTGCCATTCATTCCATTCAATGTCAGTTATAAACATAAATTTGGCATTCAATTCTGAATCATTTTTTAATAACCCAAAATCATATTTAATATTAGGAGATAAAACTAAAGATTGATATGAGCATTTATAAATGGGAAAACAGGACGATGTAAAAGTGGGAGATTCTATGGATTTATATTTTTCATAACTTTGTATTAAACATGGAGGTTTTTTATGTTTCCAATAAGATGAAGACGAAATAAAGATATGTAGTTGAGATAACTTTTGAATAAGCGGATGATCAGATAATTGTAAACAACGAAAAAAGAAGCGATCAGATAGATATTGTCTTCTTAAAACCAAAGGTGGATCACCGACTTCGAGCTGTAAAGCATTGATTGGACTTGATTTCATTGCTCCAGAGATAATCCTCAAGGCCTTTGATTGAATTAAATCCAATTTCTTAAAAGCAAATGAACTTCCTGGAGCTAACAAAAAAGTTCCATAATCAATGACACTCCTTATAAGACCATTATAAGCAAGTTTTAGTGAAACGGGATGTGCTCCCCACCAAACTCCAGCAAGGCACCTAAGAATGTTGAGGTTACGCTCACATTTCGTAGAAATATAATTACAGTGGGACAGACCTGTTAATTTATTATCTAGCACGATACCTAAAAATTTAATTTCAGTCTTTATAGGAATGTATGAGTTATCATAAAGCACCTTAATTTGTTGCGGTGATCTCATTCTTGAAAACAAAACTACACTACTCTTGGTTACAGAAAGATTAAGACCATTTGCATCTAACCACGTTTTTAACAAATCTAATGAATCAGATAATTTGGCAGAAGCAGATTCTATGGACTTCGCAATAAAATATAATAAAAGATCATCAGCATATTGTAAAATTTTGACGGATTTATCAAGGAATAATTCTAGATCGTATGTGTATATGTTAAATAAGATTGGACTGAGAACAGATCCTTGTGGAAGGCCTTTCCATACTGTTCTAGATAATTTGGTATCTTCATCTAAATTCATATATATTGTTCTTTCTGATAAAATATTAATAATGAAATTAGAAAGCATTACCGGTACATTTAGAGCTTGTAATTTAGTTTTTAAAATAGAAATTATTACATTATCATAGGCAGAATTTATATCTAAAAAGGCTGAGAGGATTGACAAATTTTGTGAGAAAGCTATATGAATATCTGAAATAAGAATGCTCACATTATCTAAGGTGCTCTTACCTTTCCTAAAACCAAACTGGTTCGGGGATAGTAAGTTATTACTTTCTAAAAACCATTCTAGACGGTTTTTCACTAAATGTTCAGCTAGCTTTAGTAAGACAGAGGAAAGTGCAACAGGACGGTATGAAGATGGTTCAGAAGGTGGTTTATGAGGCTTTAGAAATGGTATAATAATCTGAGACTTCCATGAAGTAGGTATATTTCCCGAAATAATTATGGAATTAATTATATTTAAAAAGTAAATTAATGTCGCATCGCTAGCATTTTTAAAAAAGGAATACGGTATACCGTCTTCTCCCGGTGCAGAGTCTTTAATAGAAGCTAGAACACCTTTAAGTTCTACTAGAGTAAAAGGAGAGTCAAGTTCGAATAATTCGTCAGAGACGGATAGAGAAATATTGTAAAGGCATTCCGGCACATAACTAGGAGCAAGACGATCTAAAAATTTATTCGCTAAAGTTAAATCGAGTGCAGAACGTGATGTATGATCACTAAAGGCAGATCTGAATCTTTTAATATTATTCCAAACGACTGATGAATTAACTTCTGGACAGATAGAAGAACAAAATCTTCTCCAGCCTTCTAATTTCTTTTTTTTCAGTAGTTTTCGAGTAGAACGTGAAACTGCGGTGTAAATTTCAAAATTTTCTGGTGTCATGTAATTATTATAATTTTTTTCAGCCTCTTTACGATTTTTAATTGCTTCCGTACAATCTTTGTCCCACCAAGGTGGCGAGGGAATTTTCCCTGAAGCACTATTTTTAACAGGAAATAATAAATCAGCAACCTCCTTCATATTTATCATCAAGTCATTACAACATTGATGTTCATTTCCATGGTAAACAATAGGTAACTCCGATATTTTATTATCTAAATATTGTTTGTAAATATTCCAGTCTACATTTGATAAATTATATTTAAGCCGAGGACCACTCTTTCGACTTGAGGGAATGGAAATTGGAAAAGAAAGAATGAGGGGAAAGTGATCGCTTCCGAAAGTAGAGGAATGAGGATACCACGACAGTGAAGAAGCTAAATCAGAAGAACATATTGAAATGTCAGGAGCACTAAACCCTTCATTCGGTGCAGTTCTACGTGTTGGTACATCTGAGTTAATAATACATAAGTTGTAAGTGTCAATTATCGTCAGGAGTTTTCCACCATAAAAATTAGAAGTAGAACTGCCCCACGATTGGTGTTGAGCATTAAAATCGCCCATTACGAGAAAAGGTTTAGGTAAAATTGAAAATAATTGTTCTAGTTGTGAATATATTTGGCATGTAGGATCAGGAATATATAAAGTAACAAAACAGATACCATTTATAATTATAGCAGCTGCATTAATGCCGCTATATACAGGAAGCGAAAAAGAAGAAAAAGGAAGGGAGTTTTTGACCAATATGGCAACACCGCCATATCCGTCAGCTCTATCATCACGGAGACTTGTAAAGCCTGAAATCCTAAAAGGATATCCTGGCTTTAACCAAGTCTCTTGGAGAGCTATTATAAAAGGATTATATTTATTAATCAAATAAAATAAGTCTGATTTCTTGTTTGTTATGCTACGACAGTTCCACTGAATTATTAGGACTTTGTAATCCATTGTGAGAAGTTAATAATTGAGAAAATACATTGTAAATGGCATCGTTGGACGGTGGTAAAGTTGTTTGTATCATTTTCGATTGCGATAACACTTTAATAAGCATGAGAATAATATCAAAGATGGATTGATTATTGTCAATATTATTTGATGATAATGCACAACCATTAGAGGGAGCAGGAATATTATATTCCTTAACTATGGCTTCATGGTCAGAACGATCATATCCTTGTTGTGCTTTTTGAGGAGAGCGTGGTTTAAGTGTAACTGTTTTTTTATGTGATGATTGAATATGTGGTAATGATGATTTCTCTTTGAGGAAAGAAGATTGAAAATGAGATTTATTGGACGGAGATGATGATGTTAATACATCTGAATATAGTTTAGAAGTGGGAGGATGAAATTTTGATGCTTCAGCATAAGAAACACAACTGTGGGCCATTGTTTCTTTAATGGCTTTCTGACGTGCATATTCAGGACATTTCTTACTAATTGCTGAATGAGAACCATTACACAAGATACAAGAAACATTTTCCTCATCTACTTCACATTTATCACCTGTATGATTTTGCCTGCATTTATAACACCGAGGATTTGAACGACACTGCATCTTGACATGTCCGAACCTACAGCAGTTATAGCATTGGATAGTGGGGTAAATGTACAAATCTACAGTTAATGATGTGTAAAACATAAATACTCTTTTTGGTAATATTTGTCCATCAAAAGTAATAACAATGGTTTCAGTATTAATAAAACTTGGTTGTCCTTCATTAATGGTCTTTTTCTTAATTCTTCTGGTTTTTAGAATTCTCCCACAACCTATAGGTACTGATATATTTTGGATTACTTCCTCTTCTGTCCAATCTTTAGGAATACCCCTCACAATTCCCATACGGGTTACATGGAAAGAAGGTATAAATGCCTTAAAATTATGTGTTTCTAAGTGACTATTATTTAAAAATGCATTTGCATTTTCAAAATTTGAGAAAGAAAGCGATAAACGGTTTCTTCCTATTCTTTTGAGGCTACCATTCACTATATTATTTATCTTATTAGTGTGTAAAAAGCGACCAAATGCAATAGGATGTAATGTAGTGTTATCATTAGGATGTGTTTCATTTTTTTGTACATGAACGACATAAGGAGCTACATCCTCGGCATTGTACAAAGTTCTGCTTAAAGTACTGGGTGGAGAAGCAGGTTTAACAGACTCGGTATTATTTACAACTGGTATTGATACTAGAGTTTGATTCTCATCCTCAATACATTGACAATCACTATCTTTAATTTTAGATTCGAGACCTTTGGTGTGCCTCCTTCGTTTTTTATTGCAATGTTTGCAAATGCGACGTTCGCCACGTACTCGCTTACGTTTAGAACTTGCAACGCTAGAACCATCTGTGTCCATACTAGATTCACCCAATATATCAAAACTATTATTAAATGGGATAGTTATATTTGCAGACACCTGGGGGGTTGTCCCCCCAGGGTCTATAGGTGGATCCATAATGTCTAATTAATATAGGTAATTTACTTACCAATATTTACAGCAACAAACACTATTACTACAAAATATACAATTATATATACAATCTAATACACAATATATAAATAAAACTAATCCTTATATAATTAAAAATAAAATTAATTTAAAGAAGATCAAAAAACACTCCCGCTTTTTTAAACGTTTCCCGCGCTTTTCCCGTTTTCTATTTCAGATCTAAAAATCTTCTTATTTTTTTTGTAACTTCAGTTGAGATGAAGAATGGCTAAATAATGCGTTTTTGCACACAGGTCGTGGGATTAGCCGCAGCGTTGGAACAAGAGCGTACTGCGCGATTGGCAGCTAGCAGCGAGGCGGCCACGGCTGAGGCAGCTACCCGCGCCGCTAACGCAGAAAGGGATGCTCGCGCCCGGGAGATTCAGTCCGTTCGTTCAGCATTGCATGAGATTGAGGAGAAAATGGCTGCGACCAGCGCCGAGCGGGACATGTATTATGCAAGGGTGAGTTACACGGTTACGTTGTATAGATCCATAAAATAAATAGCTTTGTTCCACAAAAAAAAAAAAAAACGATTTTAACTTTGGCAGAACTTGCTTTAGTTTTTAAATATAAAAACAAATTTTGATAAAATCGAAAGGAAAATGAAACTGAAAATATATTCTTACAGATAAAAAATCCAAATCGGTTTATAAATGACGTTATAATGAGTTCTGAGGTAACAAACATATAAAATTATAACAGAATTGAGAATTTTTTCCTTTTTTTTTCAAGTCTGTTGAAAATAAAAAAAAATAATATCTTCTATAACAGGCATAATAACAAAATAGAAAAAAACGTATTATTCTAAAATCAAACTATTATATTTCTTACTTTCGTAGTTTTGTGACATTATGATACTAGATTGTTTTTTAAATTATATACAGAAAAGAGAAATTGCGTAGTTTAATGAAGGTGAGAATCGCAATAAAATCGCACGAGGAGTAGTTTCGTACTCTTAAGCAAATATACAGACAAAGAAGTCGGCAGGCTATATTGTTTATTTTGAGATATTGTTTTGGTCGTAGGTACAATGAATTATCAAAATGGGACGTATTTAAAAGACATGAATATTTATTCAAAATGTATGTACCATGGGCAATTAATTTGTTGGAATGTCGGCTCCACACATCAAACATTGTCGACTCATTCTGCGTTGTAGAACTTGTGAATTACAGGATCTCTGAAAAGTTTTTATAAACATGTTTACAACAATTAAGTATTTGTTTCATTAGTCTTTTAATAAATATTGTTTTTTGCTATTATTGCAATTAATAAAAGAGTAATTAATAATAGAATATTCGGTTACATATAAATATTGTTATAATTTTTCCTGCAATGTATGAAAAAGTTAGACACATTATAAATTTGAGCTTTAGCCATTTCTATTCTGTACTTATAAAGATTGTGAAGATTATAATGGATAAATTCATATACTACTCAACTGATTTTAAAAATTCTTTCATCTATAGCTATATTGTTAGTGAGAAATATAGACTATATATTTTTTTTAACACTACTACCTGTGCAAAGCCGGGTCGGATGGCCAAGATATAAATAGTTAAGAAAATTTTTATTTTATTTCACAAAAAACACTGACTTCAATTGTGATGGCAATACAAATATTTTGATTCGAAAACTGAACTATTAAATCGATTATGATAAAATTTATATGGGATCAATGTGAAAGTATGTCTTTTCATATAAAAAAAGAGAATTTTCTAAGTCAGTTTATAAATGTTGGAGTTTGTTACTTCAGAGGTAACAAATTTAAAAAATATACAACCGAATTCAGAAACTCTTGCTTTTTTGAAGTCGGTTGAAAAATATATTCTTTATCTATTGATTCAAGTGATATTATTCATATAAATGTTGTAGTGTAAACATCACAACATGTGATCTCAGGAATGTTGCCTTAAATTGCGTATGCATTGTAACGTTTCAACAGTATGTCATTTCTATAATTTAGATACGTCGAATTTTGCATTAGCTTTGTACGTGCAAAATGTTCTTATTATTATGAATTATTTGATGCTCTGTAAATAACTACTAAGTATTGTGGTATGTTGACTAAAATAAATAAGCGTAATAATGACGTTAATACTTCATTGAACATTACGTATTTATTTGTAAAAATGATCGTCTCCGCGACGTTGCGGCGAATCACGTAGCTTTGTGTAAGTCAGTTCCCAAGTTTGGTTCTCGGTTAATTTGAAACCTCGATATATCCATATATTGCTCGGTATCAGATACCACAGCACATAGAATTCGTATTCTAAATTAAAATAATTTTTTACTCTAATATTTTAAATGTAATATATCTACGAAACATATTAAATTGTTTTTAATTTATTTAGCAATTTTTCTTTGTGGAGCAAAATCTATTTGGTAAGGGTATAACTTCTCGTACTTTATGCTTATTCTTCTAAAAATCGAGATCCATATATAACAGATTTAAATTTCTTTAAAGATAATAACTTCTTAAAGGAAATTCTGCTATTAGCACTCATTATATTCGTGATCTGTTTTCCCTGTGTACAGTTCAAGAACATATTTTTAGAGGTAGTAGCCCTATAATAAATTTCAGTGTAATTTTACACTGAAATTAGAGTCTTTAAAGATTTAAATATTTCAAGTATCGAATATGAGTTTCGTTGTTCGTTAAAAGTTGTTTATTGTTACGATCATACATATACATATTAGTATCTCTTTTCTTTATCTGTAATTAGTAAAGAAATTCTGGGGACCTCTCCCATAGGTCCATATGTATTTCATCTATTGGCATTATTAATTATATTTCTGTTGAGATTCTACTGATGGAGAAATTAAGTGTATTATAGATATAATGCATTCTTGGTTTCTCTGAGGTTTGGAGGTTCCGATTTACATATCGAAAAATATTGTTTTACTGTTACGTGATTGGTTAATATTAGAGTACAATTTTAATTTTTTAGTGGGTCATTTCGATCTAATGGATCCCCATAGCTCATTTATTCGATTCCATATGTTTAGAATATTAAAGTGGCCTTACTATTGACTTACGTTGGCGGGTACCAATAATCGATGATAGGTGATAGTGGACTGAAATTAGTTTAGTTTTCTACTCGTGACGAATTCACTAGTTCTTCTAGGCCATTAAATACACGAAAATTAATTCCATAGTGGTACATTGCTGGTTATGAGCCCAGAAGGAATATTATCAATTAGTAATGTAATTAGTATCATCATTGTTGACCTATTTATTTTAAATTACCTTTTTGCCCGCTGCAACGTAAGTGTGGATTTTAGAAGTAGAAAAACCAATGAAATTTACTACTTTTAGATGGCGTATTAATATAAAACCTATACTAGATTTTAAATTAAACCTCCAGGAACACACCTGTGAAAACTGCATTCAATTTGACGCAGTTGTTTTTGTGTGATCCCGAAACAAATATATAGATTGACATATTTTCTAAAAAATATTGTTTTAACCTTTATATCTTCCATGTACAGACATAGTCTAGTTGTTATTTTATTATATTAGTAATATTCTGGAACGTATGGTTATGCATTTTAAAGTATATTCAAGTGTGATCATCGTTACCTAGTCGTTAATATCTCGTCATGCCGAAATAGTGTCCTGGGATTACGAAACAGTGACTCATTGTTGTCAACGGTATACATGCACAGCTTTTGCCATATACGATATACCTGCGCGCACGCAGTCTCGAAATAAATAAACACGCTTACGTAGCCGGCGGTTTTTCTAGTGTTCGCCGTCTTAGTCATTGATAGGTATATTATAGTGATGTGATTTGCAAAATTAATACAATATTCATAAGATTCACAGAATCATAAAGTTGACAGTTAATATAGAATTGTTTTCAATGACATAATAATGTAATGAAATTATTATTTACAAGTAGATTATTAGATTTACAGTAATAATTTATTTATACTTAATTATGTTTTCTGTATTTGTATAATTTGCTGCATTTAAAGTACCAAATTGTTATTATTTTTTTATACGACTTGAAATGTCAAATAGACTGACGGTCCATCTGAAGAAAGTGGTAATAGTAACAATTTTACTATAGACATGAACAATACCATGGACATAACAAAGTATATATAATATAATTTATATATAATATTATATATAAATGTAATATTATATTGCAAATGTGAAAGTTCTTAAAGATTTAAGGATATTTGGATATTGTTGAATGACTTTATACATATAAACTTGATACATAGTTACCATATCTTGGATTAACATAGGACACTATATGTCCTAATTCACGCAGGCAAAAATCCACGAAATAAAGCTAGTCATTAATATTTTAAACACATTTCTAACGTAAAGTCTTGGTACATACAAGGATAAATCATGACTCATATAGGCGTTGGAAAATTTACTTAGAAAGCTAGTTAGTTATCAGCTAATATTTTGCAACGGTAGTATCTAACTGGACGATATGGCCGAACTGTTTGCATATTTCATCAATTGGACTTGTTTATCTGTAGGGACACGATAGGCATGAAATGGGGTGACCGTATCTATCAGCGTGGACTAAATATCGGAATAATATAGCCCTACATGTACCTAGTGTCTGTAGGAACACATAGCTGAGTTGCTCTTGATTGGAAACAATTTCGAGGTTAAGTAACGTATTAGTAGTTGAATGGGTGTATCGCAGCGAGTTTGCAGATGTTTGTGGCTTCGGGTGTTGTTATTAGATAAAGAATTGATAATGTCGTGTTTTTTTTTTAATTCAAAATTCAATGATTGGATGGTAGTAGTATTCGAGATTAGTTAATGCACTTGTATGATCGACAAGATAATCTTCAGCGATCTACAAGATAGCTTTTTGCCCGCTACTTCCTTCGTGTGAATTTCAGAAATAGTAAATGTAATGAAACTGAACACTTTTAGATATCGTGTCAATATAAAACGTATACTAGATTTTAAATTAGACTTTTAGAAATTCAGCCGCATCAAATTTGGTGCAATAAGTTTTTGCGTGATGCCGGAATAATCATACATACAGATAAGACAAAATTTCTAACAATTATGGTTTTTGCTTCTATTACCTTTATTAAGACTCGCATATAAATTTATCTTAAATATCTCCCATGTAACATCGTTTAGATATAATGTTATTATGTTAGTAAAATATTTTCTATTAGATTTATCGTAAATTCTTTTCATAATCATTATAATCTATTAAAGTTCAATTACTGGGCATAGGTTTTTATAGAAGGATGATGTAGCCCGCTCATGCCAGTCAGGTGGTTAAGTTTTATTTCGAGTTCTTTTTTCTCTTGCACTGCTTCATACTGAGGATGAAAAGGTAGTGTCACATTGTATTTCCAATTCCGTTACTATTTAGAATTCCAATCTTTTTACAATATAATAATTAATAGCATCGTGACTCAGTGGTATTCTATCCTGACTTATATATCGGCAGAGGTTGTGTATTAGAATTTAGTATACAAGCAGATAATTACTCACTTTACGCACCAATTTTGATAATATTTTTGTGGGACTAATTCTAAAGTAAAAGAATACTTTTAGATAAAAACGAATTCTCCGAATCGATTTATAATTCCAAATCGGAATATTAAAGACAAAGTTATGAGAGCATTATGAAGTAATACTTAGTATCAATTTACATTTCCGACAACACTGTGTTGATGAAAAAATAGATAACTAACTAAATTAATTCCAGTGACGGTGGTAGGCTCGCCTCCCGCCACGCTGGATTTTAATAATAATGCTCGGTGAAATGCGGGCATGTGAGTGTTACATTCACCACAACGGTAACAATCGACAAGTGCCTCTGACTATAGTAAAGAGATTTTTAATAATCGGGTCCAACTGCATCTTTTTTTACCAATACACCCTATCAGGTCGACCACGCGGTTGCCCCTGGAAACCATCTTGGCTAATTCTATGGAATTCGTCATTCAATGGGCTAATGGACCTACTCATCGTCACATATCATTCCTTACTGGTGCCCCGCCAGCGTATACCGATAGCGCAGGCGGGGTTACTATTTCATTATCACCCATTAAAAAAAAAGTCTCTGACTATCGCATTAAAGGATTACAGTCCTGAGAATATTTATTACATTTAAGTATTACGGAACCACCAGTGTCCGAGTGATTAATTTTTTTATATGTACATAATATAAATTAACATCTATATATTACTGTGATAGTCAGTTAATTGATCTCACTCTACAACCAATTAGCTTGTTTAAATAGACATTTTAGTGCGTGAATGTATATGTACGTATTTATGAATATATGTTCTTTCCTTCTTTATTTTTTTGTACACATAGTGATAAAAACATTTAATTTTAAAATGTAATGTACAAAGGCGAGCTTATCTTTATTTGTAAGATATCATCATCAAATTATGTCTGTCGTAAGAATAAGAATGGTGCACGTACTATATGTTTTTTTTTTTGATGGGTGAAAATGGTGTGGTAACCCCGCCTGCGCTAACGGGATACGCTGAGACGTACTATATGTTATAATATAATTCACAATATTTACTAGTAACGTATTCCACTTGTATGAATAGCTATTCTCTGTTAACCTTGATATTTATAACTTGAACTTTTGTGATTTGTTCTTTAGATTAAAACATAAGTCACCCATATCTGTACTATACAGTGAGCTTGTGTTTTCCATTTTGTGACATGCCTTTCATTATAAGACGACTATTTTCATTATAGATCAATCATTATTTGTTGACATTTGTTCGTTTGTTCGTATTGTAGATCCGTGACGCATGATACGTACCATGTATCGCGGATTTGTACAAACGAATGTAATGGGGGGGAAAGGGATTGTTAGTAATGGAGACTGAGAATCCCATTGCTAGCAATATACTTAATCAGGTCGACCTTCTCGCGGTTCCTCCTGGAAACTATCATAGTTAATTCCTGATGAATTCATCATGATGGGCTAACTGGCCTCTTTTCATTCTCATCGATCACCCTTCACTGGTGCTCCGCCAGCGTATCCCGTTAGCGCAGGCGGGGTTACCATACCATTTTCACCCATCAAAAAAAAACGAATGTAATGTGGTTATATCGAAGTTGCTTTAGAGAATTGTAATATTATATTAGTTTTGTTTCTTTTTATTTCACTTTTTTTTTTATTTGACAGAATTTACAATTAATATTTTAAATGCAATAATTTATAATTTAATCAGTATTGTATTTGCCTCAACAGCAATTTGCAATACTAGCGACCCGTCTAGGATTCGTAATTGGTGTAAATTAGAATCTATAAAACCCTCCGTAAATAATTTAAGATTTAATTCCACAAAAAAAAAAAAGAAACGAATTTCAATAGTGACAAAACCAGGTATTTTGATTTAAATGAGAATGAAATGATGTTGATGATATTTTTTTTAGATAAATAAAGATTCTCCAAATCGGTTTATAAATTTAAATCAAAATCCAAATTGGAATAAAATAAAGATAGAATTATGAGGTAACAAAAAAATACAATCGAATTAAGAACCTCCTCATTTTTGAAGTCGGTTGATAATGTCTAAATCACAGTGAACTCTATATCCGAAACTGTTACGTAGTTAAGAAGTAAGCGAAGACAAAAAGTGCAGACAGACAGTAAAGATTTAATGTTTAATTGATAGTATTTTGATGCAGATTTATTTTCTATAAAATGTTTGCTATTTTTTAGTATGAATATTCTTTTATAAGAACAATATCTTTACTAATATTATAAATGTGAAAATGTGTTTGTTTGTTACTTCTTCGCGCCTTACCAATTATACTAATTACTATGAAATTTGGTATATACATACTAAGTACGAGTACATACACACACACTATTTATTCCGGTGGATCAATATAACCTTGTCGTGCGTACGAAGTCGCGGGCAAAAGTTAGTAATGATATACATTTATAAATAAAAATACCGTAAAGAGTATATTTATTTACTTGTCGACAGGGAACATCTAGATACGAGTAACTTCTAAGAAAAACCTCTATATTTGAATTCGTTATCTCTTCGAGCGTTGTATCAATTGTTGTTTGTAAAGGAAGCGACGGAGGAACAAATTAAATAATACGAGTATTACGTGCAGTATACATTTTCGCCTCTTTGTTTTGTATATTTTTATTCTTGTTGTTGCGTATAAAACAATTTGTGACTTCAAAAAGACAGGTGTAAAAGGGGAACCGTCATTTGATATGCTTGAAACGATTTACAATTTTCTTCAAAAAATTTGTAAAATATTTTAATTAGCTTTAAAGGAAAAATTAACCAAATTGGCATTGGAAATAGTTTTGTTCGTCTGAAATCTACAATATAAAATATTAAAAGGCATGCCCATCAACTCTCTTGCGTCGAAGGCAAAAATTGTTTCCAGTCACTAATTGGAAATTTTTTCGAAGTCTACTTCTAGCTCTAGAGAATTAGCACTCTTTCGAGGAAAAAATAAATTTTACTGAGAAAAAAATAATTGATGAATATGGAGGAAAGAAAGAATGAAAGAGGTCTGTTTGAATCTAAGCATTTTGCATTTCATTGTTTCTTCGTATTCTAATGATAGACAGGTGTCACAGATATACGTACACAGACATATGTAAAAAAGTACCTTGTCATGAAGTCTGATACACGATTTCTTGTTCTAAATCCAAATATTTTCAATGTGACTTCGAAGCAGATGCTTGTAGTTCATTTCACGATTGAAGTCGCTGTTTTTTTTTTGCGGAATGACTTATTGAAGTCGCTTATCAAATAGACAATGTTGTCACCGCCAGTGTTACATTAGCGAGATGTCATTGCAATCATTCTGGCGGGCGGCGTGAATTTATTTAATACGAATGCTGACTAAACATTGAAGCGTGACATTGGTGGTACGCTATAAAACACATGTATTACTGCACTTTAATATACAGGAATGTTTTACTGTCGTATCAATTTCCTGCTCGTCCGCAGATATTGTTGTTAATAAAATCTTTATTTGCATCTTTTATGGTTTACATAATTTACTGATAATGGATCAACTATGCATTTAGGAGCTTGTGTAGGCTTCTTTATTGACGGGAGTGATAAAACATACTAGTCTTTAGCAGCCATATATTTCGCTACGGAACCCTAATTAATTATATTCAATGGAATGAATAATGAAAGTCAGTTATTAAATCTTCATCGTTTTTACATCACGTTTCCTCAGGTTGCTTTGTCCATGCTTTATCGTGTTGCGTAAAATGTCTCGCCAGATATATTAATGCCTAATGTGTGTATTTGTATAATTTTACTGCCACACTGGCGTAGGATAGGTATATGAGTACCGCTCCGATATCTGTATACAATTCAGGATATTTTTTTATATATTATGACTAAAGAAAAGCAATTTTTCTAGTTGAATAGTATATTTAGTAATTAATATATTAATGGGAGTAGACAGTAGGTGGAAGGACCTCAATTGTGAAGGAAAGCTTCATCATTCTGATTCATCATCATCATTATCATCATATAGCGTTAATTGTCCACTGCTGAACATAGGCCCATAAGGGGGAGTTTTGCCAGTAGTTGCTACGCTTGGCAGGCGGGTTGGCAACCGCAGTTAGACTGGACACTAGACAGTTATTTAAAGAGGGACGCTGCTTCCCATCCCTCGATCGTTAAGTTCCACTCTGGTTAATTGATTAGAATTAGAAAACTTGGCTTTACATTAAGTTCTATTGGAGGAGACTATACATAGAACTTCCTAGTTCGGTATATAGGATTTTCAAGTTCGATGCATAGTTTTTACTAGTTCGATACATAGGATGTTTTAGTTCAATACATAGGATTTCCTAGTTAGATTCATTGGATTTCTTAGTTCAATGAATTGGATTTGATACTTCAATACATAGTATTTCCAAGTTCGATACTAAGGATTTTTTAGTTCAATACATAATTTTTCCTAGTTCGACACATATGATTTCTTAGTTCAATACATAGAATTTCCTAGTTTAATACATAAGATTTCCTAGTTTCAGGATCACTTATTATTATTTATTAAAGTGTAACACTTTTATTGCAGAGTGAAGAGCTCCGTTCTCAGCTGGAAAACGAGCAGCACTACTGCCTGATGTACAGGAGCCAAGTTGGCGAGCTGCAGCGGCAGATTGAGGAGAACACGCGCTCCACCAGGGACCTGGAGCAGGAGCGGGCCAGTCTGATGCACCAGTTGCAGCTTGCCATCGCCAGGGCCGACTCGGAAGCTATTTCTAGGTGGGTTGCTCTATTTACTCAATGAATAAATGACACATGCTACTCTTAGTTCTGATAATATAGTCTTGATTGATAGCAGATTAAAAAAGTTTAAAAAAAAATGAAAGCATTAGGTCCGTCTTGTACATATGTTCTGTACTAAAAAATAAATAAATAAGTAACCTACCTGTGTACCAAATTTCATTGAAGTCAGTTCGGCTGGCTAAACATGATTGAGTAATAAGTATGTTTACAAACTTTCACATTTGTAGTATAAGTAAGAATAGATTTAAAAGCGAAAATATAAAAAGTAGAATCAAAATAAAAAATAAAAAAATATACGTTTCTCAACGTGTCTCAATGTTTTTGCATCGCGGCGTGCGTAATTGCAAATTCTGCCGATACCTGCACTTCGCCTGTATCTTAAAATACGCTTAGTCTTATTTGTAGTAGTGATTTAATTAAAAAAAAATTAATTATTATTTATTGAAACTAAAAGTTTTTCTAATATTAATAATTATTGTTGAAGAAGAAGGAAGAAGAAAGATTATTATCAAACGGCTACGATGATGGTCAATAAAGTTTAATTAAATCAATCAATCAATAATAATTGCGTGTTGCATTTTAGATCAATAGCGGAAGAGACAATAGGCGAGCTGGAAAAAGAGAAGACTATGAAAGAGTTGGAGATGCGTGATGCTCTGACGCAGCACCGCAGCGAGCTGGCGGCGAGGGACGCGCTCGTGCAGGGGCTGCGTGACCGCGACCACGAGAATCGCGCCACCATCGACCTGCAGCGGAAGGTAACATCGCATGCCACGCTGCACGCCACTCAGCAGCCATTTATTAAAATATTAATAGGAGTACATACAGATGAGAAGAAATTGTTTATTTCAGTTCATTATCTTTCTATCCATATTATTTATTTGGCGTCGGCGTTATATATTTTTATTTTCTATTTTTCTCTATTCGCAGCTGTATCTGCATTATCTCACATCTCATCATATCATCTTTTACACCGACTTCAGAAAGAAGGCTGTTCTTAATTTGCTTGTATTTTTTACGTTTGGACTTCCTCTGCCTTTTACATTCATACTTAATACTTTTTTTAAAATGTAGTGCTCGTCAGCTACAGCATAGAAAATGTTATGTCCATCCTAAGACAAATTGTTACTCGTAACTTTTCTATCTCTGGCGCTGTTTACAATATATGCACCGTACATTTGGTTACAGTTTGAAATTAGATAAAAATGTTTATCCACATAGAGACGTATTGATGACCAGTTTTTTGAAGTCGGTTTATAATGAAAACAAGGTTTAATATAGAGGACTAAGCTCTCCATGAGCTTTTATCCACAAATTCATCTGTGTAACAGGGATAAATTTAGGTTCTTCTCCGTACCAAATAGTATGTGTATGTCTAACTTCTGTTAAGGCGCCAAAAGGTATCAAACAACCTTAAATTTATAATATTAGGAAGAATAGAGATATTGAAAGAACAGTATCAGCAATAATTCACTAAGGTGGTTTATTTCCTATCTACCATATAAATTGAATAATAAACTGCGTTGACATACATACATACATACATAGGGTCGAATTGATATACCCTCCCTTCTTATTAAAACATGGTCCTTTAAGAATAAACATTGTAAGTGTGTGTTACTAATGTCTTTAGATTGAGGCTAATGTTTCGACATGAAATATTTTAATAACATGATAGTTCTCCAGTGGACAAAAGGTCGATGTCGATAATTTATTTATTTATTGCATTAATCACCGCTCTTACAGATACAATAATAAATTTATAATGTCAATTTAATTGTAAATTATGATTAGTAAATTGTTGAATAATAATAATAAGTCAATAACTAAAAATAGCTGTATAGCTTAATTAGTTAACTTATTGTTATTATATCCAAATAAATAATTATTATTTTCACGATTAGATGGAATATAGATATTGTAGATATGTATGCTTGTGTTCACATACACATAAGCTTGTAAACAAGATTAAAAATATGTCAGAGTAATAAAACTAATTAATATCAAATGAAAATAAAACAGCTATAAAAGAAAATTTAGTACTGTTAATTTGCAATGTTTTTGAACATCTTCAAGTTATTTATATGAGAAATCAGTTCAGGGTATGTATGATAAGGCTGATATACATGAAGAAGCTAAAAGCCTTTAAAATTATACTTATATATATATATATATATATATATATATATATATATTACAGACTATGAATAGATATAATACAAAGACTTCATCCGTAATAATATTTGTTCAACTTTTTATCAGTGATAATTTAGAAATATTAATAAGTATTTAGATCACAACATAAACTAAAATTTCAAAATTTTACGCATGGCAATTACTAAAGGCGATCTTATCGGTCGGGAGATATTGACTTTGATATTTAGTCGCTTTTAAATGAGTACTTGTTTTATATTTCAATGTGACAACGGATGTCGAATAAATTCTTAAGCTATTTCAGTAATATGGGCGACGTCTTATTTACACTGCGTGGGAAAATGGCGTGGGTGTGATATATTGTCGAATCGCTTATAACCCTTTGATCTATCTCAATTTAAACAAATACAGTAATTAATTTTTCCTTTCACATTTTTCTATACACTTTTTTTTTATATTTTGCAGATGATCAATTAATTGATAGTGCAACGATTATATTGCGTTATCATGCTATTATTATGATTGGTTTTTTTATACACAGACGAATTGAATAGACATCTTACGCTGAGCGTGTAATATTTACCATACTATCGTAGTTTCATAGGTCGGTTTATACGAAATGAATTCTATTACGATTCGCGTAAAGTGGTTTTTTAATTCCTCAGATGACGTTCCTTATGTCATTGCTGTTTACTTATGCAATTATGTGTCTCATAATAATGATTTTTTATTAGTATGTCCTTATTATGTTAAATTAAGACTGCTTTATTTATTAAATATGCAAATAATGTCAAGATATTTTTTATATTAGTGTAATTGTAATATAATTGGTTAATACTTGTATATTAAATAGCTGGAGTTTTTGTGGTTGCACTTTTTTAAGAAAAAAAAAGAATATATAATGCATACTTTTCTCTGACAAGAAAGTATCAGCAATAGTGTATAGGTATAATGTTTATTAAAAAAAAAGGTAATGTAATAAAATAGTATGTGAGGATGAAGCAGGTCAGTTAGCCCATCGTGAAGAATTCAACAAGAATTGTTCACGATGGTTTCCAGGGGAAACCACGTGGAGGTCGGCCTAATAGGGCATATTGCTAGCAATGGGGTTGTTAAACTCCAATGCTAACAATCCTTTTCCTCCCTGTATATATATTGTAACTACAATGTAATAAATAAAATATATACGAATAATTCACGACAGTAATCTCTAATAGGCTGGTAAAGATTACTGTCGTCTTATTGTTAATCCTGGCCAACCAACAGAGTTTTTATCCGTTCATGTGGACGAAGTCGCGGGTATAAACTAGTGGATAAATGAATGTTAAAATATGGATGTCTGCCCTCAGGAGGTAGACGAACTTCGCCGCAACGGCACAGCACTAGCGGAGCGAGTCGCGACCCTTCAGCGGCTGCAGGAGGACGTGGATCGTCTCAACAAAAAGCTCAACTCGGAGATCATGCTCAAACAGCAGGCCGTCAACAAACTGGCAGAGATCATGAACAGGTACATACATATATTTACTATATAATATAAAAATCCCGTGTATTGTGACGGTCATTTACGCCAATCTCCGAAATAGCTCAACAATTTACAATTAATTTGTAAATGTGTATTGAATGTTCTAACTTGAATAGTTTTTAACACGATAAGTGGCGTTGTTGTTGAGTTTTTATACTCGTGAAGTCTGAATGGATTATTATTATATGTTTTTCTTTATATCCGTGTTAAAAATTTGAAAGGCCTTTGGCAGTCTGTTCTCTCTACCTATTTTATAATTGAACTATAGTGAAGTTAGATACGTTTCGTTATAATTCACGTAGCATAATCCTCAGCTTATAATCAACAGCCACAAAATGCTTTTCTGCAACTTTCGTACAGTAGTTTTATAATCGCCATGTATCCATAATAATGTTTGTATTTCCATTAATCGTCTATATAGTGGGATTAGTAATGTTGGAAATGTGTCCATTGTTATTTATTGCGTCATGTTTCTTATACGCCTTTTACAGAGATTTTTAATTTTTCCATTAGATCCTTTTACTCGTACTTTCGAATTGATTGGACGGTAATTTTTTTTTTATATTTATTTATTTATTTCTCTCACAAAATGACAACAATAAAATTTACAGCTATATAGGTTACAATTTAAAAACAATCTTTGTGAGAGACTGATGTCGGTACTAGGATTACCCGTCTTACAAAACTTAATTTTTTTTAAAATAAATGAATAATTACCGGTAGTAATCACTAATGTTCGTATTATTCAATGTGAAACAGAAAAGACATGAACCCGACGACAACAAAGAACAAGAACAAGATGTCAGTGCGCAAGGACAAGGACTACCGGAAACTGCAGCAGGAGCTGACGCGAGAGAAGGAGAAGTTCGACCAGCTGGTGGCGAAGCTGCAGCGCGACCTGCAGGACACGCAGCAGCAGGTGGTCGAAGAGCAGCAGACGCGCTTGCGGCTCGCTATGGAGGTCTGTATTGTTTATTTATTTTCATTATACATCATTTGTGATAGCATGAATAGTTTTTATTTGGGATTATATTAATTGATTGTGATTAGAAGAATCTAACCAAGAACTAAAATCCTCCATCTGATATAGTAAGTGTGTACCAAATTTCATAGTGAGTAAATTAATCGTTAAGGTGTTTAGAGGTAACAAATAAACAAATTAACTTTAATATTTAAAATATTAATAAGGATGTAAGTGATAGATCATTTAAATCACGGAAAAATTCAAATATGTAACAGACGAACACAAATATTTGTGAGAAAGTAACAGATACAATTATTGAATTGATTTTGACATTAAAATATTACAATAAAAGCTGTCAACTGTCACCCATGCTACAATACACAGATTAGAAATAATGGAATTTATTTAAAGCTTTGTTTATATTCTGCACTTTTAAGAGATCAAGATCTTGTTGCCACTAACTAGTGTTGCAGCTTTAGCAACCTTTCTGTAAGAATCCGGTTACTTACTGGTCAGCAACCTGGCAAGCAAGCGCGAGGTGCGAGAGTTAAGTAAATAGAAGGATCTAAATTCATGTTCTATGGCGTCTTTTAAAAAATATTTAAATTAATATTTACCTGACAAGAATTTTGAAACATTAGAAATCAATACAGCACACAAATCAGTCTATTGCTAATAAAAAAGTTTACCAAAAACAATTATCTCTTTTCAGGTGGATAGTAAAGATGCGGAAATAGAGCAACTGAAAGAAAAACTTGCTGCATTGACGAGCGAAACTGCGTCACAATCGTCCGCCGACGCGGAGGACGGCGAGACGGAACAAACGCTCGAGGGCTGGCTATCGGTGCCGTTTAAGCAGAATATTCGCCGGCACGGCTGGAAGAAGCAATATGTAGTCGTCTCCTCCAAGAAGATTATATTCTACAACTCGGAGAACGACAAGCAGAACACCACCGACCCAGTTATGATTTTAGATTTGAGGTTTGTTTCAATTGTGTAAAATCACTCTTATTGTCTATTATTCCTTTGACGTCTGCAGGGGTGTGGGTAGTATAGTGGGAAATAGGGGTGGGTTATTGCTTTATAGCAATATCTGTTTTAGTTACAATATATATATACTGGTTCAATAACATATATATCAAAAGTCTGTATTCCAAAAATTTTATTGGATAACAGCCTTTTAACATATTCGATAATACATATCCGACCGATTAGGACGATATCGAAATAGGTTATGACCTTTTTTCCGCCATCAAAGGAACCCAATATATAGATATCGGATTGGTATCCATATTACTCTTGCCTAGTGGTAAAGTGCAGTGTTCGCAAATGCTCGCTTTTTCGCGCCTATGTTATGGGTATGATTTTCAGTTGGATCATTTTAGGAAACAGACTTTTGTAAATTGGTCGTTGCTTGGTTCCTCATAATACAGGGTATCCTAATTTGATTGTGGGTAGTATAGATTCCCACAGGTAGGATTTTCGAAAATAATAGGGTGAGTTAGTAATGAAAAAAATTAATTAAAATAAAACTAATTACACTATGAATAATATTTTTATATGTAGAAAAACGGGAATTAGTTATAATATTTATATAATTGTCGATGACTCAATGAAATGTATATGTCAAAATTTTTGTTTTCCAAAAAAAAAATAGTATTGGATAACATGTCTCCTCTCTTAGAGATAACTTTGTTTGGAAAAAGTTGACGGATAAATACATATCCGAACTGATTGAAACCATGAAGATTAAAGCCTGGAAAGTTTTGCAATTTTTGTGTGAAAAATGACCATATCGCTTTTTCTGCCGTTCTCAAAAATCATGATGCCATGGGCTGACATAGCGGCCCAAATATATAGATATGCTTAAGTTTTGGATTAATCGGGCTCCAATAGCGGCAATTTTGTTTACTAACATGTCCGTTAATGTGGTGCCTCATCAGAGAACATTATGTTATTGAACGAAGTAAATCGATTAAACATTTCATTAGCATTTCACTCTCTGAATAGCATCGCCTATGAACTTTTAAGGGGCATAAGTAAATCTTTCTTGATTTTCGATGTCCTGGATACATTTAATGCACTGGAACGCTTACGAGTTGACTGTGTAGGATTTTGAATAGATTGTGCCACTGTGTCGATGTTTTGTTCCGTACGTGATGTCCTTGGGCGACCCAACCGCGGTTTATCTAACGTACCGGTCTCCTCGAACTTATCAATTCTTAATCGTTTGATTGTTACACAACCTTTGTGTTCTCATTAATCGAATTGTTGTTTTGATAAAACTCGCGCACACAAAACGCACGGTCCATCCGGTGAAACGCTCCATCGCGACTAAATTCCCAGAAACCGAAGTTACTGCCACCGCTCACGCGCGCCGTTTTCGTTTAATTCAAATTTTACTTTTCTAAGGACTTTTGGGCCACCCTGTATATAGCTTATGTTACTTGCTGATAGTGTATTCTATAATTGAAAATGTTTTAAAATTGGTTGATTAGTTTTTGAGTAATCCATTACAAAACAAAAAAAATCAATCAAATCTTTATTTTTTATAATAAAATATACATACACCCTGTACATATTTCATTCAGAGGGAGAGTACAAATTTTTCGTGGGTATTAAAAATAATTTAAACTTTACAAAAGTCCTCAACGAATTTCTTCAATATTATAGAATCAGTCTTAAAAATTACAGTAATAGTATACTCATGACACAACATGGACATGTTGTTGCAGCAAGGTGTTCCACGTGCGGTCGGTGACGCAGGGCGACGTGATTCGCGCAGATGCGAAAGACATCCCGCGCATCTTCCAGCTGCTGTATGCGGGCGAGGGCGAGGCGCGCCGCCCCGGCGACCTGGCCGACCTGCCCGCGGACACCGCCGACCACGCCGGTCGGTTCTCACTCGCGCACTCGCCCTCGTTGCACTTGCACTCGCTGCATTTGCATACTCACTACACTCATACTAGCTGCATTCGCACACTCATACTGTTACTCACACAAAATGGCTTGTTTTATTCCCGAATAGATTTTGGGTAAGAAGTGACTAAGGGAACAATTCATAATACATCAATGAACCAGAGGGAGACTTTGTACAAAAGTCGATTGTTTGGGTATCTTTGTTCCATTCGTGTTTCAACCATGAAGCAGTTGTGTTTGCATGGCTGTGTTTCGGTTTGAAGGGTGGGATATGGCGTGAATTTACTGGGTACAGAGGAATAACATCTGAGTCCTCAGGAATGGCAACGCATGGAGGGTATCGTGGGCGAAACAGTATACTCTGTTATGTCCATGGTACTGCTCATGTCTATAGGCGACGGTTACCACTTTCCATCAGGTGGACCGTCAGTTTGTTTGCCATTCTAAGTTGTATAAAAAAAAAAAATCAAAAGAAGGAAATTTCAAAAAATTGTTGTATAATAATGTTGCTTGACATTAGTAGGCTATATTCTCTTTTAGGGAGAGAATTTCCATTATTATTTTAGTACAGTTTCTCCCTAGTGCCCAGGCTGGAGTTCGCCCAGTTATATATGAATAATTTGTTCGCGCTTCAGGTAACACGGTGCAACATAAAGGACACGACCTGGTGAGCATCACGTATCACATGCCGACTGCCTGTGAGGTCTGCACCCGCCCGCTCTGGCATATGTTCCGTCCGCCTCAGGCCTACGAATGCCGGCGTGAGTAATACGTATTATTATAATATTTAGCTCAAGTATTAATAATATTTTATAAACCATACAATGATTTAGACAAGTAAACTCCACTCCTCTAATCCAAAACTTTAATAAGTCTACTTTTTAAGGGAGAGTTTATTAGTTTCTAGAGTTGACAAATATATATATATATTTGAAATGTAGCTGTAGTGGATGACGTAAGAGATGTATATAAGAGTAGAGATTTAGTATAATTCATTGCTGTAGAAAACCTGGTAAGAAAATAAGTCACTGAATAAGAAATAAGAAAGGGTCCAAGGATAGATCCTTGGGGTACACCTACTGTTACAAGGGTCCTATTAAACATTCTGTGATTCAATTTGTTACTTTATGTAGATTAATTATGTTACAGAATATGGTTGATTGGTTACAAGTAGATAAACAAATGTTGTTTTTTTTAATAGATGATAATGGAATAGTAACTGTGCCTATTCTAATGGTTTATTTATGCTGGCGGGGCACCAGTAGGGATGATAGGTGAGAATGAAAAAGGCAGGTTAGTTAGCCCATCGTTATGAATATACTTGGAATACATTTAGTATGATGGTTTCCAGGGGGATCAACGGCTGGTCGACCTGGTTGGGTATATTGCTAGCAATAGGGCCCTTATATTCGCATATGTGGTCAGCTAAGCCGTTGCACGTCGACCCATCGGGATCTTTTGTGCTTCCCCCTGCCTTACACCATCATTTCATAGATCCTATGTGTTACTTTAACGATACCCTACGGTTTAAGATATCTGTAGTCCCCTGGCTCCGGATAAGTCGTTCCCAGTAGACTCATACGCATGCTTGCATCTCTATTACTAACAATCCCTTCCCCCAGCATATGTAGGGTATTATTAATGCGACTAGTGCAATGTGCGTAGGGTGCCGGATGAAGATCCACGCGGAGCACGTGTCGGAGGGCGAGGGCGTGGCGGGCGTGGCGGCGTGCAAGCTGCACGCGGACCGCGCGCGCGAGCTGCTGCTGCTGGCGGCCGCCGCGCCCGACCAGCGCCGCTGGGTGGCGCGCCTGGCGCGCCGCGTGCAGCGCTACGGCTACCGCGCCGCGCACCACACCAACCACGACCACACCAAGCTCTCGCCCAGGTACTCGCTACCGCCTACCGCCTACTGTCCCGTGCTGCGGAACCTCTATCCCTTTCAGACCTGAACGATACGGGCGTGAGTTGTATCTTTAAAAAATTCTAAAATCGCGCGCAATTCATTTTTACGCACGAAGCTGAAATAACATGATTGTGAGATTCTAAACCAGCCAATAAGAAATCATTTTAGCGGTTAGCTGGTGCAGTAGTCTCGTGTGTGCCGGCAAGATGGATTGGCTCCAAAACAAGAAAATATATTTAATCTGAAAGAAAAAAAATCTTGGGTCTGAAAGGGCTATGCCGGAAATTATATACCGGCGGGAGTTACTCCCCTTAGATGTTCATAAATCGAGTCGGCCAGACGGTATACCGACAGTGGTCCTAAAGCAGTGTGCTCTGGAACTAGTATGTCCTGCATTAACACGTCTCTTTACAAACTCGTACTCCTCAGGGCAATTTTCTTCGACATGGAAGACCACCCTTGTACATTTTGTACTTAAAAAAAGCGATAAGTAGGACCCTTCAAATTACAGGCCGATAGCGTTCGCTTCCCTTTTCTCTAAGGTGATGGAGTCTATAATTAACGCACAGCTGTTGAAATATCTAGAGGATTACGATTTATTAAGTGACTGCCAATACGGCTTTCGTTATAATCGCTCAACTGGTGACCTCTTGGTATATCATACGCACCGATGGGCATCAGCCATTGAGAGTTAAGGTGAAGCGCTCGCTGTCAGTCTTGATATTGCAAAGGCTTTTGACCGGGTCTGGCATCGGGGTCTTCTATCGAAATTGCCCTACTATGGACTTCCCAATGCCCAGGAAATGGTTTGCCAGTTTTTTGTCCGGCAGATGTATAAAAACCGTTATAGTTAGTTGCTGCCGCCGTGCAGCGTTCCCGCTAAACAAAAGCTAATAGCTGAAGAAAAATACCATTACATTTTCGCTCAAATTTGATAAAGAACCTAAAACCTAGCTAACCTAACCAAAATAAAAACGATTTTACATTGTTCATTTCATTGATGACGTCATCTATCCAAACGTTGCCTGCTAGAAGAGATCGCTTTTAGAGATAAGGTCTCCCATTGTTTTCTCACTATGATCATTTCTTGTAATTGTTTGTATCTGTTATAAGTTTACTATTGTAATCTTTTGGAGGAAACAATGAAGACTATTTATCTACAGCTTATTATATCTGGCTTCACCAAAAATTGAGTTAATTTGGATGTAGTTTCTGTCACATTTTAGTCGGTAATTACCTTTTACAGAGACTCGATGCGTTCGAACCTGAAGCCTGCGTACATGAATGCATCACAGCGCAGTTCCACGCTGCCCGCAAACGCGTCGCTGCCGCGGCAGTGAGAGACCTCGGCGACGTCCTCCCGACGTCTGATTCAACTCTCAGCTGACATCATACGCGACCTTTTGTGGACGTCTTTCCGACGTCTCGGACCTGACCTGATATCTCGGACGTCTGCTCGATATCCAAACTGACTCTTTTGCAGAGGTTCTCTCAACATTCGACGGACGATCGCTTAAAACAGTTGCATCTACCATATCGGAATTGAATAGTCTAGCTTCATCTGTTTTTTGTACTAACATATTTTAGACATATCCATTTGAATGGCTAGTTTTTAGCAAACGTTAAAAACGATGCTATTATTTTACAGTGTTGTCACTACTGGAAAGTGTCTTGCGCATAACATTTGGTGACGATTATTTGGAACCTATATTGAAAATTTATAATCCGGTTCAGTGTATTTAGCTAGTCTTGTAATAATATTTAGGTCCCCATTATTCAAATTGTTTACACGAGTTCAGCTTCTCTGCTGTGATAGATATTGAAAATATTTATGTTAATATTATGTACTTAGAAGTTTATGTCGGTTATATAGAGCGATATGCTGCTAACCGCCAGTGTGATACCCACACGACCCAATACATTGGAGAATCAGACTTTCTAGTGAAATGGAGAACGCTTGTTTGTTTAGTTGTTCTGCATTGATTTTTTTTTTTATTGGTGTTAGTTGTTCAGTGACGAAATTATATGGCCAATGTGACATTAAAATATAATCAGTAAATATGAACTGCAATTAGAATCTTATAGCTTTCAGAATAGAAAGCGAATCTGACGCTGTATCATAGAATGGAGCGAGAGTCAATAATTCGATTTAAACATAGTTATTACAATACAAGCTTATTATTATGTGATTTTAGTGTGTAACGTATATAAATTGAGTGGCCTGATCGTTTTATTATTTACCCAAAAATGTAATAACATTTTAGTAATTTTACCATTTGTGGAATCATGTAAATATTTGTTTGTGTTAATATTGCGATATTACTTTGCTTGTATAATAAGTGCGTTCGTCAGAATTGTGAGCCTTCATAATGACATTTGATATGTGGCCAAATAAGTATTTTAGCTTTTTTTTTGGATTCAGAGTAAATTCACATATAGTATTTAACTTTAGTTCTTTTTAAAACTATGTTAAATGGTACTAAATTTAATAAAAAATATTTTAATACATACATACAACATCTAGAAATCATATTAACAGTGTTAACTATGACAAAGTATTAAGATAGTATATATTTTTTTATCTGTAAGTATCTAATATATAATCACTGCAAATTTTAACAACTTCCTCCACCTTCTTGTACAACTGACAAAAGTTTCTATCGATAGGCACGTTATCGCTGTAGTGTGCAATAAAATACAGCGAAACGGCCGTTTTATTTTTTCTTATTCGTACATCAACGACAACGTATATAATGAAAATGTATTGATTGATTAGTTCGATGCTTGTCTAGATTAGTTATTAAAATGCCAGATATCTAACTACAAGTTAAAATGGAAGAAACTCATATAGGCTCAGCCATTACATAATAGTGCAGCACTTTATTTAATCATGAACTTAAAAAAACATTGCCCTTTATAAGTAGCAGTATTTAAAATTAAAGTAGCAACTTTTTTTTAGTTTTTAAGGGTTTTTACCTTCAAGAATATCAGCCCTGCAATAGGCCTGAACTTATATCTCATATCCACTTATTACTTTGTCATATTTACCAATCATAAAATTGAATGATGAAAATGTAATAATAAGGTATTAAACTTTTCGAATTTATAACTTACATCATAGAAAGTGAGGAACAGTTTAAAAGATAGCGTGAACATTTGTGAATGATATTTAGTTGATTTAATTTACATTATAAATTTTTATTTTTTTACAAACATTTTTTTTACCAGATTAGCATTTTGTATTTTGTTACTATTTTATGTTGGAACACCTATGTATTGGTTCTCTGATATACGTGTAATAGAAAGTAATACTTAATATTGGAATATTTTGCTGATGACTACATTTTCGTGGTTAGAAAATCAACATATTTTATTAAGCGTTCAAGCATAGGATGTATTCCGTTAACTGACACCATAACGTTTGAAAATCTTTGCTCATAATTAGCTCAGTTCTTTCATATTATATGAAATAGTTTATAATAAATCTTTTTTATATATAAACAAAGTCTCGTATTCACGGCCTTATACATCACAACATGTACGGGAAAACGTAATTTTGTGCACCGCATCAACTAAAAAGACTTCAAAAGTATAACTATTATATAATTCACGAAGACTAAACTAAATTTAAATGGTGATAGGCAAATTCTAAAAACACACTTGTACTACGTATTTGCACTGTTTTTAATAACTGTTAAATGTCCAGTAGCATTATTTGTAGTTATTCAATCGTGTATAGTAACTGGTATTGTTATTTACACAGATGCACTGGTTACAAATATACACTGAGCACTCTGAGACACTTGATACTGAGTTCGATTTTGAGGTATAGTTAAAGCGAAACTTTTTAAAATTAATATTTTGAATTTGGTACTTTAGTGAAATTATTATAATGCGGACCACTTAAATGGTCGGATAATTAACTATATTTCCGATTCTATTATAAATTTTGTATACACTGACGCGTCAGAATAATAATTTCACTGTAATATTAAATTGAAAAATTTGCTTTAATCAATCTCAGTGTCAAGTGTGTCATACTTAGCTACACATCTCTGTACTAACATGTATATTATAATAAATCTGACAGTACATAATTGTAGTAAATTATACGCCAATTATTAAACTCAGGGACCTTAGCTAGATTAAGTACATTAGATACCATCATGCCTTTGCATTTGGGGAATTGACGATAATCAGTGCCATAACATGCCCCTCGTTCATAGCCATCCGTGACCATTGCTCAAATAGTGTTCCCTTCCAGCGTCGCTTAACTACGTGACGATCTGACGGGCTTCCTCGTATCACGACTCTTGCAGGGATAGAATGATCACTTTTGCGGAGTTGTATAATGATACATTTCTTATAATCCAGCCGATGAATGCGTAGTGGTTCGTGGATTTGACGACCAGCATTAAACTCGGCTCGGTATACATTAAATTTATCGTAATGCGGTTCGCGTAAAGTGATTGTTTTAACTCGTTTGGCGATATAAAATGGACACTTTGATTACTCTATAGAATTTTACGATTAATGTTTGCAATTTGTCTATTTTTTATTTTTTTATTTATGTGGTTATAGTAAGATATTCAGACATGTCTAGTGACATATTTTTTTTTTAAAAAAGGTCATTGTCCTCCTTAATTTGCTGCAATTTTAATGGATAATTTTGGAGAGTCTTTGATCATAATCTCATCTGATGTTGGCGATATGGTTTAAGGTGTTACACGCAAACAATGCCTATTTGCTCTAACCTTGAAAGACTCCATATTATAACCAGCCGAGAAATACAGACATAATAATTGCCATAATTCTTGTGACAATTTTCTATATACAAAAATAGTATCCTTTAGAATCTGTAAAATAGGTCTGTTGATACCTTATTAGAAGGTACTTACTTTTAATTAATTCTTATTAAGTAGTTATTTAGGCGAATTGCAAATATACAGATCGCGCTAGAAGACGTCATTTTTTGCTCATGTTAGGGTCGTGACCCCAAAAATGACTAAATAATGTCTCTAAGTCTTCGACGTCACCATGATACCTGGGCAATCGCATCATCAAAGTGGCCATTTTAAACCGTATAGAATATTAATGAGAATGATTGTGATTTTGATATCAGTAGACAGTTATTTGGGTATTTGGAATAAAATTATTCATAATGTCTTAAAATACTTTTACAAGATTCTGCTCTCATTAGGATTTGGACACATTGTGATCATATTTTCGTATTTCTCATAAATTAAATACGTTAATTGTGTAGTTAAGGATGCATTAAAACAGTGTAATATTTGATTTTATTTAAGTGAGTATGCGATGGTAACTGCGATATTTACAATTTGGTGCCAAATATTATAACAGGTTGATACACTGTGGTACCGATGAAGATGTACAAAAATTGAATGCTTGTAAATGTTATCCAGCCTCAATGGTTGTGCGATTTGACACCAGTTTTAGAGATCTTAAAACTTCTATATACTCATTGTGATGTAGGAGTTGTGATTTGAATGTACAAAATAATATGTGTATACACTTCGCTACACAACTTTGTTCCAATTATTTTGCCATGTTTCTAGTAAAGACTCGAGCGCATTATTTTTTATGTCGTCACTCACTATATACTCTTGTTTACATTGCTTAAAGATCTACTATGCATGCTTCGAGCCGTTGGCTAATATCTTGTTACTGTAAAATGTACTTATTAATTAACAACACAACGCTCAATTTTAAATACCAATTTGCATGATATGTCGGAGCGGTGCTGTTGTAGAGTGACGACTTTATTTTCGCAACGATATCCAGGATTTGCACCGAAAAAAAGATATCTAATATATATTATATATGCTGTATCGTTTATATTTCTGATACAATTTTACCAGCGACGCATTCCACACGCGCGGCACAAGTCTAAAATTAGACCAATCTCTATCCAGCTTAATCGATTGATTAAAGCGGAAGCTTCGATTTAATTTGTATATATATTTAATAAATTATTAACGTGCTGCTTCTTGTTATTTGCGATTGGACTGTGTTCGGGGACCGTCCGATCGGCCGTCAAGCGGACGGTCCGTGCGACGGCGAGGTAGGGGACCGGTTCGGTCAGTGAAGGCTCTGGATAGCTGTGATAAATAGACGTGTCTAAACACCCGTGGTGCTAAAGGGATGCAGGCCTCCGACGCATTGTTACTAGTGTTTCTTGTTACATATTGAATGCCCTGTTTAATATTAGCTCTACAAACTGTTTACATTCCTGCAGCGAATGCTCTGTTGAGTTTTGTTTATCTTAGTTTTATATTCATTCAGATTCGTCACGGCTTTATGTCCATTTGTCATTTTATTTTTTTGTTAGATTTAAGTGTAATCGACAATCTCTGCGTACATTACTTACGAATTTTAAATTACGTACTTAAGGTAAATTTCAGTACACTTAGCCATGCGCTTATTTTTTTGATGTGCATTTCTTAATTTTAATGTATTAGGGCAGCTACTGTTCATTATTCGTAATCATTCATTCCATAATGTATTTTCATGAAATAAGCGTGCCGCATTCGAAAATGGTTTATTTGCCAAAGAAATTAAAAATTGTCAATAATGGATATATTACAAAATACAGACTATTCGGCTTTTTTTTTTGCTGTTCGTTAACATGTACCATAATGAAAGTAATATTTCTGTATGAATTAATATTATGTATTATTTTTTAATTATTATGCATAATTTATGAAACTGATTTTATTTTATGACATTTTCGGGGAGTATTTTTCCTCTGCAGTGTTGTGGTGATTCAAGAAATACTCCCAAATTGTCTCGTGTTATTATACATATTTATATGAAATAAGACAATTGTAAAGTTTATGTGAAATATTTATTACAATAAATTCCACTTTCTGTTGTACCGTCATACTTATCGTGTTAAAATTATAAGTTCCTAACAAGATGTTCATTAGAAAAATCAGTGAGTTGCTGTGGTCTATTTAGTGGACTTAAATCAAATGCTTTATTATATGTATATCATTTTATTGAATAATGTTGAATCTATAATTTCGATCATGATTAGGTAATTACATTAAACCCCAGAAAACAAATGGTGTGTACATTTGTGTCATGCAATATAAAGCAAACTACGTGCCTTAGCTACGGCCCACTCCCATATCACCTGGGCATACTATGTTATTAACTTAGTTATTATAATGTACATAAATATGTTTTCAAATAAACCAATATTTTATGGAATTTTTGAATTTTGTATATTGTAAAGAATAATTAATTTTATCATAAAATTAATGCCTAGTTTATAAGAGTATCATCAGCGAAATAATAACATTAAAAAATATATAATTGTTTTATTTGTTAAACTTCAGAACACCTTATTTTTAATTGGCTTTAAAAAGTAACGTCGCGGCCAGGTAGGTACATATAGACCCCGAAGGTAGAGAGATCGAATGTGGCCGACTGTACATATTTGTGTCAATTTAAAAAGTGTTGGTAGCACTCAAAATTATTTCGAGAGGTAGCGGTAAATTCGTCATCATAATCGGGCCGGTTTTCATTGTACGCCATCAAAATAGTAAATAAGAGGAATAATTTATTTTTTGTAAGAATATAGTGTTATCGGTGAAATAAGTACATAAAAATATCTTTATTTATTTTATTAAACTTCATAAAACATTTTAATAATTAATAAACACAGTAACAGGCTAATAATATTTATCAACTATTTAGAAAACTTATAAAATCTAACATTTATAATCAATAATAAACATTAACAAATAAAATATTGAAAATAAAAATCTTGTAATGCTTATAACATTATTACAAGTGCATATTTTTCATAATGTATTCAATACTAAGTAATATTACAATTTAAGGTTTCTTACAACTATTTATTTCTATAATAATTTATTTTATGCTTAAAAAATAAGTTTACAAAGCAACACAATTATCTCTTACTTTTAATGAGTTGTGATTTTCACAAAATTTTAAGTTGATTAACATATCTATTTTATTTCACTATTACTATGAAATAACTATAATAAACATCTAAATATTTAGGTATTCGATTTGTGTAATGGTTGTTGTATAGATATGTTTTCAGAAGAGACCAACGGCTTTCTTGAGATCCTTTTGTTTCCAAGCGGGTAAAGAGCGAAACTCGCTGTAAGGCACGTTAAATGTTGATACGAAGTCGTCGTGAGTCAAGTATAGCTGAAATTTAAAACGAAATATGTTATATTAAGCCATTTAGTACAAGTAACAAATTACGTGTTTTGCCTACTTAATTAAGGTACCTATACCTGTATTCATATTATAATATCACCATTGTTAGCACTATACCTCATCGCAGTTAATTTTTGATGTATTTATCACGATGGAACAATTGGTATGCTTTTATCTTCATTTATCATCCCTTATTGGTGTCGCACAGGCGATAGTAAAAAAAACAATAGAGAATGAAAATTGTTAGCAGTGCCGGTACTTACCTCCTTTGCCAAAGGGTCGACATCAGGCGGCAGGTGTTCCTTCGGTCCTCTCAGCACAGACAGTGGATATTTCTCGTACTGATCGAAGCAGTTCGCTGTGTTACCAGTCTGCAGTGCACTGTTGCCACACTGTACAATCGCTTTGCCTTCCAACGCGCTAATTATAGCGCTAAATGTCTTGTGACCCTGTTGAATTAAGTTTAATTAGAGAAAAAAAAAAGATATAATTGTGTATGCTGACGACTAGGGATTATCCCTAACGAGAAAACAAGAAAAAGATCTACTTCATAAAAATCACACTATCTGTTGTCTGCATAACGTTTAAGCCGGACTATTTGAATACAAAAGCATGTAATGTACAAATTACATGCTTCTGTATTAAAGTGTAGGATCTCCTTATAAAATATAGCCGAGAACTAAAAAAAGAAGTCATAAGATAATAAAATTAGGGTTAGCTTGACTTCAAATCTATACTTATAATAAATCTGAGGAGAGGTCAATTTTGTACATAAAGTATATTTCCAAAATAACTATCAGGGGGTGATTAGTCACCGATACTGATGCCAAAAATACAATCACAAAAATTTTTGTCTGTCTGTCTGTATGTTCGTTATAGAAACAAAAACTACTTACAGATTTTAACGAAATTTGGTACAATTATTCTTCATACTCCGGAGCAGGTTATAGTATACTTTTCATCACGTTACGATCAATAGGAGCAGAGCAGTGAAGGGAAATGTTGGAAAAACGGGAGAAGTTACTCCATTCTTAAGCTTCCGTCGCATGTGCAGCCTGAATGGCCACTTTTTAAAATGTAAAAATGTCCACCTGTGCAAAGCCGGGACGGGCCGCTAGAAGTATAATAAAAAGTTGCTATCTGCGTCTATTTCTTCGCTTCATCCGAGTGTGCATCTACTAGTCTGTTATCAATTTAGTTCTTCTAAACTATAGTAAATAACCAAATTATAATTAAGTTTAGATATTTCTTTACGGAAGGCATGTATTCGTGCTGTAATTTGTAGTCGCGCGAGGGCGTGGCGGTTCTTTAGTATTTTTATAAAGTCCATAAAACTAATAACATTATAAAATAGCGAATACCTTCCACATAGATTGTTTCCAATGCGGGAAAAAGCCAGTAAAGTGCGGTGGTTCGCGACCTTGGCTCAGTACAAGTACGGGGGTCTCCATATCACGGGATGCAGGGTCTGAAATTATTCATAAATAATTTACCAAATAATTTGTTTTGGTAAATAATTGGCAAGTTAGCTATCGGCCCATATAATACATGAAGAATTAGTTATAGGAGAACTGTGTTATAGGAGAGAGCTACGCTCGGATTAATTTTACGTGACAGAATCCGAAATGATATTCGCAAAAGAATCAAAGTCAATGACATAACACGAAGGTTAAGTAAGCTGAAGTGTCACATGGCTTGATGAATCGACAACTGATGAAGAAAGGTCCTTGAGTGGCAATCCTGTACGGTCAAACGCAGTGTAGGTCGACTCCCCATGACTTTCCCATACGAGTAGTTTTCCAAATATGACTTTGAGAATTGTCATATAATTTTTTAACGTAATTCAAAGTATTAATATTTTTGCAGTAACAGTTATTTATTATAATAATAATAAATTAAATAATTATCAATAAAATATTAACAGATTAATTTTAGTAATAATATAATTATTAATTTAATTAGAGTTTTTTTTATTTGATTGAATTTATTACCTAGCGCGAGGTAAGCGTGTGCGATGGCGCGAGCGTCGTCCTTGGCGCGCGGGCAGCAGTGCGCGCCCAGCCACACGAACAGCGCGCGGTGCGCGTCCAGCACGCACGCCATCTCCGGCACCAGCTCGTACTGGTTGAACGAAATTATCTCCTCGACTGCGCAATAAGACTCGCGTTACTATTAGTATACCATATACCCTTATCACCCGTTAACTGTCTGCTGCGCAAAATAGGCCTCTCCCATAAAGCGGGGGTTTGCCAGTAGCTGTCACGCATGGTAGGCAGGTTGGCGATAGCAATTAACTTTTTTCTCATGTTTTAAGGGGGACGCTCCTGTCCATCCCTGGATCATTGAGTTCCCTTAGTTGTCTCTTATGACACCCACGGAAAAGGAAGGGGTGGCCTATTGTATGCCGGGACCTACACAGATAATTATTAGTATATGGAGCTAGTTATGGAGTTTGGATAGTTATAGTTATGGATTATGGAACAGTTTCTCTTCTTTCTCTCTCTTCTTTTATGGGATGTCTATAAGAGAAAGCTCCATATTACTTGTTCTCAAATCAATACAGCAAATGATTCAGGTACTGCTACGAACTGAACGAAATTTGGAACACAGGTAGTTCACATTTAAAATATTTTCATCTTATTTCAAACCAGCAAACCTATAAATGTGGAACAAAGATCTTTCTAATTCCACCTTGGTCAAACAGCTGAACAGATTTGAATGAAATTTACATTATAAACACAGAATAGTTTTATCTTAAGCGAACGGAACTGCGAGATACGGCTAGTATGATAGAATGTTGAAAAGAACTATGTTTGAAATATTTTTTTATTTTATAAATATAAGTACTTAGAACAACTCAGGAACGTTGGTTGTGGCAACACCATAAGTACCCACTCGTCCCATTCGTATCGTTCCCTTGTTGCCGAATAATATGAGGAAAAAAAAATTAAAATAAGAATATTCCCCAGAACTTTACTTAAAATATTAACATTTCAGAGATACTTACAAGTGTACTGGCCAGGCACTCCTAGCGAGACGTAGAAAAGACGAGGAGGCAACGGGCGCTCTACTTCTTTCAAAGGAGATGCCACCAATAAGTGACGCCGATCACCCAATGCATTCCAGAAGTCGGGTTTTTCTTTGCCTTAAAAAAGTAACAAATTGCCTTTAAAAAATAATAAGGAAAGCAAACAACTACGTACTCTTCATTAATTTGATTTATTGTCACTAATAAAAACTAATAAATTAAAAACTTATCAAATACGAGTCAGAAATTTAAGACTGCCATAGGGAATAATTTAAAGCTACTTGCATTCTTGATTGACTAATTCAGTGTTTTTCAAGCTTTTTCATGACACGATCCCCCTAGTATGAAAAGATCTCGACTCTTCGCTTATTTTTCATGTATTTCATAATGAAAAAAAGCCGAAGCAATATTATTTTTTTGGGTCAAAATTTTGTTATGATGATCCATGATACAAAAAAAAATCTTGATCCAAGAAAATAATTTTGAAGAATTAGAGTTTTACATCAAGAAAAAAAATCTTGAATCAAGTAAAGTTCATTGAAACTAAGAAAGTTATGTTAATTAAAGTACTTGATTCAGTTTAAGGTTGCCGCTTAATCTAGTGGACATCTAAAACCACTCAAGAATTTGAGGCTTTTCCTTTTCTATCGGTTGTAGGTTCTTCGAACAATATTATTGGCCTATTATTGCCATTTCAGATATATTATAACGCATTCAGAAAGATTTGATAAGTACTTACTACTAGTAATTTATCTGAGGTTGCTATATAGGGTAATTTACCTTGCATGACGAGTATGTGGTCTGCAGCCGCCATATTTTTGGCGACTTCTCTCTCATCACCGGTCGCGCTCGCTGCACACCAGACCCAGACCCTCGCGTTTTCCCGCAGTATGTAGCAAGCCCCACGGTCGTCGGTAAGCCCTGCGTTCTGTACCTCCACGCCGCGAGCCTCCCGCGCGTACTGACCGGATACCCTGATGAGAACCCTGGCTGGTGCCATTACACGACGTCCAGTTGCTGTAAAGTTGAAAGTTACTTTAAGAATATTACAGAATAAGGATAATCAATCAAGGTGTGTGATGTTTGTGGACTAAAAATGACGGTGAATTACAATATTAAGCTGTTATACAATTACAGCGATTGCTTTCAAGCTAGAGAGTGCTTTGCGTTATGAGAAATTGAAAAAAGAATATCTTAAGGCACAGCCCAGATTACCAAAACACGGATCAATTTAGATTAATTCCTTTAAAAATTTGGCTCAATTGAGAATCAGGTCGGAGACGATAGGAATAGTCAATTTTTAGAATCTTACTTACATAGAGTAATGGAAGAACTTACGATCATAATCGGCAGCACTGCCGACGTAAGTGATCATTCGCCCTTTGAATATTTGAAGGAAATGCGCTGGTTCTTTGCCTTGGTATACCCATGCCTGTACATACAAATAATTATGGTTGATAAAAAACGTTAAAAGATGTACCAATTATTATTATTAAATGAAATATTTATAGATATTTTATTTGTCTGAATGTAAATAAAAAGTGTCTTATAGTAAAGATTATTTTAATTATATAAGTACCTGAACGGGAAGACGCCCCAATTTCGTATAGAGGTCTTTGGCTTCTTTTGCGCCCAAATTCCTCAGATCATTTGGTGAAGAGCCACCCTGTCAAATAAGATTTATTTATTTATTTAACATTTTATTGCACCATTGTCACATGAATTATTGAATGATTTTATTTACAAGGCACACTATAAAAATGCATTATATATTTTTGTTATCAAGCACTTTGTATGCATAAGTTCTGTCACTCAAGATCTTCATAATGTTTTTATAGGCTTTAGTATTGTGTTTATAGGCTTCATTGGTCATTTACCATTACTTAGATTGTATACTTGAATGCCACTCTTATATATAAAAAATCCAAATAATTACTTTTATTTTAATGCTCACCATCCAGTAATAAAGTATAGACTGTTCCCCAGTAGGTGCGTGATAAGTATAAAGAGCAATATAACAGTCCCTATCGTAGAAGACTGCCGCTTGCGGTCGCTCCACCTCCACCATAGAGCACTCATCCTCTGAGATTCGGCGTACGCGCCACATCCGCAATGCGCCAGAACCGTCGTCTGGGAGTTGAGCCTGGAAATATAGAATACATTTTTTTGTCATTTCAACTTTGAAACTTTTTGTTACTAGCAATTGTAACTTGATATCATCATTCCTTTACTAAGTTCCTAAAAGAACTTGATTAGGAATAGAGGGAACACTATCAACATGGTCATTATTGTCCTTTTAAATAGAGAAATGATGTATTAATAAAACCGTATAATATTACCTCAGCCGCGAGCCATGAGTTGGAAGCCAGACTGACGGCATCGAGTCTCGTAGTAGCAGAACGCGCGGCTCGCAGTCTGCTGTCGCGACGGGCGTCACACCAGCGCCAATTGCGAAATAGGGCAGCAAATTCAAGGGGTTCTCGTCCTGCTGTTACCACTGATACTGGCACTACGAGTCTCTTCGCCCGTGCTAGGCCCCTTGCTGCTGCTAACGCACCACGTGCTGCAGAATTTGTAGCGTTTGGTCCCACCCACGCCCATACTCCCCGGCTGCCACTATCCACGATGTATACACCCTAAATGTAGTAAACAAAAAACCATTGAAAATAAATAATGATACTTATAATGCAGGTAAGCACATAAAGTTAAAACTACAACTCACATCATCGCTTAAATCCTCTTTATGCAGTGGTGCACGTCTGATCTCTTCCAGTCTAGCGGCAGGTCTTTGGGAGGGCATTGTTATTGGCGAAACTCTGGGTGGCTGAGTGGCTCTGTACAAACGAGCTGCTCTTGGTGGATCTGAAGGTGGAGATGCTGGGCGCACTGAGCGAGCACGCAGTTCCAGTAGAGTATCGAGAAGAGCGCGGTCGCTTGGGGGCAGTGTCTGTTCGTAGCCATCATGAGCTATTGCTATGCGACGCGCAGTCATACCCTTTTCTGCGCCTCTTGCCATACGGTATGCGATCTAAATGAAATCGAAATACTTGTATTTAAATAAATTATCGTTTTGTCCTATATAACTAATTACTGCAATTATTTTTAATTTCTATTATTTTCCTTATACTAGTAGATATACTTTTTATTGTTCCCTATAAAAAATAACTCAGCAAATGTCTAGTTACCTTAGCTCCAAATATTTTCTCAACCAAATTCGCTGCTCTACCGAGCCACAACAAGAGAAGTGCTGATGTATCCAGGATGAAGACTCCGTCAGCGGAGAGATGGGACCAAGATACGGGTTCTAGTTGGAGAAGAACTGGCCTACGGCCACGTATTCGGTATAGGCGGCCACCGCCGTTTAACGTGCCAGAACCGCTGCGAAGAATTCTGGCGAAAGGAAAAACTTATTAATATAGGCAAAACATATAATATAAAGAGCTTTATGACCTTATACAAGAGTGGTTTAATATTTGCTAAAAATTTTACTTTTCAATTGACATCAAAAAAAGAGGAGGATTGGGAACTGACAAATCAGTTGTATTTTTTTTGTTTGTTATCTCCGAACTCCATCATTTATAAACGAATTTGAAAAACTTTTTTTTTTTAATTTTGATACCAATCAGAAAGGATATACTTTCAGATTGGTCTCATAGACATTTCATCAATATCAGTTCAGTAATTTGTTTTTTAAATGAAAATAACTGGTGTTGCCAATTTTAAAATAAGTTTTTTTTAACGAAATTTACTTGTTTATTGAGGATCATTTATTTATTTTTAGTGTACACATGAGTAAGTAAAATACATCGGATTTTTTATGGATAAAGATGAATTGATGCACTTACCTACGCTAAAGGCGAGAATAGTTTTATGTTTTACAGAATAAAATGACGAGAATGGAGTCAAGTAAGATGACTTATTGTAGTAATTTGTTAGGAGGTTAGTTTAGTTATGTCACATATATACAGTCATAATATTTATCGATAGGCTCCTTACGGACTAGAACAGAAAATATTATGGTACCTGATGCCATCACGGAAGTAAGACAGTAGTCGTGGTGTTTCCTTAGTGGCTGCCTCGCGGTGTATGACGACGGGTTCCCCCAGGTGGGCTGCGAGCTGAGTGCCCCGTCGGAGTGCCAGAGCCGCGAGGTTGCCGCTCCTCTCGCCGGCCCACGCGTGGATATGACGCTCAGCAAACTCACCATTGCCGTTCTCTTTTTCTTTGATTTCGCGACGCTAGACATACAATTTAAAAAAAAATATTTTAACTAAGATATTATGACTCAGATTGCAGCCAGTAATATTATAAAGTTCAACTAACAATAACGTCTGGTCCGGCGGGCTGGTTCGTCAACGAGCAGGAGTACACGAGGTAAGCCTCGGCATCGTAGAAGGTGCCGTAGTGTGTGCGCGGCAACATTTCTGTCCCGGACTCCTGAACAGAATAATGTAAAGTCATTATAACATCCCCTTCACGTACGTGGGTAACACAGTATCAATCCAAAATCCAGTCACATAATTACAGTTACATGAGCTATAGCCTCGATAAGTGGGCTTATTCAAAATTGCGTTCGTCTATACGAATCCGCCATTTGAGAATCTTTTTTTCTTTCTAATCGGTTGTTGGTTTTACGGGCTATAAGACAAGCCCTTGACTATTTAAATTCTTCTGCGTAAATCTTTAGAGGTAATTAAATTATTTATGTAACATTAATCTATTGTGACGAGATGCAAAACTATCCTCAGGGTAGGTAATATATTTGTCATTATAAGAAAGTGCATGAATTACTGGATTAAAGTTGCCGTATCTGCGATTATTTATTCTTTATCTACGCTTGCACGATACAAAAGACGCATATTTTAATGTCATTTTCTTAAATACTAGTTTCTTGGAAGTTAATAATCGTTTTATGAATGCAACAAAACAATTTGTGGCCCGAGGCGGCGCTTTGAATCCATTCATGCATACTACAATTATTACAGTTGCTTGCATGCGTCAAAGAGAATATGCCTACCCAATCAAGCCGTTTAACACGCATATCTGATAGCTGCGTGCCGCGCTGTCGCAGTGGCGTGTGGTAGTGGTAACGTGGTGGTCAAACACACCGATGAACAATGTGCAGTTAGTCTGAATCACATACAATGCTTGATGTTATGTATTACATTTTATCACGATATTTGTTTTTGTAATTGATGCTTAAACTGCACAGATTTATTACAAAGAATATAAACTTGTGACAAGCAAATCGTACATACGATTGCACACTGCTGTGATTCATTCTTTTCTAAGAGTTTCTTTCAAACACAATACAGCACGCATTGTTCTTTCGTGGTAGTTAAAAGTTAGAAGCTTTGACACTAGTTACTTAAGAAAATTATCTCCGTCATAGTAGAGTAATATCGTCCTAGTACAATATATTACTATATGTATTTGTCTTTATATAAGTTTAAATATAAATATGTACATGTAGTTATTTATTTGAGTCTATTTATGTAAGTAAGTATATTATAAGTATTTTATTGTTATTATGTGTAAGTATATTTTTATTTAGATTGTTTATACCTACCTACTGCATTTAAATTTATCTTTAGCCCTTTTCCTCCTTTTTTAATATTATTATTTTTCTGTTACGCCTTGACCAGACACATTTTTAATTATTCTTCTCCATCCTAAGATTGCTGGAAGAGATCCTCATTTAGCGATAAGGCCGCCCATTGTTACCTCTTTATCTTGCTTTTATGTAATCAAGTTTATGTTTAATTATTCATTTTATTTGTGTACATATTTTAATTATAATTTGTATAATTGTTTTCAGGTAAAAATATAGATGTAAAACAACGATTATTTTGATATTATTTTCTGCCAGTTTCTTCTTCTTTTCATTTAAGAGTTTCCTCTTGTCGGTGCAACTAATTCATGCATCTTCTTCCAGTCAGTTCTATCCCTACACCTAGTGTTTCTTTTATCTGTCCCATGTAGTTATTTCTTATATCGTCATACATTTTAACACCGGCGAATATCAAAGAAATATTATTTACCAATGAAGTTATAAGCTACATTGCAGTCTAGATAGAAAATCGTTCAGTCTCGCTCCGTAGGTGGCTACTTCCCGAGACGTAGCGGTATTAGATCTAGAGAATGAATCACCGCCGCTGTACCGTTACAACCGAGATATCGTCTTCAAATCGAAATTATCTGTTACAATATAATCATGCGGGCAAAAAAATAATTAGTGCAGCGGAGGAGTTGATGAAAATATTTTGTCTATTATTAACGCCTATTGTAGATTCTTTAGATTGGATAAAAAAATAGCAGGAAAAGTCGTGTTTTGATCTAGATTGATGTCGTGTTTTGATAGATATAATTTCACTGCCATATATCAATATGGCTGTGAAATTACAGGTTACGGAGTCATAACATTTTATACACATGTTGTGAGTTCTCAAAAATCGCGTAAACGTTGTATTTTCAATCGATTTCAAAAAAGTTCTTAATTTGTTTGTATTTTTTTAGGTTTGTTATCTTATAACTCCATTCATAAACTGACTTGCAGAATTCTTTTTATTTAAACAGATATACTTTCAGATTGATTGTATAGAAATTTTATCAAAATCGGTTCGGATACAAAAATTTTTTAAATCAAGATAATTGGTATTGCCACGATTAAATTTAATATTTTTTGTGGAACAAAATCTTAAATTATATGATGTATATATTAATGTCATGTCTATAGGCGACGGTTACCACTTTCCATCAGGTGGGCCGTCAGTTTCTTTGTCATTCTAAGTTTGTTTAAAAGACTTAAATACGGGTTATACCTATCCTCTAAACCAGTCTGGTGAAACCTCGACAAGTAGCTGCCCTAAGTAGAACAATGTTGTACTTACATTATAACTACTTACTCACAGATCACTATTATATCAAGTACACTTTCTCTAGCCATGTCGGTTTGTTTATTAGTGAGGAGAAATGTAAACAATAAAATGTATTTTTGGTGTAACAATAGCTAAGTATTCTATAAGCATTCGGTTAAAAAAGTTCATATAAGCACTATTATTACACGTTGGAGAATTTTTGAGGTGAGCTAGGTATTCTAATCAGTTTTTAAGAACAGAAGTAAAAACATAAAATAAATATTGCTTACGTTTTATGTAAAGTTAAACTTAGATATTTTCAGGTAAGTTTAATGATTGCTTGCGACTCATAACGGCTTTGCACGGGTAGACAGTATAGGCATCTTTATTTTATTTTTTTAATAAAATATACTTATACTCGCTGATAATGTAGTTTTCTATAGGTGAAACAATTTTTAGAATCGGTTGAGTATTTTTTGAGTTAACCATTATAAACAAAAAATAAATCATTTCTCTTTAGAACATTAGAAAAGTAGCGGTGCCAAATATATATAAAAAACAATGTTACAACAGATTTATTTTTGCTCAGTTTAATGTGAGAATTTAGTATGTTACTGTTGTTTTGTTGAAAATAATCCATAGAGGAGGTCGTGTGAAAGGTCAGCGTGAACACAAAATGTTTTCACACATAAAATAGGTACCGCAAAAACAATTGTGGTCGCTTAATGATGTTAAAGAAAAAGAATGGTTTTACACAAAATTTGTTGACATTAGTCTATGATTAAATTTATTTAGTGGTGGAAACAAATTTAATTACAGAGATATACAATTAATCTACTCATACCTAAATGCTACATATTCATATTACTTTATGGAAAATAATATATTGGTTATTAACTTTTACCCACAACTTCGTACACGTGGCCGGGATATGTTCACTGGCCGGAATAAAAAGTAGTTTATGTATTTCTTAAATCAAATTTTATAGTTATTGGTTAAGATATTATTATGCTAAGAGGCAATAAACACATAACAATCTCGAGATACAAACAAACTCACTGTCATCACACCTATAATATTAGTAAGAATTGGTTATTCAAATTTAAGTAATTACTTATTAAAAGTTTAACTACATATAACAACTTTGTGGTGGATTGGGCACGGCCCGCCCGGCCCATCCATAAATACCTATGCCTATGTGTGGATAGCATAATATGGGAATTTTGAGACGTAGAACTATGGAATTTACTTTATTTTAATTAATTTAATTTAGAAAGAGTACCAATGTTACAGGTGTATAGAGTGTAGAATGGACGAATTTATTCTTGGTAACAATATCAAGGCCGTTGGAGATTTGATTCTTGGAGAAATTTTATTTTAAATCGGCGTGCATAATAGCTAATTTGAAGGTGAGGTGTCGATATTGAGGTAGCTTCAAAGACGTACTTCTGCCTCAACAGCACGAGAGAGTTAAAATTATGTTTGTTCCTTTTATATTACAATTTACTTATAAATAAGACCACAAGTGAGGCGGATGCTAATAAAATTTTAGTCATTTACTCATAAAAGTGAATTAAATTTTGCGAGTAGTCGCGTGACTTTAATCTCGCAAAACCGTACTGACCTAACACGCAAAATAACATAGAGCACATTACCATTGGTCTTACGTGTCTCAATTTTCGTTAATGTCGCTTTCACTGAATAGACAGGTATGTCGACAAAACATTAAAACGAATAGTCTTTGTTGTTTGTGGTTACCTAATAAAACACAATTGCACCAGCGAAATGACGATAAGGTCGCTAATTGTCAGATTAGATTCGAATATGCTCGTTAATATACCTTTTAACGACTTTCCTATCATAGCACAATAGATAAATATTGCCGAAGCATTGTATCATGTAACGGATCATGTTAGAATATTAAAAGAAATTATGCAACAAATAGATTATACAATTTTTTAAATTATTATTTTTTAAATTAGTATATTACGTTTTTGAGCGATAACTATCGTTAGAATTATGTTATATTTAATTATATATAGCTAGTAGGTCGGCACTTTATCTACATTGTTTTAAGATATGATCTTGCAATCTGGCTACTAAACAAAGAACCGGTCTAGACGTTCCGATTCAATAGATACTTATATACCGTGACACCGCTTTGACTTAAACGGTAGTTTTGTTACAACAATAATAAACTATCATCTATTCAATTCGTAGTATCTAAGCTCTTAATTAATTTATGGTGTTTATTAATTTATTCACAATGCTTGTTTATCTGTCAATTTTAATTAGTTTTTTTTTTTACTTTTTTATAATTTTGATTTTAGTTGTATTAATAGTTTTGTATTGGTTATTCAAATAGATTTTGTTTTTCATTGGACTAATAGAGCAGAAATATTGTAAATAGTTATAAAATGTTTGATATAATATTATGTGTACCAAAAGTACTCTGTGATATTTTTTTTTTTTTTAATAAGAGACATATATGACCCTAAAATACTTCTTTTTAGTCTGATTCTATAGAACTGACCGTCTACAGACGTCCTTTAGCAGTGCAAATAAAAATCAATTAGACAAAATGTTGTGATTTGTTATTAATTCCGTTTAGAGTTTAATGTAATAATTTCAACAAAACTTGGTTACTTTTTAATTTTTTATTTATTTAGTTGCTTAAATTGGAGCTAGTTGTGCAGAAAGCAGCTATGTGATTTTGACATCCCAGATAGTTTGGTTATTTTGCATTAAACATACTTTATTATGATAGAGATTGCCAAAAGGTGGTACATTACCGAAACCCTCCATACGAGGAAGGTAGTGTGGTCACGCGGCACCGTGCGGAACGCAGCCTCCGCAATGCGAGCGCCGCCGCTCTCATCTTCCTGAAAATATAAAAAAAATTGCATTTCTATAACTTATTAATCGATTATGCATTTATAAATTCATGATAAACTGTTCTTTAATAATGACTCGACGTTGCTTAAGAGATTCGGAATGTTGTTTACATATATTATTATTACAATAAATACATATAACAAGAATTTAATAAAAGAACTAAGTGACCAAGCCTTCACTAATGTAATGTTATGAAGAGGGGATTTCAGCTACATTGGGTGTGCCAAGGTCGAAGAGGTTAATTTAACCTGGTCAGGCATAATGGTCCCCGTGATTGATTGTCCAGATTCTATTCCACTACTACAATAGTTTGGGTGTGGTCTTTTAATTTTGCTCAAAGGTGGAGACGGTTACGTAAATGTATTATTTGCTTATATTGCAAGTAGGTACCTAGTTATTATAGATGTAGATATGCAGGTACCTACTAAATGATCTATTCGAATTTATACCAACTTAATTCGGAAATTTACGACCTAGTATTTTTCTTAACTTTCAGGCAGTACGATTTATGTGTAACAACGACATTTCGATTCACATTATTCGTTTATATATGAATATTAACTATATTATATCCAAATATCTATAGAATATCTTCAGAATGCATGAAGTGACATATTTTATTTTATTTTACACTTTATTGCACTATTTATAAAACAGTAAATACATTTCATTGTAATGAGAAATTATACAAAAGGCAGCCTTATCGCTAAGCAATGTATTCCAGACAACCTTTGGGTAGAGGACATTGAGAAAAGAAAAAAAAGACAAGAGACCTAGCTTCAATTATGCAGAGCTTATTTATGTACTACATACCATTTTTTGGGTGATTTATTAATATTTTTTGTATATTCTATATTATAGATTATGTTATCACTTCTTTACACGTAAGCCAATATAATGTTATAAAAAATATGATCAATTTATTTGATAGAACATGTTATTATTTTTGGGTCGATTTATTCGCTCGTTAGGCGGGTAGGTAGGTAACTCCCGAGGCGTAAGTGAATAAGATTAATCGGAGAACACATTTAATGCTTCGTGGGTACTAAAACAGATTAGCAAAGTTACAACTTTCACTCATTACAGCTGATATATGGAAGTAACGTATGTCGTAATAGTCATTAATTAGATAAAATAACAAAAAGGCATAATATCTAATGCGCACACATCACGAAATTTTATGCAAATAAAAACTTCACTTCTATACACTGTTTGTATACAAAAATTACGTAATGAATGTTTACATGGTCGGCTCCTATTTCCAGGATGTGCATTTTCGTTGTGATGGTCAGATACAGACTGGGTCCATCACACCGCGTCCGTCTGCTCCCACCAGCACTTCGCTACAAAAAACTATCAGCAAGCACGACAACTACGGGACGAGTGCGGCGTCCATGCTCTCCCCACGGACTAACCAGTAACCGGCGGCCGGTCGGAACGATGCGAAAAAAAAGAAAATTGTTTCACGGTTCTTGCACTTACATATTTTAATAAGACAACGAGGAATAAATTAATTCCCGCGAAAGTCGGGACAGCGTTGTTGCCGATTGATGGGTGGCGTGGCTGTAACTACCTATCGCATTTTCATCTCACAGCAGTAAACTGCTCAATTAGAGACATCAATTATTGGCTTAAAATGAGTGATCAGCAAATGGGTATGTTATCACAGCGATTAATAGTTCTGACATACCCATCACGTACTGAAGTGGAAATTCTCACGTAAAAATATTATTTAGATACAATTATGAGTATACAGTAGCAAACGAGCTAACGGCTTGCCTTAAGGAAATTAGTAACCGTCGTCTATACAAATATAAACAATATCTACGGAATAGTTTTAGAGTTAATCAAGGATACTCAGGTCCTACTTTGGAGTGAAAGTTTGCAGCGGCAAAAAGGTAATTGCGCGTTTTGGAAAAGCGTTATAAGCAGTGTTCACACTGTGTAAAATGCTAATGAATATGTACGGAATGTAAGATGCACCTGATATTCGTCCATCAACTGCAGTGGTGTTATCTCACTTTCTTATTCTGTTTGCAGTAATGCTATCGATCGCAATCAGGCAGTGGTTCGGCGCGCCACGCGAGAGGTACCGAGTGACTGGCCGGCCTAGGCTAGGTACGAGTACTAACACCAGTGTGGGACAATTCGCTAGTGAATTGTGGTGTTCTGCCACAGGATGCACGCTCGGACGCGCACTTTGTTAGTTTCGGCATTATCCACATTCACTTTCGTTCATCATTCGGACACAGTGTCATGTCCGTAAACATGAGTAAGTAACCGTGAAGTATGTTGACTATGAGTATATTCATACGTACTCAGCTACTCTTTTCCTATTGGAAAATGTGACCTCAATGTCTAACGTTCGCTGCATTGTTCTCACCGAAATCACAAATGCAGCTGAAAAAATAAAATTAATAATTTAATATAACTCCCGAAACGCCTTTGAATTCATCATGATGGGCTAACTGGCCTGTTTTCATTCTCATCTATCACCCTTCACTGGTGCTCCGCCAGCGTATCCCGTTAGCGCAGGTGGGGCTACCATACCATTTTCATCCTTAAAAAAAAAACTTTCGAAACGCCTGAACAGATCTTCATGAATTGTAGCTAAGAACCATCTTGATCATGTCAGTTTACTAATAAAAAAAACGCATTATAATCAGTCCATTCTTTTAGGAGTTACGATGAGAAATACAGACATGTCAAACTTATACTCGTAACAACCCTCTTTTGTGTCAAGGGTTAAATATAAACTGATACACTCATGTCTGTGATCTCTTTGCGGTAGTTACTAATAGGTATACCTATAGACATTTTCATTTTTTCGCCAAGTAGTAGTAATTCTGTTCTCTTGATTTAATTTGGTTACTTCATGGCGTTTTAGTTTAAATAGATTTAGTTTAAATTAACTGACACAGTTCTTGGTTTCGTTTAGGTTCGAATTTATGAGTGATAAGCTTTGTGGTTAAGTCCGGTTATATAGTAAACCACTAGGCCACGCACGACGCTCTCCAGAGAAAACCAGAACATATTTAGATACCTACTTACCTTTCATTTAATTTTGAACAGTAAAAGCTTCAGCATGTTTTCAATGCTTTATTTATTTATTTATAGTACGGTAACAGATTACAAATTAAAACATTAATAAAATAAATAATACATAAAACAGCATTAAATTTGCACTCTAATAACTGCTCTGCATAACATTCAATATTATATATGTACATTCAAACCAAATCATATTTATTCGCTTGCTACATGGTACAATAAGAAGTTACATATACAGGTACATAACATGCAGCACCCCGCAGAGGTATGCAAATGTTAAACTGTATTTAGTCTACATTATATTACAATTATAAAGTCCAAGTATACAAGTAAAAAGTATTAAAAGAATGATGGCTATAAATTTAAAGTAACAAATTGGCAGCCTTAATGTAACATTGCAAGGATGGAGGGAAAGGGATTGTTAGTACTTTTATTTTTTATTTTTTATTTTTTATTTAAATAACTTAGAATGGCAAACAAGCTGACGGCTCACCTGATGGAAAGTGGTAACCGTCGCCTATAGACATGAGTGACATAACAGAGTATACTGTTTCGCCCATGATACCCCCATACGTTGTCATTCCTGAGGACTCAGGTGTTATTCCTCTGTACCCTGTAAATTCACGCCATATCCCACCCTTCAAACCGAAACACATCCATGCAAACACAACTGCTTCACGGTTGAAACACGAATGGGACAGAGGTACCCAAGCAATCGACTTTTGTACAAAGTATCCCTCTGGTGAACTCCTCTTTTCATTCTCATCGATCACCCTTCACTGGTGCTCTGCCAGCGTATCCCGTTAGCGCGGGCAGGGTTACCAATCAATTTTCATCCAACAAAAAAAAAAGAAAAAAACACATTGCAAGGATTGCTTTATGAAATCATTATCATCGGAATACCCTGAGAATTAATGGTCGAGGGATGAGCAGCAGAGTTCCTTTTATAACATTCATCATATCAGCTCTTAACTGTCCACTGCTGAACATAAGCCTCCCCCTTGGGAGGGTTTACCAGTAGATGCCACGCTTGGCAGGCGAATTGGAAACCGTCGTTAGGCTTTAGAGATGTTTTTAGAGGGACACTGCTGCCCATCTCTTCAAAGATAACTATCTTTTACAACACCCACGGGAGAGCAAGAGGTGGCCTATTCTATGCCGGGAGCACACGGTCATTTTATAACATTACTACGTGAGTGGGGGGGGGGGGATTATTAACAATGGAGACTAAAGGATCCCTTGCTAGCAATATACCTAACCAGGTCGACCTCCACGTGGTCCTCCCTGGAAACCATCGTGCTGAATTACAAGTGTATTCATTACGATGGGCTAACTGACCTGTCTTTTCATCCTCATCTATCATCACTCACTAGGGGCCTGGCAGTGTATACCGATATGCACTATCGGCGGGGTTACTATTCCATTATTTAATATAAAAACATTACTACGTAGCAACTACTGCCAAAACTCCTCTTATAGGGAAGGTCTATGTTCAACAGTGGACAGTTAACGACTGATATAAAAATATAATAACCACGTTGGTTTCCAGGAGGAACTGCATGGAGATCAACACGTTGCTAGCAATGAGCTTGTTATACCTACCCCATTATTAGCAATCTATAAAGAGCTAAAACTCGAAATAAAACCACCTAATTAGTATAGTTAGTTAATAATAAGTTGTAGACTTTCCCACTGCATTTTTTATAAGAGACTCAACGCGATCATTTAGGTAAAGTATGATAATTTACCTGAATAATCTCGACGTTTCGGTCAGGTTTCACCTGCCGCGGTAATAATTATTACCGCGTATAAGCGATTATAATCGCTTAATTCTCATCTCTTATAAAACGTAGTAATAATTGGTGGGCTAATATGAGGAATATTAGCCAACTTTTACGAGACAGATGGGAGTTACATTAGTATCTATAAATTTGATATTCTACTTTATAATTAGTAATTATGTTAATAATTATATAATATCTACAGTATCTTACTAAACTTAAAGAGGTCTGTGCCTTCTTATGAGCACAGAATTATGCTTACAAATAAACAGACATTGTAACGTATGCTGTGTCCTAGATTGTTTACCGTTATTCGTTTTTGATGTCTTAACCTACGCATGAAACCACAACAATGTGTTTTTATGCTAAATTTATATAGTTACTCATATTTAAATGTATAATAGTACTAGCCATTTCTCAAAAAGAAATTTTGATCAGTATATAAAATATCCTACGTGTTAAGTTAGGATATAACTCACCCGTACTTACCCCGCTGTAGCAAATTCCGTTGAAATGATATTTAAATTTATATGCTAGATATATTGGTGTTAAGATGATACAATTTGTAAAGATATCTATTGTTATTGTTTAAATCCGTTCAACTGTTTAAGCATTTTTTTTTGATGGGTGAAAATGGTATGGTAACCCCGCCTGCGCTAACGGGATATGCTGGCGGAGCACCAGTGAAGGATGATCGATGAGAATGAAAACAGGCCAGTTAGCCTATCATGATGAATTCATAAGGAATTAACCATGATAGTTTCCAGGGGAACCGCGAGGAGGTCGACCTGGTTGGGTATATTGCTAGCAATGGGATTCTCAATTTCCATTACTAACAATCCCTTTCCCCCCACTGTTTAAGCATTAGGATATTATTAGGAGTCATATTTATTTTATTTATTTAATTCTTTATTGCAAAGAAACGTAAAACTATACAATGACAATTAAACAATTTGAGTGAAATTTAATAACATAAAATATAGATTAAAATATTTACATAAAGGTACAAAAGGCGGTCTTATCGCTAGGGCAATCTCTTACAGACAATCTTTGTTTAAAGGAGAACAGATAAAAGTGGATAAAAAAATTTTTTTTTAACCGATTTTTAGAAATAAATTACCCAAAGCGTACCACGTAGAGGTTGCACGGTCGGATTTAGGCTTCTTTTACACACGTGTCTGTGTGCGTTTTCTGAGATATTGAAGAAAATGATCAATTTTCATTCAAAGTCCGATAGCTCAGCGAGAAATGGTCGTATCGAGACCAAAAAATTAAACGAAATTGAAGCTAAGTGAACAACCTATCTAATCCATAAGGTGATTAGTGCGAATTTTTTTTAAGTCCGTAGACTAAAAATAAGATTGAAATTTTTTTTTTCTATGATATTCATTAAGATTGCGCGCTACGTGTTACTTGGAATTTTTTTTAGATATAAAAATTAGAAAATTCAAGCTTCAAATTGTTTATTCTTTTACTCCGATACGACCATTTTTATCAAAAATACAACCTCTTGAAAAGTCGCCAATATTTTGATTTTTTTGAATCTTTTTTTTCTGCTAGTATATGCTAGACCAGTGATTCTCAACCACTGTGCCGCGGCACTTTTGTGTGCCGCCAAATTTTGCAAATATTTAAAATTTTTGTCATAAACTATTTATGCAGTGTGTTGTAGTAAATAATTTTTATCTTTTTCTTTGTATTAATTTAAATTAAATTTTAAAATAGTTAAATATGTGCCGCAACAAAAAAAGGTTGAGAATCACTGTGCTAGACTAATATAAACAGTAATATTCAGTAATAAAAATGTTCGTATTGTGCGAAGGTAGATTCGGCAACCAGCGGTAGGCGAGGCGATATGTTAGCTGTTATACCATTAGTCGGAAATTAAAATTGATATATTTTATTGTCTTGTAGGTATGTAAATATTGTATGAGTTATAAAAGAATTATTCTCAATCCAATGTACGGTAGTCATAAAAGTAAAATAATGCCTGAGTACTATAATAATTGTTACGGATTTTTGTTCGCCATATTTATGGTAATTTTTTTATATTTCTATCCGAGTCGCATCTAGTTTTATTTTGCTATCAATCTGAAAATAAATACAACTGAATGCATAGTTTCCTTTGCACGGCAAGTAGAATAAAAAAATATATGAAAAAAGCGGCAAACAAATGACTGATATCCTAATTTCAAATTCGTGTTTTGTAAATTAATAAAATTTAATTTTGTAAAATAATCATGTATACTGACGACAATTATACAGATAAAGAAAGTGAAGGTGAAGACAGAAGTCCCTACAATTGCTCAAGTATCACAAAAAAGTCGTTGTCCACTGTCGGATTTAGAAATAACATTGAAAATCAAAATGTGAGATCTTTGGCGATTCGTGCGACGCAATCTTTCACTGGAGGAGTTGAAGAGTTAAGATTGTGTGGGAATTTTCAGAAAATAAATTTATGTAACAGGATAAATGTGTCGAGTCCTAAGGTAACTACAGTATGCCCATGTGGATGTTTATTAAGACCTGCTACCACAGGCCCTTTTCGAACTCGAGAACAGAATACACTAGCACTGCATGTAGTGTCACCTGAAGTTCTTAATTATCATGGATATTGCTATGATCCCAGTCAAATAGCTATGTTTTGGAAAAAAGACTGTAGAATGTTCCTATGGAAAGGAAATGCTAAAATGAAAAATATAATCGTTGCAGACTCTCAAAAAAATAATTCAGCATTTTGAATTTTGTAATTATTTATGTCTATTAAACAAAGTAAACAACTTAGTATTTTATTTCTTATTATAAAATAAATATGTATCTACAAGAAATTTTATTTCAAAAACAATTTTAATAAAGAAATAAATTTCTTTTTTAATTTATTGTAAAGTTTGCACTGTGTCTAATGGCTGCTTTTCCACACCAAGCATATTATTCTCCACTGACTCCCCACAAGAGAACCTTATATAGTCTATGATTTCAACTTTATTTTGCTCTAGTACTTCATCTACTGTGTAAGATGGATCCAACAGGTATTCTTGATAAATAAGGCATGTTTCATCATCAGAGTTCTTGTTTGGTTTATCACTTTCTTTGTTTCCAATTTTCTTAGGGGCACACCCTACAATGTGTTGACAGAGCTGACGGCCAATATCCTCATGTCCACTGGATTGCTTGTAAGCCAGCAAAGCTCCATATTTGCCAGCTGAATAATCTCCAGAGGCGGCAGGAGCTGGATGTGTGTAGCCTGCAATCTTCACTTCTTTGTTGTTTGCTTTCCAACACTCTGCTCGTCTTAGAATTGCATTTTCACCAACAGATCCAATAAACAAGGCCAGTACTTCAGAGAGTTTCTTGCCTTCAACAGAGAGGTTTCCTAACTGTTCACTGTCCAATTCCATCTAAATGGAAATAAAATACATTTGAATTAAAATATTCTGCAATTTTTGCAACTTTTAGTGAAAGCACCCTTTTAATTTTAGTTGGTGGATTGTAAGTACAGATTTAACAACTAGTACAGGCACCAGTTCCTATAAATAATATTATTAAAACATTCTGCATGTTATAGGTAATAAGCTCTTATTTGTTTGTAGTGTGTGAAATAAATAAATAAATCAAAAAAATATGAAAATGCATACACAAAAGTTGTTCTACACCACACCAGTCTTCATCAAGTTATATGGAAATAGTGTATGTGTAAACATTAAAACAAAAAAAAAAAAAAGTTTATCCCAGTGGCTTTTAATACAATAATTCAGATCTATTTGAAATTGTTTTGTTTATAATTAGAATAGCCATTGTCATTATAAAAATACTATAAAGTATTTTTAATTTGAAAATACTTTTATTTTAGAGATATGATGCAATGACATTTAATCTTGTTAAAAGAAACAGCTCTAAATTTACCTTTGTAATGTCTCCCTTAGATTGCAAACTAGTATGTGCAAACTTGAAGCAAGCAAGGGTGGCATCTTCAATCATCTTATGGAATTTTTCATTTTTGGCCACAAAATCTGTTTCACAATTAAGCTCAACAAGGGCTCCATGGTTTTTGTCAAATTTCACAGCAACCAGACCCTGTACAGCTGTCCTACCAGCGAGTTTAGTAGCCTTCGCCCATCCCATTGCTTGTGCTTGTTCATTTAACCATGCTTCTGCCTGTAATAATAAATTGCAAACTTTATGTATATTAAGGTGCATATTATAATGAAATATATTAATGCAATATAAGAAATATGTTACACATGTTATATAAATATGTTCCTATATTGAAATACTATTTCCTAAATATATTCACACATACATACTACTTTCTAACCTGTCATATTATATGTATATTAATTATGAAAATATTTCTTATATATATATGAAATGTTATACACTATTTTGAATGTCTGCAACCTGCTATGAAAGAACGAAGATCAGTAAATAAAGAGAGAGAAATAGCATGTTAAAATATTGTATTAGAAATTCCACATTTCATAATTATATAAAAAAGAATATAAAAAAATGCAATTTAAAAAAGTCGGATAATACAGATTGTCACATGCATTACATACCATTATATTGTTGGTGTGATTATAACATAAGAGTATATATATATATATATATATATATATTAATGGTATTTATATGTAATATATCAAAAACACACATTACTTTAGGGAGTATGCTTAGATGTAACACTGTAGTGCAGGGTTATATATGCAGTACTCAATACTTGCAATACAATATTATATACTATTTTCTCTAATATAATGTTTAAATCATAATTAAATATTGGTGAAACATACCTTATCAGAATCATTGTTATGCATTTCAAGGGCTTTTTTGCAATTAGCAATTGTGTAGCCTGTTTTCTTCCGCAGCTTTGCTAACAGAGAAGATTCAGCTTTCCGACACACAGGGCTTGTGTGGAGACTTCTTACCAATTGGAATATCATCTGAAATGATATTAATAATAAAATATTAATATTGAATATTTGGGCAATGGTGTTCTATATTTAATTTTATATGTGTGTACACCTACCTAATAAAAAATAATGCAAATTTATAAGCTATTAGATATTAAAAAAATGATTTTATAAGAGAAATTATGAATGAAAACAACTGCAATGCAGGCTTCCCATGATGTGGGCCTCCCAATGACTGAACCAATGAGTAGCCAGTAAATTTATGACATCATCTCAATAGAGCTTTGTATAGCAATCAAGGTTAATACAACTATGGATAGCTGCTGAGATTAGTACTGCTATGGTGTTACAAGGTTTTGTTATATAGCAAGTTGGTGTTTATCGTTTACCTTGGAGTAGTAATCGAGTTTCTGTTTCATTTTCAATTTTATAACCTATAAACAGTTTGTAAATGTCAATGGACAAGAAGCAAAGGTTGTAAATGATGAAAAATATTTTATTTCGCGCGTTTTCATATTGAGAGCTGTTTGAAAATATCACGAAGCATTTATAAACGACATAGATAATGTACTGGCCATTATAAAGTAAAAATATCCATGGAAACAGAAAACAAGTGCCAATGTATACTTGTCAGGATTTTCGATCATGTCTATTTATTCCATAAGCGTGCGATAACAGATGTGTTATAGTTTATTTAATTAACTATCAATACACCTTAATTACGTATATTCATTTAAGTTTTTAGTGTTGTCTTTTTTTAAATAATAGGCACACCATTTTTTATATCAAGTCGGAGAATTTAATTAAAACTGTACTTTACCATATATTCGTTGTAACAGGTAAGAAAGAATAATTATAATATTAATTAGATAGAGACTATTCTAAAAATAATAATAAATTTGGAAAAAATTACTTATTGATTTAAAGAATTTTAATTAGATTAGGTACCTATATAATATATTACATGAAATTGTTGAAATCTTTGACACTTGACATTGACAGTTGCACAGTAGGCTGTTAAAACGTTTCGGAAACATATTATGGATACAAGTTTTTACATTTACTAAAACATTTAGTTATTTACATAAATGATATATTAAATTAATAAGTTCACGTAATTTGTTTTATCAATACTAAATAATATAAGCTGTAAATAAAAAGATGTATTTACTGCATAAATTTAGGTGAAACGCATCGTAGTTTTGTATATACGTGCAGTAACAAAACGGAGTATTATTGATTTGAATTTTCCACAAAATGTTCCCGCCATCATTTAAAATAAATTTAGAACTTTCGACTTTATTTCTTTGCATATCTTATATTTATAGGGTTTTAAAATTGAAAATGGATAAGAAACGACTTAACAGAAAAAAAGGGCAACCAGGTCCATCCTCGTCTGACGTAAAATTGCCCAAATTGCCAAAAACTTCGATGCCGGAAGATTTTAAAATACGAACTCGGCCCTTGTTTTCACTGCCTGAGGAAGTCCTGAAACTACCTCCACCAACATCAAAAGCAGCGAAATTACAAGCTGCAAAAGCTATGCCTAGAAGGAAGTCTAGTGGTAAACATATATTTTTGATGAACTTATTACATACCATGAAGTTCTTATCTATTTCCGTACTTATTTTATGAGGATAAAAATGGAATGGTAAATTCCATTTGAACTATTGGTTTACTTTGGTGAGGTACCAGTAAAAAACAAGATGAGAATTCAGTTACGTGAATTGGTTCATCATGATAAATTCAACAGGAATTAACTGCAATGATTTTCATGGGGTCCACGTGGAAGTCAACTTGATATACAAGATACACTGCTAGTAATGGGGACACTAAGCCCCATTATTAACAGTCCCTTCACCCTGTACTACTTACAAAGTTAGGCCTTTTTTTGTTTTCTGTAATAACACAACAATGCATACATTGCTGCTTTACGAGAGAAATATTGGTAATAATATAGTGATAGTTTAGATTATATCTATTATTTACATTTAAATAGTGTCTATCATCGAAATCTTCCTCAAAAATAACTTAATTTTTATTTCCTGTATAAAGTTCTAATAAAGACCATATTAACTGTATTCAAAATTTTAGTTACATATTACAAGATCCAAAAATAGGTAAAAACCTAAAGATAAGATCAAAAAAGGTTTATTGACAAAATTTATATAGGAATAATAAAAGATGAGCTTAAAATTAGATAGATTAGAAAATATAAATCAAAATGTATATAGAGTTGACAAGGATATAGCGCAATAAACACACAAAAAATATAGGTGAATGGTAAATAACCTTCTTTTAGAAGTTGCTTAAACGACCCGTAAGACCTTTGATAAAATAAATAATAGAAGCCTTTGAGACATTCTCCGATGAACATCTTTAAACAAAAATATTTTTCACTAATTTTTGCAACCGAAAGTATTTTTGATCGAGAGAGGGAGAGCTGCGTCTGTAACAAATATTTACATCAAATTATTTCAGTAATGCAGAGCTACACAGCTATGCGTAAAGCCAGAGAGGAATTTAGGGCAAAACTTATGAATTTGATCTGCCAGTCTCAACCAGGGGAGGATGGAGACATGATCCCCTCGGGCGAAGAGAAAAATATGTTACGTTACTATTATTATCTCAGATATGGTATAGACACCATACATGTCGCTCCATTGGATAATAAAATTATATTACGGTGAGAGAATTTTTTATTATGTTAATTTTTAAATAAACGAATGCTATTGTCCCACACTAATGATTTTGTATAGGGTTTCCATATTTATGTGACGTAGCATTTACACCCATATAGGAAACTTTTGGTGTTCTATCAGGATATTAGAGCTAATATGATTTGGGCTCTACTTAGTCTGTATCTATTCTCAGGTCATGTCAGCTCTTGTTTCCCGAACTAATAATATTAGCCCTTACCTTAATATCTTTTAAATTCTATGGCCCCGTGTTCTTTGCGATTGTGTTGCTTCTCAGGCAAAGAAATTTTCTTTGACCAAATGGGCTCAAATCTCAAAAATATTAGTATTTTATTTTCTAATTATATCTATAACAATTATTCATGATTACTGATAATCGTCAAGTTTCTAATCACAATAAATGTAATTTACTTAGTTAATCATTACCAAATTCAAAGCTGTTTATAATCTGGTTGGTTGTTTATACTTAGTTAGATACATTAAATGTAAATTTTTAAAACCTAACTAATACATTGTTAGTTGCAAGTTTAAATTTAATGAGTTTTATGTACAGTGTGCATAACTTAATATCGCTCAAACTGAAGAAATGGAAGGAGACATTGTTCACATGTACGGATGAGATGCGCGAGGACTTTATGATGAGCATGAAGAAAGCTATTGTAGACTTTGTTTTGAAGGATCCTAATACGGTTTGTATTCCTATAACATTTGATTAAGTGTAGACATGAATAAATATATGAAAAGAAATTACGTGAACCAAAAGTAAGATTAAAAAAGTTATATATGCATTTAATATAGGGTCCAACTGGTAATATGCGGTTACGTATTTACAAACTTTTTGCCCGCCTCATGCTTGAATAGTAGAGAAAACCTTTAGGTGTTATGTTTACTATTATTATAAACATGAAAATTGATAAATTTTTGTATGCTTGCAACTTCAAGGATCACGTATGCATATAAGTAGAATTTATAGAAAAATTGTAAAGTAATTTAACAATAGAGACAATATCGTGATCACGATTGAGTATGTTAATATAAATAATAGTGAATTACGTAAAAAATAGGAAGAATCGTTAGAAGAAGAGGATACACCATTAAAGCAAGAATTAGCGAAGAAGGACGACGCATGGAGGAATCGATACGCTCTAGCTAAAAAGTACCTCGGCAGGAATCTGCACACTGTGAACTATTGTATAGCGCAGGTGCTTCAGATATGGTGGAAGCAGTTCAAGTGAGCAATTTTTGTAGCTATTTAGCTAATTGCTTTACCTTGCTAGTGTAGATATGTACGAGTTCTCTGGTGAGACCTATATTTTGTTTTTGTTTTTTATTTACGTTCCGTGCATTATTTTGTCCTTTTTAACTCCGATAAGCTGTCTCAGATTATCTTAGACATTTTAAAATGTTCTATTATTATCTATTCCCATTTCTTAGTCTCTCTTTCTTTGTTATCTATTCATTGTAACATTTGCACCACAGTCATCTTATATAATATAACTGCTCGTTATAATACATGACAATAAACATATTATCTTGGAGTATTATTAAGTTTCATTTAAAATATTACTTTATTTTTGCGTACTTTATGTACCTACTTGCACACACTTCGTGATTTTTTATAAAACTTAGAAGTAGGGGAAAAAAATTGCTATATTTATTTTAAATATAATAAAGCGTTTTATTTCGGTTTCACATTGTGATACGTGTTAAATAAATAAATAAATAAATTTAATAACTTTATTTTGTTATTAGTTAGTATTCGGTTCTTTTAATTTATTATGCATTTCTTATTTTTTCGCTACATTCTAGTGACTTGCGACTGATCAGCATGAAAGATATAATGACTACAAACGAAGCGTACGAGCTCCAGGACTTTTGTTTCGTGTGCAAGAGGCATATCGAGGCAGCCGGCAATGTGCTCACGTTACAATGGATACCCACCATACAGGCAGTCTTCCTACAGGTTTGCCTCGTAATTTGAATTAAAAATAAATACATGTACAATAAGTAAAACATAACGTGTACACCTGGTCTCTCATAACACAAGCTATCTGAGCTCGAGGAGCGGAAGATTTGCATGAATGTGTGGCACTTATTATTATTTTTTATTAAAGAGTTTCCTTTTATCGGTGTAACAAATTCATGCATTTTCTTTTATTTAGATCTATTTCAGGCTATATTTTTGACCTCCCTATACAACATGACACTTAGTGTTTCCTTTATCTGTCCCATGTAGTTATTCCTTAGTCTTTCCCTTCCTCTTTTGACTTATTATTATTATCATCAAAATTGGTCTGGTTACTACATTTTTTTCTGTATTGGGGTTTGATTGACCTGGACTGTACCAGATGTTCGTTGCCTGGTTCAATACAAGGTATCCAAGCCTAAATAAATACACTCCTAATATAGTATTTATTATCTGGGTGTCCCCCTGAGCAGACTTATAAATATCTAAAAGTGGCTTCATACAAAAGAATACCCATATCCCACAGATTTGTGGGATAAGTATCGAGTTCAATTAATCAGTACTTCGGCTATCGTACATTTGTACCACGCGATAACTGAAGTACTGTTTCGATTAAACTTGATAGGTATACTGTTATAATCTCATATATTGGATAAATGTATGTTGTAGGAAGCTATATAAAACAGAATTAAACTGTACTAGCTTTTTGTAATATATATTTACAAAGAAATTTAGAAAGGTAAAGATTTTTATTTAAACTTTATACCAGAAGTTGCACTTTGAGGAATATAATTATAAAAACCACACACAATTTGGTGCAAAAGTGTTTGCGTGTTGCCGAAACAAATGCAGTTTAAAATTTTACAAATTATTGTTTTGGCTTCCTTTAAAACTTCTTATACCAATTTTTCTTAAATTTCTCCAAGCTACAGAGATCGTCTAGTTGCAATTTTATTATATTAGTATCTAAAAATTTCAATAAATTATGCATATTTGATAATTTCAGGGAAATAAAAAACGTCTCATACCAGATCCTAAGCAAGCGTCCAAAATTAAGCACTTTTATAATTGCTTGGCTTGTATCATGACCTATAATTTGCAAACGTTATGCTTAAAATCTATGAAGGAATTTACAGACTATATCATGGATGTTGGGGTATGGTATCTGATTATTTAGCTGTTATATGTTGTTCATAAGTATACTATTTATTGACATAAATTGCTTTTTTACAGGGAATGAATCAAGGCTTTGTCGTCAATTTAACGTTTCAAAACGACGCTATCGAATTTGAACCTTCTTTTAAACAGTTTAAAGATCAGCTTCGTTTGTTATACGATTTCTTAATAGATGCATGTAGACAAACTCCTCGGTTGGAGACATTGTTGTATCAAGATTACGTTTGTACTTCTAGAGCTACGCTGAAGGTAATTATTCATTTTGTTTTTTTAATTTCACATTTTCAGAATGGTCGTTAAAGAATTGCTTGTTTGTAAGTGTAATACTTGGTGTAGTATGACTATTCCTTGTCCTTCTCACTGGAGTTTAACTCACCTTTTTTTCTGTCTTAAATACGATGATTTAAAAAGAGAATATTAACTATATATATATATATATATATATATATATATATATATATATATATATATATATATATATATATATATATATATATATATATATACTCTTAAAGGACGTAATACAGTTTTTTCAGGGTCAGAGATGCGCACAAATAATTTTAATGTTGCAGATAGTGTCCATAGGTCACAGTAACCATTTACCATCAGACAGGTTGTTTGTTAGGTATAAAATGAATTACTAATAAATGGTAATCAAATTCTGTCAATGAGTAACTGACAGAGTTTGATCATAGAACTTGAAGACCTGCAACCTTACTTTTTTTACAGCCCATAATAGATAATGATTTGGTGGATTCGTACAAGAAGCAAGTGGCAGATCTAATTAGCGAGCAAAGAATCGGTCCGGAACTGAGAGTTCAAGATTTTGATGACTACGTTTGTCTTCTAAATGGCGAAGTAAGAGCCTTCTTTAAAAATTACAATGCTTATTTAACAATAGATTTTAGTAATTTTTGCCAGAGAGACTATGCAAATCTTGCTTGTGTACATCTGTCTCCATTCATATTTTTGCTGTCAAGTTGTACCTTCCTGGTTATGTTTTTGTTAATAAAATTACCGGGTACGAAGCCATAAAACGAGCAGACTTGGACATGCCAGCGCATGATTGTTACATTGTATTCTGTGAGGTCTATGGTGCGTTTCATGTTTATAGATGTTGATTAGTACAGTCCATCAGGTGGGCCGTCAGCTTATCGTTCCTTATATTACAATGGAAATTTTTGTTTATGGAGGACATTTTTTTAATTATATAGGCTTAAATTGTCAACTAAGTACAGATGATTTTAATATTTTAGTCTTTATCAAAAGTGGAGTCATTTATTAACTCTGTTCCTGAGAAAACTTTTGAAGAGTTCTGTGCTGAGTCAGTCAAATATGTGGAATTGGCGAAAGAGATACCCTCAAAGTTGGAAGGGACTATCACGATCGGCATGTACCAGATGCAAAGAGGAGACCTGATAACTTCCTTGCGATCAGCTGCCACTAGGCTAGCTAACACTCTATTAAAAAGGATGACGGAGGATTACCAGTTCATGATTAAATCGTAAGTATGTGAAACCTTAATTCTTGTTAGTATTAACACAAATAAAGGCCGGCAGCACACCTGCAATGCCGTTGGTATTGTGGGTGACAATGGGCGGTGGTAGTCACTTACCATCAGGTGAGCCGCATGCTCGTTTGCCTCCTATGTTGTAAAAAAAGATAATATATGGTGTTAGATATACTTTTAATAGGAAGGTGAGTCTGTACATGTCGTCACACTTTCACAGCTTTATTCAAGATTTTAACCAGCTATCCACTTTCAATTATAGCCGATTGCCATATTGTTACCTAATTATGAGTCAACCACTTTATTTATTGGTTTATTATGTTTCTTTTTGGTAATAAGTTATATTGTGCATGTCATCATAGACAGTACATGTATTTAGTACACAGAACAATTTTATTAATAACTAGCGACCCGCCCCGGATTCGCACGGATGCACATTATATCACATCAGAAACCTTTAAAATTATCAGTGTTTCTCTATAATATTATGCATGTATTATACATATATACCTTTCTATTGAATCACTCTATCAGTCTATCTATTAAAAAAACCGCTTCAAAATCCGTTGCGTAGTTTTAAAGATTTAAGCATACATAGGGACGGACAGACAGCGACAGCGACTTTGTTTTATACTATGTAGTGATGAACGTGCACGACATAATGTTACCGTAGAAATTCGTATAATTACCCATATTTGCGCTCTTCTATCATATTTCTCTTTCTGTCTCGCCTTATTCCATTTCATTTGAGACTAGCCAGTCTTTGCCATAGCAAGCGTTCTCATGTTTTGGGCCCGTGTTCATTAATTAGACTATGTCATATAGTCTACGTTTACCTTTTATCATATAGCATTGCACAATATATTATAAAAGCGATTTACACATCGTGTAAAATAACAGGATCTACGATGAGTATTCGACGATTGCGAACACCCTGCTAACCCCCCCGCCTGAAACGGCCGCGTTGATGGACCTGATCGCGTACTGCAAGAAGGTGGAGGACATCATACTGGACGAGATGGAAGACAAACTGCGCAGTGTGCTGCGCTATATCATATTTCTTGGGGACTATACCACCTTCACGCCATTGGAGATGAAGGCGAACAACCAAACGTTCCACTGGTTAGTAGCTCGCGTATTTACCTATTAAAATATTAAGAGAATTTTATATCTCATCAACTATTTTTAATTTTACACCCAGAAAATAACTGAAAAAATGTTTGAAACACAGGAACAGTATACAGGAATTTCAGTAGACTTTAGATCGTAACAGAACAAGTGTTTATTTTCTCCTATAATTTTCTCCCATGAACACTCAGGCTGCGGAATAGACTAGGCAGAGGCCGACGTTTTCCCTAGAGACTACAGTACGGGGTTTTCAAAAAGAGTATATTAAGATTTTTCAGGCTCGGTAACGCGCACGTGACACCCCTGGAGTTACAGGCGTCCATAGCCTACAGTGACTGTTTACCTTCAGACGTGGAATAAAAAAAATAAATGTAAATTCCAATTTCCAACATAGGCATATTTTCAGGTATGCACGAATGCCTGGAGTTATCGAAGAGTGCAAAGTCATATGTGATCAGAAGAAGATTGAATATCAGGAACTATTAAAGGTTTTAACTTGATATATTTTTCTAATTTCCGAGTAACTGGAATATACATTTCTATTAATATTAATCCTTTATAATATTGTTGAATTTTAGGTTCGAATTGCCAAGTTTATCGACGACTTAAATATATACGAAGCGCAATGTAATGAGTTGCAATATTGGGGTGAAATTAACGAGCTGCCCAAATACGTCAGCCGCGCGCGGCACTTGGATGAGAAGTATGTTATAAACGCTTAGAAATTAGACGAATTTTATACATTAATTAAATATGACTTATAATTTTTAGAAATAATGTTTTTTTTTATTACATATAAAATTTTGTTTTGTAATGATAAAGATATGAATTTATCGATTCACTTAAGAAAATAGAGCAAGAATTTACTTATGTTAGTGGATTCATATAACTGTATGGCACAAAAGTTAATATTTTTTCTTGAGTTTTCTTTAAAAAAATCTTCCTTAAATAACATTATATGTATAATAACATGTATGTATGTATGTATGAAATACATGTATGTATTATGGTCATGGTAATAAATACAATGACCATAAGATACATCATCAGCTCAATTATTTATTAAATAATTGCTGCGTGTGACGATGCTTATGTCGATTATGTATTATGCGATAGTTTTCTCAAGCCAGTTTTTATAATTTAATATATCACGGCACAAAAACGTAGGATGTTACTGTTACAATATAATAGGAAAGTATACACAATTGTATAGAGATTCGTTTCTTTCAGATTGTCGAACGCATTAACGAAAATAGATCAGTTCAATGAGGAAGAAACATCATTCGGATGGGAACTCTCGCAGTACCCGAAAAGAAAGGCTGTTTACGATCGACTCGTGCCATTCAAGAAGCTCTTCGATGCAGGATTCGATTTTCTTGAGAAACACAATAATTGGATGAAGTCTAAAGTATGTGTCCCATTAGTGAAATAAAATAAGTATTTATGCTCACGATTGTTAACTCTCTCTCAAAGATATACATTGTGAAATAAATTGGGAATTCACAGTTTATTCTAAATTCTATCTTCTACACCAGTAAAATGTAATTTTTGTTGCAGTAATTTTTATATTATTTTCTGTAGGTATTGTTGTTTTAGTCGCGAAACAGGTTTTTTTTAAGTTTGAAGGGTAAGATAATTATTGCAATTACTAATAAACGCGTCACTTCTATGTATTGTATATAGGTATAGTATATTTTGTGATGTACATAGTGATACATATAAGAGTTACTTTCTATCTAGTTGTCTGTTGGTTTATTTGCTATTTATATAGTAGAATGAAATAATTAACTCAAAATAAGTAAAATATTTATGAAACAAGTCTATGCTTGATCTTAAGAAGAAGCTTATGTACTATGTATCTATTAAAAATCTTTTTATATTACTTAAACAAAGTGTCAATAATGCAAAACCAATTTTTTGTGGAATACGGATAACTTCTGCTTTAAAAATTAAAGGTCGTTTTGTTAGGTTGGCAGTTTTGATCCTGAAGATATAGAAGGTGATGTTGGTTACTACTATAAAATTGTCTACAAGTTGGAGAAATCATTCCAAGAGGTCCCGGACACATATCGACTGGCTGTATCTGTCAGGTAAACGGTTTCACCCTACTGATTGTAAACATTTCACAACTGAGTTTGATACTTACATGAATTTCTTAGCTACGTCGTATTTGAGTGTATCTAGATATGTTGCCAACAAATCTTATAATTTCGAACAACTTTCTAAAGTATTTTTGATTTTCAAAGAAGATATTTTAACAATGGTAATAAAATCATTTTTCTGTATTAGAATACAATAATTTCATTAATAAGACTTGCAAAAAGGTATTATCCTCAATTTGAATTTCAGAGAAAAAATGGACGAATTCAAAACAAACATGCCTATAATACAGACTCTTGGTAACCCTGGCATGAAACCTCGTCACTGGGAGAAGATATCGGAGATCGTCGGCTTCCCCATAGTGGTGGATGATGAACTGTCTCTGGAGAAAGTGATTGACTTTAACTTAGTGGACTACATCGATAAGTTCGAGTCTATATCAGAAGCTGCCACTAAGGAGAACAACCTTGAGAAAGCACTAGACAAGATGATGAAAGAATGGGCCGATCTAAAATTCGACATTCTTTCTTACAAGTAATATATTTATAATGTAACTGCAGTAGTAAAGCGTAGCAACTATCGACAAAACTGTTCTTATAGGGAAGGCTTATGTCCAGCAGTAAACTAACTGTCCACAGCTGAAATAATAATAATAACTGCTAGCGATAAATCTTGAATGTTTAAGTTAATGTACGGCATTTGACGTACTATAGTCAGGCATACGTTTTTTGGACCAAGAAGTTAAAGAACCAGTAAATTTAATACAGAGATGATTTAATATGTGATGGTAAATTTACTGCGGTCTTCAATGCGATGAAGATTAAGATTGATTGAGCGTTAATTACTATATATATATATATACATATACCCTTCTGGCTGCCCCATAAAAGAATTAGGTTTTGAGATATTATAGAGATACAGATAGACATTTTACTTGACCCGGAACAAGAAGTTGAGACTGTCTCAAAATAATAGACGCGGAACGTCAAATACCTAGTTGAGCATCATTAAAAGTTATATAATTAATACTTGCCAAATTGCCTCGGGCTCCAATGTTCTGAATTGTATACTCAAACGTTTGTCGCCATTTAATTATTGTTTACAGAATTTCCAAATTAAAACATACTAATTAATATAATTGGCAATTTATCGTCGGCAATTACTATACAAACTTTTACTACCTTTTACTTTTCAAGTGTCCAATTTTCAAATATACTTCCTTCGTGCTCTATTGATCTATTGCGTATAAGTACAATATAATATAAGGAATTTTTCTAAAACAATATATTCTAAACTCAGCGCATAGAAACCTTTATAACGAAGTATAGCAACGTCGCAATTATTTGTCAATTTGCAAAAACAATTGATTTTTTAATGTTTCTGATTCATTATTTAAAACATTAATCATTCAATAATATTCTTAAGCTGGCACTGAAAATTTGGAATTTGATGTAGACGAGTATTTAAAAAAATCCGAAGCAATTATAAAGTATTCACCATCGACAGGGAATCTATCCTCACACTTTAGAGCCAGATTGGTCACAAACAGTGCGGTTTCAGAGGAACTTCCTCCCGCGAACACTCAGGTTGTGAAATGTTCCTCCTGCTGCCCTTAGAAACTACAGCATGGCCTTCTTCAAAAAGAACGTATTAAGGTTTCTTTAGGGTCGGCAACGCGCACGTAACATCCCTGGTGGTGTTACAGGCGTCCATAGGTTAAGGTAACCCCGTTTACCATCAGACGGGCTGTATGCTTGTTTGGCACTATCGTAGTATAAAAAAGTATGTGCATATATTCTAATGCAACATATTCAAAAAATGCAACATATTCTACGAATAACGTTTTAGTTCATCGACAGTACACTTTTTAAATAATCGGCCAGAAATATTGAAAAATGTCAAATTGATTTTGGCAATTAACAGATAATTGTGACGTTGCTATCAGACTTCGGTAAGCAAAAGTAATAAATGCTCTCAAGTAATTATTACCTTACAGGGATACCGGTACATACATTTTGTCAAGCGTCGACGAGATTCAATTGTTGCTAGATGATCATATTGTTAAAACTCAGACAATGAAGAACTCTCCTTACATCAAGCCATTCGAAGAGATTATTATGTAAGTACCTATATGCAAGAATATTATAAAAATGTCTATCAGATTTTGAACTGCTTTTTGGAATAGCATGTTGATCTAACAAACTTATATCGATGGAATATGGTAAGCATAGTCTGTAGGTGACGTAATTAGTGTCATGATTGAGAGAACATTGATGAACAGAGATTGGGGAAATTTTAGATAAAACCTAACACCAAGCCATTTGATCAGTGTGGCAATAATAAGCCATATTTCTTACTCTCTTGGACTCTCTCCATGAGATCCATGTCATAAAAAGAATGTTTTACCTATGCTCATACCTAGTGAGACGTTAAAGAATTTTTAATGTAAGGTATATAGATGAATAACGCCATAAACATTACCAAATATTATATTTCGTTCACATTCTGATTTAGTGTTGGGAGAAACATCAGGCGGTCAAGAGTTAAACCAGCTCCACAATACACTGGCTTACTGTGTAGAAATGGATATATTGACAAGATCACTTTGTTTCTTAATTTTGTGATATCCATTGAACTTAAATTCCTGTGCTATCCTTAATTCGAACTAATTTACTCACAACATAGACCTAATTTTGTTTGGCATTATTCAGCGATTGGGAAGGTAAGCTGATACTACTGCAAGAGATTCTCGATGAATGGCTCAAAGTTCAAGCCACGTGGATGTATTTGGAACCAATATTTTCCTCGCCTGATATTCAGCAGCAAATTCCTGAGGAAGGGCGCCGATTCAGCGCTGTTGACAAGGTAATCTTTTTATGATACTTGTATATATTTGAAAAACCAATGTTACTTTGAATGTTAACTTAGATTTTTTAAATAAGATATAACTCCCTATAATAAGCAAAATTGATTATCTTATCTTATTGTTTATCTTATATAATTAATCATGGAAGATTATACAATCATCTACAATTAATTAAGTATAATATAAAATAATTACCAGAGGGAGACTTTGTACAAAAGTCGATTGCTTGGGTACCTCTGTCCTATTCGTGTTTCTACCGTGAAGTGGTTGTGTTTGCATGGCTGTGTTTCGGTTTGAAGGGTGGGATATGGCGTGAATTTACAGGATACAGAGGAATAACATCCAAGTTCTCAGGAATGGCAACGCATGGGGGGTATCATGGGCGAAACAGTATACTCTGTTATGTTCATGGTACTGCTCATGTCTATAGGCGACGGTTACCACTTTCCAGCAGGTGGGCCGTCAGCTTGTTTGCCATTATAAGTTGTATATAAAAAAATCTTTATTTATTAAACTTTTTGCTGTAAAAAAAGTCTGCTTCTTTTAAATGAATAATTTTCATGTGTTGAATATGGTAGTCTAAAAAGTGCGTAATAGTACATAGCCGAAAAAAAAAATAAAAAGCGACAGTTATTAAAAAGGTTGATCTCATCGTATTCTGACAATATTTTCAGATGTGGCGTGAAATAATGAAAGCTGCGTACACAGAGCCCCGTGTATTGGACGTAATAATGATAGAAAAGATGCTAGAGAGACTCCGCAAGTCCAACAACCTGTTAGAGATGGTGCAGCGCGGTCTCAATGCGTATTTGGAGAAGAAGCGGCTCTACTTCCCGCGCTTCTTCTTCTTGTCCAATGATGAGCTCCTCGAGATACTGTCTGAAACTAAAGATCCTATGCGGTAGATAAAACTTCAATTATCATTTATCTATCTTCAATGTAGGCTTACAGATTGAATTGAATTTACTGTGAGTTGTGGAGCTTAAAGTAAATTCAATTATCGCAGTTATTATAGATTTTTTATTTATTATTTTACACACCACTAAATTATATACAAGGTTAACTGAATGACCGGAGCTGTTCTTTAGCAGTCAACTAACTGTTGATCAAAGAGTGTGAAAGACGGCGTAACTATATATTTTTGGTTTAACACAATTTTCATGGATGTTTAAAATATTATTGTATTGATATGAACATATAAATTTTGATCATGCTGTGTACGCATATTTTTAGAGGGTTAGCCTGAACAAAACATTATAATACTGTATAAATTAATGTAACCATGTTAATTCTTTGTAATGTGTACCTATTAAAATAAAATAAAATAAAAAAAACATAAACATATATAAGTCTCTTCTCTCCTTAAATATTGAATGCTAATTTTATAATTGTAGCGTACAGCCGCATCTGAAGAAATGTTTCGAAGGTATTGCAAAATTGACGTTCACTGAGGACATGGTGGTGACTCATATGAGGTCCTCAGAGGGAGAGATCGTGCTACTTACGACTACCATCAATACTGCTGCTGCTAGGGGACAGGTTCGTCAATTTATCCTTTGTAGTTTACGCAAGTAGGTCACAGTTACCAGTTGCTTCTAATTATCTTTACGCTATAAATTTATTACAGAGAAGGCAGCGAGAACCGAGTGTTTAAAGGCTTTCTTTCCATGCATCCCTTGCTTTATCTATTTTCAGAACTCATTTAGTATATAAACTACATGTCTTTTTCTAAATTTAATATTTTTATATTTTTTTTCTTTGTTTATGCAGGTGGAAAAATGGCTTTTAGAATTGGAGAAAGCGATGAAATCGTCTGTACACCACGTAGTTGCGTTATCTTACGATGACTATTCACAGAGGCCTCGTGAGAATTGGGTGCTGGTATGGCCTGGACAAGCTGTAAGTTTCTGCTGTAGTCTATACAGTTTTCCGTTTCTATTTTAAACGATATCTTTGTTTCGTCATTCAGAATTATAATTATTAATAAATTGGATTATATTTTATACATAAATTTGCAAGATGTCTGATGTGTATGTGATATTATTACAGTATACAATTCTTCAAAAAAGATATATTAAGGTTTCTTCAGGGCAACGCGCACGTGACACTCCTAGTGTTACAAGCGTCCATAGGCTACAATGACCGTTTGCGATCAGATGGGCTGTATTGCTTGTTTGCCACCTTTGTAGTATAAAAAAAAATATCTTTTCTACATTTTGATACTTTAACGTCTCTACTAATTGTCATAAAATATGTTATAAATATAATATTTGACATTGAAAAGATAGGCTATTTTTTATCCCAATCACGTAGACGAAGTCGCAGTTACAGTTAATAAGGCTAATAAAATTAATAATTTATTACTTTGTCGGTGGTAAATAACGAGTTCCTCAAGGATGGTCATATAGTTTATAGTATTTTCAAGGTTTTTGCCATAAAAAACTTGGAAACCTTTTAAAGACCTTTAGGGGATTCTACCAACTTGCACAACGTCCACACTCTTTTTTCAACGCGTTTTAATTTTTGCATTTTCTGAAATTCAACTTCATAATTATATTGTTTCTAAATGGTTATTTAACATTTTAACATTTTCTTTTTATATTTAGTGGAATAAAGACTAAATAAATAAATACAAAGTTGGACAATGTTGCTTCGTATATAGGTTCAGTGTATTGCGATGACGTTTTGGACGTCAGAGGTGACTGAGGCAATTCACATCAGTATATCTGCAATGAAAGCCTATTGGGACAAATGCAATTTGCAAATCTCCAAGATTGTTGATTTGGTCCGTGGCGAGCTCAGTTTACAAAACAGAATTACGCTTGGTATGTACCTGTATTTACAACGTAATCTTACTAATATAATAAAAATGTACCTAGACAATGTTTGTACGTACATGGATGATATTTAAGAAAAATTAATATGAGCTCTTAATAAGACTAATAGTTGCTGAAACAATAATTTTTAGAAAGTCTGTCTATCTATCTCTGTTTGTTTTGGCATCACACAAAAATTACTGCATTAAACTGAATACGATTTTCACACTGATACTCCAGAAGGATTACATTAAAACATATATGTTTTATCTTGATTCGCTATCGAGAAGTGGCCTGTTTCATTACATTTCCTAATTCTATATCTACGAAGTAGTGTTTAAAAAACTAGTATAATGTATAAGGAAATATAATATATAAAAGAGACAATTGTTAAATAAAAAAACAAATAACCTATTTATCGTGCACTGCCGGAAATAAGTCTCTCATTTTTCGTAAAGTAGGATTTAGCATCATCTGCATCCATAACCTATAATGTGCTTGCCTTCAAGGAGTCGTTTTGCAAGTAACTTTCTTCTTCATCGGCTATCGATTGGTCGAACTATATAAATAACATATTTTAATTTAGTTTGCAGACCGGATTATATTTGTCACTTTAATTCTTCTGTGGTTATATCATGTTTCGGTTTCTATTATGCAGTAAAAATTTGAGTATAGCTCTCTCCACAGCTCGCAGAGTGACTTGGAGTGATACTTCTAGCAGTGTGAGGTCAAGTTATAATAATAATTTATTATTTTAGGAGCGTTAGTTGTTCTAGACGTCCACGCGAGGGATGTACTCATGTTGCTAATCGAATACAATGTGCAGCATGATAATGATTTCAACTGGTTATCACAAATTCGATATTATTGGGAGGTAACTATTTTTTTGTTGCTATATTCTCGTACCTTTTCTCTATAGAGTACTTGATAGAGAACCATGCAGTGTAATTAGAATAGATTTTTATGACATTTTACATGTTAGCTTAATATTTTTAATACATCCAAATCGTAATAAACAGTAGCAAAAATCCTACAGTTAAATTGTAAGAGTTTAATATCCATTATATATATATTTACAATCTATTAGATGGTTATTGGACTATTATAATTAATTATTCTTTATATTCTTTCTTTCACTATATGAATGCTAATCGATGGACTACTATTAAACTAAAAATAAAAGCTCTTAATTCTTCACAATGATGTGACTCTTTCCCATAAATAAATTAACAGGAGCAAGAGGAAGATAAGAGCATGCAAATAGCTACCCGTATGATCAACTCTCAACTGATGTATGGCTACGAGTACTTGGGAAATACTGGTCGCCTTGTTGTCACTCCGCTCACTGATAGGTGTTTTAGAACATTGTTTGGTGCTTTACATTTAAATTTGGGTAAGTGAGGTCAATTATGATTTTTAGCTAATTTCCTTTTATTCTTTATCGAATATAATTTTCAATTAGTGAAATTCTTTGACTGTAGGTGGTGCTCCTGAAGGTCCTGCTGGTACAGGCAAAACAGAAACTACAAAGGATCTGGCAAAGGCGGTTGCAAAACAATGCGTAGTATTCAATTGTTCTGACGGCCTCGATTATATTGCTCTTGGAAAGTTTTTCAAGGTATGCTTGATTTGTTTTTCTATAGATTACTCTCTTAGATTGATTGTACTGGTTTTGTGAAAGTTTAGATATATTATAGATTAAGAAAAACAACCAATGTATTATATAGTCATATAGTGTCATACATTTCGTACGATCATGAAGTTTCTTTATGAGCTTTAATATTTGAATTTAGAACAGACAAATCTTATATAGTTATTTATTATGCCTCTACTATTATCATTACTAAATCTAATGATAAGTATATTTTAATAGTAAGTACTTAATCTTATTTAATTTTTATTTAGACGTGAATAGAAATAAATTAAGAGCTTTTCATCCACCTTCTATTCAATCCAACGATTGGGCATTTGGAGAGGATGGATGGAAAAAGAATTATGAAAGAGATTTATTAAGTACGAATGAATGAAGGTGTCAGTAAGGACCGCCTTAAGTGGACATATGTGGATCAAAAAGGCGACGTGCTGAAGAATGGCCAAATTAAATGTACTCGTAATCGGCGAGCGTGTATGAATAGATTGAAAAATATGAAGGAAGCGAAAGTTCTGTTAGAATCGAAGCATTTAGCGCTTCATTGTTTCCGCTTAAACCAATGAAAATTAGGCGTGAAGTACATAAATACTACTTACTGTACTTATACAATGTATCGTTATATTTACTAATTGTCTTGCTTATTTATTTTACTTTATTTGCATTATATAATATAATGCAAATAAAGTGTACTCATTCATTCATACATAGATATATATGTATGTATATGTAAATAATTACCAGGGTCTAGCGTCCTGTGGGGCATGGTCGTGCTTCGACGAGTTCAATCGCATCGACCTGGAGGTACTGTCGGTGGTGGCGCAGCAGATCCTGTCCATCCAGCGTGGTATCAACTCTGGCGCTACGGAACTACTGTTCGAGGGCACGCTATTACAGCTTGACAAGTCTTGCGCTGTCTTCATCACTATGAATCCGGGTTATGCTGGACGATCTGAATTGCCTGATAATTTGAAGGTAGATATTTTATCTTTATTATCGCTTTAAAGTCCCATTTTTGGCCAAAAGTGTCTCTTCATAAGAGAAGGATCGTCATATCATTATCATCATATCAGCCATTAATTGTCTATTGCTGAATATAGGGTTCCTCCTATTGGAAAGTATTGCCAGTAGTTGCCATGTTTAGCAGGCGGTTTGGCTACCGTAGTTAGGCATTGGTGATGTTTAAAGGGGGATGCTGCTTACCCACATCTCGACCATTAAGTTCCCTTAGTTGACTCTTACGACACTCACAAGAAAGAAAGGGGTGGCTCATTCTATACCGGGACCACATGGCGAGAGGATATCGTTTACTATTACCATAACTTGTCATGGCGTTTTATTTCGAGTTTTCTTCTTTTGTATTTGAGTTTTATGCTTTGTTACCTTAGTCTTTTCTTACCTCATGAATATAAGTGATGATACATTATTAATTTATTCCTATAGAAAGTACATAACTAGGTTTGTACATGTATTTAGATTATAAAATGTGCTTCATAATGTGTTTGTTGCAGGCTCTGTTCCGGTCTGTAGCCATGATGGTGCCAGATTACGTCCTTATCTCCGAGATCGAGTTGTATGCATTTGGTTACTTGAACGCCAAACCGCTGGCTGTTAAGATCGTGGCCACATACAGACTTTGTTCAGAACAGTTGTCATCGCAGAGTCACTACGATTATGGTAATTGCTCATTCCAAGTGTTGTCATTCCAAAACTTCTTCAATAATAATTATTCCTTCGAGTTTAAGACTAGGTGTAAATAAAATTTGTTATGCATTAGTCACACCTCTTTTTATTATTATGGTATTATTTGGGAGAACATTCGTATGCTTAGATAGTACAAGAAGAGTGTTCAAGGCACCATAAATGTGGTATGATATTACATCTATATATCAGAATAAGGTATGATAATCTGTTGATTTTGTTTAAAAAGGATCATAAACTTTTTTATTCTTTTTAGGTAGACTGTACACTTTATTGGAAAAGAAATAAAGGTTATGATAATCCATCAACTAGTTTGCCATTGCCAGCGCTTTAAAAAGTTATAATGTTTGTGACGGTAGGTATGCGCGCGGTGAAGTCTGTGCTGCGTGCAGCAGGAGCACTGAAACTTCGCTACCCAGACGAGGACGAGGACGTAATTCTACTACGCTCCATCAAGGACGTCAACTTGCCAAAGTTCCTTGAACACGACGTGCCACTTTTCATGGTAATCAATATCTTTTAGAGTTTTCATTTCCTACGGCCCTTCCTTCTTTCTACGTAAAGAGTTAAACAGATGACAGTTTTTGTGTCCTCTGAACCACGAAGCATTACAACAGAATTGGTTTTGGTTTCATTTTCTTATTTTTTAATATTTTTGAATAAATTATATTTGTAGGGCATCATTGGAGATTTGTTCCCTGGATTGCCGCTACCTCAAGCCGGATTACCTCATTTGGTAGCGTGTCTCAAGGAAGCATGTGTACCGCTGAATTTGCAAGCTAATGACTTCTTTATCGAAAAGGTATATCACACTGTAAAATTCTATAGTATTTTTTTGGTACTACATCCTTATCAACATTCCATTTATTGTCAACTATTGAAAATGTTTCCTCAACCAAAATAAACGACATAGCCCGAAGGATAAGCAAGCTGAAATGGCAATGAGCTGGTCACATAGCTCGAAGAACCGACAACCGATGGGGAAGAAAGGTTCTTGAATGGCGACCGCATACGGGCAAACGCAGTGTAGGACGACCTCCTCCCCCACTAGATGGAACGACGACCTGAAATGCATTGCAGGGAGTTAGTGGATGCAGGTGGCTCAGGACCGTTCTTTATGGCAGTCTATGGGGAGGCTTATGTTCAACAGTGGACGGATAATGGTTGAAATGATGATGAACATGTGTCCTCTATAAATGTAGGAGACACATATCCTTTGAACCATAAAAATGTCCATATACATATGTAGATCATCTATTGTAAGCATTAATCTGTGGATACTTATATTACTAAGAATTTCCATATGTGAACCTGTAATTTTTCATAGGACTCGTAAACTTATAGAAATAACTCGATTGATAGCGCTTGAAATAGCACAATTATTGGAATTTATCGGAATTAAAAAATTATGCCTATATATTCATCTTCTACAGGTTCTTCAGCTATATGAAATGATTCTGGTACGACATGGTCTTATGTTAGTCGGATTTCCGTTTTCTGGAAAGACAAAATGCTATCATGCTCTTGGACATGCATTAGGATTAGTATCCGAAAAGGTATGAACACCAAATTAATTAATTTAATTATAGATTAAAAATTAATATTTAGATTATAAACTAGTATTGTCATACCATTGTTGTAGGGTCTCATGGACGAGAATCCAGTAGAATGGACTGTAATCAATCCCAAGTCGATCACAATGGGCCAACTGTATGGACAATTTGATCCGGTGTCTCACGAGTGGTCCGACGGGATTTTGGCTGTCAGCTATAGGGCTTTTGCTGTATCACCAAATAATAATAGGTACATTTTAATTAAAAAAAAAAAAGAAACAAATGAAGTCTTGAATGTTATTATGATTAAATTGTAATTCAAATTCATATTTTTTAAATATCAGAAAGTGGTTAGTGTTCGATGGTCCTGTAGACGCTATTTGGATTGAAAACTTGAATACTGTGTTGGACGATAACAAGAAACTGTGCCTCATGAGCGGCGAGATCATTCAGCTCGCGCCCACCACCAATTTAGTGTTTGAGCCGATGGATCTTGAGGCTGCTTCTCCTGCCACGGTAAGTTTTGAAATTCTACCATAAAAGTTTTTTCACAAAAACTACCGATTTTTCGCAATTTATGATTAAACTTCGAGAACGTTTATAGGTTCAGCAAATATATTGAGGAATACGGTATCATAGCAATTTATTTATTTAACATATTTTATTGCGACCATAAATGAAAAAAAAATTAAGATTAGAAACTAAGATTTCAAAATAAAACTCATGTTGTGTGATTCAGCTCCAACCGCTAAAAATTTATATATTTATTTAAATAAATACTTTTTTATTATTATATAATATAAGTAAGTGTACATATGGCGGACTTAACATCTAATGGCGTTCTCAACAAGTCAACCATGAGGCAAGCAGAAAAATGTGAACATTTTGTAGGTGTCTCGTTGTGGTATGATTTATATGGAGCCTAAAGGACTCGGCTGGAAGTGTCTGCTGGAGTCGTGGCTAAACACTCTTCCACCCACCCTGCACAGCGTCAACCGGAACCTGATCCGTTCGCTCTTCAATCGGTTCACATCACCTTTACTCTGGCTTGTTGAGTACTCAGGGAAGACCAAGGTTGGTGGTCATAGATTTAATGTCATATTTTATAATGTAGATGTAAGTGGAAATTAAACCTTATACAATAGGTAGCCTTACGAGTATTATGGGTTAATAGATAAAAATCTTTCTGCAGTTAAAGAGGATTATTTATCCATGCTGTAATATTTTTTTTTATGCAATTTAGAATGGCAAACAAGCTGACGGCTCACCTGATGGAAAGTGGTAACCATCGCCTATAGATATGAATAGTAGCATGGACATAACAGAGTGTACTGTTTCATAATACCCTCCATGAAATGTACTGGTATTAAAAAAAAACCAATTTAATCAATTATTAAACTAAGTTTGTTATGTTGTTAGGTATGTTACTATAAGATTATATATATTAATTCCAGTAAATCATCTATATTCTAATAAAGAGAAATTTTCTATAAAGAGACAATATATTATATTGTCTCTTTATAGAAAATTTGCAGAGACATCCGTACTTCGTTAATACTGAACATTTATATCAGAAATATTTATGAACTTCCATTTGCTTGTCCCTAAAATTTTATATCTATTAATTGTCACATTATAACTAGGCACTAAAAGAAAAGAGGGGTTCACATAAATGACGTTCGTGAGGAAAAGCTGGTATAGGTATACAATATTTAAAAAAGATATTATTTAAAATGCTATTTTCATTTGTAAATCATCTCAGGAATGTTCAAGTAATTCCATAGACGTTCAGATACAGGCTCGCGAATGCTTGGAATGTTTGATGATTCAAATAAATTTTACCAAGCAGACGGAAACAGATGATATTAAATTCCCTTTATTCACTCTACTAATATTTTACAGACTTCAAAGGTAACGTGCAAGCAACTTGGGCCATGGGTTTCCTGAGTCTGACAATACATAAAATGTACACAAAATTATTACGAATATATTAAAAAAGAGAATAATTGTACCGTATTTTGCAAATATCCATGCCTCATTAGCGTTGTGGGCCTTGTTCGTTCAATGTTTAATTTTATCCAAATAAATGTTCCAATTAGCATGAAATTTACTCTCATTTTGTAAACAGATTGTTTATTTTCCTTTTTGTTTCTTGTAAATGTTTGTTATGATTAAGTTAGCTTCTGATTTATGTTATCAAATCAATGCCGTTCGTCCAAAATTTATATCACTCAGTTTCGTTTTCATTATGTTCGTTTTGGTTTAGATTATCAATATCGTTGCTATGACTAGCAAATTAGTGTACATTATCAATGAATAATAAAGTTATTTATATAAGTATTCGCTGATTACCACACATAATTGGCAATTACCTATTCATTGCGCAGAATACGAATTGTACGCATGGATGACAAACGCCGCTATCAAATTTAAGGAAGTGCTTAGGGTATATAAAATATATTGAATATGTATTATTTTGTAGAATTACGTATCACTGGTTATCTATAATTTGTTTTTCACTAATAAGACTGTTACATAAGCTGACGACATACCTGATAGAAAGTGGAACCCTTGCATATGCTCAATAGCATGGTCTTCACACAAATTAATATTGGTCTTTCCTCACCGGATAGCATCATTTGGTAGTTTGAATGCTTGGCTGCCACATATTATTTGATATAATAAAAGTAGAGTGAATATTTTTTTTTTAAATCAGACTTGATGCTGAAAATTTTGCACAGTAGGTATAGTTTCATTTGGACTATTTTGACGACAATTTTAATTTCAGCAAATGTATGTCACGTCTCGAAGTAACTTATTGGTGGCGTGTATGAATATCTTCGATACATTTATGGATGATTTTTACGACGAGAAGTATGTTGAAGGTATATCAGACTTGGATATAAGAGCACAGCTTGAGGTAATAGTCAATCATATCATTATTGATTTTAGGGTTTTTATAACACACTTCGTGTGCAATAGAATAATGCATTCTGAGCGATGCTCAACCTGTTATGGCATTGTAGTACGTCTGGCATGTTTACAGAAAACAGGGTTAAAGATTTCTTTACTATTTTACGTCAATATAAAGCAAATTTTTATGAAAGATTAGTGGAAATAAGTAATGCCATTGTTAAATGTTTCATACTACGTACCTGATGACCAAGGAATTTATGATAAAATGATTTTAATTTGTACTTTATTAATTAATGTTTGTATAATGTAATTATAAATAATTAAAATTAAATAACACTAACGAATGTAAACTATGGTTATCTGATATATATATATATATATATATATATATATATATATCTGAAATAAAAAGATTATTTAATAACACCTGTCAGATTTTTTTTATTTGATAATTATTCTTGTATGTTTAGGGTGTGTTTTTCTTTTCTTGCATTTGGTCAATCGGAGCCACGCTGGAGGCGGATAGTCGTCCCAAATTTGATATGATGTTCAGGGGGCTATTGGAGAAAGAGTTCCCCGAAAAGGTCTGCATCTACATTGACAAATACTTTTAATTTTAATCTTTTCAAATTCATAGTTTTTATGAAACTAAACTAAATGTGTGTTATATAAAAATATTGTTATGCTTTAAATTTACACAAAATAAATAATTGTTTTGATATATTTAAGGTTAAGGAAGTGCTCGGGTATCCGAGAGAAATACCCAAACCTGATAAACAGTATATATTCGCTATACCAAAAGAAGGACTGGTATATGACTATCGATATATAAAAGAGGTAATTACCAAATTATTTATTTATAAAGTGAGTCAAATTATGATCATATATTATTACAAAAGAAATTAATGTTACATATTGAATAAAGTTTAGAGAATCATAATCATGGTTTAATATTGCGGAGATATAAGACAAATAAAAAAACTGTCGATACCATAATTGATCATAATTTTTAATTTCCAAATCGATCTCTCTCAATGCCAAATTATATTGTATGACAATATATCAAATTAGAAGTTATTAGTAAGTTCACACACCCTTTTGATGGATACAAATATTCTTACTTGGTATAATTTACTTTTATTAACTTTGTTTCTTAATACATATTTTTCTTTACTATTTCCTGTATAAGTTGAAAGCAGTAATTATTTACAGCCCTTTATGAGCGAATATGCATTAAAAATACTATCGTAGCACGACAGGACTGCACACCATCATGTAATAATTGTGAGCATATTGTAGATATTTTTTTATTTGACAACCCCAAGGGTAAAGGTAAGTGGAAGCCGTGGCAAGACGATGTAATATCCGCGCCGGCCATCAGTCGTGACACGCCACCGAACCAGATCCTGGTGACGACTCTCGACAGCGTCCGTTACCTGGCGCTTTTCAAACTCCTCGTCACACATCACAAAGCTGTCATGATGGTTGGACCCACTGGCACTGGCAAATCCTCATATATCATTGTGAGTTTTATAGTTGAACCCAGTTGTAACTTGTGATGTTATCCTTGTAAATTAATATAAAAAATAGAAAAATACTACAAGAAAGCGCTATTTAGCGATAAGGCCGTTCATTGTTGCCTCTTTATTGTGCTTCTATGTAATTAAGTTTTCATTTTATTCTTAATCTTATTAATCTTTGAGGAGAATTATAAAGAGTTTTCCTTTATTCATTAATACTATTGTACGTGTAACATAGGATATTGCGTTTAAACTACTAAAGGCATCCTAAATTTCATTTAAAGCTAAATAATTTTACTTCATCTAAAGCTTGATGCGTTATGATTGTTATAATGGAAGTAATTCCTTTGGCTTTCCGTGATTGGTATCAGGACCATATTTATATTTTGTAACTTCAAAACGTCTGGTTGCTAGAAAACTGGTACCTAACGGTTCCTTCGTATCTCGGTACCTTAGTTGGATCAAAATGGTTATCATAATGTCTTAGTTTATTTGAACAGAATCCTCAGAAAGTAAAATACGAAATGTATCATTGATTTGATTAGTATTATTTAGTTTGTAACTAGTATTTAAATTTTTTTTAGGATTACTTGGTAAAGAGGGTAGATACCAAAGTATTCAAAGCTCTTATCATGGCGTTCTCTGCTCAGACCAACTGCAATCAAACGCAAGACATAATTATGGGAAAATTGGACAAAAGAAGAAAAGGTAATAAGGGAGTCGTCATAATGGAGAATATATAACTTTCCAATACGATGTCAGCTGTTAATTGTCCATTGCTGAACATAAATTTCCCTCTATTGGGAGATTTTGCTAGTAGTTGCTACGCTTGGCAGGCGGGTTGGCAACCGCAGTTAGGCTTTTTGGAGATTTAAAAAGGAATTCTACTGCTTATTCCTCGACCATTAAGTTTCTTTAGTCCCTTCTTACGACACCCATGGGAAAGGAAAGGATGGCCTATTCTATGCCGGGCCCACACAGCGACTAATCAAATTTTATGTAAATTTTCCAATAGTTTACACAAAATTTGGTGACCGGTGCAATTCCTTATGTTATATAGGCATCTACAAAGAAAGAGACTGAAAATATCTGAGGGAACAGGAGGTAAGAGATTCCGAAAATTTGCAAGGTTACTTTGTTGTATAGTGATTTTGTCCATTTTGTAAGATTTCGACACTAATTTTCTTTTACTTTTCGCTGTGTCTTAAGTATCTGGTTTGGTGTAATTACTCAAAGGCTTACTTAAGTTCAGGGTAGTATAACAGTCACATTTCCACAAGTCAAAGTCAAAAAAGATTAATTTCGTATGATTCAGCTGACGAAACAGTATTATTATTATTATTACTAAACTCTCTTGTGATTCTCAAAAAGTCAGTCATGATTTGTTTAAAGTGACTATTTGTATTAGAGGAAAACTTGTATAAATTGTTGTCTATATGGGCACCTCTATACCAATCGAATTAAATGTGTCATCAGGTGCATAATTATGCTTCGTTTTAAAGGGTGGGGTATTACAATGAAAATACAGACTACAGAAGCCTTACCTCTTAGTTTTCAGGAATGGCAAAGAATGAGGCATCACCGTAATGCAATTTTTTTACGTCCAAGTTCATGTCTATAACGTGGTTATCGTTTTTTATCAGGTTGCATAAAACAGCATTTTTCGCTCTCTAGGCGTATTTGGTCCCCCCATTGGGTGCTACAGCGTGGTGTTCGTGGACGATGTAAGTATGCCGCAGGCCGAGACGTACGGCGCGCAACCACCTATTGAAGTACTACGTCAGGGCATCGACCTTGGACTTTGGTATGACAGGAAGACCAACGTCGCTATGCATCTTATCGACGTACAGGTACGTTAAAAGAATATAATGTCAAACTCTTATTAGTGGCTCAATGTTACACTCGCACATTATTTGCTGGGTTTTCTTGGTATAAGGCACCGTATCTGACGAATCTACACTACGTGAGTATTACTACAGTGACCCACTTGAGTACTGTAGGTACTAATACTAATTCATGTTCATTCATACTCGCCAACATCACAACATCCCCGCTAAAACCATACTTGCAAAAATATTATCAAATAAATATTAGTGTTGTTTCCTCTTCTAAATTATCATTCCTTCCGAGACATTTTACCTTAAAAGAAGTGTTGGCGCATGAATTTGATGGAACTTGTTTGTGTGAAGACAAAATCCTTTCGATCGAACCCTGTACGTTACAGTACGAACGACAGCTTTAGCTATCCGTTGTCCACCTAACTAAGTAGCCTAATAAATCTCGGTTAGGAAAGTTACGGCTTTACCCCAGTTCTGTAGAATATACACAGTCTAAGTAACTTATTTTGTGATTATCTAAGTGTCTACTCCGGTTTAATAATAAATTCTTAGTCTAGATGTTAGAATTTTCAGTCTAAAAGTAATGATTTTAAATAGTTATTTACGATAAAAAAAAAAGTTGTTTTCGTAGTGTACAAAAATGTTAATATATATATAAAATTTTATTGTACGTTCTTGTGTCTGATTATTGGGAAATAATAAATTACTAGACTCTACACTCGTATGTAGTAATTCAGGTGGATATAGTTTAACTGTGTCGTAAATACTTATTTTTTATCTTCCAGTTTATGTGCGCCATGGGCAAACCGACACCGGGTGCTAAATTAGTAACGCCGAGGTTTTCTCGTCATTTCTCGTTTTTCTGTATTGATGAGTTTGATGATGAAACGTTGAGAGTCATCTTTGGAAGAATTATGCTATGGCATCTAGACACTAGGTATATCCTCATACTTCTATATGTTTATTTTTTTCCGTTCTGTTAGTTTTTACAACGTTTATTGATATTTTTTTTTTTTGTAATTTGTTTGTCTCTTACCCATTTCTATTATAGAGTAGCATTAGGTGTTATATATGCAATATACTATGATATAATATACTGTGATCCCTTATGATATTCTATAGGATATGACAGTTAAATTAAGGGGCACGGAGACAACACTTTAGTCATTAGGAATGGCAATGCCTGAGAGTTACTGTAGTTGTCGTCACAGTATACAAAGAGTACATACGTAAAGTTTGAAGTTGTAAACACAATATAATGTTTTTGGTAACTTAGTTATAAGTTATTAGTTACCTTCGGTCATAATTATTTATTTATTGTGTGAAATCTTATTTCTCGTCTGCGTGCTACCCAACATAATTGGTATAAAGGAATTGTGAATTTCCTTTATTTCGAGTCGTTTCAAAATCGGACTCAAATAGTGGTATCATCATCATCATTATCATCTCGGCCATTATCTGTCCACTGCTGAACATAGTTCCTCCAGCAGCAGTTCATAGAATAGACTTTCTAGTATTTATAATTTTAATTGTTTATTTTACTAGACACTACTACTTCGAACTTTGAAAGGAGACGTTAGTGGTATACTCTAGGATATTAATGATGCTGTTCATATTTATAAGTGATAGTACTTTCTATCAGGCGAGTCATTAGTTTATATCCATTTCTAGTGTTGTAAAAAGAATAAATTATTGTTTTTACAGAGGTTTTTCAAAGGAATTTGACCCATCCATCGAGGAGATCGTGTCTGGTACACTAGAAGTATATAAACAATGCCGATTGAACTTATTGCCTACACCGTCAAAGTCGCATTACACATTCAATTTACGTGATTTCTCTCGAGTTATTTTGGTAAATACGCCTATGTCTACCTACTTTTGTTTTTATACTAATTTCTACTGCTATAATACATACGAGTATATGTGAAAGTTTGTTCTCATAAACACTCTAATGTTTGATGGATGGATATTTGTCAGTTTTTCTTGCAAAAACTACTTAATAGATTTTAATGAAATTTCATACATTTATAGATTACATTCCAACTTACAACATAAGGTACTTCCTATATTCTAACTTAGGATATTATGTAATCGTATATAATCAATATATGTATAAAGTATATATAATTAATTCGTGCGGGCATAGTCACAGGATACAATTAATATTAAACATGTAAAGTGACTCTTTTTGTTTGTGTATTTGTTATCTTTTGACGCCTTAACAATTTATTCAATAGTTAAGAATTTCAGTAAACATATAGTATTTGTGATGGAAAATAAAAGGTTACTTTTTATTTTAGGTAATTATTGTATTCCGATCACGCGGTCAAAGTCGTGGATAAAAATTAGTCAATGAATATTTTTTTAATATTAACAAGAAATGTCACAAACAGGAGGATTTTCAAATATCCTTTGCAGGGTGTTTTGTTATCGGTGCCAGAGGTGACCCCCGATTTACAATCGATCAAACGTCTATGGGTGCACGAGTGCTTGCGCGTGTTCTCTGACCGGCTGGTAGAGGACGCTGATAGGCAGTGGTTGGTGCAGTGCCTCCGGGAATCCACTGCTTTACATCTCAATGACGACTTTGACAAGATGCTGTCGAGACTGCTTAATGGGCCCGATGATAAAGTACGTCTTTTTCTGTATCCAGTGTTTTTTTTTTATTATTTCTCTTTATGGCTCTAAAAAAGTTTGGCTTTTTATTTAGTTTTTTTAATAACCTTATTTTCATCATAACTTTCCCTAAGAATAATGGGCTAAGAATGTCCATTGCGTTTATTTTATTCATCAAGAATGAAATGGTATTCTTGCGTTGTTTGTTTTCTGTGTTTAGGTTTATATTGTAATTTAATTAGTTTGTCTGATTTATAATCACATATTTTATTTTATTTACACTACTCTTCATTTTGTAATTACTTTCCAAACTATTTATACAACAATAAGATATTGTTTTAATTGTAATTTATTATCACGTGAATTAAGAAATTGCTCATTGTACTCAAAAAGTTGTCAGAAATAAATAAACATTATTATTATTATTATTTACCTTAAAAAAAAAAAAGAGTTAGGTTGTGAAATTAGTCATGGGGTTCTTCAAAAGGGGGTAAAAAGGTTTCTTTAGGGTCGGCAACGCACGCGTAATACCTCTGGTATTGCAGGTGTTCATAGGCTACGGTAACCACTTACCATCAGGTGGGCCGTATGCATGTTTGCCACCTCTGTGGTATAAAAAAGAATATATAATTAAAGACAGTTTTTTTTTACAGATAACTGATTTACATCTACGTAATCTTATCTATTGTGACTTCGCCAATCCTAAAGTGGATACGCGATTCTACATGGAGACTACCAATATGGAACATCTTAACTCTACTGTAGAAGCATTTTTAGTAGAATATAATAATATGTCGAAGAAACCGATGAATCTTGTGCTATTCAGGTATAGTATTAGTACCACACTGTTAGTAGTCAGTGATTTAGACAATATTTATTTTCTGTTCTTGAATATTTGCAACAGAATTAAAGACATCTCTCGTGTAAATTACTAAATCAAAAGTATCTTTAATTAATATTATAAATGCAAATGGGAGTATGTTTGTTTCTTTGTTACGCTTTCACGTCTAATCAGAACTGATTATGATGAATTTTGCAATAGAGATAGAAAGGATCCTGGAGACGGTTATCGGCTACTTTTTCTCCGAACCTGTGAATATATCTCGGTCACGTGGACAAAGTCGCATGTAAAAGCTAGTAGTGTTCACCTTATGAAAGTCTTGAGTCATAGTACCCAGTGACTTCCTAGTCTTTCTCACCTTGCAAATAAAAATACAGTATGTGATCAAAATGTTCATTTTATACTTTCCTGTTATTTATGGCAGTTAACGTGAGAAAACAACAAAATTATAATAAAACAAAAAAACAAATAATCTATATATCGTGAATTAAAAATAGTTAAACCTATTTTACCTACCTTTTTTTGCACTTATTACTCATTTTGGAAGACAGTGACAAGACACTCTAATAATAAGAGATTTTGGTTCTTATAAATAAGGGAGTAAATCTTCTAAAGGTATCGTTAGTTGTACTCCCGCTATCATCGCCACTAGCAGCACCATAACAGCTACCGTATTAGAGATGCGCGTGCGCAGGTTTGCGATAGAGCACGTGTCGCGCATCTGCCGCGTGCTGGCGCAGCCGCGCTCGCACGCGCTGCTGGTGGGGCTGGGCGGCTCCGGCCGCCAGTCGCTCACGCGCCTCGCCGCGCACATCAACGAGTACGACCTCTTTCAGGTGAGGCTAGTCCACTACCTGTGTATTCATATCATGCATATATAACTAATGGTTTTATTAAATTAATATTAAATTGAATATCCTCCATGGTCCATGGTACTGCTCATGTTTATAGGCGACGGTTACCACTTTCCATCAGGTGGGCCGTCAGCTTGTTTGCCATTCTAAGTTGTATAAAAAAAACCCGTGGGTGTCGTAAGAGGCGACTAAGTAAGAGCGACGAATAGGCAGTAGCGTCGCTCCTAAAACATCTCCAAAGCCTAACTGCGGTTGCTAACCCGCCTGAGGAGCATGGCAATTACTGGTGAAACACCCTTTTATAGGGGAGGCCTATATTCAGCAGTGGACAGTTAAGAACTGATATGATGATGGTGATGAAACTGAAATTATATTTATAGGCGACATTTACCATTTTCAGGTAGGCTGTCAGCTTGTTTACCATTCACAAAAAAAAATATATTATAAGAATCACGTAAATCCATATCTGATACTAAGTTGTCGCCTTCTCTTGTCCTGTCGCGTCGCTCTTGCAAACTCGAGAAGTAGATAATCCTCATCTTCTAAAACATTAATTTTGTTTCCTTTACAATTCATATATCTTGTAAAACAAATTGTTGGTATATCTTCAATTTGCATTAATTTATAATTTATATATTATTAGCTAGCAGTTATACTTATTAAAAGGTAAAATTGCATTCATGAATTTTAGTCCAATTGAAATCTATTTTTCTCTTCGATTTATTTATTTACTTTTCATTGCATCAGCTAAAGAATAATATAAATCATTTTGTTACTGTAGGTTGAAATGAGCCGTACATATGGTAAAAATGAGTGGCGAGAAGATTTAAAAACCCTGCTGAAAAAATCCAGCACACCCGATTTGCACATGGTGTTCCTGTTTATTGAGTCTCAGGTGATGCAACTACAATTTGCCGAATGTTAATTTAAAGAGTTCAATTGTAGTAATAATATTCTGTTTTACCATTAGATCAAAGAAGAAGGTTTCTTAGAAGATGTCAACAATATGCTTAATTCGGGAGAAGTGCCCAATATATTTGGGGCGGATGAAAAAGCTGAGCTATGCGAGAAGATGAGAGTGGTGAGTTTGATGTGTTAAATTTATCTTTGTTCTTACTGATTTGTGGTTTATATATTCTTGTTTTTAATTCATTACTTTGTTTTTTTTTATGGATGATGGATTGAGGGGTTGAAGTATTTGGCGGCTCATATGAAAGTAAAGGATTACTATAATCCATTATAATGAGTTGCCTATTCCTTACCAGCCTTTAGGAAGATATAGGTTGTTAGGTTTTCTTGAAAGCTTCCTTGCGATAATTATACAGAAATGCTCTTGCACTGTTTGCTAGATGATAGCTTGCTAGTATAATAGTTGGTACTACTGGTATTTTTGTGGTATGCAACATTATTCTTTATAGGTGGTTTAGGTGTAATTTTAATTTATTGCAGACAATCTGATAGTGGAATTTAAGGCGCTTCACGCACTGAATCTTTGGCGTAGCGGTAGTGCGCGTAAACCGTAGCGGTGCAAGATCTCTATCTAAAGGACCGCGGTCTAGAATGTGAAGCGTTTAAATTTTTCTATCAGATATTTTTTTCAATAAAATAAAATTTTACCAACATGTTTTCGAATTAGTGTGTGAAGAAACGCAGTCTACTGTGAAACGACTAAAGGCTGGTAAACTGGCAATAATTTGTAAAGTTATGTGAACAGAGGCAATTTCCTTAATTACGATACATTATAATGTTGACGACGAATAATGACGATGATATGTCGCGTGCGGATGTGTGCAGATCGACCGGCAGCGCGACAAGTCGCTGCAGACGGACGGCAGCCCGACGGCGCTATATGCGTACTTCGTGTCGATCGTGCGCGACCAGCTGCACATCGTGCTGACTATGTCGCCCGCCGGCACCTCGCTGCGCACGCGCATCCGCAAGTTTCCCTCGCTCGTCAACTGCTGCACTATCGATTGGTTCCAGGTAGGTAACTACTGTATTATAATCAGCTGTTGCCCACGACTTTGTGTAACTAGGATATTTTGTTTGATCCGACTTAGTTCTTTCTATAGTAGCTTACTAGTACTATTTGAAATTAAGAAGTATATACTTCTTTATTTCAAATAATACCTGTATAGCAAATTTCATAGTGATTAATATAGTCTTTAAAACTCCAAGAGGTAACAAACACACTCGCATTTCAAAGCACGTCAAAGATTTAAATATTTCTAAATTGACCTCAATATTTCTACTCGTAAGAAATGAAAATTCTTAAAGACTACTTTTCAAGTTTAAACTTTTATGAATTTTTATTCCACCCACGGAAAAATCCATTAAAGATTGCTTATTAATACTTTTAATTAGGCTGGCAGTGAACGTTATTTCGTTTAAATAAATAAAAAAAAATATTACGTACTACTAAATAATTTAAGCATCCATGATTCGTTTACAAAATATCATAAATTTTTGGAATCCTGTAATGTACACTACTATTGCTAATTTTATTTTCAAAACTATACGGACGCTTTATTCAATATAGTGTTAAAAGTTTTAAAATTAACGGAATTATCAATAGGAATGGCCGCCGGATGCTTTGATGGCCGTGGCGACTCGTTTCCTCAAGGATGTAGAATTGACCGACCTGGAGCGTGACACCGCCATCAAACTGTGCCAAGTATTCCACACGGACACACAGGAGTTGACCAGACAGTTCTTGCTCAGGCTTAAGAGATACAATTACGTCACTCCCACGGCGTATCTCGAACTAATTAATATGTTCAAGACGCTCCTAGGGAAGAAACGCACGTTAGTATAATATTCAGTACTTTGAATTCATATTTCTTGTAATTTTCAAATTTTATATCATGAATAGATATCAAAAATGACAATAGCTGCAGTTTCTATCGGAGATACATGTTTTTTAGTGTTACAAGATAATTTTCAATGCTGTGTATTTTTGTATATCAATGTCAAATGGCAAACAAGCTGACAACCCATCTGATTGAAAATGTTAATCGTTACCTATTATTCTCAGGACATAGATTAATTATGGATTAATATGTTATGTCTCTGTACTCTGTTATTTCATTGACATATTCTACTTTTCAAATCTAAAATTTGCATACAGACATGTATTTGACGACAGAAGTACAGTATAAGTAATGGTACTAAAGTACAGTATGGGCACTACCTGCCGCCTGCTGCGATCTGACCTAACCCCCGCTCAAAAACGCGTCAGGATAGTGGAGTTTTTGTATGAAGTGTCTTAGGTGTAAAATAAGTATGGGTACTTACTGCAGATGACTTGTATAAAGTTTTTCTTTTCTATAATGAATTTAGACCAAAAGAACATAAATCACATAAAAGCCAGAATATATAGGCTATTTAGCTTAACATATTCTTTGGTAATAATATATTAGGAAATTGTTTATACAGGGAACTATTGACGAGTGAAAAGCGGTACCTGACTGGTTTAGATCAATTGGCCATAGCGGCTAAATCAGTTGCGGCACTGCAACAGTCCTTGGAAATACTACAGCCGAAATTAGCAGCTGGTGCTGCTGCTGTAGCCGAAACTACAGCCAAAGTAGAGAAAGAGAAGGAAGGAGTGGCATTAGTAGAAGCTGAAGTACTAATGGACCAGGCAGCTGCAGAGGAACAGGTAACATTGAAATGGGTCAAATATAATTTGTAGCTATTGATATTTTTCTTTAAAATTTTTTTAATTCAGAGGTATAAGCTGTTATTGTCTAATTTAATATTAATAATATTTTGAACTGCCTATTTAGAACTAAATTATAAATTAATGTAAGGACATTTGTCAAAATTTCAATTTAATTATTTATTAAATCTATTATTTATTATATCAGGATACAGAGGAATAACTCTTGACTCCTCAGGAATGACAAAGCATGGGAGGTATCATGGGCGGAACAGTATGCTCTGTTATGTTCACAGTTTTGTTCATGTCTATAGGCGACGGTTACCACTTTCTATCAGGTGGGCCGTCAGCTTGTTTGTTATTCCAAGTAGTAAAAAAAGAATATATGAATTTTTCACGACTAACATTAACTTTATTAAATTATGGATATTTATTATCGTAAAATATAACTGTTGTAGATATACATAGTATATTCTAAGTGGACAACAATAATAGAATTTAATAACTGGGCTGAATAACAATTCAGAACTGCAATTACACATATTTTGCTGTTAATTGCTCTACATGCTACATTGTGTCGAATGGAAAAGGCGAACTACAAAGATCTGGAATTCGAATACCGTTTTATATTGACGTTTGATTAACTTTTTTTAAAATAAATTTTGTTTTAATTGCGCGAATATTACATAACGGTGATATAAGAGTATATGTGGCGACCTTAACAATATTATAATCAGTTTTTTTTTATAATTTTATTCACATATAGGCAAAAGAAGCACAAGCTATAAAAGACGAGTGCGACGCAGACTTGGCGGAGGCAATGCCAATCCTAAATTCTGCGCTTGCAGCGCTTGATACACTCACGCCCCAAGATATCACTTTTATTAAGACCATGAAGAGCCCGCCCAGGGGTATCAAGCTGGTCATGGAGGCTATATGTATATTGAAGGTAGGTCGACTTTTCTAAACTGCACCCCTATACAAGTAGCCAACGAATTCATCGATAGAATTTCGGTCGGCGTTTATATAAGAAAGGACAAAACACTATTGATTGTATCCCATGAACTAGCGAAAAAGATTTTATTGATAGATTATTTTACCTCTTGTCTAAGCCGGCAGATACTATTCAAGAGTCAATGGCTAAAACTTGATAAAAGTTTGTTTGAAAGTTTTTGTTTAATAGAACGCACAGAGAAACGTGGCAGTACTTTGCTTTATAATGTGTTTTCGCTTAATTTCGTTTTCATTATTATAATGTGTTTTAGTTTCTTTAGTTTTGTATGCAACTAGTATCCTTATAAGCAGATAAGTTGTAGGTAGTATTAGAGTTGACTATAAAGTACGTAGGGTAGTATAAAAGTCAGAGAACTAATCTGTAGTTGTCCATAAAATTGTGAATTTTATAAATTTGTAGAGTGCTATTTCGGGATCGACATCATTACTTTATGTTGTCAGTTCCGTAGAACCGTTATATAAAATCAATCGTAACTTTATGAAAATATACAAAATGATTAATTAATTACTGTACCGTGCCTATAAATATACTTCAATGTTCTCTTAATTAGACCTAAGAGAATAATTTTAACTAAAATATTATAAAGTGACTAATAATATTTTAGCTCTATATGGTATTAACTTAATTAAACTTTTTTTCTTATGCTTTAACTAAAGGATGACCCGGTAAGTTTATATAAATTTTATAGTTTCCAAATGTTTAACTACAAAAATGTGAGATGCGAATGTTTTAGAAAAATTGCTAATTTAACTTAAAAACTTAAGATAGCCATAATTACCTCACTTTTAATAAATCGTGTTTATGAATGTATTAATTAAATAAATTTATTATGAAATAAATTTTTGAATTATTCTTACCTAATTATTTTAAAATAGGAAATAAAACCGGATAAAATTCCTAACCCATCTGGAGTTGGCACTGTTGAAGACTACTGGGGTCCTTCAAAAAAGCTACTTAACGACATTAAGTTTTTGGAGTCGCTGCAAAATTATGATAAGGATAATATTCCGCCGGCTGTGATGAAAAAGTTAATGACAACTGTCATGCAAGATGATGGATTCGTGCCGGAGAAGATCAGAGCTGTGTCGGTCGCTGCTGAGGGTAAGTGTTTTGTGTTGTTATTAGTTATCACAAATATTGTCACATTTAAATACAATATAAAAGCTCATCATCATATCACCCGACAGTTGTCCACTGCTGAACATAAGCAAGGGGAAGCTCTTGAGGTTTTACCAGTAATTGTAACGGTTGGCAACCACACTTAGGCTTTTGGTGATGTCTTAAGAGGGACGCTGCTGCCCATACCTCGACTATTAAGTTTCCTTAGTCGGCTCTTACGACACCCACAGAAAAGGAAGGGTTAGCACATTTTATGCTGGAATAACACAGCATAGAATTACAAAAGAAAAACCAAATGTGACCAAAGAGTCTCTATTTTAGCGTTAAGCCATTACCACACGATTATCTACGATACTAATGTCTAAAACACAAGGAAATAAAGATCTAAAGTAGAACGAGAAGTTGTTAAAGTTGCTGTGCATTTTGCGATGTAAAATTATAATTAATTGATATTTAAGAGTTATATTGCATGACAATTAAATTGTCGTTCTAGAACTCGAATTTATCCTGCATCCATTTTTACCTGCGTTCCCTGAAAATTAATCTTCTTTTATTAACTATTGTTGTAGGACAAATTCAGGGATTTTGAATTAATTAAATAAAAAACAGCTCTTTTACTGATTTTATTTTCTGGATTTAACAATAGTGTTTAATAAACTTTAGGCATGTGTAAGTGGGTAATCGCGATGACGAAGTATGACAAAGTGGCAAAGGTCGTAGCGCCCAAAAAGCAACGTTTGGCAGCCGCTCAAGCAGTATATGATAAAGCCATGGCGGCGCTCTCCATTAAACAAGCACAGCTCAGGGAGGTTTGTATGTGATATCGATGTTTTTTAACTGCTTTTCACTTACAATAAATTTTATTACCATCGTCTATATTTATTTAAAAAGAATTATACTGTATAATTAAATTTCACCAAAGCTGACTAGGAGAGAATGTTATTTGCATATACTCGTAATGCATTAAGTTTGCCTTTTCTACTTTTTTTCAATGTAAACAATAATGAACATATATACATACACCTCAAATGCTTAGACAAAGTTTTAAAACCTAAACCTGAAGTTAAAGATGAAGAAAGAGAAGCTTGACGATCCTTTAGTAAACTTTGTAGTTTTATAGATTTAAAATTTTTAAGAATCGTTCACATTGGTTACACTGTTTGGTATAGGTACAAAGCAAACTAGGAAAGCTAGAAGATGCATTAGCTGAACAGAATCGTCAGCAAAAGATGCTAGATGATGAGGTGATCGACTGTAGTAACAAATTAAAGCGAGCTGAGATGCTAATTTCTGGTCTCGGCGGGGAGAAGACTAGGTGGACGCAGATTGCGAAGGATTTACGCGAGAGTTACAACTCACTTACGGGTATGTTTTGTGGTAAAATAAGAGAAAGTATAATTAAAAAATATAATAATTTAATTTGTTGTTTTACATAGTTTGTCTACAATATTTCATCTTGATTGAAAATTGTGATTCATATAATTTTAGTAACAATATTGCTTTAATATTTCAGGTGATATATTGATTGCAGCTGGTATCATAGCTTACCTTGGACCATTTACTGCTGTATTTAGAAATGGACAGGTTAGTTCTTCGTAAAAACTGCTAAGACTCAATTATCTAACTCCAATGGAACGCGTGTTTAGTGTGTTATGCTTTATTGCCTCATCAAAATAGAGCTTGGTCCCTTAACTAGTTCCCTGTTTCTTTTTTATATCAAATAATAAAAATTAAAGCATGCGACATGGAGTACCAAAATAATAATCAATATAGAAAAGTTTGTTTCAACTGACTTCAAAAAAAGGAGGTTCACAATTCGGTTGCATTTGTTCTATTCGTTATCGCAGAACTACTTCATTTATAAACTAATTAGGACTTTTTTATCGTAAAGGATATATTTTTAGATTAGTCCCATAGAAATTTTGTCAAACCGATGTTCAGTAGTTTGCTTTTTAAATCAAAATGACAGATTTTGCCATGATTGTGTTTTTTTTTTTGTGAAAACAAATGTATTATGTAACTAAAAATTTTATTTGTGATCATTAATACTAAAAATATCTTAATTTCTTAAATTCTGTTTTATTGGTAGGTAAAGAAATGGGCTCAAGCATGCCACGATTGTGGCATTGTGTGTACTCTTAACTTCAGTCTAATCAAATCACTCGGCGAGCCGGTCACCATTCAGCAATGGAACATTGACGGGTTGCCCTCTGACGATTTTAGTGTCGAGAGCGCAATTATCATTATGTAAGAATTTAATATTATCATATTTTTACCCAGGACGCTATATGCTATTCTTTTTAATTGATTTTTGTCAGTCGTGTTAGCTATTCCTTTTATAGGGGAAACGTTATGCTTAAAATTGACACATTATGGATTAATATAGTATTGTAAAAACTTATTTCGAAACTTTATTTTATAACTAACCAGCTTTTTGCTAGGATTTCAGAAGTAGGATAACTAATGAAATATACCACTTTTAGAAGGCGTATCAAGAGTTAAACCTTCAGGAATATAACTGTGAAAATCGCATTTCGAAACAAACATACATATAGACAGACATATGATCTTATTAAGACTTTTTTTTTTTAATATTTTCATGTACATATTCCATGTATTCAATTTGATTATATCAGTAAGACTGAGAATAGGTGATGTTCCAAAATGAGATTCTAAAAGTACAAAGCGAAACATGGGTACAGATAATAAATACTCAATGGGTCGAGGTAAATTAACACAATAATTTACAATTAGGACCGCACGTCGTTGGCCCCTGATGATCGATCCTCAAGGGCAGGCTAACCGATGGATCAAGAATATGGAGAAGCCCAATAACTTGTGCATCGTGCGCATGACACAGGTTGATCTCGGGCGGGTTTTGGAAAACGCTGTACAATTTGGACAACCGGTAAAGGCTACGAACCTTGTAAATATTACATTAATGTTAAACTCACCTTTGTAGAGTTGCTTATCTCGGTCATATTTCTTATGTATTATTAGTGTGTATAATAAAGTATAAAAAACTGTTTTTAAATTAGCTATCGGTAGTATATTGCTTTAATTGTAAAAGTCGAAAACTAGAGATAATGGGAATTTAATGATGTACTGTTTGTCATTTCCGACAATTATTTCGATTTCATTGCGAAGTTTCCTTCAGGGTACAGCTGATATTGATTACATCGCAGCATCTCCCAAATTTTGAAAATAAAGTTGAGATATAAGCATTGACGTCATTGTAGCTAGCTATAAAAATCATAAAGGAAAAAATGCATGCACAAATTATAAGATTGGAGAAATTCAGGTCGTATATCTCTATATAACTCAACACGCGAGAACTTTGTATAGGTTTATTGGTCAGTAATGATGTTGAAAAAAAAAAAGAAATAATGTTCTGTATATAATTGTTTTTAATACATACATATACGCAGGTGTTACTTGAGAACGTTTTAGAGGAACTGGACCCAATGTTGGAGCCACTCCTTCAGCAACAAACTTTCCGACAAGGGGGCGCCCTTTGTATTAAGATCGGAGATACCATTGTGGAGTACAGCAAAGATTTCAAGTGAGTTTGCTTGTTAATGTTTGTTGGAAGTATTTATAAAACTTCAAACATAAGCTACTCGGAAACATTACATCAAATAAGAAACAAAAGTTATAATGAATTATAGAAATTAAATTCCATCCTCACGTACTTGTACAATTTGTGTTCCGTAGTATTTGATATACCTTTTATTTTAGATTAGTTGTTTGATGACGCAGTTTTAATAACACCGTTTTTGTAATTTGACTTTTACGAGTTATTACTTGTACCTATTCATAAAACCTATTATTTTATGTAGCTGAATTGAACTGAAAGATCTGAACAGAATGACAAACAAGCTAAAATTTATAAAGCTAAAGTGGATGAAATAAATAAATTTCCATTAAATATTATTTAAAAGTCTTGATTAGATTATTTCAGTTGTGGTAAATATGATGATCTCATTGGCATAGTGACACACACTGTCTTCTACTTAGTAGTATTACAAATACATAAGACAAGGTTAACAATAAGAGGGCCTTATTGTTGAATTCTTTTAATGCCAACCTATCAAAACCATTATCAGATGAGACTACTAACTCTTTGTCACGCAGATTATACATCAGCACGAAGCTAGCAAACCCTCACTATCTGCCCGAAGTGGGTGTACGAGTCACCCTGGTCAATTTCATGCTGGCCAAGGACGGGCTGCAAGCCCAACTGCTGGCAAGGGTCGTAGCCCGGGAGAGACCTGACCTGCAACAGGCAAAAACGGACCTCACCACGCAGGGTGCTGAACATCGGAGGCTGTTGCAGGACATCGAGAAGAAGATCCTGAATGTTCTGTCTACTTCTGAGCATTTGTTGGAAGATGAAGAGGCTGTGCAGGTTTGGAGCTTTCAGATAAAATTGATGAGAATGAGACTTTTATATAAGTAGGAAAGAGTAATGATATTTTGATATCAAAGATTTTCCCTAAACAATACAGTACAGAGTTCTTCAAAAGGGATGTATTAAGATTTAAGAATAAGTAATGCACATGTAACACAGCAAATGTTGCAGGCATCTATAGGCTACAGTGACCGTTTACAATCATTTGAGTATACTTGTTTGGCACACATTAAGACAATAAAATGATAATAAATATCTAAGATATATAAAAATCTATTCCTTATTTTTATGGTAGTAATAAATGTACTTTATGTACCAAATTATTATCCTCTTAATAGGAGAGGGAAAGGAAGGAATTGTCAGTAGACTTAAAGTAACAGAGACTAGAGACGTCATAACTAACTATATATTCGTATTCTACAAGGTTGATCTCCAAACAGACTTTCCTGGAAATCATCGTAGTTTCCTGAAAAAAAGATCTGACTTCATCTTGATATATCATCAATTACTATATCTCTCTCAGTGTATTTCATATCCATGTTGTGGTATTTAGATCCTGAATTCAGCTAAAGACACGTCAAACGAGATCAAAGAGAAGCAGGAGGTGGCTATGATCACCGAGAAAGCGATTGATACGGCTCGCGATGATTATGTTCCCATCGCCGTACACTCCACTAACCTGTTCTTCCTTATCGGTAATGAATACATCATGTACTGCATAGTAAATTATTTTCAGATGTTTTTATCTATATAGAATTTAGTTAACAATCTTGTCCTGACTTTTTAATAAACAAAATAACAAATAGCTGGAATGATAAAGTTATGTTGTTAGTTTGTCACTATGTACTTCATGTAATTATTGTTTATAAATTCTCCATTTATTGGCGGCGGTAATATCATCATCATTATATCAGCCTTTAACTGTCTACTGCTGAACATAAATATTAAGCCCCACCCTTGTGGAGAGGGAGGGTTACCAGTAGTTACCACACTTGGCAGGTGGATTGGCAATCGCAGTTAGGCTTTGGAGATGTTTTAAGAGGGACGCTGCTGTAATATATTTGCGGTAGCGGTGATATATTGCAATTAAATTGCATATTTATATTGGATTTTGCAGTGGATTTCTTAAAATATTTTTATAAGATAAATACTCGTATTATAGAAGTGCCAGTATTATTGTTAATTTTTATTTTCTGTCTACCTGGTTTGAAAAATAGTTCATGGTATCCATTGATAACACAGAGAACTGTTATAGTTAATGTATAATGTATATATAGTATGGCACTTTAAAAATGCTTTTATGCAATTAGATACCTAATTGTATAAAAGCATTTTACATATACCTTCCGCATCATATCGTGAACGTGATATATCATCATGATCGGGGTGGACAAGTTTTTTCATCATAACTTCTCACATATTAACAAATCATCTCATACTAGCTTCGCTGGCGAACATCGACCCAATGTACCAGTACTCGCTGGGCTGGTTCGAGGGCCTGTTCACGGCGGCCATCGACAACACGGAGAAGGTGGACGATATACCGGCGCGGCTGGCCATATTGCGCGCATACTTTACGTACTCGCTCTATGCTAACATCTGTCGCAGTTTGTTCGAGAAGGTACTGTTTTACAAGATTAATATTTCAATTATATTTCATATTTCTATCTTCGTTATGATACGACTCGCCTTATGGAATGAGATTCTCATAGTTCAATGTTGCAAAATTTATTTATAGTATATTGGGATATTCGAATCATGTTTTTGTAAAAAGGTATCACGTCCATCGTGATACCTTTTACAAAAACATAAATAATAAAAACATAAAGACATAAATTCATATTAATGTTTTTTATCCAAATGTTTCAATTGTTTTAATAACTAACATAAAATAGTAATTAGGTACATAGAATCTAAAATTATTATTATCTAGTAAATAGTACTTGTATTCTTATTATATGTACAAGATAAATTTATTTTATGAAATAATTATAACATAATATATGGGGGAGGCCTATTTTCAGCAGTTAACGACTGATTTGATGATCATCATCATATATAACATAGTATGATAACATAGTTATAATATTAGTATGAGGAAGTTATCCGTGTAGTACTTGACATAGAATAGACCTCCCTTTCCTTTTCTGTGGGTGTCGTAAGAGGCGATGAAAGGAACTTAATGGTAGAGGGATGGACAGCAGTGTCGCTCTTAAAACATTTTTCAAATTCTACTTGCGTTTGCCAACCCGCCTACCAAGCGTGGCAACTACTGGCGAAACTCCCCTTATGAGGAAGGCTTATATTCAACAGTGATCAATTAATGGCTGAAATAATAGATAGATAGATAGATACTCTTTATTGTTTCCTCCAAAAGATTACAATAGTAAACTTATTATAAATATAAATAATTACAAGAAATAATCACAATGAGAAAACAATGGGCGACCTTATCGCTAAGAGCGATCTCTTCCAGGCAACCTTAGGATGGAGAGGAGTAATTATAAACAATTTGGTGGGAGACACGATGAAAAATTTTGTTAGTTCTGAATATAGGAGATGCGATACATATAATAATATAAATATTATCCCTACTAATAATGATGAATATTAGTAAGAAGAAATAAGAATGCAACATAAAAAGAAATAAATTATGCATTAGGTACATAGTACGAGTATATAGGTGTTATTAAGTAATAATAATAAATAAATTTGTTGCTACATATTTATTTAACAAATACTACCAATATTAGCGATCTTATGTTTATGTTTAGTCTTATTAAACAAAAATATTATAAGAGCTTTGAAATAAAAATTGGGCTGCAGACGCCTTTATAGTCTTCCCTTGAAAAACAAACGTATCTACATACGAAACGACGTATGTACATATGTTCAATTGTAGGACAAGATGGTGTTCTCCTTGTTGCTGACGATCACGATCATGGTGGCGGAAGGTCGTCTGGAGCAAAGCCACGTGCTGTTCCTGCTGGGCGGCGCCCAGCCTCGACATGTGCTGCCCAACCCTGTGCCTTTCCTCAGCCCACAAGCCTGGGCCGAGTTCAACGGGTTAGTAACAATTTATCGTAAAACGATACGGCATGACATAACCCTTATATAATATTATAAATATGAAAGTAAACTTGTTTGTTCGTTACCTCTTCGGGTTTTCTCAACCAAAGATCACGAAATCAATGTATCCCGGTCATGCGGTAGAACTCAAAATAGTTGATATATATTGATATAAAGAACACTTAGATACACAAACAGAGACTAAAAAATACACTGAGAATAGAGCACATTAAAATTTAATCAAATACACTCATATTTAACAGATTATTGACGTTTGCAGAAATTCAATTAACAGAAATGTAAAAATTGATATCTGTATCCCAATATTGTATTCGAAGTCTATTTATTGCGTACACTTGTACGTATTATGACCCCCTGGCTTGACTCATTACCAATCTTTGCATGGATTATGCCTGTTTCAGTGCTTAAGGCGTACGATCCCGGTATAATCTTTTTTTGGAGTGATAATTATATTAATTCTACCTAGGTATCTAAAATATTATTATTGTTCTCGTCTAATTCATGTAAAATCCTTGATATCAGGTTTATTTATAGATATAAAATATTAAAATACCAAAAAGCTCATGACTTTATCGACATCTAACTTCAATATCGAGTTGTCCAAGTGTTCTGTGGGAGTTGAAGGAGAAAAGTTGCAAGGACTCGCCGCTCTATACGTGTACATTATATGAGGAGATACTTCTAAGAATTTGCGGTCAAGAAAACTTCTTGAACAATTTCAAGACACAAACTTTGGTGTATAATAATTTTGGGGAGCCAAACTATCCGTAGCATTAGTTTATCGTTCCGTAAAATATTGTAAAAGGAAATTTTCGTATTCATAATATATTAGTTATATACCGCAATTTCATCTGGTTTAATAGATAAAAATGAGTTGTATGTTCAAGTTATTTTTATCCATTGAACCAAACAGACTAGGACGATATCTGTCTTTATATAGACAGATATCGTCCTAGTCAGATTCAGATTATTGTTATAATACTTAAAACCATTAAGGAGTGTTTGAGTAACACATCTTCAAATTTCTAACATATTCATTTATATATGAATAAAGTTTATTAGAACATTACTAATAGATGGAGACTTTGTACAAAAGTCGTTTGCTTGGATACCTCTGTCCTATTCGTGTTTCAACCGTAAAGCCGTCGTGTTTGCATGGCTGTGTTTCAGTTTGAAGGGTCGGATATGGCGTGAATTTACAAGGTACAGAGGAATAACACCTGAGTCCTCAGGAATGGCAACGCACGGGGAGTATCATTGGCGAAACAGTATACTCTATTATGTTCATGGTACTGCTTATGTCTATAGGCGACGGTTACCACTTTCCATCAGGTGGGCCGTCAGCTTGTTTGCCATTCTAAGTAATATAAAAAAAAGATGGAAGTTTTATATAAGCATCGTCATTAGGTTCCTGTTTGTTATTGTAAACAAGCCGAAGTTACGAGTAGCTAAGTACGAACCTGCAACCGTATACGAGGTCACTTGGCAAGTCAGTTCAATCTTTCTAGACTTTCGCTTGATTCACGTATTTGAAAATAGTTTATAGAGCTATAATTACTAAACTGATTTCAAATATGATATATTTATATAGGTCCAAGAGGATACTGACCTACATTTTCATTACGGTATCCGTGAGATGAGCATGAGAAAGAGAAAATAACATTTGAAGTCTTGTTTTCTTATGAGCAATGCATCGAAAATAACTAACTACAGTTTTTTATATTTGGTATAGACTGGCTGAGATAGACGGTTTCCACGGCATCGTGGAGCATTTCATGTCAAACTTGTCCGCGTGGGAGGCATTCTGCGATACGCTAGACCCGCACTGCCAGCCGTTACCGGAACCCTGGTCCACTAAGCTCTCTTCATTCGAGGTACGCGTGCTCTGTATTTATAAGTACGAGAGACAGTAAATTTATTTACCCCAGTGAATGACGCAATTCATTTGATACAAAAGTTAAAAATAATGTTGTACTTGAGAAGAAGCCGTACATACATAATTTGACAATATCCGTGACACAGTGCTAGGCACGTTGCTTTGCGTAAATAAGGTTTGTCGCGTTCACCAAGTTTGCAGGATGGTTTATTTTAAACTGCAAAAGAGCGAAATTTTGTGCAATTACTTGAAGATTGTGATCACATTAATATCCGCAACCTTGGTAAAAGATGGTTGCAAGTTAATCGCACCGAATTCCGCTTTTAATTGCAACAGATGAGCGCACACGCAACCGCAGCCTGCTTTGTATCGCTGGTACTAACTGCGTCCTGAAATTTATTAGTCTTTTACATACTTTTCATTATGTTATGGTAACATATAACTGCTGCAAACGCAGTTGAAAACGCTCCCTAAGTTCTTAGCCAAAAAGTATAAATTTTCTTACTTTTGAATATAGGTATAAAGAATTCTAAAAGAATAAAAAAAAAAATGTATATTGAAAAAAATGTCATACATTATTATATCTTACGTTATTGCTACTTTTAGAAAATGATGGTGCTCCGTTGTATGCGCTTGGACATGATGGTGCCGGCGGTGCAAATGTTCGTTGAAGGTTAGTTATACAATATTATATTTGTCATGCGTATCACACAAAAATATATTAAGTAGATATTAACATTTGAAACTAAAGGTATTCATGTCATAAATATCGACAGGATGAATGATGTCGCTTTGGTGTTATAAACGTTTATTATCTACAGTGATCAGATGGAATGCAAAATTGCCATCATTATTGTCTTACATAAATTGTTCGCTCTCTATGTAATTCAATCAATTCACGTGCTTTTTTGTGAGTTTACGAACGCAACAATCACAGGTACCACTAATGTTAAATATTTTTAAACACAGAAAAGTATTCTTAAAGACGAATAAAAAATTATCTGCGTTTATACTAATGCCGAATATCTTTGCCTTGTGAAGAGCAAATGGGTCGTCAGTTCGTGGAGCCACCACTTTTCGACCTGGCGTCATCGTACGCAGACTCCCATTGCTGCATACCGCTGTTGTTCGTGCTCACGCCCGGCTCGGACCCCATGGGCACGCTGCTTAAGTTCGCCGATGACCAGGTCAAAAATAACTATTATAACTGATATAATTAAACATCTGCGATCTATATTTATAGTTGCCTTTGGAAGGTCGCGATGATTAAATAACTTTTAAAAACTCGATGCAGCTATTTTGTAGATTGTCTATGATAACATTACACGTCCTACCAAAATCCAAAGAATAAAAAATGTGCGAGTAAAATTATTTACATATGTTTCGACCAAGGAATATAATATTACCCTGGTCAGGCTGCTCCTGACACACCTCCAAAAACACACGAAGAACTGCATCTGTATACGATTATATGCATTCAAGTAAAAAGTTGGAGGAGCATGCTATGTTAATCTAGACACTCTTTACCATATTCCTTACAATTGTTATTAGTCGCAGCAGCTTAGCTCCTCGTACCTTTGCTTATAAAATGGTATAATTATTTTTTTGGTTTGATATAATAAAATTTTTCATTCAGGGTTTCGGCGCATCTCGGCTGTTTTCACTATCGCTAGGTCAGGGCCAGGGTCCGATTGCAGTGAAGTTGATTGATGAGGGCATTCGCAGCGGCACCTGGGTCGTGCTACAGAACTGCCATCTCGCCAAGAGTTGGATGCCTATGCTCGAAAAAGTATTATTTAGTTTATTATTAGGAAATCTAAAACAGTATTAGAGGTTGTATGAAAGTCTTGTGCTTGGGTACTACCGTGCAGCAACTGTTCTTCCATAGTTATGTTTTGGTTTGACTGAATTATAGGGTATAGAGGCATACAAACTTATGAATGGCAACACTGCGAGATATTGTGGGTGTTATAGTATATTCTGTAATGCTCATGGTGCTGTATGTTTTTTTTTATAGTAGTAATTTCTGTCGTTATCTTTGGAGCGAAAACTTTCTCACCTTTTTTATATTTGTATTTGTAAATTTAAACTGTTTGTTTTTTTATCTTTGTGCTGTTTATGTTTACAGGCGATATTATTTGTTGAGTTATCAGTTATGTTGAGGTGTTATTATTAGGTCGACCGTCTTGCTTACTAGCTTGTTTGCCATACTAAAATGCCTAAAAACTATGTAAGACTGACGACTTTAACACTCTGTTTTTTTCAAGCTACTTCGTTATAGAAATGTCATATATGTATGTCCAGATTTGCGAGGGTTTGACCCCAGACTCCACGCATCCGGACTTCAGGTTGTGGTTGACGTCGTACCCAGCGGACCACTTCCCCGTATATGTTCTACAAAACGGCGTCAAAATGACTAATGAACCACCTCAAGGTACGTATTAAGTATATTGCAGTTCGTTGTATTCCGCGGCTTTGGCCGCGTGAATTAGTATGTAAGGTACTTACTCGTGTAATAATTCGAATCATTCAAATCCGTTCAATTCAATTCAAAACTATTTAAGCATGATTAAGTAAAATATCATGATTGTGTGAAACAACAAATGTACAAATATCTAAACCTAATCTTTCATATTTATGATATTGGTAAGATACCAGTGAGAGAAGTGGTCACAGCTCAGTTGAGCAATGCTTAACAGCAATTCCGGTTTTCGAAGATCGAATACCAGCCTTAAACTATTGCTTCGTGCTTCGACCGTGATCCGATAAACCACCATATCAGAGGATCATGCCCTCATACGCGTAGTCTTCTAAATGGGTATTAAAAGTTTTTATCAAAGTCGCAAATTATAGAAGGTAAACCTTGTATTGCAGGCATTCATAGTGTTATAAATTGTTAATTACAAAAAAATAGTAAAACAAAAAAGACAAGACAATCAAGGTACCTAAATATAATACTAGGCGGGGGAGGGACTGTTAGTAATGGGGTCTAACAACTCCAGTAATATAACCTGTCATGTCGAACTTCTCGTGGTGTCCCCCCCCGACCCCCCTTGAAACTATCGTAGATAATTCCTTGTGAATTCGTCATGATAGGTCAACTGATCTGCATTCATTTTCATTTCAAATGGAATAGTAACATTACATTTTCATTCCATTAAAAAAAATACAATACAATGACAATACGCAGGTTTGCGTGCGAATATTGCTCGCTCATACCAAAGCGACCCAATCAACGACCCGGAGTGGTTCGAAGGCAACAAACAGCCGGAGATCTTCAAGAAGCTGTTGTTCGCGCTGTGCTTCTTCCACGCGGTGGTGCAGGAGCGGCGACAGTTCGGCCCCCTCGGCTGGAACATACGCTACGAGTTTAACGAGACCGACCTCAGGATATCCATCACGCAACTCTACATGTTCCTCAACGAATATGACGTGAGTATAGCTTTGATGTTTTACCCGCGACTTCCTCCACGTGATGTCTGGAAAAACAATTTACCTATGAACTATATCACAGTACACGTATTCCAAATTCTATAATGGTTAGTTAAGCTGTTAAAATGACAAAGACTAACAAATAACTCTCTTTCAAATTTATAATATATAATATAGATAGGAAAGGATTAAGGATAGAGGAGAAATTTCGAGCTTTCTCAATTAAAAAATATCAAGATTGTCTAGGAGATATTACATTGTTTCCGATTCTCATTAAACTTTCTCGCTATTTCTGGAACTGATTTACTTATGCTGATTGTATTACAATTAACATATGTTAACGAACCCCAGGAGATAAAATAATTGTATATTTGATTTGATACGACATCATAACCTTTAAGAAGAGAGCATATTCCTTTTTAAAAGGCCAGCAGCATACATGCAATGCTGTTATGCATGTGATCATGGGCAGCGGTAGTTACTTACCATCAGGTGAGCCGCATGCTCGTTTGCCCCTTGTGTTGTAAAAAAAAAATTTCTACAACAGATTTATGTATTTTATTTTTATTTCTATGTTAAATTTTCAATAAATATGAAGCTAGCTAGCTAAATATATTACGCTGGTTTCTCAGCAAATAAAAAGTTTACAAACATTCCTATGCCTATCCGAGGGATAATTCCTTAGAGATGTTAAATGAATAAGCAAACGACAGCTGTCCAAAAGTTTAGACAGTAATCTATTACATTGAAAATATATCTGTTTTGCTTTAGTAGTAAATTGTGACCACTACTACAAAAAATAATAAAACAACTAGAATAGAATAATGTGAAAAACAGCCATTCAATCGTGACAAATATTTGAATTTATACTCGTATACGGAATTAAGTCTACAAACAATTATTAAAAAAAAAAAAAAGATTTATTGGTCACAAAAGTAATGCAGAACAAATATTGAGGTATCGAATGCAAAAAATAAGAATTAAATTCGATTCAGTATATTTGTGAATTAAATAGTTAGGTCCTGTCCCCATTCGATATAGAAAAGTTTTTTTTATAGCTAAAAATGAGATATTAGCTCGCCTGCGTTATTAGTTTATGCTGACCAAATAAAAATGAGGGTAACGTCAGATTATCAAACACAATGGTTTCCAGAGGGGACCGTCTAGAGGTAAACTTGACAGGGTATGTCGCTAGCTATGAGGCAACTTATATACGTACATATATAGCTTACGAATGTTACTTGCTGATAATGTGGTTTATACTATAATCGACTTTTTTTTAAAATCGCTTAAACAGTTTTTGAGTTCATCAATTACAAGCAAATAAACAGTAAAGTGTTTCCTCTTTGTGAGACTAGTATAGCTTTAACAACTTAACTAATCACTGTATAATTTGATATACACGTACTATATACAATGGAGAAGGTAAAAGGCTATTTTTTTATCCCAATCTGTAAACGTATCCCGGTCACGCGGACGCAGTCGCGGGTAAAAGCTAGTAAGAAATAAAACTCGAACTAATAAATGTATAATTATTTCATATCTAGAGTCTGTTTTACGATACTTTGATAAACACAACAATATAATGATATTCAATGGTTTGTTAAAGTCATCACAAACAACTACGAGTATCTCGCAAACATTGTAACTGTATTATGATAAACACAATAACACTTACGACTTGCGGCATGTTTATCGAAATTGTGATCGTTTTAATGGGTTCGCTTCCCCGTGAAGGCAACTTTGTTTTTAATGTCACACTTAAACTGCATATTGTGGGCTATAATGTACTACAACTGAGTGAGGTTTACTATCAGTGGACAGAAGTTCTATCTGCTGCGTGATGGGATTTTTTTCACATATAGTTTAGATACTAGTTCATTTTTATTCTATTGTTAAAAGGTGAAAAAGGAGATTTATTTTTATCGAGATGTGTATGTTTATGTAATATTCTTAATTAGCTTCGCTCGTGGTCATATCACGATATTGAGTAGCTCAAGAAATGAGCTATATAAAAGAAAAATAATTAATCCTACTAGCAGTTTTAGAGATTAACGCGTTTAAACAAAGAAAATTTTCTTTCTTATATTTGTATATATCATAGGAGTTTCTAGTATTTTTGTATTTAATATTTACTAATTTTATTAAGGCTGTAGTTGATTTTTTGTAAAAGAAAGTCATGATAGTTGTAATATTATAAATGTATTTGAATTCTGCTATTATTAAACTATATTTTTACTACACATACCTAATAGTAAACACACCGCTCACCACATCTGGTAGAATTTTATGACATAATATTAACTTTGTCAATGCACAGGACGTGCAATTCGTAGCGCTACGCTACCTGACCGGTGAATGCAACTACGGCGGACGCGTGACCGACGACTGGGACCGGCGCTGCCTCAACACCATATTGTATAAGTTCTACAACCCACGCGCCATCAACGAGGAGAAGTACCCTATAGACCCCACCGGTATGATAACTAGGATATATTAATTTATTTACTTTAAAATCTTCTTCTTTCTTTCTATTCTATGGCTGTGATCCCAGTTTATTTGTGGTTTACCCTTTTAGTAATTTTTTTACTTAAAATATATAAAAAAAATATTGTGGAAAGCAAGTAAGTTTAATTATAAAACAGTATCTAGGATGTAAAAAATTTTATTGAAAGAATTTGTCTGTTTGGTTTAAAAGAAACATTGCAGGCTGCTTAGAATAATAAATATGACCCTATTTTTTTTTTCAAAATCTTGGAGTTTTAAAGAGCAGAGGCACTTGGTGAATTCGGTTTACCTAACTCAAAGGTCAATCCTGTTCATGGTTCTATCCCAAAGAAAAGAAGACGGAGCTCAGTGTCAATTTGGTATAAAATCTTTCTGATTCTTAAATGTCTATAGGCGACAGTTATCATTTTCCATCAAATAGTCAGTTTGTTTGCCATTCTGTTAGTAGTGTGTAGTACTCGTATATCCTAACATTATGCATGGCAAAATTGCTGTTGTTGGCACGTTGCTAGTGGCAATCCTAGCAGACGTATTCAGCTTCTACCCCAGTTACAATTATATTTTATTTTATTTAGGAACAAATTTGCCATAAAATCTATTATAATGGCCAAATAACAAATTAAATATGATATAATTCAGGCGTGTATTACATCCCGACGTTGCGCGAGCACGGTGACTTCATAGCGTTCGCTCGCTCGTTGCCGGTGGCAACCCCGCCGGGCGTGTTCGGCTTCCACCCCAATGCCGATATCACCAAGCATTTTAGGGAATCTGAGGAACTGCTCAATACAGCAATACTCACACAGGTATATACATTTTCCAATGTGTTATCTAGTTATATACAGGGTAAAATCGAAGTCGTTGACATCCTTCTAAGGAACTGCTCTACTAGTGAACCTATAGCCTGTTTTAATGAAATTAAATGAATTTATTTGCATTAAACGGTCTTAAAATTGTTAACAAAGGTCACATATTACTAAGTTGGGCACCTTTTTAATTGTCTTAAGCGATATAGGCATGCAAATATTATATTTCTTGTTATTTTTCAAACCAAGTTCCTTTTGAATAAATATTCAGTGCCATTGGTAAAACAGTCCCTTAAAATGATGGTAATAACTTTTATTTGGTCCTGTATAGAGTGTCTATTCATTATATAGATACATAAGTCTAATCCCGCTGTAAGACTATAAACTTCAAGATTCGTACAAAATATATTGTAAGGTAATAAATATAAATCGTAGTCCTACTTATTGTATTTAATGAAAAAAAAAATAGTTAATAGTTGAGTTACTTTATTTCTATCTAGAAAATTATATTAGCATATATACACATGTATTTCAGTACTTCATAGTTGAATAATGTAGTGAATAGTTTAGTAGTAACATTAATGTAGGTAGTAATTTTATATGTAATTTTTGTTTCATCGCCACATGCTGCGCTGTGCACAAGGATCGAATGGTAAGTAATTACTATAGTGTAATCATATTTATTTATATGATTTAAATTAGTTTCACTGATATAATAATGTTTTTTTTTACATCAAGGATCTTCTTAAAAAACATATGGTAAGTAAAAACAAATTTGTCTATCATCATCGCTTAGCTATCTTTCCTTTTTATTTCTTTTCTCTTTTATTCTTCTCTCTTCCATCCTGTTCCTTTATTACATATTTTTATAAATATTATTAGTGTGTTTCGTCTATGTTATTTTTCAAATTAAGAATCTAGCTCCAAAAAACAGATAGACGAAGCATGTCACCATATCAAAAATAAGTTTAATAAATATGTTGAGATATAAATAAGATCTTGATCAGTTTTAATGTGGCTAGTAGCTGTACTTAGAATTGACTTATAAATGCTAAAAATAAAATAAACACAGGATACGATGGCGGCGGGTGGTGTCGGCGCTACTCCAGAAGAACAAGCAATGGCAATAGCTGAAGACATCCTAGCGCGTCTTCCGGCCAAGATCCTGACAGGACCGTCGCATGAGGGTGATATCAAGCCAGCAGACATGACGCCTATGTCTATCGTCGTAATACAGGAAGCCGCCAGATATGAACGGCTGGTCACGGTCGTCAGGTCCAGCTCCAGGGCCGTCATCGGCGCTGTACAAGGTAACCTGGTAGTAGATATTTTAGACTGGTTACTTCTGGATAATTTGTACAAAATTATTTCCATAGATATCTCGGTACAGGATTTTTACTATCGAGCACCTTGCTTACATGATTGTATTGTATTGTATCAGACGTTCACTGCTGAACATAGATAGCCTCCCCTATAAGGAGGATTTTGTCAGTAGTTGCTCCGTTTGAGAGGCAGGTTGGCAGATGCAGTTTGGCTTTTGGTGATATTTTAAAAGTAACGCTGCTGCGCAATATCTCCACTATAAGCTCACTTAGTCGCTTCTTACGACACCCGCGGGAAAGGAAGAGATGACTTATTCTATGCCGGGACTTACACGGCTAAATGATTGTATTTAGGTTTTAATGATAAATGAGCTATGTGAAGTGACATTACTGGATATGATCCTATCTTAAAACAAACAAAAACACATATAGGAACACATGTGCGGATATCATATACCATGGTTATTAAAACGTACTCACGATTACCAATTCCTTTCAAGAGATCTATCAGTTTGCTTGTCATTCCAAGTTAAAAAAAACATTAATGGGTTCGTGGTGGCGGTGGTGCAGGTGTAAGCGTGCTGACGGACGTGACAGAGGAGGTGCTCACGAGTATGGTCCGCGGCCGCATCCCCGCGCTGTGGGCCGGCAAGAGCTACCCCTCGCTAAAGCCACTCGCCTCCTATTTCAACGACCTATTGGCCAGGCTCGACTTTCTGCAGGTGCCTGTCTTCAATCTTATTTACTTACATGATAGATTGAGAATATGATATCGAGTACCAGAAAGTTCTCTTGCTTTACCTACTTTTATTCAATCTGGTTATAATCCACTCTATATTTCTGGAAAGTGTATTCTCTATCAGAACAAGTTAAAGAATTTAATCTAAAAAAATCTAATTTCTGTTCCTGAAATAAGTAGAAAAGTTTAAAAATAGGCAAGCATAATAATTTCAAGGTTTCCAGGTCCACTGTAATGAATTCACCAAATATTAATGAAGATGGTTTCCAGTAGGACAGCGCAGTAGTCGATCTGACAGTACTTTGATAACTAATCCGTGTAACTAACAATTTTAGAAGGTCGCAGTACAACAGATCTGAACAGTCTAAAATATTCTAAACGTCACAGTATCCACCCTCAAACCCAAATATTTCTTTGCACTGTCGGATCAGAAATTGTACTATGTAGTTCATCAAATGAAATCTACGAGTATATATTTATTTTAAATAATCTTGCTTATTCACAGCATTGGCATCAGCACGGTCCGCCAGTTGTCTTCTGGCTATCAGGTTTTTACTTTCCGCAAGCCTTCCTCACCGCGGCCCAACAGAGCTACGCACGAAAATACAAAATACCCATTGATCAGCTTGCATTCCATTATGAGGTAAAAACATATCCTACTACTATTTACTATGTAAATAGTACAATTTAAACTATATTTTTAGAAGTGCGAAACGACATCAATTACCTAGTCCTTAAAGTAGGGTTATATAGACCCAGAATCTAATGCTACTATTGAATCGTAGAAATCGTTAATCCGAGATTTTTAGATATCGAAGTTTTCGATCATTTAGGTACAACGTACATCTGTATTGGAGGAACCTCCAGAAGAAGGCGTCTACATTCGCGGCCTTTTTATGGAGGGTGCTCGCTGGAACAACGACGACTACTACATCGACGAGTCCTTCCCCAAGATATTATATGACGAGTTTCCACCGGTCAGTATTAATTTGCATCGACAGCAACATTTTTGTGTCCATTAATATGTTCATGGTCATATCATGAACTAATGAGAGAGGAAGGGATTTGAATGACCTGCGTTTATCAACTGCCTGTAATATACTTGGGGTTAGTCGGTTACGTATTAACTGAGGAGAGTTTTGAATTACTTTCACTCAATAACTGCTTAGGTTTGAGGTAGTCATTCCAACTAATAATGTCATAAATAAACATATAGAACATTACGCTTATCATCAACAGAATGTCAAGCAAATCTGGTTTGCTTCATCAAATTGTGCTGTTCATGTCTAGGTGACGGTTGTTACGTTTCATCAAGTGAGCAGTCAACTTATTAGCCATTTTTAATTTTAATAAAACCTCATTAGGTACAAGTTTACTTGGTATCTAGGGTGACCCAACATTTAACAGTTGCTTCCAAGATCTGAACATCAGTCAGGTAATATGTTTTCATCGTGTAGGTGTGGCTTATTCCGCTGAAACGCGACGATATTCCAACGGATGTATTCTATAATTGCCCGCTGTACAAGACTGGTGACCGTCGCGGTATGCTGTCCACCACGGGCCACTCCACCAACTACATCCTGTTCATGCGGCTACCCACCAGCAAGGAGCCCGACCATTGGATCATGCGAGGTGTCGCGCTGCTCACGCAGCTGCCCTTCTAACTGGTTCACTACATGTATACTTAATTATATATTATGTAAGACTGATGACTAATCCGATAAAAATGCGATGTCCCTTAAAACAAGAACCTCTGCTATTGAATAAAACGAGGTGTAGCATTCCTCACACAGCTGTCCTTCTAACTGCTTCACCATATACGGAAGGTTTAGACATTGCTAGTATTACCGCATATATTTCATCGTAATCGTAAAAGTGTATTGTTACTTAATGTGGACTACCGGATCAAATAAAGCATGACGTTTTTCACTTTAATAACTCTAGCTGCACTGTCGTATGCATAGGGTTGATTTTGCAGTTGTATATATTTTTCGTCTTGATTTTTATAATCTCAGAAGAATTTACTTAGATTCCTATTAAATTTTGATTAGGAGGTCTTACATCAATTGGAAATGGATCTGTTTCATGAATTTCCTTCATCAATTTCTTTCTTTTCGTCATAATTTCATTAACTTCGTTCATTTCTTCTATTTTGTATTCTTCTGGAATAACAACTGTTTTTTGTGTCACATGACTTTATTCCGATGTTGATTTATAGAGATATATTAGATATTGGGAAAGATACGAGCCTAAATTCATAATAAACTTAGATTTATCTTATCTATAGATCACATTCGATTAGAAAGCATGTGCATTGGAGTTCCGCTCTGGATATTCATCATCAATATATCAGTCGTTAACTGTACACTACTAAATATAGGCCTCTTCCATAAGACAGATTTTGCCAGTAGTTGTCACGCATTGTAGGCGAGTTGGCGACCGCAGTTAGGCTTTTGGTGATTTTTAAGAGGGACACCGTGGAATAGGTAGTATTCCACGACCATTAATTTCTTTTAGTCGCCTCTTACGACACTCATGAGAAAGGAATGAAAAGGAAAGGAAACTATCAAAAAGTTCCATTGAGCCAGATTCTTGCAAACTTTTACAGCAGAAATTGCTATGTGGCATAAAAAATACTTCCATTAATAAATTTGAAAGTAATTAAATAACATAAAGCGCTTACTAATCTCACTACAATACCACATTCACGATTGTGTCTGCTTAAACCGGAACGCTCTAACTGCGGACATGCGCAGTTTTGTGGTTTGAACCGAACATGCGTCGACTGGGCTGTATTTCTATTACAGCGTTTGAAAACGCCGACACAGAGAAAAAGATAATCTGCAAGTAGGTAATATTTCTTTTTTCTTTCTCTTTTGCCCATAGTCCCTCTTTATTTCTCGCTCCGTTTGAGCTGAATAAGAGCCACTGTTCATATTATAATGTTAATAATAGATACAAAATGGAACAAAATATGTGTGTTCCATTTAACGTAATATTTTTGACAGCTGTCTATTATCATCTCTTTTTATAATATATCTTTTTAGGTACCTAGGTGCTTATTATATGCATGGTTTTTTAGATCATTAGGTTTTTATTTTAGCTCAAGAATTTCAAGCCATTGTATATAGTATAAAATTGTTATTATTAATATATTTTTATTATCTTAATTATAATTACTTATTTGTTTCTATGCAACGGAATCTAGTCACGTATTGTGATTATTTATTTTATTTTTTGTCAAGGCGAATAAGTATAGTTTAGAAATTTTATAAATATTAATTTGATAATTATAAATTTGTATTATTTTATGCAGTAATAGTATATAATTAATATTAAATTAAATTATTATATTTAAAAACATGGAATTTTATTTATTAAATTATCCGTTGTTTTTCCTGCTCTGCATCAACCAATATGTTTGATGTAGAACAGATGTAAAATAAAAGTAAAATATTTTACGAATAATATTGTCGACTCGAATGAAAGTAGATGAATCATCCATATTATATATGGAAAGATGTAGATACTGTGGGAACCGAGTTTTAAACAAATAGTACACATATGTTCAAATTGACCTATATTCGGGAGTATGGAAATATAGGAGGTAGGGAACATAAGATTTTTTAAAAGTGAAGAAATCAAAAGATGACGGTATGTGGATAGAGGCAATGGTCTTCGGTTCTGATGTTTGTTATTCTACTTATTCAACAAGTTAATGCTTTCTGGTTATTGAATGGGGACTTAATGGAAAGTACTACATGTCAACTATATACAAGAACAGCACCAAAGCTATCCAGACCTAAGGACTGTGGTATAAAGTTATACTACATTGTTGTTTTACTGTCATATTTCACCCTACTGAATTCTGTATCTATTTTTATGAATTCAAAAACATTTTTTTTTATGTCGGATAAAGATGCCCCAACACTAGCGACGTCACGTACGCTTTAATGTAGTCATAGCGCCATCCGTACTGTCGGAAATGTTTCTGGCAGTGAAAGGGTCTTGGGGTACACCACTTTATCTGAATATAAAATTAGATAACGAAATGTATCTTTGGAGACCATTTAAAATGTTTATTTGAGTCTAGTTGTCCTCGTGACTTCGTGTGACAGGAAAAAGTGTCCTATGTCTGTCTCCATGAGAAACGCTAGTGTAGGTACACCAAATTTCATGAAGATTGATTGAGCCATTAAGTCTGCTAAGAGGTAATAAACAAACTTACTTACATATTAATGATATAAAGGGAGTAAAGATTAAATAATTATATTTAAAATTTGACCGACCTATATAGAAACTGACCTATATAAAACATTTATTAATATGATTGCTGTGCCCTTCCAGGATTCATTTTGATACTGTATCTCAAATGCTTAAAGTCTATATTGTTACAATATGAAAATGTATAATAATTAATGATTGAATGGGATTGAATTGAATTGAAATTGTACCTTGACTAACATGTCTTATTATAAATTGTTAAAAACTTTAGGTCATGTGACTGTAATCTGGCTGGTTTTATCTATGCTTTTAGTGCCAGTTATAGATTAGGGACAACACCTGCGGTTTTCTATATTGCCAATTAATCTGTAAAACTATCAGGTTTTAAGCACTCATACTATGCCCTAGGGCTGTGTTTGTTACCAACTATATTTATCTATTATATAATATATAATTATATTTATAACTAACTATATTTATCGTAGCATCGGCCGCGAAAGCGTTTTCCCATAGGATTTTCTTAATTGGAAGATGGATATTCAAGGATGCGGAAATAGTTGTCTTTTTATTTTTGTAATCACAATATTCGTATAATTGTATCTAAATTGATTTAGTTAAAAAGCAGGTTTTTTATTTATTTTAGATTTTAATTTTCTAAAAATGCCATAAAAATGTTTTATATCAAGAGCTTCAGTGCTACCAAATTTTAAATTTCCAAGAACAAAATTGTGTTCAATTTTGCTTCCATTAAAAAAATCAACATCTTTTTATACCTTTAGTACAAATTAAACGAAATACCTTTATTTTCCTATGTCTCTATTTTACAAAGAATTTGTAAGTGAATTTGGTACTTATTTATAATTTGAGTAGTTTCGATTCAGTCCACGTCGTTTCATCACGAGACCACTCAATGGGACTAGTGGGGTAGCCCTATTGTCTGTGCCTGTACTAGTACCCCTATATAGATTTATTCTCTAAACAGGGATGAGTCTCATAAGCTCTAATTGAATTGTTTTCCTTCTTGGTAATCTCTTTAATATTACAACAATGGTTTGATTGGTGAATATGGCAAGCTTTAAACTCCGACGCGATCACAGCATCGCGTCTGGGCGGATTGTGTGATAATAGATTGCTAGATTGGCTATTTTTTGGCTATTTTTGGTTAAAAAAATTATGTTAGAGAAATTTTTGGAGAAAAATGAAATGAATGCGAAAAAATATGGCTAAAGCTTGGAGAGATAGAGAAAATGATTGGGTAATAAAATAAAAGAAATCGTATCCATTTGAAGAAACAATGGGGTCCATTCTGTACCATTTCTCTAAATCTGTCTCTAAAAATTCAATTTGATATTACAACAAATCTTTATTGTAAGGACCAATATGAACTAAGCTTCTAATAGATTTGAGACGAAAATTTGTACAGTTGATTACAAGTATGATTTAATGAAATATGTAATGGGTAGAAATAAAAAATGCATCTGACAACACTGTGTTACGGATGGAACAATGCGTGCGGAATTAACGTCGCGTCGTAACAGTAACAGTCACCACTGTGCCGGATTGACACAATACGCTCATTTGTTACCCGCCCGCCCAAAAGCTTTCGTCTGCCAACTCACCAGTACCAGAATGTATTGTGAAGTTAAGTTGCCTTTGTTTATTACCTATTGTGTATTAAAGATGTTATAATACACAGAATTAAACGAGCACTTACTATTAAAGACCGCCTTTTGATACCTTCAGCTTTCCCTTTTTTACCTGAATTTAAAATAAGATTGTGAATAGTATATCGATTTTATAATTATGTTACTGGACTTGGTAGATATATCATAAATATTGCAGTATAAAATATGTTTTTTTTTTAATTTCCACTGCATGAAATATATTAGTAACCCCACTTGCGCTATTATGCGTATGTCTGTGTGCACTGAGGATTTATCCTGAAAATGGTATACGTGAGAAATTATAAACGGAGATGCAGTAAGGTTAATTGGTTCATTCACCAACTTTAACGACAATGGTTTCTAGGAAGGTTCCGGGTGAAGGTTGAGCTGAAAAAATAGATAAATTGCTAACAATGGGACCGCTATAACTTATTTATATTGATACATATGGAAGACGAAATTGATTGATTGATCGTATATATTCTGTGCACAGCCGAAACTGCTGCATCTAATACGTAGAACACAGAGCTTCCTTTTCTAAGAACCAATTTTGGAAAATCCCATGAGATTGGTATACACGGGTTCGCGAGGGCGAAATTACAGGAAACAACTATCCGAGTATAAAACATACAATTTATTGTTACAGAGTAGATAAAGAGATTTTAGTTTATAATTTAATAAACTGAGCTTCCAGCCCTTTAGAGTCACGTACATTTAGAAAGTATACAATTAGGCATAGTAATATTTTTTTATATAGCACGACGTGTGCCCATACCATTTTGAATGAACAGAGAAAAATATATTTTTTTTTTAGTACAACAATAAAATAATTATGTCTATCAATGGATACAAGTGGTAAAATTTCATATTTCTCACTAGAAGAGATCAGGTTCGGGGCTAATAGACAGCCGCAAATACATATTTCGAATCTGTAAAAAAAAAGAAGCCAGTACCGGTATCTGTTTTTAAACAAAATCCTTGTATTTTATCTAAATCTACGCTAGGTGGGGAAAATTAAAATAATATTTACAGAAAACGCTCGCGGATAAAATCGGGGCATGTAAATCTGAAGTGTCTGCTTATGTGCACTTCGTAGGGTAAGTAATGTTCTCAAATAAATCAAGCACCGTGCAACGGTACCATGCTCGCTGATTTATTATATAATTTTGGTCTATAGAACAGTTAAATGGCCGCTGAGGGCAGGCCGGGTGAAGAAGGCTGCGTGATTCGCATAATAATATATTTTCCTTAGCAATATTTTGATATACTAGCGAAGAATAAAATTGTAGATACTCGTATCTGCTCTTGGTAATTTTTAACATCATGTTTAATTTGGGATAAAACCGAAACCATCTGAGGTTTTCTTTAACAAATTTTATATTATATGAATACTTGAATGTTTGATAAATTTTATAATTAGGTAGATTAATTACCTAACTGTAAGGAAATTTAAACATTCCATCATAATACGTAAAAGGTTTGGTAGATTAGGATTATAAATGGAGGTTGGACATGATGGACGGATTCCGTGAAAATTGATGCCAAGATAGAACAAAAACCGCAGTCTAAATAAACTTGTGCGCTCCCAGAGATAGATGACGTAGATAATATTATAATTACATTTATTTGCATCAAACTGAACAAAAGAATGTTAATTTTATACTATTGTGTTTTTTTTTACACATAGTTATTTAAATTTATTTTCGAGTTTTAACGCAACCCGAATATATACCTAATTTTATTATTGCCTCGAGAACAAATTTGAATAAAAAAAAGTTTTCCCATTTTATATTTTGTTTTGCTTAAGATAAATATAACAATGTATTTAGGTAACAATTTAGGGTCAATGTCATCGTCGGCATTTATGTTTCATATTTAAATAAGGGGACGCAACTCATGGTAACGGCTGACATTACGAGTGCGGTGACTCGCTTTTCGGCATATTACACTGCCCTGTCATTTAGCACGAAAAAGCTCGCATCCCAGATACGGCATGTATTAAATAAGCGAGTAGTGGGCAGAGCGAGGGGCGTCGGGCGGTGGGGGCGTAGTACGGGAGGCACTCGGTCTGGCGCGGCGTCGCCCCGGCAACGCGAGATATTGATCTGCGCAGCATCCCGCCGCCCTGCGCGCCCCGCGCGCCCCGCGACCCCTAGCTCCCGCCGCACGCGCGCCCTTGATTCTGCCGCTCGACCGCTGCCACCACCGACCCACACCGCCCCCTCACAAATACTTATTACATTTCGCACTACATACTACACGTAATCCGATGAAGAAATTTCACTTATTCTACTCAATCGCGACTAATCTGCTAACCACAGTTTATTAAAAATGACACACCTGTGTCCTGCATC